AGAAGAAGAAGAAGAAGAAGAAGAAGAAGAAGAAGAAGAAGAAGAAGATTTGTATTCTTGATGGGTGTCTGATTTTACCCTTTCTTCCCCTTCCGCTTCTTGTTATTTTCTTGTGCCAGTGACTTTTTCTTTTTTTCCCTTTCCTTTTTGTTTTTGTTCTATCACGATTAATTGGGCTCGGATGCATGGCTCTTGGTTTACAGCTAGCCCCATTTATTAACATTCCTAGGTACACAGCAATCCATTTATTCTGCACCCCATCTAGTACTGTTTCCGCTCTATCTTAAATTTCACACCCCGCCCCCATGTAATTTTATGGTACTGAGTTCAAAGACCGGTTATTCATCTTATCCTATGCTTGGTTTACAATTTGGATCGGGATGAAGTTCAGCCCACATAGTTTGATCCCAGTCCCCCTCATGGCAGCTACAATCCCTTGACGCCCCATGATTTGGAAAACCCCTGAAGCGTCGACAAGCTTTCAACAAATGTAGCGCCTCTCGTTTTTCATTGGTTAAGAATACTTTTCTCAGTTTTATTCGCTTCTTAAGATTTTTCAGCTGGTCTTCAATTCGGGGTATATGTTGAACGTAATCCATATGAGTGCTGGCAGAAAGTATCCTACCAGCTCCTTTTACTCTTAGAAAGGAATTCCCAATCTCAAAATTATTCGTTTTTTCCTTGGCCCTGGTTAATACTTTGGAGAAGGCTAAATAAGACTTCCACGACTCCTCACTTCGTCTTGCGTCCAATCCTATACTAAAATGGGAGTTGAAGCACTGGAGTAGATCCCTCGCCTCTCGGGTGTTATCGCAGCAGGAAAATTGGCTATTGCCGTTATCTCCAAGCTGTTCGCTGCATTCGTTCAGCAAGCGGCTGAGGTTTGTCATTCGGCGTACCGACTGTGCACGTGAGGGCTTCTCGGCGCTGTTCTTTGAAATTGTTACTGCGTTATGACAGCTTATGCTAATCCGGCCTTCTAGATCATGGAGATCGGGGATTCTGGTTATATGGAGTGTTTTTTTCGGCGGTGGGTGGGCCGGTGGCAGGAGTGGAACTCCGGACCCTTCCATCACGGCGCTGCTATATATATTATATTTGGTTCGCAACTGTGGCAGTATTTCTGTTGTGCGCCTCCAAGGATTCTGGTGTCAGAATCAAAAGAAGATGTGGTGGTATTGACTGGTCTGTGATGCTGACGTTTTTTCCCCAGCCTAAAATCTTAAATATGACGGATAGCTGAGCTGCCATGCTGTCTTCTAGAATTATAATTATAAATAAAGCTCTTAAAATTTCGATTATCCGTCATCGGCAAATGTACATGCCCGCACGTGCACCACCAGATTTGGGCAAATGAGCATATTAATTGAGTTTTCGGCTTCATCTAGCTTTGAGCTCTGTTTCCGTTTGATAACACTTAACTTAACGTTAAGTGGTATACTTACATACCCAAATATTGACCTAGCGTCAGTTTTGCATAAGGCATGTCAAGTATCCTGGACTTGATTATGGTAATAGTCGACAATATAATAGATACTACCATATTAGGGTGTGATTTGGGGGTGGATAGCCTAGGGTTGCGTACGTCAGTGCAGTGGATGACCGGTTCAATTCCTTTCTAACGAGCCGTGAACAAGCCACACAGGTTATGCAAGGTAGATTCCCGGTCACGTGACCGGGATATCTCAAACAGGCGGCCTGCCGGGCGTGTGGACCGGATCAAAATCACACGTACTTGCACTTGCGCATGCACTTAATTGACACATCCATATCCAGATGTAGGCAGAATCGACTCTGGAGCGTGAAATAGTCTTATTACTATAACGCTAGTGTGAAGGATTTATAACCAATCTCATACATCTTCCGACTCTATATCGATCGTTGTCGACCTGAGCTTGATACCGGCCGGAGCATATATTATATTTTCTCTCTTTTTACATTTATATATATAGGGAATATGCATACTATATACTAAAGCTCTGTAAAATTGAACTTGGAGCATCTGCGGCGTGCATCTTCCCAAAATTTCAAATTCACGCGACACAATCGTGCACAACTCGATGGCAACCCCCATAAGTTCCATAGATCCAACCGCGGATGATCTTATCTTGCTGCAATCTGTCGCTGCCAGCCTTGGTGCCCCAATATCGCGTTTTTTGGAGGAATTTCTCGGACCCCGGATTATAGATGACCCACCATCTGCACGCCCCCAGACTGAATATACCAAAGAACAGTTTTCCCTTTTCCTAAAAGCGGCAGCTACGTTGAAGATTCCGATATGGCTGTTTTTGGGGAAAATATCAATATTCACTAGCACATGCACGGATGATAGTACGGCTACAAGTTCTGCGACTTTAGGGTCGTCGTCGCCTGAACCGGCACAATCTAATGCCGACCTTATACAATTTTTAAATATTCAACGTGATGATGTTATTCACCCCGCTTCGGCTTCCAGTATCGAGCCGCTAGTGAACACACATAGCAGTACTAGTATTAGTGAACAGGGCGGCGGTACACATCAGGTTCCGAGTTTCAGTCACAGTTCCACAGACCTCCAACCACATTTAAACAGTTTCACCGATTTCCCCGGCTTATTTCCCAGTATTGAACCGGATCTCGATCCAGCTGGTATTGAAGGGAGGGGTGGGATTGATGAAGCGCAGTGGAATGAAACCTCAAATATCGATATAGGCTTCGGCGATGAAAACTTGATCGACGAGCTCGAGTTCGGTAGTGGAGCTGGGGATCCTCTCATCTCTTTTGATGACCTTTGTCCCCAAAACTCATCGGAGGCCATGGGCCTACCCCTTGCGAGCCCTCAAAATGTTCTTGGAGTTGACGACGCGGTCGAAATACCATCAGATGTTTTCATGATGAATACATTCGCCGAATCTGGTGCGTCTTTGCTTGGAAGTTTATCAAAAGTAATAGATTACAATAACATGGCCATCGCCGCCTCATCGTCCAACAGCGACCTTAATGATTGGCAAATGGTACTCCCATCTTGCGTCACCAATAATATCTTCGAATTCCCGCTAGCAGAAATCGCCCGATCTTCAGAATTTCAGTTGTTTTCTACTATGAATGATTTCCTAGTGGACCCAATCCCAGAGGATGAACACTCCATTCTCGCAGAAGCCGTTGAGAAGTCAAAGTCCAGTCAACGTAAAAGTAAAACTAGCAAGGGTGCTGCCGTAGCAGGCCCCAAGACCAAGCGGATTGAGAAATCCAAAGCGCCAGCTCCCACTGATATGGCTCTTCGCCCAAAGCGGGGAGTGCGCTCAAAGATAGCTTGCATGAGATGCAAATTCAATAAAAATAAGGTACCTACTACCTCAGATATGATTTTTGTCAAGGGGAAATGACATCAAAGCTAATACATGTGTCTTAGTGTATACCAAACCCATATGATCCAAGTAGGCCATGTTTAGATTGCGAGGGTGCGAGCTACACAATGACAACCCTTCCATGTACTTACCATGCTATCACGGACTGCATTTTATTCCGAACTACAAAACTAGAGCCCCGGCATCAATTTTGGCTTGGTATCACGAACCAGCCTCGCAAAAGCGACACTTCGGATGATTGGGTCAGGTTCGACTTTGCGAATTCCAACGCATACCCCCCTCTTGATCTCGTTCAATCTTGGCGCCCTACCGCCCATAAAACTATCGAGATTTCTCAGGGATATGGGAGGTCGTTGGCTCTACAGATCTGTAAATATGAACCTCAAGGGCCTCAGGACATGGACAATGCCGTACTTCCCCATCCATACTGTGTACTAGACCTAGCAGAGACGGAGAAGGCCATTTCAGCTTTTGCAGCCGAAACGTTTCAGCAATACTACGAAGCGAAAGTCAATCAAGCCGACTCAATCTCTTTATATGCCTTTAAATTAGCGTATCGCATGCAAGCCTCGGTAAGTTGAACACCATTTCAAAGGGAAGATGGGAGAGGAGATTTAGGCAATGGCCTATGGAAGAAACTTACCGTTTTATAGTCTCGCCTGCTCCGTAATTGCCTTAAAATGTGGACCTATGCCCGGTATATGGAAGGTGGCTGGACTTTATCGGGGTTGGACCTACTAGGATTGGCGTCTAATAGCGATGGCAAAGCAAGGCTCAGTGACGCATTCATCATTGATTTCCAAATCGATGAAATATTCGTGCGACAGCTACTACAGCCATCAAAAACGGCAATTCTAGAAGAGCTACAAAAGAAGATATTAGGAAGAGAGCGGAAATCATGGCTGGTCATCTTCCTTGCCTGCTTCATCATCCTGAGCAGCGTTGAGTTGCTGATTAAGCAGCAACAGAGAACTATACACCGGCGTAACCCAAACGTTAGGTTCCCTCGAACCTCAGATGCCTTTCGAGATTCACTTTGAGTCCTTCTTACTAATTCGTCAATTGGCTAGGCAGCGAAATTATCTTAACACCAGCCTCGTTCGTGACCTTTTTAATAGTTCTAAAATCATCTTATCGTACTTTCATTATCGGAAACCTGGTGACAATCCTTTTGCGCAAGACTGGTATTCCGGTAAATTCGCGGAGAAATTTCGAAAGTCCGCAGATTTAGATGATGAACAGTTTCAGGTTATTAGATACATCGCTACCGAGGCAAGAAAGAGGTGTAAGTTCGAGACTTGAATCTTTTCACTATTGATTTCCCTGTTCAGAAAATTTCCAGCTAACGGCTAGTCGCGGTTAGTACCTGAGTTTATAGAACTCACCAAGTCAAATAGATACACCGAAGATTGCTGGTTCACTGGACAGCTATTCTTGTCCGATTGGCATCCGCCAAATATTGCTTCCTAGGATCAACTGTTTGCATTTATCTGTAATAATTCCAAGCTTGCGATGCTCTCTTTACATCAATTTTACATCAATTTTACATCAATTAGCAACTCCGCATTTCCTATATAGGGAGATAGCACCCTGCGTAGCTCATACAGTTACTGAAAGTTTTAGCATGATATTATAGAATGCATGTTGATCAGTAGTAGTAACAGTTTGCATTATTTACGGTTAATTCCACCTAAAATTCGATTTTGTAAATTTAGCGTCCAAATTATAATAGAATAGCCACGAGGTTGCCTAACAAAAGTCTAGGTGTTACTTAAGTTGGGAAAAAGTCAAGGTGTTTTAGATAGACGTATACATATAAGCCAATTACTCCACCACCAATAGAACGATTTTAAAGCCCCGCCAGCTAGCTTGCAACGGCTTTAGAGAGCCATTTCTAAAGTTTATTAGTCAGCAATTCGGATTAAGACCCGGTCACCTGACCGGACTCTAGATCCAATCAAGATATATAGAAGTACAGTCATAGACGCCCATTTGATATAAGGCTGAAAGGAAAAAGGAAAAAGGGACTTAGCACGAGGCGCAAAGATGCGCGATACTCCTTCTGCGGCCGCAAGCTTGACCGGTATACCTCTAGATCTGGTTGATGACGAAAGCATATGCATACTGACCGGATACTGAGTAACGAATATTCAGTAATTAAAGTGGGCAAGCCGGCTTGGGGTTATCATTATGAGAGTTTTCTATACTAGATCTGGAGATCGGGAACTATTATTGGTAGTTATAGCAAGCATAGAAAATGTACCGTAGCCGGCTAGCCGCCTGAAAAAGTATAAATATACCAGGTGCCAGCTGCTAACTCAATTTAGTGAAGAGGTATCGATGTCAATAAATTGATTGGAAAGTGGAATCTAAAAAGTGCGAACTACTCTTATTTTCCCCTGTCAGATTTCCTACGACCTTATCGAAGCAGACGAAATCGAGTAAAGAACAGTGAAATCAACGAGTGTCCATTTGTTGATCTAGCTATTCTGTATCGAAAGAAAAATAGCCGCTCGCCCAGAACAAGGCAGTCCCTTGATATCCTGTGCTTGATAGCTTAGACATCATAATGGAAGCAAATATGGAGTTTTCCACGGCAGTTGCCATCCGAGAGCCTCTAGTCTCGCACGAGGATAGAGAAGATAGCCACTTCAGCCACCCACTTAGTCTGGATCTAGATATCGATCTTGTAACCCTCTCAATCTCCGAGGTTGCAGAAGCTATGAGAATGGATACTCGGACTCATCCCGAGGTACCTCTAACGCTTGCCCCTGTAAGTCTACTAACTACAACTCTTATGTAGTAACTACAATCAGATACATACATAGGCGTTTAGAATATACTTAGAACAAAAGCTAACTAGCACACCTACAGCCAAATGCGGTTCAGGATATAAATGCCAATACGGTTCTAAATCTTCGCGCAGAGCCCGCGTATACCCGCCCACCCTCGCTGAAGTTCGCGGGCACGAAAATAAAGAAACTCAAGCAAAGGGAAAAGAAGCGACTTTCCGAACGGCGACTTAAATCTCTTTTCTCGGAGGTAAAGGAAGCGCCATGGAGTACATTCCGAATCATCAGTGATTTGCAACCCCAATTCAAGAATTAAGGGGTGGGAAGGTTGGAACTTGGGCGTGGGGGAAGTCACGAAGTACTAGGACGCAAACATGAAATTTTGATAACTTTGGCGCTTTCAATGTAGGAATATACCAATAACCTTCCCATGGGATACAAGCGTATTAGTTTTCTGGGTAATAATTGCTCGTTTCACGCATGCATGGCCTGTCGAATTTCTTAAATTTTGAATCTTGCTTTTTACAACTTATCCCTCGCACAGAGCTTCGTTCGAACAATGTCCTCATTTCTTTTGTTGGTTTTTTTACCGTTTTATTTACTTGTGGTGTATCTTAAAGCTTGGGTCCCGGTTTGAAATTACGTTTATATATTCATCGACGTATCGGTTATTTTATTATAGAATCGTTTCGAGCGCGACCTGTCCGAGTCGAAGTTTGCGGTGTCGTTGCTTTGGACTATGACTAGCTAGTCCCCAATTACGCTCATCAATATATCGTAATAGATAAGTATATATATATATGAATATGTCCGGATTCAAACTGACGGTAACCTTGGAACGGCATTGATTTTTGAGTTTTCATGATATTTCAATCCCTGCTGGTTCTTTTTAATCCTCTCCGCTTATCCCTTTGGAAGCAGGATTGCAGTTGAGAAGGTTGATTCCTGTTTCTACATATCTGTGGGACTGTGGGTTGCCTTCGACAGCAAGCACTGTAGTTGCTACAGGATTGTTGCAATTCGGGTTTGCATAAAACCCCATTATACACATGCACAGTGCGGTCCCGTAATTAGCCATCCATACTAGTGGTAGACTTCATGTTGTATCGTACCAACGAGATACCAACTAAGGCCCGTCCGTTGCATTTTGTTCACCAGTCTAGAAAGTTAGATGCAGTCGTTTGCAATTAGATTAATGGTCAACCGAGCTACTTCATGTATGTTCCTCACTAAGCAATTGCAATTGTAGTACGCATTGATATTGCTGGGCACACAACCTCTCACCATAAAGCTCCAAGCCCGTCGCCACCGTTTATTCATACAATTTAACACAAAGAGGGAGTAGGTTTCAATGTTACTCGTTAGATATCAAAACCACGCAATGTTGGGTTTTGGGTAAATTTAACTAGACTAGGTTCTGGGAAAGTTTCATGAATTCAGTATAGTCTGCAAAGAGCAAAATAGTTGAAAAGAGAGATGTAGTGCCGCAAAGGTACATAACTATTTGGATGACCCCAGGGTCCCACAGGATCCATTATCTGACGTAACTTCCTGGAGGACCGTCGGATCCGGGTCCATGGGATCGAAAATGAACCAACCCGGGATGTCAGGAAGATCCATATAGAGGCAATCCCGAAGTACTTTTATGGAATTTGGGAGCTTCCATGCTCTTTCTGGATTATGAACCCACAATCGCAACATATGCCTCTTGGCAATCTCATTGTCTTCGAACTCTCGGCGACCGTGGAGAACGGCGAGATTGTTGATAAAAATCAAGTCGCCGGATTGGAGACCGATCTCAATAGAGTTCTTATTCGCCACCGTTTCAACTATATTAAGGGCCTCCCTCTGCGTTCTGGTTAGTGGAGGAAGCCCCAGTCCCTCAAGCCTGTGTGTGCGGAATTCTTCCAGCAATGCAGCACGGGAGAAGCAGAAGAATGGTTTTCCGTCGTCGGTTTGATAGAGCAGCGGACGCCGGATATACAAAGGGTTCTGTCGGGCCCTAGTGCATCCGTATGGTTAGATAAGTCGTTCCCCTACCTTGTTTTTTTGGATGTGACGCCCCATAACTTACGTTTGGTGAATCCAGTTGCTGTCTGCTAGAATTGGTATGATATCCGGTCTCGTTTCTAAGATATCTTGATAAGTTTTAGAGGCTGAGGATAGGCGAACCTGTCCACCTGACGCCGGCGGACTGAGACAGTATAGACTAATGATATCGCATGCGTGGTCGTTGTGAAACGTCTAATTGTATTAGACCAATGAAAAGATATTAGTCCTTAAATATCCTATGGGGATGAAAGGTTTAAATTCTCCTCTTTCAGCGAATAATTAATTTACCTGAAATTGGTTTGAGTAGTAGCCTGCCTGCGTTTCAATTCCCTTCAGCGTGGTAAGGTGGGCTATTTCATTGGGCGGAAAAGGTCAAAACGGTATCCGTATATAGTACTTAATTGCTCAAAGATTCTGCTTCAAAACTAGAATGGAAGGTTGCCATTACGTACTAATCATGCTCCCAGTTGGACTTTGTCGTCCAAAATTTCCGCCTACATAGGCCGAAACCCCAGAGGCTACAATGATGTTTTCTTCTTCGGTAAATTCCTGGGGGTTTAATCCTCGAAGGAGAACAAATCCTTCTCCATCGTAAACTTGCTCGCTGACTCTCTCAAGTACGTTCCCTAGAGTTGGAAGATGGAAGTTCTCCTTGTTTATATCCAATAGGTCGTAGTTATGCTCTATTGGAAGACCGGCAAGTTAGTTGAGAGGTTGCAATTGTTCAATAAGAACACCTATATAATATCCACATAAGCTCATAAAATAAATGGTATTTGAGAACCTTGAAAAGCTGTGAGGGCATCTATGAGTTCCTCTCGATGCTCCTTGGTAAGTTGGATAGCATATTGGTCTTCTCGAACAATTGTCGCTCCACTCCAAGCAGACCGCCCGGTCACTTGGCCTGGTCCTTCCGCCCAATGCGTTGTGAACAGGTTGTTTGGCACGAACGGTCCCGCGCCAAATTCACCCAAACGGTACTTCTGGCGGACGCCTCTCGGGAAAAAATGTTCTTCTAAATCAACCGATTCCATCTCGATGGTCGCAAATTGTAGTCTCGGCTTCTCTCGGAAATTCTTTTTAATTTTACAGACAAGTAAGAGGGAAGATCGATATACCGTTACGTAACAACAGGTTATCCAATTCTATGGACGAACGATACGTATCACCTGGACAGCATCTGCTACCACATGTCATCTATATATGCTTAATCCGAGAACTGCAGAGCCTCAACCATTAACCCCGCTTCGAATAGCATTTGAATTGACCCCGAGCATCGATACCGATGTCCTCTCTTAATCCCAAGCGTACAATACATATGCATACTATATGCATGTTTGATGTAGAAGGCTCTATCCGTATGAAGAAACGAAAGGATGCCTAATACCCAGCGAATCAAAATTGCTTCTCATGCCGTTTTGCAGCAGGCCGCATATCTTTGTGCATGTTTGTCCACCTATACACATCTTGACGGGAAAAGGTGACGAAGACTGAGAAAGTTGCGTCCCATATCACAAAGCCAGTCACTTCTTAATTCGGAGAACCTGAGAATCAAAACACCCCATTATTTGGAGCTCTGTGGCGCATAAAGAATCACTTTAGGGGAAAGTAGCTTCAGTAATTGATTGATTTACTAGAAGAGCATTTATATCGTGTCGAGCGACAGAGTATGGGGATTTATACTTATAAAACTACCTCTGATTAATTAAAATACATCTACGAGGCGCATATCATGCTATAAAATGTGGGGGCTAGCTATAGACAGCACCGCAAATCTACTGATTATGGGTAGAAGAATAATGTCGAAAAACAATTCTTCACAGATCAAAAGCTGGTATGTGTTCAAAACCCTCCCATGTGCGCATGTGATGCATGCTTGTATACAACTTTCATGGAGTAGCTATATATATAGGAGTATGATATAATGATCATAGAAGTGCTGGGCGCCATGGGCTAGAGCTCGAGCCTGAGGCTCAACAATTTAAGATTCCATAAGCAGTGTCAGCTATAAGTTAACTGAGCCCCGGATTCAGCCACAGATAGCCTGGTTACAAGGCTAGCAAGTCCGGTCGCCACAAGTCAGCAATTAACCAACAAAAACAACACACCTATCACGGTCCTGACCGGATTTGAATCTCAAACCACTCTTATCGGCGAGCTGTCAGGGTTTTTATGATGGTTTTTTTTGCTCTCTTCCGGCATTTATACTGGCGTCGACGGATTTTGTGGGCTGAACAACCTCTGTCATTTGCTGGTGCCAGTCTAATACATGTTCCGTCACATTTTATTATATCATCTATTCTAAATGAATATGTACTAATTTTCGTTGAATCAAAAGCGGGCCCAGTCTAGTACTGGCCAGCACTGGCCGGTATGCAGGATTATACGCTCGCATCGGGTGTTATTTACCGCGACGAATATAAACAAAGGAATGAACGACTTCTCAATTTACGTACTTTGTTTTAGAATATATAAACTTATTTTATAGATCTACTGTTTGACAGACGAGTCGAACTTCGGAGATTTACGAAGTTTTCATGTCTCCCCTACTTTAATTAGAGATTTTTGCGTTGCAGGATAAACTTCAACTAAATTTATGAAGTAGCTAACTAACTAAGGGGAAAAGATATATATATATATATAAAGCAGCTCCCCAGGCTCAGCTTGCCGAAGCGTTTTAATACAAGACTACCCTCCAGGGCCGGCGGAATAGATGAGTTTATAAATGATTCCACTTTTCTCTCAGCAAACTGATGATGCTTTCGTCTTCCTGTTCTTCCGCGTATGCTAATGCTGTTTGGTGCGCATCGTTCGTTACTTCCGGGTCTGCTCCGTTCTCCAGCAGCAGTTTGACGGCACTTTCGTTCCCATTCTCTATTGCGTAAAATAATAGTGTTTGGCCCGAGCTGTTACTAGAATTTGGACTTGCCCCTTTCTTCAGTAGCAAGCTGGTGATTTCTTCGTCATCGTTTGATATCGCGGCAAACAACATTGGCTCGCCATTCTCATCGTTAGCGTTCGGGTCTGCTTTGCACTTCAAGAGCAATTTGACGATATCTTCTTTCTGATTCGCTATTGCATACGATAGTGGTGTTTCGCCGGAATTGTTCTTAGCCTCCAAGTTTGCTTTTTTCTTTATTAGCAATCCGATGATTTCTTCGTCGTCGTTTGATATCGCGGCAAACAATATTGGCTCGCCGTTCTTATCTTTAGCATTCGGATCTGCTCCGCCCTCCAAGAGCAGTTTGACGATACTCTCTTCAACCCTATTCGCCATTGCATACGATAGTGGTGTTTCACCGGACTTTTTCTTAGCCTCCAAGTTCGCTTTTTCCTCTATTAGCAATACGACGATTTCTTCGTCTTCGTCGGATATCGCAGAAAATAATATCGGCTCGTCGTCCTGATCTATAACATTTGGGTCTGCTCCACACTTCAAGAGTAGTTTGACTATATCTTTGCTCCCATTCGCCATTGCATTCGATAATGGTGTTTCGCCAGATCTATTCTTAACCTCCAAGTTTGCTTGTTTCTCTATTAACAATTCAATCATCTTTTCGTCGTCGTCTCGTATCGCGGAAAATAAAATATGTTCCCCCTCCTCATCAGTGCCGTTGGGGTCCGCACCGTGCTCTACTAGCATCTGGGCGATCTCTTGATGACTAAAGTCCATCGCGAGTGATAAGGGAGTTTGTCCTTCATTATCCTGAATATTCGGATCTGCCCCACCTTCTAGCAACAGGCTAGCAATTTTCTGCTCGCCATTTTCTGCCACGATCAACAAAGGCGTTGCACCGGCTAAGTTTTGAACGTTGCAATCCGCTTTTTTTTTTCCACTAGGAGTTTGACAACATCCTTGTAATCGTTATCAACTGCGTGATGAAGCGCTGTAAGCCCTTCTGCGTCCTGGACATTGACATCGATATCCGCCACATTCTTCACGAGAAGACTGGCAATTTCTGGCTCCATATTGCCAAGCGCAATTAACAACGGGGTTAAACCTTCCGAATTTTTGATGTTGAAGTCCACCTTCACTCTCAAGCTTGTAGTGATTTGCAAAGTTTGCCCCGTTACCAGACTCCACACGCTGTTGAGCAGTCTGGTGATGAGAGAAAACGAGACCACCTCCCGATTTGGCTCTGTTTTCCTCAAAAATACTTCAACAATATCCTCGCAGCCCCATTCTATTGCAATCATGAGCGGTGTTCGGCCATCTGAATCTTTGACGTTGGGGTCTGCCCCCTTTGCTAGTAATAATTCAACGACTTCTTTGTGTTCAGAGTCTGCGGCAGCGGCCAGAGGCGTTCGATTTGACGAGTCCATGGTTCTGTGATCTGCCCCTTTTTCCAATAAAAATTCGACGATATCTTTGTGACCGTTTCCCGCCGCAAGCAACAGAGGTGTTTGACCTTGGGAATCCGTGGATTTGCAGTTTGCCCCTCTCTCTAAGAATAATTCAACGAGGTCTTTGTGACCATTCTCTGCCGCAACGGATAGCAACGTTTGGCCCCATGAATCTTTAGCTTCTATGCCAATCCCGTCCTTCACCAATAGTCGTGTTATTATCGGCTTCAGCCCGAAGTATGCCCCAAGCGATAGCAGCGTTGGACCCCATGAGTTCTCAGTTTCGAGGTTAGGTCCGTTTTTTCCCAATAGATGCTCAATTACCGGCTTCAGCCCGAAGTATGTTGCAATGTGGGACCCTGGCATTTGGTTTTTTAGGCTAGATTCGAATTGGGTTGAGGTGAAAGGCTTTGGCGATGATAACCCTGGCATAAACATAGCTTGAACGCAAGCCGATCGTAGGCCGGCACCGCCCTTGAAAAGAAGGTTGTGTACTAATGACATAGTGTCACTCTGTCTCGTGGGCCAGTCAGGACAGTCGGCTTTGGGTTTTGTATTTGGGCTGCGTTCACCGCCATCAAACTGGCCTTCGGCCCAGGAGTCTCGGGTGTGCTTGCCCCAATTTTTGGCGGCATAGCTGTATAGAGAATTCGATTTCAGCCTCTTCTTAAACTCTTCCTCGCTCTGACTTTGGCCTGCCTTGAAATGATCGTATGAAAGATAAAGGATACACGCTCTTGCAATGTCACTATTAGCGTGAGGGAACCAGGATCGCCAACTCCGTTCAAAATACTCTTGGACTGTATAATGAGCTAGCTTCACGGTGTTGCTCTCTTCTTCATAGGTGACTAGCCCACGACACAACGAAATAATATCGTTGATATTAGTTATATTGTTTTTGTCGATTTTGTTGGTACCAGGCTCAACAGCAATCGCATGCTGCAGCTCCTCTTTAGTGAGATGCCTCGATGACCGTGTTATCCATGATAGGACCTGGAAAGCTTTGCGAGCACTGCCTACGGAGGCTTTTTTATCTTTCTTAATATCTGGGTCTTTGCCACAAATCCGGTTCATGATAGTTTGATATGTTACATCGTATGGGCTTTCCGAACTTGTGCCAAACCGCTCCAAGCATGTTTGTATTTCCTTCCAGTTTGGTTCGTCTAGAGATTCAATCGCGTCAAACTGCAGCTCCGCAAGGAGGAACCTGGATATGTTTATTTAGTAGGTGCTCCCCGGTCCCAAGGTCTAGCGTAAGGAAATTTGAGGTTAAGTCTCACATTCCCTGAGCTCGCTCTGAAATCATTTGTTTGATGGTTTCTTTGTGTTCCTTTGCGCTCGAGTTTCCCACTTCATCAATTCTGATCTCCAAATAGCGTTTTACATCTTCTGTAGATGCACGTATCTCGCACTCTTTGCATGCGCCGAGTTTCTTGAACCGATTTTGGATATCATGTATGCGTCGTGAGGTAGCATATATGTTTATGCCGTGGTCCTCGTTCATGTCAAATAGTTTGCCAAGGAATACTGAACGTTCCTTCTGATTTTGGTATTCATCGAGAGCGTCGAGGACGATGAACACCCTAGAATAGGTTTTAACAACTGCACAGAGGGCATCGATGACCTCCCTAAGGGGCGGCCGCCCACTGTTCTTGTGGTCATCAAAGAGCTTTTTGAAGTGCTTTGGTAGAGAACCGGCTCGAGTATCACCTAGCTGTTTTAGTAAATCCGAGAATAAATCTTCTACCTCAAGAGCGGCGCTTCCTTTGAAATCGAAGTAGATGAAAGCGATCCCAATACTCGGATCATTAGAACGTTTGTCAAGCAAATCGTTTATGACAGTAGATGTGAGTACCGTTTTACCGGCGCCGGGAATGCCTGGGCAGAACAATATTTCCTTAGCCCTACCCAGCCAATTTCGATATTGAATGGAGGTTAGTAACCATTCTCCAGTTCCAGGCTTGCAACGCTTAGAAGTGGCGTCATGCTTAGAATGGCCGTTGATCTTCGATATCCATTTTAGAATTTCACGATCTTCTGCTATCGCCTGGGCACTTAATTCTGCATTTTTGGCAGCAACTACCCGTAATCAAGGCTCCGTAAGCTTTTAGACAAACAGATAAGTGACCGAGCTACTCAATCTTTCCCTTGAGTCAAGAACCACTCAAGTGGCCGTTGTCTTGTGGGATTACTGGGCGCCTAGGCACTAAGAATCATTCATCGAGTCCGTGGAGGTACGTACCTTCTTTCAGCAGCTCCTTAATCTGACTACAAACCGTCGTGTATGTTTTATCTTGAGGACTCCCTAGCTTGACGATCGTTGAGTGATCTCCATCAGCCGGGAAGCGTCTTTCCAAGCTGCTGCCAACCCCTAGCTCTGTAGAGTCCCTCTCAACAACCATTATAAGCTCTCCAGCTCGACCATAACCTCCACCTTCTAACTAAAACTCTAGATTAGCTTCCGTTGTGAAAAAGCCGGGTATCTTGGAAGCTTTATTGAATACCGCGATAACTTTCTTTGTCTCCTTTGTTTCATAGAATGAATAAACTTTCGTCTGTTTTTCAGTAAGGTGGCTCTTAAATGAATCAATAGTCCCTGTAATCCTTCCCGTCTCGTAGTTGATTGCTTGAAGAAGCCTAACCCCCTGACCCGCGGCCATGTCTGGATCTCCGTTTACCATCTTATCGACATCTTTGAGGTTTGCGTTACGAAAAGGAACCCCAAAAAAGAAAAGACCCATCATCGAGTCGAAGATGTCTTTGTAGAGGTGATTTGCGTCAAAGGACGCCAAGTTAACTGCCTGAAAACTATTAGAGTGTTAATTAAATAAAGCCAGCAACAGGGGTGCCGTACATGTGCGATAAGGGCACCGCCTAAACTATGGCCTATCCAGATCAATCGCCTCTTTTTCGCCTATTTTTGTTGATCAGTTGCCTTTCTGACTATTAAATTAAACATTAGGCTCAAGGGCCCCCTGGAAAACTGTATACCTCTTCAGTTTCTCTAGCTTTATGCAGTTCAATTAACAGGTCCCTGGAATGATCTTCGATATGTCGTTGAACTGTATCTTTATATTTCGTGTTGTATCCATATGTCATTGTCCTGCAGTATTTTAATTCCTCGTCCTCGCCTAAAAAGTCCTGAAGCCACATCGGCGTTACACCCCCAGCTTCAGGACCAACCCACGACCCGAAAGCATGAGAGTTAAGCCCCGAAACAGCGACGATACTTTAAGAAGACTTGTTATTATACGATATTTATAACTTCTAAGATCATTATGTAACTTTTATAGCGAAGCATGCTTACTCTATCTTGATTTTGCTCTCTTCAACCGGATATAGTTGCGTGAGACCTGAAAAATCGGTATCAATTTGTACAGTTTTATTTTTGTAATTGAAAGATGGGACATTTCTCCGGAGGAAGGCTGGAAGCCCCGCCGTCGGTTCTTTGGGCTTCAACTTAAAAATTGCAATCTGGGTTGTTGGGTCAGTACAGTTAGGCGCTAGGCGCAACTGAAGCTCGAAGTTTGGCTCTCCTTTATCAGTAAACCGGCGCTCCAATTCTGACTTAAATTCATCCTCGCTGCAATCTCTGCTGATGCCTATTGCACGGAAGGTGCCTCGGTTCTTGTTGGTGGCCATGGCAGGCCGAGAGAACGAGCTTGCGTGAGATCGAGAGAAGAGGCCTAGAATCGAAAACAGCGGTAGCAATTGATATAAATAATATTAATCACCGGTTGGCAATATCGCAATGGTACGAACTCGGAAGCAGGAGATGTCTAGATCTACGGGACGAAAACAAAAATTGGAATGATTGTCGTGATTCATATAGGACTAAACTAAGACTTCCATCTTGATAAGGGTCCGGAGCTAAAATAAAAATTGATACCTTCGAAAGGTGGTGGTCCTCGAGGTGGCCTGAGCCTACAGCCGATCAGCCGAGAAGTTATTATGCAAGACCACGTCAAAATATTCTTTCTGCAGCTGGGTGTCACTTCTCCAAATTGGGGCACTTAGATCCATGCTTGAGTCTGCAATATACCCCGCACTCGGAAACTTTGACCTCCTCGCTGCGCTGCCGTGGCGACAAATTTCTTACAAATCCCCCCCAAAAGCCAATCTGTCATATTTATTTGTATGCAAGCCCTCTTTAAGGGTCACCAAGACTTAAGGGTCTTTGCAGCTGTAAAATCGGTGCCACGGCCATGGCGCATAGACTCGCATATATACATATCCTCGAGAAGATAGGTGCTCGCATACATGCATGTTCTTGATGGTAAAGGTAGTATTTTTACGTTCGCTTATTCTTAAGAGTTTAGGACAGCACACCATGCAGGAACGAAAACACCCTTTAATCAGTCAAGTCTCAGCTATGTGATTGAAATCTCAGCCGTCCGTACCCCGCCTCTCTTAGCAAATTTTAGTGGGGCTCAATTTCCACAAAAATAAAAAAGATGTACGTAGTAGATTACTTGTCCTGGGCATAGTTTGGTGCTCTTGGACAATAGATTTGGAGCGAAAGTAGCCTTATGGGAGAACCTTTTATTCAAAATTCAACTACTAGCTACTTTGATCCTGTTGAATTTAATTTAAAGTTTTTGATCTGAATGTACGGGTAGCATGTTGTTGATGTTGTATTTTTTCTGTGTTACCAATAAAGATTTACTTTTGGCAACACAACAAATTTGCAAACCGCCAGAGAGCAGAATCGAGCAGACGTCAAACTTAAAACTCGTTATTAGCATCTGGACTTCCCGTTTCAGTCGGGTTTAAGGATAAGCGTGTCCAAATTTTGCTAATCCGTGCCGGAACTAGAGTAGAGCTTTTTGAAGATCCGCATTCGGCCAACTTTGCGGCCTTAAAACCAGCCAGTCGATGTCATACCCGGAGCGACCCCCTATGGTTCGTGAAAGAAGGACAAAGTATACTAGTGGAGGACAAGGAGAAGAGGAAACACATGTAAGATGTGGAATAAAGATCGTCTCAAATTACGCGCTGTTTTTGTTCTAAACCTCGCTCGATTCCTAGATACGAAGTCTCTTAAATTGTCCTTGGGATATATCCGCCGGGAAATCGTTGGTTCAGAGGCTAAGCGGTGTAGTTCAAACAACATCTCGAATTCTGGGCGATAAAACTTCCAGAATTACCCTTCGCTGTGAGTGGGGAAACGGGCTCCCTAGTACATGGAAATCCAAAGTTAACTGCGAATTGAATCTGTGGAGCCTTGGGATGCCTGTTGCACGAGCTAAGGAGTCTTAGCTCAGTTTAAGAGTGACTCTTAGAATAGCTGTTATCATTGCATGCATGATGATAGCATCCGTACGAATATTCTAATAGTACAGCTAGACAATTGGGTCTTATCGAGAAACTTCAAAATGGCAACAGGTATTTTATGTCCTATCGATTTGTCATATCGCTTATTGCTTACTCCAAGTTGACACGGCGCGCGGACACATACTTACTTGCCCACCCAAGTTGGCCGGAATGCAAACCCATCTGGATCCTTTCTCAAATGTATAGAGGGATTGAGTCGCCGATATTTTCACTTGTCGTCACGTTCCTATTCGCACGCGCGCGTGGGTTTTCAATCTCATATGATCATGCAATCTTTCTCAAACGTAAAAGGCTACCAATGCAATTCATCTATACGATAATATGTCATAAACCGACTCGAGTCTACCATGCAATGCTAATCACTCGGTTGTTTGCTTCTTCTTTAACCTTACACTACCTTTCTTCCATGTTGCTTTGCTACCGCACTCCGGCCAGCCCTCCACGACGCACTCCCCCATTTCTTTGCCATCGTCGAGGCCTATCCATTTTAGACCATCCCCGAAGAATATCCACCATGCGCCCCACCACCACTCTTCAAACACGCGCATCCAGAGCCTGACAACAGGCATACGCAGCCATACTGCGTAATAATTCCACCAGTGCACCGTATACGCCACAACTACAGACGAGTCCATGACTACAATGGGGTCTGACGTCTGGTTGATAAGCGTGAGTGGTAAAAGCGCACATTCGGAGATAATGCAACCGGGCGGTTGCGGGAATCTCAGCGGATCTAGAAAAGTTAGCAAGCCCTTCTTGAGTTCCTGAAGCTTTAATTAAAAATTTAAAAAGAGGTATCCAATCGCATACCGCCATTCCAACTCCCCTTTCTTCTTAGGGTCATATTCAAAAACGGATCAGCGTCCAGCGCTACGATCCCATTCCAGCAAGTGCCTACGTTCAGAACACCTCCCCTCCTCACCACAGCCCTATCCTTGCTATCCATGAAAAATGGCCAAAACCCGGTCGTAGCACGTCCACAAGAGTCACGCAGCACCCATTGATCGTATAGAGTCGCGCCATCCATATCTACGCTACAAGCCATTGTTTTACCATTGCTAGCAATAATCAGCTTTAGCACGTCAGTATGGTGAAATACAACATCATTCATTAGCACGAGAGTGCGAAACGGCGTGTTATTTTCATACAGCGGTTGTAGAGCGCCGTTACGCAGGTTAGCCATATACGCCATGCGGTGGGGAATGTTCTCCCAGGGCATGTTGGAAGGGTATCCGCGGAGTTCTCGCGTAATATTTAGCGAATGTTGCACCTCCATTTTTGTGAGCTTCCGCGCGTAGTGCAGCAGCTTCGAAGCGGTGTTGTCTTCCGAGTCATTCTCAGTCAAGGAGAGGTAGACGTTTTGCGGACCGAGAACCTCAATGAGAGATGTCATTTCGCGGGTCCAATGGTCCAGGACGGGCTCATTGTTCCAAAAGCTAGCTGCGATAAAGTAGGACGCATTGGACTTTTGGTGCTCCACGAAAACAGGGTCGCGGACCAATTCCGATGCCTCGGGAAAAGGGCTTGCGGTACCATAAGCATACGTCCAGATTACAAAGATACCGCTTAGGATCCAGGCGGGGATACGCCAGGGAGATTTCCTTTTGAGAGGAGTCGCTAATAAGCCGGTAGAATACCGTGACTTTCCATAGTGATTGCGGTTGTCTCTGCCGCAAGCGACAAAGCCCCACAACGCCGCCGCGGTTTTGATGGGTAGAAAGAAAAAGACAACAGCCAGGTAGAAGCTCAATGTTGCGGAATTGTGCGTAAAGATCGGATACGAGAAGCGGAAGTATAAGGCGGGTAATAAAATGAGTACTGCATATTCGTGGTAACTTCCGAGTATGGATCGGTAGTATCCCCACCAACGGCGGATCGTTGAAGGAATCGATATCGGTGTCCGGAACATTGCACAACAAAAGCAAGGGCAAAGGTGGTCGTGGATTACACGATACAAAGCGGCTTGGCTATGGAGAGACGAGACGCCAAGCTAGCGCGACACATCATGAAATCCGTTTTCGAGAGCTAGAGCTCTCGCGCAGTCACGTCAATGTTTCTGAGCGCCACCAATGGTATGAAACTGCCGTAGGCGATGGGCTTGAAGTTAGATTCTAGTGGTATGGTATCTCAATCCTGAATCTTACATGAAATTTCGAAAGTTGATATATTTAAATTATAAATTATGGCATGCCACCTTACAGAAACAAAGCCATTATCGACCGACTAAAATCTACCAACTCAGATCCAAAAACTTACACCTGAACAAAATAACCAAAAAATCGACCCTCACAGTTAGTAGCGAAGCATCAAGTAGAAAATTGTGGCGTTGAACTGCATTGCTTGGCGGACTCGTGAGACTCAATATCGCTAAATTAATTTCCTACAGCGATCTGATTACCCATATCCTCCAAACATCCGCTGGATTTGCTTTGGCGAGAACTACTTCACGAAAATATTTCTTTATCCGTAGGGTTTTTAGTCTAGCCAGTCTGGCTAAGTTTAGTTGCGCAGCAAGCCAACGTTGCGACTTTATCTAAGCATGGGACATGACTAGATGGCTATGGGTCGCGGCCGACTTAGCTCCCAAGTGACATTTCCGAATACCACATACGTAATAGACCTAGATTTGAACTTTATTCAAAATTTTAATTCAAACCAGAATCAGCAGTTTTTTTTTTTTTTTTGGCTATGTAACACAGCACCAAACCGTTGGCCTGTGACCCCCAAAACAGATTTCTCAGTGGCTTGAGGGTCTCCTGTGGCTGGTGCATTGGACTTCGAAAAAGCCAACATGCAACAACGCGGACAACCTGCCACGGATTGCAAAATATGCCGATTTCTTTCTACCGGCATATTTAAATTTAAATATAGTCAGTCGTAGTCGTTTATTCAAGAGAAGAGAGGCTAGCCGAACTATATCAATATATTCAAACAAACCTATCTTCGCTTAGGCCCCAATTTCTTCATGAATTCAACCGTTGTAATATTTGTACGAGCAACTTGCACTTGTAAAATTAGATATCGTTGGTGCTCATTGGCCACACAAGTTGCCGTTGGCGGGTATTACCTACTATTTGCTATTGGCTCCCCACTGGCTATCACTAGTTGCCGCTGGCTACTATTCGCTGTGACCAGCTTGCTGCCCACATCAACAAAATTGAGATAGTTTAGAAAATAACCATATTGATGCCGTATATATCCCGTAAATGTGGCCCGCAAATCGAAACCACTCTTTTAAAGTCTTATTTGGTAAGTTAATTTCCTCCTTGATCCAAATCGGCCGCCTTTTTATTAATGAGTTAATTTAGATATAGGGTTATATTATATATGATATTATATCCTTGAGCTAGTTTAAAATAAGAATATATTTCTTGGGTTTATTTACTAAACTTCTATAATATCTAGCAGTATTATTATTAGGCATTTCTTAGGAACGTATTTCCTATAGCTATTTTGACATCTATTGGTGAGCTTTATTGTATTAATATATTGTGAAAGTTCTATATACCAAAATAGCAACCTCAAGTTCTGTGGGACCGGAGTCAACGTCTTCATCTTTGGCCTTTCATATATATACGCCCAGGAATGGAAATCTTTTCCATCCCGATCATGTTGTTCTTGTTTCTGCTATTAAAGGCCTTCTAGGCACTTTTATATTTAAAGCGGGCCAGGAACATTAATTTCGCTCCCAATTTCCAGTGGAGTCACATATAATGTTCCCATTACATTTAAACTATCCTATAAATGCGAAAATAATCTGTCATGTGCCTAAATACATACTGAAGTAGTTTGTGGCAATCTGAACAACTAAGTAGTGCCGTGATCTTCCTTCCTCCACTTCTCAATACATGCATCCTTTCCGAAATCCTAGATAGCTAGGACTAGAGGCGCCGCAATAATCAAAGTTTTAAAATCTCGGATCAATATCGCTGGCGGAGCAGTGGAAAGTGGATCTTCTTTCGGCACTGTTGGCTCGTCTCCCGTTTCTTGTTTGGTCGTAGGTTTATGTTCATCGTCATTTTTCGCGTTCCAGTATAAAGCATCCGAAAAGATATCGACTAAGTTCGCGACAGGGGCATCGGGTATACTCCATGCAGTGCTAGCAGCATCCCATTGAGTTTCTCCTGTTACCTCGGGGGCAGGTATCCACGCTTCATTCGGGCGTGAAGGCTTTGGCTCCGGGAAGTATGGTGGGGCGTCATGTAATCCAAATACTGGCTCTTTCATGTCTTCTATGGCGTTGTATTTCAATATCCCATCATCAGATCTGCTCGGATCGGGTGCGCTGAAGACTATTCCCGTTGGCACATTGTTCTGCACGTCCCCTCCGTTGAGTAATTCCGTAATCCCATTACCTTTGATAGCGGGGTCTTGGTTCTCATCGTCTATGTAACCATCAATTTGTTAGTTTCCCGTATGCTATATATATATATGAATATCATGGGTTGGAGCAACTGCTCTTTTGAAGGTAAAGCTAAAAACTTACATTTATCCCAAAGTCCTTTCGGGACTGACTGTGCTGTAGCGGAATAGTACCACTCGAATGAATTCATAGTTCTTCCCGGGATTGAGGGTGTAATATAGATATCTAGGGTCGATGTTAAAGCTTCCTTGATTTGCATGGGCTTCGCGAAAAGATCATTTTCGACAACTAGATCGTCGTACTTCTTGTCGTTGACATTGACACGGTTGAATGCGAAACGGCTTGTAACTGTGAATGAAAGAATACCACCTCGTACATGCCAAATTTCGTGTGATTTTGGGACGTTTTTGCCGTCTTTACTAGATGGTAGTGCTCCCTTTTTGCAGGAAAAGAGATGCGGAATCTGGGCTTGGGCTGGGTCACCTGACCCACCCGATGTAATACTTGTCCCGGTACCAGTACCGGTTTGCAACACCATCTGGTAGAACGCCTCCAAAGACAATGGCTTCGGCGCCGCAGATTTATCACCAAACGTGATATCGAAACCAAAGACCCAGAAGTCAACATGAACGGTTCCATACATTGGCGGGCCCTCGAGGTGAAGCTGTGCTTTGATTTCAACATTGATATGAAGCGTTACAAGCCACAGGTCCAGAGTGTATTTAACACCGACAGCAAGGCCTCCATCGCCCTGGAAATGGAAAGGTTGGTAGTTTATGAGGAAGTCGACGTAGGCATCAAACCAAGCGCTTAGAAGCCCGACGTTTAGAGCAGCGTGTAGTCGCCCTCCACCCATACAAACTTTGGGGGTTACCGCAAAGTAAGCCTCCCCGCTTATTGAGATACAGCTGCCCCATGCCCAACTAATCCTCAGTCTGTCGGGTCGTGGATAATGTGCAGGAGGATTAAATGCGGCATGGTAGCCTCCTACTGTGAAAACCCAGTCACCTTCGATGCCGTCTCTGGGTTCTTCAAGCTGCCCGACTTGTGGCTTCCACCAGTAGCATAAGGCGAACCCACCCGTGAGATGGCAGTCTGGGTGGAGAATGTAAGAGTTGGGGGAAAGTTGAGCTTCGCACTTGAAAGCTCCTGCCTGTGGATCAATTGAAGCTTTGATGCCCAACTCGATATGTGCAAACTTGACCGAAGCTTTGGTGTTTGGTACGTCGCAGGTGGCTACGGCGAACAGGCCAATTCGAACTGTTGGAGCCCATTGGACGACGAGTACCGCGTCAACAGAGAGGACTTGGAAAGCGCTAACAGTAAGACCGGCTGCTAGCCACATCGAACCGTCCTTCATATTGACCCATCCTGTCGGACCTGTTTTGGTTAAGGATCGGAGGGTGTTAAGCGGTGATTCTATAGCTCTGGTTCCCACGAATGGGAAATCTTTGACTTCTGAAACATCTGGCCACCTTAAATCGACGTTGTAGCCAAACCCACCGGTTATACCTGATATATCCGCAAAACCGAAAGATATCAAGGGACCGTTAAGCTTCAGGAATATGAACACGCTTGTGAAACCATCCGCATCCTCACGCTTGCCAAAGAAGCCTGCCGCCTGGAACATCCACGGCTCAAACTTCACTATAACACCACCCGCGTATATTGTCGTTTTTGTAGTTTCATCGTAAGTCTTCTCGAAAAGCCCAGCGACAATGACCGGTGGCCTATCGAATGCGATAGCTAGTCCGCTAATAGAGGGCTCTAGGTCTTCAAGTCGAATGTCTAACAGGTTTACCTTAGTACCATCTTCCCGCTTTCCGAACTTCACGCCGATCTTCAGTCCAAGTAGACCAAATTCTATAGGTCCTAACAAAAACTTTGCATCCATCAAGATAGAAAGCTTTTTGTCCTTGTATTGGAACCCGACATTTTCGATGGATAGCGGCCCTCGGCTTTTTTTAACAGGCGCAAGCTTGGGGGCTGTTGAAGAAGCTGGTAAAGCTTTAGGACCGGGAGTAGGATTAGGGCCGGGGGGTGGAGAAGGGCCAGGAGGTTTTGGATTTTTCCCTGGTTTCTCCTTCTTCCCGAAGACATAGTCCATGAGAACTTCCGATTCTCCTTTCATATTTTTCACCACCAAGATAAAATGCCATCCAGACTCCAACACAATCGTGGAAGGATCTAGGCTACCGCCCGAATTCGGTTTCTTATCCGATTTAAACATCATCTGATGTAAATTGAGTCCTTGCAAAGTTGAATTGATTTTTTGGATTTCTCCAAAAGTTACGCCCTTAGGCTTCCCGATATCCGCTCCCTTTCCTTCTGGTGATGTGTCTTGCACCCACAAGAAGAACATCTCATCAAATGGTTGAGTAAGATTGCCTATCATTGGAACTGTTACCTCTGGCAGAGCGGTAGCCGCGATTTTAATGATCCTTTTAGTTCCCGCGGGTATTCCCTTAGGAGTGATTGCCCGAATTTGGGTAAACACTAATTGGATCGGGTGAATTGTTATATGGGCAACAAAACATAAACTACCAGGATCGTCAGCTTGGGAAGGAACCTTCTTAAGGTTTAGTCCAATGAGGTCCTGAGTGACATTCCCATCTAATTTTATTGGAATTTCCGAAAGGAAAGGTGGTAGGAGGTCGTCTTCGTCGTCCGAATGCATGATACTCTGGATCATGTCACCAACAGTCGTATTGATTTTGGAATTGTGCTGGACATCAAATGTGGCCATAAAATCCCATCCCTTGACTCCCCCGGGGTTATATTTATAGTCAAGCTTGAGGATGCACGGACCAAAAACAATCTGCCCATCAATGGAGAACTGACTCATCGAACTTTTTCCTTTTCCCGTGTATTGGTATACCAAATTGATTCTCCTCAGAGTAATCTTTTCCATCACATCCATTACGCCATCTTGACAGTCGGCGTCGAATAGACTATATAAATTACCAATATTCAAATTGGCAGCCGAGCCTTTAAGGAGCCAACCAGAGGCGTTGTACTCGATGCTACCGTATAACTGCGATGGTTTTTGTATTTTTGCAGTCTTGGGAGGGAAGAATCCTGCTAAAACCTCCAGGACTAGTGATGGTTGCTTTTGTTTCCAGTCGTAGCTAAAGTTTAAAAAGACTTTACCTAGCTGAAATTTGGGGCTATCCGTCTGTTCTAGTTTTTCAGACACAATTTCCCCCATGAATTCTATGCTTGATGTTGTAATTTCAATCCCTGCCTGTGTGACTATTGTAGGAAGACCCTCCGGGATGGAATCAACAATGCCACCCGGGATGATTGTTCTGAGGTCCAGTGACTGTAAGGCTTGTTCGCCGGCGGAAGGTTGGAGATCATGATATGTTTCGTAAAGCGGCGCCCAGGCCATATTTGTCAGAGCTGGTCGGGGTTCTAGAACGGTAGGAATTAAATGTCAGTCAAGTGATATCTCTAGCTAGAGGGGATACCTGAATTAAAGGTAACTGACTAAACCAAAGACTCCCGCGCAAGAGGCTCTTGGACAGAGCAGACCAAGTATATGTCACCAAAAAAGCGAGATATTTCGGTTTGTCCGAGGGTGAATCGAATTTGGGTGCGCCCAACTGTGTTTGAATCTCCAAGTCAAATCTTACCGACTGGATGCCTGATATCTCTCCAGTACTCGGGTCTACGGCAAAAACCAAAGAAAGTTGTCGCAAAGAAGGAAATTGCACATTGTTTGCGACATTCTCGTCTTTAAGCAATTCGTCCAAATTTATCTCTTTTGAATCTATAGACAGAGCTCCTACAACCCAGTCTATGATATCTTTCAAAATATTTCCCTCTTTGAATAGTATATTCAGCTCGATAACGGTTGGTTGAAGACTTAATGTTGCATTTAGATAGGTATCGAGGATCTTGCAAGACAGCACGAAATCCAGCCGCGATTCGAGTACCGAACGTCTCGCTTTTGGTCCTACGGTAAGACTAGCCGTTTTCTTCGACACAATCCTCAAGTTATTGATATCAAAGTTTTTGATAGGGAGATAGTTCTTCAATGCACCCAGGCTATCAACTAGCGAGTTTCCCTTTGCGTAGGAGAATTGAAGACGCAGTACAGTTTTATAGTGTTCTCCTGGCATGAACCATAATGCATTTCTAGCTCCACCTTTGGCCAACGTGCCAGGGGTCTCGTCCCCGGGCTCGGGAATAGCTGCTAGATCAAGCTGCAAAGGTATAACTTTTAGTATATCTTTGAGTACTGGTCCCAGAATTTTTGTTAAATTGGAGTATTCGATAACCTCACCAAGGGAGGTGACTATTGGTTTGGTTTTTGTCAAATCAAGGCCAAAGACCATAATATTCTCGTTGGCCATAATCCCAGGGGCGTATATAAAGTCTGGTAGCGTCGGGTTTTCGGTTATTGGTGTCATATCGAAACTTGAAGATAGACTTGTAGGATCCGTGCTGAAATAGAGGTCGAAAACATCCCTTGTTCGAACTGCTACAGAGATAAACTCCTGATTTCCGTCCAACGTAAAAATTGGAGGGTCTGCCCAGTAGGACAATTTGAACCATTTAGCGAGTTCGTCAAACTCTGCTAGACCCATCTGCGTGGATGCTTGCAGAGTGTCTTCACTGAAAGCCAATAGTCCAGTTTCAATGCATGTAACAAAGGTGTCAAGGGGTCCAGACTGCAGGGCCTTTAAATTTGAAGAGCCTTGAGGCGGATCCAGGGCTGTACTCAAACAGAAAAAGCCATTGGTAGGGAGGGGAGTACACACCCTGTACTCATCCGCAATACCCGGGGGAGCAACTAAGATGGCATCGCCTGTTGCTGAGGAAATTTCCGAATCCATTTCGTCAGGGTTGCCACCGGGATAAGTCGAGATAAGGTTATCAGGAATCATGGGTACTCCTGAGCCTAATCTCTGGTTATTCAACTGATCGCCCCCTAGATATACCGGTGTTAGTGACCGAAAGTTTCTTCCATACCAGATCTCAGAGCCATCAGGATTCGTAACGATAGGAACATCTTCCTCATTAATAGTTGTATTCCTGGTGTCCGGTAGCTGTGTCCCCGTTCCCGCGGCCATCATCATGAATATATGAGGAGGAGCAATCGTAAAGGGGTTACGATAATAGTGTCCAAGCCAATATTTACTGTTAACCGCAGCTGCACCCTGTGTAATATACTTGAATGCTGATGGATTATCGTCAGAGTTTGAGACGTGAGTGACCTGAATCATTTCTATCATCCCATCAGAGTTTTGTTGTGAACCGTCAACAATCCACTTGCCTGCACCCGGTATTGCATGGAAGCTCGCAGAAACGTCGGACAAATCGTTCCACATCAGCTCAGATGCTTTGCCAACCCAATTCTCTGCACTTGGGTCTATGAGCTTTCCCAAGCCAAATTGTGTCTTCACATAAGCCACGAATTGCTGCACTAGATCTGCTGTTCGTGCCCGAGTTCCGAGCAAATTGTTTAGTTGCGTATAGTAATCTGCTAGTCTTTGATGGTAATGTGTAAATTCGGGTTTTTCGTAGGGGAAGTTATAATATTTATCAGTAAAGTAGTTCAAGTATGAACCCGGCCCCTTTGGGATTTCAAACCGTCCATCCTTTACCTTTCTTTGTATCCAATATGGGAAACACACCGCATGAATGGGTTTTGGGGAGCTGGGATGTTGATATTTTTTTACGCTGAAGTAGCTGTGCAGCATGAAAAGAAGCTCCCAACCTACATCGACCGTGGATGTTAGCACCGCAGCCATATATATCCTCACGCCGACATGTGCCTGTCGGTTGGTCCCTAGGCTGGATAGCTAATTAAAGAGAAAAGAGAACATACTTGGATGGCCATATGATACCCCGGAAGAAAATATGATGCTCTCGGGCTTCGCGATGTCGAGGAATTCAGGAAAAGTCGAACCTTTTGAGCCATGGTGACTAGCCTTTATAGTATCGATACTTTTGCATCTAGTGTATGTATTCACAGTAGAAGGTAGCGGGGCTTGGGTAGGGTCCCCCATAGCCCACTCTGCTAACTGCACTTCTGCCCCACCGTTGAGATCCCCGGCAGTGTAAAATGGGATTTTTATGTCGAAGTGTGTCCCCTCCCCATGTTTAACAATCCACATCAAGGCTATTGACGTGGAGTTTTTGTCATTTTTCCCTGATATGCGCAGGGGACTCCCGAGAATGTATTGGTCGCACCCCACTACAAAGAGACCTCTATTAACCTTATGGGTTTCTAGGAGATGAGCAGGAGTATTTTGTGCTGCCCGTGTAGCATCGTTAAAGCCGACGGGTGAACCATCATCGCAAATGTTCCAACCAATAATGTTCAAATAGCCCATTGTGCCTTTTAGAATGTTCTGGTACATTTGACCATCGGAATGCGTATAGGATACAAACATTTCGTTCGGATTGTTAGGGTTGTTAGGGTTAGCTAAAAACCCCCAAAAACCGAAAGCATCGTCCTCGGCATCAATAGGTTCCCTTGGAGCGATCATCTCTGTTGCGGGGACATTGTTAATGAAACGAAACGGCATGCGCTTGAAGTCTTGTTGGGGACCAAGTTTTTTCATTTCTTCCTGATGTTGTTGAATTAGAGACCCAATTCCTCCCCAATGGTCTCTATCCCAGTGAGTAATCACAACCAAGTGGAACATCAGATGTGTCTCGTTACCCTGAACTGAGCCGTGAATTTTGAAGATTTCATCCATTGCTGTGTATATGTTTTTCCTCGCTCTTGGCTCGGCGTGGTCGAGGCCGCCATCCACCAGGATGTATTTTTCTGCTTTTCCATAAGACCCGACCTTGACAATTATTGTCGCATCTCCAACACCGATGTTAACATGGTAAGTGATTAGCCTGTACTCCATTTTTGCTTAATCTGACTTCGTAATCAAAGAGAAGAGTTAGTAAATTCCGAATATTCTTTGGCTCTCCTCCTTAGTTTTCGGGGAAAGGGGTGAAAACAAAATATATCGTGAGTGTCCTACAAAAATCTATTGGGTAGTTAAACCGCAACCCAGAGCCTTACAGATGCTTGTTTGAATATAGCCAAGTTAGAGTTCTCGGTTCTCACCGCGAAAATCTATAAACTCATAAGTCCAAGCAAGATGGGTGGGAGATAACCATGGTGGTTGGCGTTAGCGCCAGCCTATGTCACAAACGTGCAGGTGCATGTGCATAGACTTGGATGCTGAATGTAGAAGTACCTGTACATGCCCGCATAACCCGTCGACGTCCCGCTCAGCTTGCAACCCGAACGAGACAACTAACATGGAACTACATGCAGAACGCCACCGGCACCAGCTAGAGGTTCAGAGCGATGGTGTTCATGGCCGCCATTGCATTGCATTGCAAATACAGGCCATTTCCTGTGAGTCGACATCTTGGGCCTTCCTTTAGCCGTTTTCTTGTGAAGTTACAACACTACACTCGTGCTCGCTCTCGCTCCAGCTCTAGAATTCGGCGTGTACGTTAGCTCTAGCTCTGCCAATTGATCAATTGCAATCGAAGACATCCTTAAGATTGCATTGCAATATGAAATTCGAATCACCGCGACATCTCGTCCTTCAGAACGCTAGGAAATACTTTCCAAAGCAAACCCTCATCGAAAATGATTCAAAGGAGCCATTGTTCGAACCTCTGTCGCCGGGCGAGGCACGAGTCTATTCGTTTGTCCAACCTGGTTTGCCGGCAGGTTTGTACACCATCAGCACCAAACAAACGATATCTGCGCCGTCAGAACCCGCCACCGGCACAACACATTCGGTCCAGCTGCCAGACAAAACAGCGCCCGCTCAGCAGTTCAAGGTCGTAGCCCCTCAGTTTTCTCTGCCAAATGGGGCCGTGCACTCGGTGTATCCCTCTCAGGGACGCGGTGCTCCTGTACAGACCCTACCTCATATCGTCTTCAACGATCCTTATCTGCCCTGGGAGCGGGAAGTCAGTAGGTTCCCAGAGGGTGCCACGGAGAGAACGAAACGAAAAGTCCCTTGGTTGGCACTGCTCGTATTCACAGCCGACGAGCTTCGTCTTCAAGAGGAAGACCTCGAGGGCACTTCGCCGCTATTTCAAGATGCAGTGTTTACAAAGCCCGTCAAACAGACTGAAACGTTTGCGGTTGAGATGAAAGCCGGCGATCTCAATCACTTGTCGAAGGAGACCGCAGCGTTTACTCTACCCCCAGATCTAGATTCCGAGGCCTTGGAAGAGTCGACGCAAGCGATATTTGTCCCAAGATCGCTTTTCGTAGAGCTAGTGACAAAATACGATAAGGAAGGTCGTTTGGATGAAAACCAGTCCGAAGCCGATATTTCCCGCTACATGTATCTCGCACACGTGCGCAGCATTAACACCGAAGGAATGGCTAATGCTGCAAAAGAAGACAACGGGTTGTACAGTGTCGTTTTATCTCATCGGGTTGGCCCGCTGGATAAACATGAGCCCACTCCTGTTATTGCGCACCTAGTGTCTTTGGAAGGGATCGAGAAAATGAGCTGGCCAGTTAACAGCAATAGCAAATATGTTGCTATTCCTTCGCTGCATAGTTGGTCCTATATCAGTCTCCCGCCCGATTTTGTTGGTATTCGGGAAATGATGGTTCATTTGGGGAACACCGTCGATGTCTTGAGAGTATCTCCGACGGTCCTAGACGGCTTACGAGTAAAATATGGGAAAGGTGGCGAGAGAGTCGTAAACAGACTACAGGACGGATATACTTTAACGAGATATAGAACACAAACTGGGGAGGTGACTGCTGCCATGATGCGGGGGCCTCTTACGCCTAACTTGGTGCCCGATCCCCTCATGTCGAAGTGGAACCGCTTAAAGTCGTTGTCAAACTGTGGAACTGATCTTCAGATTATTGATCAACATCTCGGAGTACCTGATATTACCTATTCTGCTGCATGGCAACTTGGGAAGCTACTCGCTCTCGCGGACCAAGGGTTCTGCGCCGCCCTGTCTCGACTCCGAAAGCAGATACAGAAGTTCGCGGACAATCATTCGAAAGCAGACGAGGCACGAGCAAAAGGCGCCTACCTCGATCATGGTGAGGCTCTAGCCGCTTTACCCGAGGCAGCTAAATTCATAAGATCAATCCAAGAGCCAAATCCGATCGAACGGTCCAAGGCGCCAGATCTCGTGTCTCGCCATTTTAGATATGATGCTGAACAACTGGATTTATCTCTTAACAATCCAAGCATCAGTCGGAATTTTGTCAAACACTCTAAAGCGATATCTACCAAACTAGCTAGTACCTCAGATGGCGGACCCGACGATCTATATAATGAGCTCAACAAACCCTACTCAACAGATTGGGTGGTTGTACTGGGTTGGGTACTCGATAGGATGTACCTCGATGGCATACCTGCTCACTATTTGATTGTGGATCCGTCATATCTGCCAAAGGAAAGTCTTCGGTTTTTTAATATCGATAGGAATTGGATAGATTCGCTTGTCGACGGCGCGTTGAGTATTGGGAATCTACTCGAAGATGACGACGACAAAGTTCGTACAGCTATTAAAGAGTCTATCAACCGGTATCTAACTACTGCAATCCCTGGTCTCAAACGAACACCCCAAATTCCGACGTATGGATACTTCCTTCGATCTGATATGGTTAGTCAATTTCCTGATATAAAAGTTGAGGCACCCCTACCGGAAGGCGCTATCGACACCCGGGCTCCCATTTTGCGGCAGGCCCTTCTTGACAACGGGATTATGATGTGTCTTTTTGATCGTGTTCCGGCATCCCACGAGTTTGATAAACTACGATTTACACAGCCTCCTCATCAGCAAAGCTTCATTGCCGGCGAGACAGTGTCTCTCTCAAAGTTCGAAACCCGCTACAAGAGAATTTACACAGTTCCAGATACCAAAGACCGTACCAAACCTTTCTGTGACGAAGGCAGCTGGGACAACGAGGATCTGAAACCCGATGACCAAAAGAGCAAAAACCCGCCCGTGCCTGTATTCATTTGGGGAGGAAAAGATGCGCCTGTGAGAACATTGCTACTTCACACTTGGGCCGACGATGTATTCTCGAAGCTATCCGAGAAGCTCAAAAACGACGCCCTAACATCACTATTCACCGATCCTTACCCCACCTCTACAATGACGGGCATACAATTGAACAATCCCATCTACGAACTAGAGATCTCTCTAAAACCTTTAAGCCCAAAGGTTAAGTCAGCGCAGTTGGCTCCCGAGGATGTGACGTTGCAGATGTTGGCCCCGACAATCTTAAGTAGTGCTAGAACCACACCGATATCTCTACAACAGTCGGTTCTAAACTTAGCCGCTTTACCGATTATTGCTTTACCAACCTCAAACCAAGCGTCAGTTGGGAGGACAGCAAACCCCCCTCCAAATCATTCTGTGATTCCAACCATGACAAATGAAGATAGGGCTATTGTCAATGCGACTAAGGGAGGTGGCCTTCAAGATTTTGCGTCGCAACCCCAATGGTCATATATGGTCTATGCTATGGACGATCCGAGCCCGCAACTGCGGGTTAATAAACACATACAGGTCAACACCGACTACCTACTAGACATCGTCTTTTCTATAAATCTAATTCCTGAGGCGGCAGCGGGCACTTTCGATTTACAGGAAATACAAGTACTCATCCCTATGGGCAAAATGCGCGACCCTGATGACCCGCACCGGGCAACTTTCCTCATGGAAAATTACACCGGACCTGGTGCAACCATGCTTACAAACCTGAGACTCAACGCAATGATCGAAAGGACGGACGACCTCTTAGTTGTCCGTCTGATTCCTCGCAGTGTGAGCAAGATGATCAGATTCGAGAAAGTTGAGACCGCTAGTTTTTTTTTGGGTATGGTGGATGTGAACCCTTACGAAAGTGATACTGTCGTGACAATTGAATACCTGCAATACTATGACCAATTTGCAAACCCTTTCCGGGATACTAAAGATATCATCTTGTTCAAAGCATAGCTGAGGGCTTATACTATATGCATTCGATGTAATTGCCATATAATATGCATGTACTTAAGAATCTATCCTGATAAGTTCGGAGCTGGTTCCACTTTTTGGGAGGGAAGCATGTAACTAATGCAATGGATGCACATACGCACATGTACTCCCTATGTGATAGTTTTCGTACGGGCCACGCTTTTAGCGCCAACAATTTCAGCTCCGACCGTGACCGCCTCGCCGCGAACTTCGGGGTGCTAGGATCGCAGTCGGAACAAAAAAAAAAAAAACAAAAAAAACCTTACTCAAGGCAATATATCACAAGAATGACCAAAGTTTCATGAGATATTGAGCCCAGCGACGTTGCTAGAAGGACGCTGAGGGCGAATTCGGCAACAAGAGAGCCGGGTGGCGTCGCTATTCAGCTCGACAGAGCCAGGCAAATGCATGAAGCACGCTGGGGAAAATAAAACTGAGAATAGCTGGTCTATGAGCTTCTGAAAAATACAGAGCCTCTGATAATGAAGTCTAAATTTTCTTATAAAACGGGATAAACCTCTATACAATGATTATCTGAAGTCTAACTGACAAGTTGAACCGAACAATTCACACATACCCTCATCTCTTTAACGAACCTTATTCATTTTTCTCCATCCCAAATTTCAGCGACAACGCAACCCTCCCACAAAATGTCACTTCCGGAGATGGCAGCTATCGCAACAGTTCTCAACCCAGGTAATCCTGGTAAGATCCTTACTTGGATGAATAGACCAGACAGCTCGCTCGGGCTCGAAATTCGATCGATCAAAGACAAAGATGAGGACAAGGAATACAAGAGCCCCGCGACTGTAGGGACTATCAAGAATCCTTCTTCGATCGCCACTTTCATCGTTGAGCACATGGCGAACGTCTATGCTATTGGAAACGATGACTTTGTCTATAGACTTAGCCCCACCATCGAGAAAATCGATGATGCTAGCGTCGCCGGAAACGCCGCCAGTCTTGCTGGTACAAGTGATGGGGAGAAGGCTTGGTTGTACTACTTGACGTAAGAATTGAATTATCCCTAAGAAGCCATATTACTAGCCACATATCTTTGGCCGAGGTGCCTTAATCTCGAGGTTGCCATAAGTCATATAACTAATTTCACATTTACTGGGAATCTAGAGGGGGCAAGAAACAAATCACGGAATACCAAGTCGACGACGGCCCAAATCAAACCCTAGTCAATGAGGTGTGCTACGAAAAGACTTACATTGCCGCTACTTACAATCCCGATCTGAAGCGAAGATGGGTTGCATTTCAGTTGAGCAGTGGTCAAATAAAGGTTATGAATCTTGACAAAGGCACCAGTAAGTGACTGAGATTCCTCATGAAAATTCTATACGAGCTAGGCTAGCCTCTAACCGCTGAATTATTTGGTAGATTATATCATTGGGGACTCCAGCCAATCGAAACTTCAGACACCTCTGGCTATGTGCTACGTCTCATCTGGCTCGGATAGTAAAGGGGGGATATTTGTTTACTATACGAATAAGGATGGCCAGCTACTGAGGGCGTACAAAACAACTGCCTTGGGCGACGACAGTGCCTTCTCAGCTTCTGTCAACTTTGGAAACGATGCGAGAACCGTCTCTCAATTCAGCCAAATTTCAGTCACCGCTGCTCCCGAAAGTAATATTGTAACATATATTAGTGGTGCTGGCAAGAATCGCAAGCTTACCAAGTTTTTGGATCTAAGGAGTTAGATTGGATTGTTGGATACATGTATTTTCGCTCGCCGAGCTAGTTTAGTCTAAATGTGATGAAAAGAAATTTCGAGACCTCCAAATAACATCCTAAATGAGCTTTGTATGGGAATCCCAGAAACGATAATAAGACAAGCTATTTAGATCAACGCCGGTTCAAAGTTCTTGATGGTGTGATGCGCGCATTACGACTCAGCTTATAATCGAATGCGGGGCAAAATTCCACATCAAGAGGAGAAATGTGGGATCCACGTATGATAACAACGGATTTTCTGCCATTAAAGTCAGGTTAAACTCGAGCTGTGGCCTAATCCGAGCTGAAGCTGCCGCATCGTGTGGGAGCTGGTTGAAATCGTCGACTTCGTCCGTGAGCTGCAATTGGCTGCCGACCCGGCTACGTAGGCAGAGCAAAGTTTTTGGTGCATGGTGGCGGTTTCGGGCGTCTTTTGTCTGGTTAGCCCGGTCCGTTCAACGTCCCGTCCCTAATTCGAATGGATAGAAGCCGTAGCTTAGGACCGTACCCCGCAGGTGGCTGCCCAACCCTAGTTATTCCGCAGTGCGAACCCTGCGATGCCGAACTGCGACCCGCTAAATTCTGCAACGCAATCCTTGCCTGAATCAAAGCTTAAAGCATACTAAACATGTACCGGTACTTCTGTCGAAGGTAAGAAAAAGAAAAGCCAATCGGGTCCTCCAGTTGGAGGGAAATGGTAGTTACGGTAGTTCTCTTAGGTCGTAAAGTCGTTCATGACTTGATCTAGAGCAATATCCGTCAGCAATCATCACCATATCCGTGCTTCCTTCCAGGTTATGTGTTTGGGTGAAAGCTCAGTCGAAGAACAAATCCCTATCAAAATCCAACAGTTGGAATTCCAATTCCAGCCAAAGGTGTTGTCAGTTGGACGAAGCCTAATTGTACTTTTGAAGACCGGTAACAATTGCAATGGCTCCAACATCTCCAGACGTCGCTCTGGTGCCGATGAAATTAGACGCCTTCGTTCTAAATACGGAAGTATGCAATGGCGGAATAAAAGACGCAAAGATTGCACCTCTCGCACAACCAAACTACACTTTTTTGCGGTTGAAGGGTAACTTCCTCCAAAACGATATTCTACAACATGCCGATTTGCACTTCAGCGCCCCTGCGAGCTCGAATTCGAGAGTTACCAATATTGGAGACCCAACGAAGCCGCTACTGCAAAAGCGTCTTGGTGTCTACCTACACTGGGTCCTACCTAGAGTTTATCGCTCTGGTTCGAAGACCTCTGAGCCGAAGAGTAATACCTCGGCCGCGGTTCCTACAACGACTCAAACCACTGCAACAATCCCTGGGGAATCCGCAGGAACTCTTCCAGATCAAACTTCAAGTCAACCAAAAGCTACGGCAGATACCACCGTTCCAACCTTTCAGGAGGTTGCAACACGATGGATGGTTATCCGCAAGATAGAAGATATGAGCAGCGTACCTTCTGGTACAGATATCACCGAGATGCAAGCGTGGATAATCGAGAGCAATCGACTGCGGACGCTTGACCACCTGTCTAACGATGTTGACCTACAAGTGGATGTATCACCATTCATTAGTACTACGGAAGGTGACGTAGATATCGAGAAACAAGCAGAAGTGTTCATAGGGTACAAAGAATCTGCTGCCACTTGGAATGAGAAGTCGGGCGGACCATTAGTTCCAAACGGTCCTCAATGGCTCGATAATCTGAGTTTGTTGAACAGTTCAAATCAATTGTTCGCAGATTATCAACCCCATAACAGCAATGTTTTTAGCATGGTGGACAACTTCGAGTATTTTCTTGACACTGACACTGAGAAGAAGAATCCAATGTATCTCCCGAAGCTTGAATGTAGCTACTTTGTAATCGGGTGGCACGAAAACACAACACGGGACCCCTTCTTCATCAAGCCGGCGGGTGAAGCCGCTGTAAATCTAGAAACGGATGCGGTAACAACTAGGGGTTCTCGAATGGCAGACCTGAATATGAAGCTAAAAGACATCACTGAGGTGTCTGGTCAGCCCCAGTGGCTCCAATCCAAGGACTCGACTCAGCTGCTAGCCCATGGGGCAATCTACAACGTTAAATGGGACGCAAATCACAAACCAGGAAACATTCCCGCCAATAAATGCGCTGAGAACATAGCAGATCAGTCCTCAGTTGCCGTTGGGGCCAGCCCCATGGATGCGCTTCTTGCATACGTAAGGGCACATCTTGATAAACACACGGGCACGGAACACGATATCGAGTACGCCATTCACAGAGTGCAAACCCTGCTGCAGGCCCGTGATGACGGAGTTGATGCGCAAAGGGAAGCAGCGGATCTTCTCACAAATTGGAATTTCTCAAGATTTGAGGGTGGTAAAGAATACCACCTCACAACACCCAATATGCAGAACGATTCACACGAGCCAGCCCAGCCGTCGACAGCTCAGATCGCCCTCTTGCAGAGGTTGAATGAGAAACAGGTTCTTTTGGATAGCTTCACAAGAGCGTGCAAAGATCTCCGATGGTACCTGTTTTCTCAATGGTGGCAATATTTTAGTGACTATAAGGCGACGGCGAATGCCCCAACATACAAAGAAAAAGTTAGACCTATCAGCGAGCTGCTAGCCAATCTCGAGGCAAAAACAATCCCCGATCTAGAAAATGCACTGAGAGGGACAAGGGAGCAACTGGAGGCACTCAAAACGAAAGTCAAAAGTGGTGTTAAAACTGAATTTTCGCAGGGTCGTGACCCAACGATCCTCGTGGGTAGAATTGCTTCTGGTTGGCCGGAGGACTTTTTGGAGACCTTACAAATTCGACTTGATGCAAATCTTGATCCTGTTTCCGTCGACTTTGACGATCCGGTGTTTTTCAAAACGTTCCTTGAGAGTTATTTCCCAAGCAGCCCGACAAAGTTTCCTGCCCGACTGCAGCCTGTGATGAAATCCCTGATCAGGGAGTTCATTCGCATAAGGCCATCAGCACCGAGTGAGGAAGCTTTTGCAGATAAGGACAAAAATTATGTTTATCCGCTTTACCATGACCAGGGTATCAAATATGTTTCCAAGGACTCTCTTTGGCGAGATCGTTGGAATGACACCCAGCCTTGGTTCCCACTCTTCTTAGAATGGGAGGTCGAGTATACTCACATACCCTTTAGCGAATGGGATTTGTCGGAGAGGAGGACTAAGACTTCATCAGCACAACGTCTTATGTACGGGATCAAGCCAAACAACCCTTTGGACCCAACTAAATTGACACATCGGAGGACCCTATCCGGTCGCAATCTCATTTTACCTCAAGCTACGTTTTCGCTTCAGGCAAAGGTCGATCAACTTCTATCCGACACGCCGCAAACAAAGCTTCGAGACTATCTCACATCTGACCAAGAAACCACCTTGCGAACAGATCTACATCAGCTTTCGTTTTTATCAGCGCCGCTATCTGGGTTCTTTGACCATTTGGTTACCCGGTATCAAGGTAGTCATATCAAACCCAACTATCGCGCGCCTGGGAAAACCCTCCAACCAATTGCTGAGGCAGTGAATGACGACGCCGGATTCACACCGAAAGTACTCAACCAGATTTCCGCAGAATCAGATCTGACACCTTATGGATGGTCAGTTCCAGTGCCAATGAATGAATCTCCCTTCAAGCCTGTGTCGCACGGACAATTTAGGATAACGAAACTGAACGTGATTGACAAGTTTGGTCAGGCGGTGCATGGGGTTAATCCAAAACCACTGAAAACTGGCCCACCTAATTTCTACCCTTGTATCAGTGATTTCTATGGCGTTCAATACAATGACTTAGAAATGGCGGATCCCAATATCGTTCAGAAGGACCCTAAAGGAGGCTGCCCTTTTGCACAAGTTAGTCCGCTGATTAATCAGCCCGCCCGCCTTAACTCTTGTTTCGTCAAGCTGGAGGTTCCAGATGATATTACCCCGAAGCACTTTTGGAGACCAGCAAGCGAATGGGAGAATCCTATATGGGGCTGGGTGGTTGTCAACTACGCCAATCTCGGTGTACAACTATTCCTGCACGACGGTACCTTTTATAGAGAGATCAGGTTTGGCGGTCCAACAGGGACACAGAAACTTCCACCGTGGCTTCCATTCGCGCCCCCTCCACTTAATACACAGCAGGACCCTCGCACAGAGAACTTGCGACAGTTTGCGGATAGACTCAATGATAAAGGATATTTACGGGGATTCGTTGCGATGCTGACGGGTGCAATGAAACATTCTACTGTGACACCCTCTGCATATGCAGAATTCCTAAATTCAGTTATAGGCCGGCCGTTCGCTCTGGTGAATATCGGATGGTCACTAGAGCTTGCTACTACTGCCTTCGATAACCAGTCAGCGCTCAATAATACGTCATCAAAGAATGTTTTATTGGAGCCATCGAACTCACACACCCAAACCCAGTACGAATTTCCGATCAAAATAGGAGATAAAGAAAGGGCTTTTGATGGTCTTGTCGGCTACTTTGACACGCTAAAAGAACCTGAGCCTTCGAATGAGGTTAACTTCGAGAAAGTGTATACTTTTTTTACTGACAAGGTAGCATCGAAGTTTGGGGGGCCGGAAACCACCCAGGGCGATTCTTCGGTGACAGCGACCGGCCCGGACCCTCGGACCCCGATCGACACTACGTCCTTTCCAAAACTGAAGGCCACTTATATCAACCCACTGAAGTCTTACAGTTGGTTTCGAACGTCCGAGCCAGACGGGCTATCCGTAGATCATGCGACAAAATATTACCGCGAGGGTACCTCCAACTTGAAGGTTTTCGCGGCGATTGCAGACCCTTTCGTACCAATCCACGGTTACTCCAGCCTATTACCCATCCAAGAGCTGAAGCTACCCTCATGGACGTGGCAAAAGGCGTTAGAAAACATGACAGCATTCTTTCGCGTTGGCCCTCTCATCGTGACAAAAGATGTACCGCGATATAATCCTAAACTACGACTGAAGCCGGGGTATGATCTGCAGAAGGATCAGATGCCCGAGACGGGTACGGTTCCACTACCGGCGCTAGATATGGCAGAGTGGGTTTGGCTGCAACCGTATATAACGGATGATAAGGAGGTTATAGAAAAGGAAAAACTAGATGGGAGAGTGTTCATGCCGATCGAGATTTCGAAGATAGACGGACGGCCAAAGTTTGAAGATGCACCATATACAGCCATTGAAGGTTTCTTGCAAATGAAGAAGCCACTAGTTCGGCCGCCCGAACAACCGAAGTGATCGAAGCTAGAGAATTGAGGTCTTTTGTGCCGAGCTTGATGTATACATATACCAGCGCCAGTCGCCAGATTTTCCAAATCAGCAAGTCTGTCCCGTACCGTATGAGTATGAGAAACCTAGTAGTTAACTATTGCGTTGATTTTAAGTTTTCAGGGTTAGCAGCATTTGCAAGGTCACCCCTAGCTTATAACTACTAGCTGTACTATGTAGTATGGTGGCATGGATAAATACAACCCGTGGGGCAAGGTTACCATTTGCGGGAAGAAATTTGGTGATTTCCCCTTTGCGGTTTAGCGAGGTCTCTGATTCTGAGATTGACTCGGTGTTAAGCTGTGGATCGTGTGGTGGAGAAGTACCTGCCTGACAAGGGGGTTTTCTTATCGACTGACACCGTAGAAAGGAGCCATGCTAATAGGTAGTTACACCACTTGTCTTCTTTCGCCCGCAACCACGACATATCAATGCTTACTACGTACCCAATTGCATGTAAGTGTGATTGTGATTTAATGATGTATAGACTTGGCCCCTTAGCTACTGCATAGATGTATATGTCCGCCATAAAGTGACCATGATCCTCATAGGGGAATATCCAAAAAAAAAGTAAAGTTTTATATAAATTTTGAGTGTTTATTTTTGTTTATATTGAGGTTTTGTTGATTTTATTATGATGTTTTGTTTAATTAGGATCACGGCCATTTTATTGCAGACATGTAGAAGAGATGTGAGCAGATCAAAACCTGGTACTTGTCGGGAGCGATCCCCAATTGCAAGTATTGGGAGTTCGAATTCCCGCAGAATTAAGGTTTGGTACTTGTGCATTGGCCACATACAGCCTTGTTGCGCCGCCATAGTATATATATTATTGACTGATGTTGCAACGACCCGAAGATGATGAACTCTAACCATTTGAGGTACTTCGATCATCATAACCAAATCGAGCCAACCGCCAAATAGATCCAGAGTTGCCTATTCTGAATAGAATTTAGAGTGCGTACCCTTAGGACCATCCATAGGATTTCTTTGTGACAGAAATACCGGACAAGAGGTGCCACGTTTCTACTTGGGACATGAGAGGTGCCGATATGCTTTGAGTTTGTGATTCTTCGATAATGTTTAAGAAGGTATCTGTGCTCACGAGGAAGTTTAGAGAAAGTTAGGAGAAACGAGTAGAAGAGAAATCGAAGGTTTCTCAGTTAAGCTGAAAGGAAATAATAGCAAAAAGCAGATGAGGTGATCAAGAATTGAGGGGGTGAAAGATGGAGTTTCGATAGTGGCGATTCCCGGGGTGAGACATTGTCTAGGAACCCATTTATCCTTTCAAACACTCTCTCCAACTACTCGCTACAATATTGCTTATTTAGGATTATTGGCAAGACTATCGAGGTTCGAAACCTCACGAAATCGACTTCCGTCAATGCTTTAAATTTGCCACCCCACTAGTGCACTATCTCCTGAATATATCATACAATCTCAAACAAAGCACCCCAATAATTCTCAGAATCCCACTTTTTCTTAATCTTCATTAACTTCTGAACCCTCTCCTTACCTCCAAAGATGATTTCGAGAGGCTCGTCGAATCCAGCGCATGCTCCATAGCAGCGTGGTTTCTCTGGATTGCCACATTTTTGGATCCAGATATCCCGGATTCTCTGAGAAAATGCATCTGCCTTGATATCAAGCGTCTCATCCTTATATATCGGGAAACAAACCCTAAATTAAAATTTGTTAGTGAGTACGCCGCCCTGATATATCAATAATTAAATGAGTAGCGGGAGACGCGATCGGATTCAATTTACAAGGTGGGGGGCCCTAAGGATGTCATCAACTACTTCGAGAAAGAGACTTACACCTCATACGCGATTCCTCGATGCGAATGCGGGAAAACAGTAGCACTGTCGGGAATAGACAACGATTTTGCCTTTGAGAACCGTTCGATTAAAATAGCCGACCCCTCAGCACCTTCAATTTTCGTAAATTCAGTCCACAAGTTCCAAACTTCCAAGAAAGCAGCTAGATCAAGTCTTTCAATTCCCATTCCAACACCAGGCTTTCTACCACCCATAGTGCAAATAGCATCGTTTCCTTCGTTTACCTTATTGCCAGGAAGAATCACCGCATTTTTTACAGAGGGCTTAAAGCTCGGATCAAGAAGCCGTCCCCATACCTTCTCCGCCTCACTCTCAGATCCGTAGTACCAAGGCATTACTATCAGTGATGGAAGCCCAGTGGGAGGAAGACAGGCAAAGGAACACTGAAGACTCATATTTTCATCCATCGGCGTCTTCGAAATGGCTTCTAAAATCCTCTCAAGTTCTGGGGCGCTGGGATCAGTAAAAATCATCGTACAATTCCATGATAACCCGTCATTTGATTGGGGGTAGGCCTTGATAGTGGCTTGGGTCACGATGCCAAACGATGAACCAGCTCCACAGATGGCCCACCAAAGCTCCGGATCAGTGACCCTATTGATGTCCTGGTGAAGTTTGCCAGAAGCATCCACAATATTAATAGAGAGGAGATTATCGATCCCCAGTCCATATTTTCCGGTGTAGCGACCGGTACCGCCATGCAGAAGGGTTCCAAGGACGCCAACAGTGTTGCAAACACCAGTTGCTATATAACAAATTCATGGTAAATTATAGTATCAGCATTTAATTCCCGACGGTAGCGATATATTTGATGAGGTTCGGTATAGGCCGCTTCGCAAACCTTACGACCACAATGAAATAGAATTATTGACGTTTCATAGAATGTAACGAGGGATTACATACCAACTTCAAGTTTCTTGGCCGTAACCGCCTCGACCAGCTCACCGATAATCGTGCCGCCACCCAATGTCACAGTTTGGGCAGTTTCATCGATTGAAATATTATTCAAAGTTCTCATACAGATGACAACGTCTATCTTTTTATGATTTCTGACTCGCCAATTGTGTCCTCCGCTTTGAGCGAAACATTGCAATCCTTTCTCCCGGCAGTATTTTACCTAGATATAAAAATCGCCTAGTTAGTAGATTGATCTATGATTTCTTCGTTTTATAATCACAGGTGATCTCTGGAAAGTCAGAAACTCAAGAGAAGGAAGCTTACGATTTCAGCAACATCGTTTTCAGAGCGAGGAAAAATAGTCAGAAGGGGATTTGGTGCTGAGGACTCGTCATATCTAATGACCTTTCCCTCCCTTCTTACAATCGTCGTGCCCTCTAAGAGACGTTGCTTCAGTTCGCTAGAATGTAATTCGAGATTCTCCATTCTGAATTGGCTACCAAAACGTTTCTTTCCTAATTAATGTATAGAAAAATAGTTATAACCGAGCTCATGAAGGGGGGAGGTTTTTCGGCTGGTATAATCCAACGATCTAAAATCATAACTCGCGATTGAGAGTGGATATATATTCCCTACTGTGTTTGCAAACCTTGGCAGACGGCAGCTGCAGAATTGAGTTTCGTGGCGGAGACAAAGCGTTTGAAGCTGCTCCACTAGACTCGTCACACTGCCGACCCGGCAATTGGATCCTTTGCTTATCCTCCACTAGTGATCAATTTGGAGCGGGGTCTTGTACCGATCTTAAACGGAAATTATCAGAAATTATTCTATGAACTCTAAAAGAGACTTCAGGCTAAGAGAATATGTAACCCAGCAAAGAATGTCGGGTGGCTCCTTATCCTAAACCTCAGGGAGCATCCCGTCCCGCCCTCGCGCTTGTATTAGGTTTTTTAAAGTAACGGGACCAGGCGTAGAAGCGAAGTCCTAAAAAGTAAGTTCGACGTCCGGTCCGGAGACAATTGGCGACAGTGGCAAGTGGGTCAGTAAGTTAACAATGTTGATTCCCCGCTTGTAAAAGTGATACAATACCCAGACTGTGGGGCTATGCATTCATATGATCATCGATACATCAAAGGCTACTCGGCACGTATGCCTTATCTAGTCAGCGTGATTAATGTCCCAGCAGCTCTTCGATCGATCGAAGGTAGGGATGTTTCACCAGCAATCCTGTTTTATTATACTTTCGAGCTAAAAAATAACGATGCAGATCTTTTCCGCCGATCTTAAGGGCAAGGACGTGAGTTTATGTAACTAAAGGGTTGATATCACACTTTGAGGGTCCTCTAGACCTCCTTTGTCAATTGCACGTATACGCGTACGTTAGACCAATTATTTATCATGTTCTCCATCTAATTATAACGTTAGACGTCTGGAGCTATACTTTGAATAACCGTAGCATGAACTTTAATTGACGACAGCGAGATACCCATTCACGCGTAGGCCTATGATGTCATTGCTAGACCCTTAGAGCCGGCTTATAGGCTCTTGTAGACCGAATCTATGCAGTCGATTCCTAAAGATCCCGGATTTCATGTAAATCAAATTATATCAACGGCGACATCGGCTGACTCAAGGGCAACAAACAATGTATATGAAATTTTTAAAATCTGATCATATTATTACATACAGGGTCCACCATGAATTCCAAAGTGGAGTAAGCATGCAGATGATCGCGATCGAAAATACAGTGAAAACTTGCATGTAGCCTCTGATTTATCTCCACTCAAGACTCCGTCAAGCGCAATGGTAGTCTCGTTCGTGCTGCTCAATCACTTTCCCATCATCAACAACAATATAGTCCTCCCCAACAGAAAGAAAAATGCTTGCGGCATCGGCGAAGACACCAGCGTCTGGGAGCAAAGTGTTCTGGTAGAAGTCATCCAAGATGGCATCGGTGAAATCCTTCAACTCACGGACGTAGAAGTCTTCAATTGCATCAAATGTTGACAAAGGCCATGCAGGCAAAGTAGTCGCTAGGTGTTTCATGCCGTCCTTGTTGATGTGCTTCTATTATTTACACTTAGGATATGCGAGAAGAGCCTAAGCGGCGTTTGGAATGATATAGTACTCAAGAGTTTAGAACTTACCTGTGCGCATTTGAGGATTCCATACCTCTTCATCCAATCAATGCACAACGGGCCATGAATATGGGCCCAGTACTCGTTGAATCTCTCATCAGACATACCGGGGTTTTTCTTGAATAGCATCGTGACGCGAACAAACTTTTCGGTGTTCATTTTGATACAAGTATACTTAAAAATAGAGGAAACTTCGAAGCTTCCTTTTTGCGCGAAAGTATAGGTTTGATCGATAGATATTCTTTCCTTCTGGTTTCTGAAAGATTTGAGATGACTACATTGAAGAGCGAGAGTCGCGCATTTATCCTAGATGATTCTTTGAAGGGCGTACCTAGGCTGCTAGCCGTACGTCCCTGATCTACTTGGAATATCAATAATCGACGGGCTTGCTATATTACTTTTCGGTTCCTGATGGCACATATAGGAGAACGGGATGGATCAAGGGTTGTCATCCGAAAAAACCTTATTTAGACAACCTCATTTGTGTGCAGCTCAAAGTATCTTAGGTTCGGATCTACCATTGGTCAAATGAATCCATCCGGGTAGCTTCAATCTGCGGGGTGAGTATCACAGTAACCAGTACTACTTACTTGAATTTGGGAAATCACCCGTTAAAGCCTAGTCAAATATTTTTTATTCGTTACTTAGATTCTTGGATTGGTGCCAAGATGTGGGGCTGGTGGCAAAAGCTTAAAGGTACATATACGAGGTCTTTAGTGCCCTTTAACGTTGTGGGTCGCTACGGAACGGCTGAGTGCTAGCTACCACCCATTGCTGCTTTAGCAAAAAGAACAAGTCGCCTCAGATATTTTATAGACGCATTGTTGACGGTTTAGATCATATTTTGAGTTCGAAGCTATCCTTGGCCACTAAAAATCGAGTGTCTCCACATGTGCTGGCTCGGAAAGGGTAGCCTCAAAATATGGAAGGCGAAATTTGGCCCGTATAGACATACCTGCAGCTATGATTTGTCGGCTTGAAGATCCGACCCTTTCTTTTCCAATGATATGTAAGTATATAGTCTCCATCTTAATCCGATTATAAACGAAGATAAAAATGTAGTTGTAAACAGGGCCTAAATTGTTTCGTACATAGGCATGGAAGAGTCCTAAACTATTTCTGTTGTTCGTTCTCAATCAAAGTACTCTTACCAACCCGTCATAACATAGATAAATGTTTTTTTTTTTGGTCGTAGCCTAGCGCTAGCGCCTGGTGGTCGCTCCGGATACTGACGAGTTTCCCGCGAAGTCTCGGATCAAGTTCGCGAGGCAGTTTCCTGTGATCAAATTTATAAATTGTACAATTGTGATACATCTATACATGATCTCGTAGCCCGACTTCAATGCAGGCTAGTGGAGCCAACTAAACCGTCATATACAAAGTACTTGTATATTTAGAGCTTAGTTTAATTAATTTATCACAAACGTCCAAACTCGACTCGGATATTTTGGTGATTGCTCTAACGGAGTTACACGAGGTACTGAATTTTATTGCATTACCCTCTTGACCAGCTGAGCCGAATTCGCGGCTGGTCCGTGTGATTGACGCACCGTAGTAATGGGTAGGAGAGGTTCTCATCCTGCGTGGACCACCTCTGTAGGACGAGACTAATTCACCATGTCCTCAAACCCAACTTAAGGAACCGCAGTAGAATACTGGGAAGTAAGTCAGAAACCTTCAAAGCTAGGGGTATATAAACAGCATCAATTGCCATTGTATTTCCAGTTTCAATACACGCCATTCATAATCCAAGGAGTTTGTCGTACACAGGATAATCCTAAGTCGACCCCGTATATATCGCTCTTCACTTCAGTCTACTATCGTCTTTCCCAGTGTTTTAAATCATAATCATGCCAGTTATTCAACGGGCTGATCGGTTGGACCCTATTCTTCCCAGTTGCGGAATGATATCCCTATTCCTACACCAAGTAGAAGAATCACCGTCCCAGATAGCTTATGTCGATGCTACCGAGGATGTAGTTGTCACATATTCCGGCCTTCTTGCGAAGGTGAAATTTCTTGCCTCCACGCTTCGTAAACGCGAGATTCCATTCGAATCACCTATTGCGATATTGGCCGCCAAAGGTATCAACCAAATAATTGCCCAACTGGCTGTGGTTTTTGTGGGGGGTACTTGCGTCCCTCTTGACCCATCTATCTCCGACGATCAAATTCAAGTCAGGTTGGACGATGCCCAACCGGTGTACTTGATTAGTGATGTAGAGAACCAACATCGCCAACTTGGAGGGGTTCCAAAAGTCACAGTATCCCACGAAAATCTTGACTCTCCTTCTAGTACAGGAGGGGCCGAAGATTGCATCCCAACTCCAACATATCCGGAGACCCGCTCTCATATTTTTTACACTTCCGGTACCACAGGCAAACCAAAAGGGGTTCAGGTCCTAGCTCGAGGTCTCTACCGCGTAAAGCGGTGGGCCAAGATGAGGCCTCATGATCTTGTCGGCCATGTCACCAATCCTACTTTTGATATTTCAACATTAGACATATGGAGCGCCTTGATGAGTGGTGCTACTATAGTCAATTTCACTAAAGATATCTTGAGCAGCCCGTTCACCTTTTCGGAAGCCTTGAAACGATCCCGTGTCAGTTGGATGGTTATTACCACCGGGCTTTTTAATATTGTAGCGTTTGCGTGCCCAGATGCATTCTCGTCCGTCGAGATCCTTGTTACTGGAGGCGAAGCGGCCAATAGCATGGCGATGAAGTTAGTACTGGAGAATGGTCCTCCTGGAAAGTTGATTAATGCCTACGGCCCGACTGAGTGCGCTGTATGGTGTACATACCATGAAGTAACCCTCGAGGAGGCTACTTCAGGGTGTATCAGCATCGGCGGTCCTGTTGTTGGCACCGATCTTTACGTTCTTAATGACGATCTTCAGCTGGTAGATGGAAAGTTAGAGACTATCGGGGAGTTGTGTGTAGGAGGCCCCTGTCTTTCGCCTGGTTACTTCAAAAGACCGGACCTTACCGAGAAGGCTTTTGTCAATGTCACAGGACTTGCCAAAGACGGCGAACCCAAGCGGGTGTACCGAACTGGAGATCTAGTGCGTTATAAGGAGCGTGGGTTGTTGGAATATATTGGACGAAAAGGTAATCAGATCAAAATCCATGGCTTTAGAGTTGAGCTAGAGGGTATTGAAGCCACCATAATCAAGCACTGCGCTGTATCCACGACTGCAGTCTTGAAAATCCACCCACCACAATCTGAGCCTGGGCAATCCGCGTTCCTGCTAGCTTATATTGTCCTAAAGCCTGAAGAAGCTGGTACTTTGCAAGCTGTCTCCGACAAACTGAAGGAAGTTCTTCCTTGGTACTCCATTCCTCGCCTCCGGATTATCGATCAGCTTCCTCTGAACACAAGTGCAAAGGTGGATCGTAAGAAGCTTGTGGAACTTTATTACTTGTCCTTAGAAACGCCGAGCGAGACAAAACCCAAGTCCAACCTCGAAAAGCTCCGGTCTATTTGGCTTCAGACCCTTTCCCAACCACCCTCGACTATCAAACCTAATGACAACTATTTCTCTTTGGGAGGCACGTCGTTGCAGAGCGCAACCTTGATACTTAAGATTCGTAAGGAGTTCGGTATTGCTCTCACTACAAATGCGCTCTACCAGCACCAAACTTTATCTGCCATGGCCGAATATATCGGCCGTGACCACAGCACAGAAAAAGACTTCGACACCAAAGAATGCATGCAAAACGATGCTCTTCTGTCGGAAGGGCTTGAACCTTTGAGTGGGCCAATTCCAGATTGGCGCTCAGAGGCTGAAGGGAACGTTTTCGTCACCGGGGCAACTGGGTTTCTAGGGGCATACCTAGTGCATGCTCTTATTCAAATGCCTGAAACCAAGAAGGTCCAATGTCTTGTCCGGGCAAAAAGCATTGACCACGGCATGTCCCGTCTCTTGGGGGCATTCGCGAAATATGGAATATCAATCGGCAAGCATGAAGAACCTTTTCTGTCGAAGATAGTCATCCTGCCCGGAGACCTTGCAGACCCCAAGCTAGGTCTTGACCAAGCAACTTTCGAAGATATATCCAATTCATGCGCGACAATTTTCCACTTCGGGGCTTTAGTTAATTACGTACAACCTTACAACGTTCACCGTGCAGCCAACATCATAGGTACCCTCAATATCATAAGATTAGCCGTCACTGGCCGACCCAAGTCAATCCACTATTCGTCTAGTTTCGTAGCTCATGGTCCTACAGGTCTGTTCAAAGGGCCACTAACACTCTCGGAAGATGAGCCTCTAGAGCCTCACTTGGAAGGTCTAATGTACGACCTTGGGTATTCCCAGAGCCAGTGGGGTGCAGAACAGCTGCTTTGGAACTCGATTAAAAAGGGCATTCCTATCTCCATATATCGCCCCGGGTTTATCCTCGGGCATAGCGAAAGTGGGTATGGGAATCCAGACGATTTCATGGGTCGTTTTATTATTAGCTGCATCAAAATGGGCACCTACCCATTGCTTCCCAAGCAACGAAAGGAGTTTATTCCAGTGAATCATTGCATCAGGGATATCTTACACATTTCATACTCGAATTCAAACCTTGGACGAGCCTATACTATCGTTCCTCTTGACCCTTCAGCTTCTGTGGAGTGGAACGATACTTTCGAACTGCTGAAACAATGTGGTAATTTCAAACTCCAAGGGTTTCCCTACATGGAATGGATCAACCAGCTCCCAGAGACTGTTGACGAGCGTCTCCAACCGCTGATGCCGATGTTTAAAGAGAAAGTGTATGGTGATAAAACAAGATGGGAAGTCTGGGAGAACATGGCTATCTATCAAACAGATAACACCCGTGCTGCAATTGCTGACTCCCAGAACCCAGAAGGTTGTTCGCCTCTCAATGAGAGGCTACTGCGACTTTACCTCCAAGGTTGGTTTGAACAGACCGGAAACTCACAACTGATGAAATTTATGGTCACACCTGGGAATCAATACTAGCGGTTTTTTCTTTCAGAATTTGTTTTTTTATTCCAAAATTTGTTTTTTGTATTCCGGAATTTGTTTTTCATTTCAGAATTTGTTTTTTACTTCAGAATTTGTTTTTTATTTCAGAATTTGTTTTTTTACTTCAGAATTTGTTTTTTATTTTAGCTCATGCAATTGCCATATTCGAAACCAGGTACTTATCCCAATCATATGATCATGCCGGCCAAACCACACTTGTCTAAAATCTAAAAGTGCCACACCATTGCGTAAACTGGAGGGAGGGATAAAACCAGGGACACAATATATCGGTGCGCAGCATGGCGGAAATATATTACCGAATGGTGCATATTCATATTTATAATTTTACAACGTTGTACCCGGTCGAGGCCTAAGTTGGCCACTTAAGCTCTTGAACGTGTCTGCCCAAAATCGGCGTGCGCCACACTTTGATGCAAACGAAATGGGGCATATGTGGGGCATCCTAAATACAACACCAACAACAAACTTGAGGTGTTCGGTGGCAACACAAAGCCCGAAGATTGGTTTTCTGGACTTTTGTGTTGCGGTACCAATCTTGGGTCACGCTATGTGGGTGAGCACGAGAAGGAAGCTTTGGCATTATACTTACGTGAATTCTGCCGCTGAAAAATGGGCGCTCCGCAGAAAATGTTCGTTCCGGAGGAGGGCCCATAGCTACTTCATTATATAGGGGAAATTGAGAATATTAAAGCCCCGCGACCGAAGCGCCTTCACACTTTCGTATAGGATGTGCACCGCCTTCGCACTTGATGTATATCCTGCAATTGTGTACCGGTACCGCTCTACCGCCACTTGGTGCTGCTATCAGCACGATGGACACCTTCGATTCGTCGATGGTTGGTATCCCTGCTACAACAGGGTGTACTTGCAGTACCGATTCTGTATCTGGAGACCGGAATCGCAAGCCTACGGACGTTTCTCGCCACGTGTTGATTGTCTCGACAAGGGTGCACGGATCCAAAGTACGATACCGAATCCGAGCAGCCATATTTATTCCTTTTTTCTTTCTTTTCTTCTTAACATCGAGACGCTGCCAAGGATTTTATATACGCTGCACAATAGGTCATGCTAGCTAAGGTCTTTTAAGGTAAGGCGGTATCGAGAGCCCCAGAGGATATGCAGATGAAATTGGAATAAAGGGCGAGAGTCATTGAAATCGATCGTTTCGCGAATTTTAGTATTGTCGAGGCATACATGTACAGATATTCAAAGACCTTATAGGTACAAGGTTAAGTAGATATTAAGTAGCGCAAGGGTTGATAATCAAAGTTTGAATTTATAAAACGAACTTGAATCAAAATGCACAAACATGATTTCATCGCGATTTTTGACCTTACAGGACTTTTATAATTTTACCGATCGCGCTGGTCGGTCAACCATTGATCAACACATCTTTGTAATGTTGGCCTCGGGGTATACAAAGGTTTATGTTTGTATGTATATCTACGTTATTCCTGCTTAAATTTGGTTTCTTTATGAATATTAATACGTACTAGGAAGGTACATTATATTATGTGTTTCTGCCAATCTAATTGCACCTCGAAGTAGGGAGTAGTGCACTTGGGCGCCTGGATTCGAGGGACTTCCACCAGCTACCAGCCAGCAGGTTCTAGCGCTCTTTGGCCAGATTTCTTTAGCAGTGCTGCCATCTACGTACACAACTGTACTAGTATATCCCTCTCGTGGAGTACGATTGGAGTACGTATACTAGGTAGCTATAGCTATCTTGGAAAGGCCATAGATGTACGTCGTCACGTATCTAGGCCTACGGGCCGGTAGATGGGTATTAATATATTATAACCGGCTTGCTCCGATTCTGCGCTACGCCATCCATTGGCCAGTTAACTACCATAATTAAAATATAGCAACCGGTATTCATACTAATTAATCGTCCCGAATTATACATTATTCTGTACAAGCAGCGGGTCGTGGGGATAATTATCAATAACAATCAACACCAATCTTAGAAATTCCTTGCGGCTCCAATAATTTCCGTATTAAGCTTAGTGGATGAGCTAGGCAGTGATTGAATACTAACCCAATTGCAACTAAGGCCCTACGACAACAACAACTTGTTCCCAAGCCCAACGCCACGTGAACACCAAGGTGTTATTGGTCGTGACTCGGGTACTCGCTTTGGGTTTTGCTTCTTGGCCTCGACCGCTCGAGTGATGGTCGAGCCGGTAGCCGGGATTGAACTATCCGTCATTACTGAGTTCGGTAATTTGGGTACGACTTGTCTTTCTTGAATCTGAAATCAAAATACTAGATGCCAATGAACTTTGAGAGCTAGAGTTTGTCTGGGTATCGTACCGATCTTCGGTATTGTCGAAGCCAAAACCAATGTACCGAAAGAGCTTAAGAGCTAAGTTGCAGTTGCGAAGGGACAAGCTAGATAGAAGCTTTCCCCGCATAACCTATCTAGTTCTCTAGGCCCTACTAGTTGTCGGTCATAATTGCAATATTGAGCTGATATGGTATCAATGTACTGAAAGGGTGCCCCGGGTAGGTTCGGGACATTGGCAAAGCTTTCTTCGTTCATCCGGCCAACCATCAATAGCCATCAAAAACCCAACCTGTCCCTCGGCCAGTGCTATCCTAGTTAGAACGCTAGAAAAAAACGAATAATGCAGCCGAGAACCGAATAATGATAATATAACCATTTAAGTTGGTAGCGAGCTATTGATCAACGCTAAATTTAAAATACTTAAGTACTTGTTTGGGATAGGTGTCGTGTTTTCCTGCCAATCGGATATCCAGCACCTGAATTTCCGTTTCATACCTGCTGAAGAAGCCGTTGGCTATTGTATCTGTAATAAGAGTTCTTCGGCGGGAAGTATCGGTTGATTACCAGCATCGCGCGCGATCGCATTCCGATTTCGGCTATTTCGCCGCGATTATTACAGTGCATGCATGAACTGTTTATGACAACTAAGACATAATATATCAGAACTAACAAACTATATCAGGATTACATGTCCCTTGCTGTAGTGCACTGTAGCCATAGTCGGCGCCAGGCTTCCGATAGGCTAGTGATTTTATGATATACATGTGTGATAACAAACCCTGCCTTGAAACAACTCGGGGTTATAATACGTACTATAGTACTATGGTACTGTCATCCGATCTATATATTGATCATTATGTTTATTTATTTCAAGTACACCTGCAAAAGTAATCTCGTATTGTCGCTGCCGCTTTCCCGAGCGAACTTATCTTACTTCGAGATGCCTTTATCGATCATCTGGGGGGTTTTAGAAATGATTATGATTCGTGCTAAAGATGGTGATCCACGCTAGCCTCAAATTTCAACGCTATCGAGGCGCTGCAACTGATGACATTAAATTATAAACCTTAAAATTTGTTTTTTGTGGCACCAAGTTCCCGTGTGCTCGAGTTGGCCGCTATTGCCGATGCATAAACTGTGTGGCCGGGCCGACTTCACGAGATCTCAGTTTATGAAGAAGAGCTCGGGCCCTTAATGAAGTCCCACCTTAAGATGTAAGTACTAATGAAGATTAGATCGCTCCTCCTTTCACCATGTCTAAGAACGAGATCGGTTAGATCCGACGAGAGCGACATAGTGCTCTTATTGTTTATGTTAGGATATAGGATTGTCGACGCGAGTGGCATTCACTTCAAGTTTTGATCTTTCGATAGGCTTCTCAGTTTTCTGGCGCTTTTATGCGAAAAAAACAAAAAACAAAAACAGAAGTTTTGGATTGCTGAAGTTAGCTATGGGGCAAAATCCCGGTGGATGAATCTGGGCGTGTGACTGAAGGATCAACATATGGAAGAACTGTTCTAATTTCGTCCAAAACTTACCGTAAACGTTTTCATAAGCGGCGCTACAACTTTGAATACCAGGTATAGGCGAAAGCTGTTTTCGATTTCTCAATTTACTTGTGGTCCAACGTGATAATTGAATATCATAGCATAATGGGGTCGTTACTGCATCCATCACCATAATATTCCAAGTATAAAAAGGACGAACAATGGCGGTTTGAGAGATGATTTCTTCCACCATCACAGCCTTTGTCGATCCAGCTCCAGGCCTACTTAGTAGATAACATTCATTCTCGCTTTGTGGCTTTTGACCAGTTTCACTCATTCCCTGAATCACTCTTTTGTCCTACCTACTACCGCCATTCATTTATAAACAACACACTCTTTTGATCAATCAAGATGCATCTTTCAATCCCTTTGACCCCACTGGCAATCGCTCTCTTGGGCGTTTCCGAACTCGTATCTGCCCACGTCGTCTTTGTTAAGGCCGTGGGAAGTGGTGATGAAAAAATTGCTGGTTACGGATTGGGTTATGACGCAAGCAACAAACGAGATAGCGGTGGTTTCTTCCCTTGGCAGAAGGATGTCACAGTTTTCGACCACAAGGTCGTTCACAATAAATGGAACAAGAAATATATTCACACTGGATGCGGTGTTACCACGGACTCTCTGGTTACTCAGGTCCAAAGAGTCGACCAAGCGGGTTGGATGCACGTAGCTAATAAAAAGAAGGCATGGCCATGGCCATGGCAGGACACTATCGCCGGAGGGTTTAACGATATCAAATGGGGCATTGACCACATGGCTTGGTTGGAGTGGGGCAAGAAGACCAGATTTGATAACGCTATTAAGCAGACTCTCAATAGTGGTATCCCCAAGGTTGTTCCAGGTGGAAAGGTCAAGATCACAGCCTGGCAGGTCAACCAGGACGGCGGCGGTCCTTTCAAGTGCATGATCGACTACAACGGTAACGCTAACCAGTGGACAACCGAAGGCTTGCCAGTAACCACAAGCTGCCAAGGTAATGCCGACTCTATCCGCCCGTGGGGCGCCCCAGCACCATGCGAGATCGAGGTTACGTTACCCGCGAACTTGAATTGCGTCGGGAAGTACACTGCTCAAAGAATTTGCATTCTTAGATGCCAAAATCAGGCCCATGTATGATATGCCTTAAACTCCCACACTGTATTTGAATCCATGGGCATTGCTAACGGCTACTAGAACGGTCCCTTTGGAGGATGTATTCCTCTCCAGCAGCTCGAGCCTACTCCGCAGAAAGTTGTACAAACGAAAAAAGTTCAGGTTCCTGTCGTTAAGCCCGCCGAGACCGTTGTACTCCCTCCTAAGGTTGTTACTGTCACCAAGGATAACATCATCACAATCATCCAGGGTGGTCACACCAGAGTCTCCGTCCCCACAAAGAATAACATTGTCACATTGACTCAAGTCATCGAGCGGCCACCAAAGACCGTAGTCGAAGTTCAGGAAAAGACCGTTGTTATCGAGAAACAGGTTTACCCCACGAAGGTACTTACGGATATCGGAAAACCTATTAAACCTTCCCCCAGACCACCAACAAATAGGAAGCCTACTGAAGCAGAGCTTAAAGCTGGTCTCGGTGGCGAAGAATATGATGATAGTGTCATCGAGGAACTCAGGAACGTCTATATCACTGATGAGGAGAAGCAAAAGCTTGGGAAGCAAGCTAGTCAGAAGAGCTCATACTATAAGCGAAAGCTTAGGTTCCGCCGAAATGCTGATGAAGAGTAAGAACGCTTCTCGCGTTTCGTTCTATATATGGGGTTTTGGAAACGGAATTACCTACGAGAAAAAACTTGTCGAGACCTAGCTATGATGTAAATAGTCTTTGCCTCTTCCAAAGTTCTTTGTTTGCGTGGCTCGCAATTGTACATGTATATAGAATTGTATGCTACAGTTCGTGTTCCATGAAGTTCCTTGCGATATGCATGGGCTATTTCAATTATTAGTATTGAGCTTCAGCTTGTCCCATGTATCACTTCCGCTTAAAGATATATTCGGAAGCAGAACTTCTTTACGCGCTTCCCAATCGTGAATCTTAAAGTTGAAGTCCTTCTACTAGTATTAAACGGTCCTCCGTGGGGGCTGCGAATCCAATGGTATTGATGAATACTAGTATTCGAGATAATTTGGGAAAACTTTATAACAATACAAAAAAAAACTACTTTCAGAGTCACGCGGACGAATCTGTATTTAGACTTGTGTAACTTAGTTCTGTACTGCAACGCAGCCACACCGGGGTGTAGGTTTGGTATAGCTAGTATGCATATGCACTACTACGCGAAGTCTTTTTTTATAATTATATAATTTTCCCCGCCCTTTAATTCTTTTACTGAGTGTTGATATACGTAGGGGCTATATAGCTGCTGGCCGTGGGACTAAGATCTATAGACAATCTTCAGATCGAAGATGATATCATAGTGCAGGGAGCTTCCGGGTCAATTGACGTCAACGCCATCTGTATGTTGTGCTCTGCTCTGTTGTATTTTGTTTATGCTCGCTTCGAACCTGAGTTCGCAACAGCGTTAGTTTGGGGCACTATTTTCACGAAACCGTCCCCCAAAACCGTGTTTCATTGACACGAATTCATCTTTTTGAGGGGCCCCTAGACTATTCCAAGTTATGATTGTTTTTTAAAAAAGGAAAACTGGTTTATTGAGAGGTTCTTCGTGATCCATGCAACCTTCTCGTGGGGAAACATAGCGAGTCAATTGATCAACTTAAACCTGATATCGTCGGCAAGAACATGGTCATAACTCGATGTTAGAACTTTCATTAACGTGCGCAAGTGGGGTTCAAAACCAGATAACCAGCGAGAATTTCTGCTGGCAGTTTTATTGCAACTAATTCTAGCTAGTCTACATGCATGGTTTTAAATTTTAGTTTACAAAACGTCGGACCGATCCTACCTCGCAAGCCAGCAGTTCGAGGTTCCCATTTGCCGCAAAAATTGGGTTCTTCTTGCTAGCAGCGCTGGCTTGCGAGAGTATACGCATACAAATTCCAAAAACATGAAAAAAAAAGGAAAACAAAACGACTTCAAAAGGAATCTCCCTGTCAAATCAGATCACAGAAGTTTGGGGAATTGTACAGGGATAAACTAAACGGATCTCCGTCGTTTAGACGTTGGGACAGTAAGCGTCGATGTTGGTTGGACCGCTAGCCAACCAGATCGCGTCTTTAACGCATTTAGCTGGGTGTACCAGATCGGTCTTGAAAGTAGCCCTGCCGTTACCATTGGAGCCATTGTATTCAAATGTCCAGTCGGTAATAATACCGCACTGTCCACGAAGGTTGTCCAAAAGGCCTCGACCCCAATTGCCTCGTGTCCATGGACCCGAAGTTATGATCGTGAACTCCCGCCAAGGTGCCGCTGGTGAGCGATAGAAGCATGAAGCTCCATTGTTTTCTCTGGCTTGTAAATTGTTGACGGAGTTGTCAGCGACTGGTTCAGCGGTTGGTGCGGCGGCGACAGTGTGAGCACCGATAGCGCAGGCAGCAGCGAGAATGGAGAACTTCATTGTGATATTTGGTATGAATTTGGTCTTTGTAGAGGGTAAAAAGTTTGGGTTCGTTTTGTATCAGACTTAAACTTGGGCTTTTGATACTTTGATTGACAGGGTACGAAAGTAGTATTAATTATACTAGTAGGTTGATGAAGTGTATTACTTGATGTTGATGATGATGCTTCTCAAAAGGCAGAACTTCGATTGATTTATATACTTATCGGGGATCGTCAATCCACCGTTGCTATCATAAATTTACCGTAAATAATTTGCCCCGATGAAGCAAAGAAGTTGACATCTCGTAACCAAAATATTGCCCAATCTCAATTTAGAAGAATAAAATTCTGTCACCATATATCGCAGAAGCTTTGAAGTTGAGATTATCCTGAGATATTAGCCTAAGATAAAATGAATCAGGCGCCGTCTAGATCTCGGTCCTTACATCGCCTTTGCGATTGAAGCGGCGATATATGAGAAGCCGGCGGTATTACTAGCTTAGGGAGGCGGGTATATGTTCGCCTGCGGCACAGAAGCTAGACGATGTTGCATTCTGTACTGAATGGGAAGGTGAGACGACAGCGCAGCTGTGAAAGCCACCCTGGGCCAGGTTCGCGATGAGCTTTTAGGTAAGCTCCTTATCCGATCTTTTTTCTGCACCCCAGGAAAACGATGGAGGATTTGATATAGCATTACAAAAATGTAGCTCCACGTGTCAGCGTGGACAGCATCAATAGGTATCTCGACCAGCAACACAGCAAAAGTCACTCGCCGTGCCAAGCGTAACACATCCAGTCTTGGTATTACGGACCCGTTTTGGGCATGAACTATTGATGCCACGGTATTGTATACATACCAGCATCATATCAGGCCTCGTAAACGGGGCGAGGGTCTTACAAATCCCGGCGAAACCGTCTGTATCCCTTGCTATGGAAGTCAGTGCTTTGGGCTGAAGGATCTACGCCTAGTTTTTTCCTATAAGCCGGAGTGTATATAGAACAACACAAGCTTCCTTGGCTATCTAATCCCGGACAGTGTTGCATGTTGCATTTCCCGTTAAGGCGATATATGCTCAGTCTCGACACTAAACCAGCTTAGCCCCGTAACCAAACCATGGCCCAAATATGTCGGTACGACACTCTACGAGATTATATATCGATGATGGTGAGCCGAGATCCTTGGGGTTATATCACTACAGCAAATAAAAGGCCATTTTAATCTTTTTTTCCAGATTACAATTGACCATTGTTCAGGATTCGAGAGTCGAGGTACACCAGTATATTCGGTATTCCTTTGTGAAACCACCTTGCTCCGTAGCATGCTGTGTAAAGCGTCTTAAACTATAAATATAAAAGCGATTCCAAAAACCCATCAAAAGGTCTTATAGTGAGATATCAGTCCAATTTTATATTTGATCTTTGCAACTGTAGGATCTTCCAGATTTGACGAACGCAATGGCCAAGATATAACATTACGGTAAGATCAAACGAAAATCAAATTCTACACTTCGCTGACGTTAAACCATAATATTTTCGCTAAATAGGAGTTAATATAATTGATAAAAAACAAGGGTATATAGAGGAGACCCGCGGCGGAGCTTCCTAGATCTGAGCGCAAGGGAAACTATTAACACTGCGACATCCACTAACGTTATAACTCTGGATATATGGTAAAAGTTGAAGCAGGATGCCTCTCCTATGAACTAAACCTCATTTGTCTGCTTATGATATCTTTCTAGAAGCGCTTTAGTAGCGGAGGCAGCAGTAGCAGCAGCAAAATCCTGCCACATCTTGTTTTTATGACTATCCGAGTAGTCACAAACTCCTTTGATAACAATGCATGAAAGGTTGTCCCAAACCCCAGCACCCTCCATTTCGAAGGCGATAATACCGTCCCTCTTCGCAACCATATCGCGATGATTACCGGATTTCATAACCGTATCGCCAGATGCAATTGAACCAAAATGGATTGCCGGCCGGGGTGCCTGGTCTTGTGATTTGTGTCCGTTGCGGGTGAACCTACTTTCTGCCACGTTTTCCCTATTAAAAATGAGCCTTTGCCTCGGTACTAGTTGAGTTTCGTCACAGCTAAGATTGGTGCACAAGGTCCCGAGAGCTTCTTCACAGACAGGATCTTCGTCCGAAGCACATTTAATACAAATATTGCAGTTTATGGAGCCGCCGTCACGGTGCTTATGTCTGTATGAAGGCTGGAAAAGCTTGTCCTCCATTTCTCCTGGATCTGTAAATCTCCCATGCCTACTTTTTATTTGGAGAGCAGCAAGGTGCTTGGCAGTTTGTCGCTGCAGACGGTCCAAATGAATTTCGGTTCTTAAAGTGGCTATGAAACCAACGATGTCTATATTCGGCCTTCCAAGAGCATCTTGTCGACTATCTTTCCGTTTAAAACCGTTGGGCAAAAGTCTTCCAAAGTCGTATTGGACAATGTCGTCACTTATTATGACATCTCCAAGTAGGATTTCTTTAAACCTTCCTGAATGGTCCTGGTATCCTGGTATGCCGCCGCATATTCCAACTAAGAGAGCAAGCTCCACTCTCGGAAAGCTAACGCGAAAATTAGCAGCTGTACTAGCCGCGTTGACCTTCCCCATGCCCGGCAGAAGTACTAGAACAGCGTTGAATCTACCAATTCTTCCTGTCGTATAAGTATTTTGATCCCTGGGTGCCTTTCCAAATGGTTCATCATCTTCATCCCAAAACTCGTCGAATATCAACGCTACAGCATCGAACTCCCGCCGTAAGGCACAGAATATTGCAATTTCAAAGTCGCTCCGTTTGAGCGGACGAGGGTGTAGTGAGTACCTTCCATCGCTAGCCGTAAGAACTTCGGCTCGAGGCGCTGGAAGGCCGCCCCTAGTAGATCTATGGTAGAATTGTGGGCGGGTAGTTCCGAGCTGTAAATATTCCAAAGTTTCTAGGTTTTGATTTCCAACAAGACTCTGGGGGGCTTGGCGACGAGCTTTCTTTGTCTATAAACTCCACAGGAAAGCCCGGCGTTGTAGGCCGAGTAGAATTTTTAATCTGTGCATGCGTTATGGTGATATTAGATTGTCTCGGGATGTAAGATTCGGCCAACGGTTGCTCGGAACTGATTGAACGACACCCGATTCGAAGATTGCGCCGTACAAAAAGCTTCTTGTGGTTTCTTAAGGAGCAGAGGTTTCGCTCGAGATGCTCAACCACACCTGTGTACAGGGTCCTCCTGATTTGATAGTCAAGCTTCTTTTTACGCTCTCGCCTCTGCATGGCGGTTAGCAAATCTCTGAATTGAAGACATCCCACAATGGCTTGGTGGTAGTGCCCCCGAGGTCCATCTATGCCTTCCAAGATATCAGAAAGGGCGTCTCCGATATCCTTTGTAGGATCCACGATGATCATGTCCCCTATCTCAATCTCAAGTAATATGCGAGCAAATGACAACATAGTGTTTTCATATCTGTCAATTACTGGCTCCGTTTGCTCTAGTTCCCTCGAGGGCAAACGATAGCATACGTATGGGTGATGAACGTCTGATATTTCAGCAGGAGTATCTCTGTAAAGGAATTGAATGGATCCTGCAGTCCATGGACGTTCTATCCATCGGCTTTGGAAAAGATGAAGAAGACAGCGAGCGAGTGATAAGGCTAAAATCGCCTTATCCGTAAGTTTGAATGCGCCGCCAGACGTTGGATTCTGAAAAAATCCGCCTCCGAGAAGGCTCTCAAGAGACATCATGGGGAAGGCATCGGAGTGAGTTGGCGCGCCTTTAGGGGTTGCGTATAAGTTAATCGTGTCAAAAGAAATGTGTAGCACGGTAGGGTCTGAGTCTCTCGGGTGATGTCGATTGATATCATCACACAGGTTAAAGATGTGTCGCTCCCGAACCTGCTCTTGTCGACCAAACCTCTGTCTAAGTACTATTCATTAGCAGCGTTCTGATACAATTTTTAGGTAAAACGGCCAGGTTCATACTTTTTTCTCGGTATAAATCGGCTTTCCTGCCAATGGTCGGGGGCTCTTGCATGTGAGAAAGAACATATCGAACATTAATGGGTTGGCCTCTAGCTGGAAGCCGTTCAGTCGAAGTACGGCCTGATGGTCTTGTTCCTTGCTACCTTCACAATCACAGCCTCTTCTCTCTAGTACAGCAAGAAGCTGGTCGGAAATCTCCGATGGCTTGAGATCGTTCCAGCGGGTTCTTGTAATGCTCAGAGGACATGATAAATCCAACAGGTTGCCTCTTCCGGAAACATCGAGTGACTCGAAGCATATGTTGAAAGAATAGAGTATTTCTTTGCCATGGTCATATTCCTCAGCAGTTCGTCCCAAAGATAGATGCACAGCGCAACGCCGGATAACATCTGCGGTGTCCAGTTCATCTTGGAGCGCTGTTGCAAGATTTCCCAGTGCTTCAAGTTTTAAATAGCGGTGCATGTTTTCTGTTGACTCTGTATCTACTTCTCGGTAGGCATTCAGCTTGGGAGTTGAGTTATTGTATAAACCATTCGGAGTACTTGTTGGGGGCGCATGTGTAGGCAGCGGACCATACCGGTATTCCGAAAGCGACGTAATACCAAGCCAAAATAAAACACTGCTTTTTACGGTTCCTATAATCCCCAGTTTTTCCAGCCGGCGTTTCTTCTACCCTGCCATTATTCCTATTCTATTAAAAAAAACATAAGTAAAGTTTTGTTCTATCTTAAATAGTCGCGCGTATAATCCGGGATGATATCGCATGGGTAGAGAATTACTAAATAGTATTCAGAGTTCATATCATCAAGCGGCTAGCCTGGGCGCGAGAAGCATGCCACATTCTCAGATAGACCCCACCGAATAGTACCGCTTGACTATTTGGATTTCATCAAACTTACATCATCATTTGCAGGCCCGAAGTCCTTTTCAATACCGTCTAAGGCGCTGATAACACTCTCTTTAACAAGGGAATCGAGGAAGCCGAGAAGGGCGGTGAGGCTTGCAAGGCAGTCGTCGAAGACTTCGCAAGACAGATCTCCCTTCGGAGCGATATCTGGTAGAATTTTAATTTCGAAAGTGAAGGCATCAAGGGAGTTTTCGGACTCGACTGTTCGTATATCTTTGAGACACCATTCGAGCCGAGATCTAAATATAGGCTGAACTGTTTGGAAAAGCCGCCATTCCAGAATCTCATCGTCCAAAATATGGGCGACTTTGTTGATTTTGCAACCCGGGTGTCACATGATTCGCAATTTCGGCTACTCCTCACTATATTGATATAGAGGGGCGTCGAGGTTATATGATTAGCGTAAGCCCCATGACAGTGCAGTTATCGTCGTGTTTCGGTGGCATTTAGAATTTAGCTAACTCTAGCGGGTATACGTATATATAGGTACGAGGTATATAGAAATTTCGAAAGAGTATTTTCCGGGTGCACAGTTCGCACATTGGTTCTCGTCTGGGGATCGCGCGCTTGAGGTTAGGGGTGCGAATATGCAAATACACGGACGACTGAGCTGAGATCCGTTCCGATAAGGAAGCGGCTCTGCGGATAAGCTTACCCCGCTCCGTCTGCATGTCCGTCCATCGAGTACAAATTAGTTATAAACGGACCTATAGTAGCTCTCTGTTGGCTTTCTTAAATACCACACATTTCGTCTTTGTTTCTGTACTAGTACTAGGCTTGCCGGCTTGTGTCTGACTCTTAGACCTAGTATCAATATCAGGATCGAAACGGTCATAGAAAAACAAAAATGGCAAGCGACGAAGATGATATTCCTCAGATCTCAGATCTTGCCGGAGAATGCGAGGACCTTTTCGAGGACCTACAGTCATTGTTGTCAGGAATAAGCGACAAGGCCAGCCGGGTTGTTCAAGGGTGCCAACAACGGTTTGAACGTTGGGCTAGCTATCTCGGTGTTTTTGCTGCCCCTCAAGCCTCCCTTGATAGCCGCCTGAAATCCACTCCCGATATTCGCGATTTAGTTATTCAGCTGCTTCTAACGTTAAAGAGAAATATACAATACGGTATGTTTAGGCTCAATGGAGTTGACTCAATTTGCAGAAACCTTCCAGTTAGCTGTGGTTAGAATAATCCCGATGCCTGAACTATCCAGACTAAATTAACTTGTCACTACAACTACTCACAAGAAGTTTCTTTTAGGCATCAAATTCGAGTCGACGAGACCAAAGCTGGGATCCATATTAGTGGATAATGACCGGACGAAAACCGAGGTTGGTGAACAGTTCGAGGTCGCCCAGCAGGCAGTCCTGCCAATGACCCAGGCCGCCTTGGACGGAATTCATGGAGCAATAGATCGACTTCACCGAATTGGAACCACTATCCGGAAATCCTCTACCTCTAATTTTCTTTCAAAAGGTCGAAGATTGGGCCAAAACCACAATGATGAAGACGAATTCTTCAAGAATATAGCGTCATTAGTCATATCTGGGCTTTATCCTAGTATTAGTGAGAAATTCATAGAGCAGTTGGCCCGGTCTATCCTAGTTCGAAAACAACGACTCTCGTATCAAAGGAAGCATCAAAGGAAGCTAGAGAAGAGATATAAACCTCAGAAGGAGACAGTGATAATTTTAGAACCGGTGCCGGACATTGAATTATCTCATGTCGAAATTCAGCAGAAACTTGATGAGAGCTCTGGGGTTGAAACATCGGTACCACCGAATGATACCGGCACGATTTCATCCAAGGTTGACGCATATACAGCGACGCTTCCGTCGGTGATTAATTCTTTCAACTTTCGGCTTCATCTAAATGAAGCTCCTAGGGCGGCTCTTGGGCCCCCATCAACGACTTCAATTGCCCACGGAAACCCGTATCCTTCTCCTCCCAAAACGCAGCCCGGGGATAAATATTGTCATTGTGAATGGTGTTTCGTGGAACTTGAGGTTCTAGAAGATAAAGCACAGTGGAGGCGTGCCTGGAGGTATAAAATTCTTCACGTATCAAATCAAAGTATCCAAGTTACATGCTGACCCTAGGCAAGGGACCATTTTAAAACGGATCTGCAGCCATATGTTTGTATCTCTGAAGACTGTAGTGAGAAATCATTATACTTTGCCTCGTTGCGGAAATGGAGAAACCATATGGACGATTTTCACGGCCTAGAATGGACTGAAGACATCCATAGACCGACTATATGGTACTGCAACCTGGGTCAACATGGTTAAAAGAGTTTTTAACGGAAAATGGTCTTCATGAGCATCTATCACAGGTTCATAGCGATGAAATTTCTTCAAAGCAGTTTGATATGGTGACGAGGCGTAATTCTCCATCTGTCCCGAGAGGTTCTACCGTTTGCCCACTATGCGCGCAAGACGTTTTAAGTCTTAACACAGAGAACAGTGAAATGGAGCCGGGGGACTACGGTACCTCGACACCGATCGTCCCTAACAAAGCAGAGAAAAAGGTTGCGTTTCAAGTCATCGAAGTGAAGTGTTCTAATGACACTGAACTTAACACATCTGATTCCGAGGAGGAGTTCGAAGAAGATGACCAAGTCAATCATAAAAAGGTGGTCGCTCATGTTGCAAACCATTTGAAATCTCTCGCATTTGTATCATTACGATACTTCAAGGATGACGATGATGATACCGTTTCTGTCGAGAGCCAAGATGCGGCTCTCGAGCCCAGCGAAGACCGATCTTCGAGCAAAAGGAGATGCGGCGACCATCATTTCGATCTAGACAGTTCTTTATCCTTCGAAGATATTCCTCTTGATGAAAGGGACCTCAATGACGGATTAAGCGAAGGTATACGGTCGCTAGCCTCTGACAGTATGATAATCTCCACGATTGAAGAAAACATTGAGAGAACAGACTTTAGACCGGATGGGGAGGATGAGCCGAAAATCCTGGACTGGCTCACGACGTACGATTACAGCAAATCGCAAGCCTCTTTTTTCAAGCAGACGCAAGAAACGACTGGCGAGTGGCTTCTGAAGTCTGACCAGTACCGGAAATGGCTGGACGATGACCACCAGATGCTATTTTGTCCCGGGCCACCCGGGTCAGGAAAAACTATCCTAGCGTCTATCGTCATTAATGATCTGAGCAGCTGGCTCCTTCACTCTGATATCGGTATTGGATACATATTTTTCGAGTCTAGGCGAAGCCAAGATCAAAATGTCAATGAGCTACTGTCAAGCCTCCTGCGACAATTAGCGTCTTGTCGATCAACTCTGCCGTCAGACGTGCGAAAGTTGCATGAACACTATACCATAAGAGGAACACGACCATCAAATGATGATATTTTCACAACCCTTTTGTCGGTGTCTCGAGAATTCGAGCGAAAATTTTTCATCATTGACGCCCTTGAGGAGTGTCTGGAGGACAACAGCTGCCGGAAAATTTTTACCTCGCGACTTCTGCAACTTTACAATACATGCAATTCGAGCGTCTTTGTCACCTCTAGGACCTTAGCAACTATAACAAACGCGTTTGGGGTTGGCGATGTAGTTAAGATTCGTGCATATGAAGCGGACGAAGGAACCCACCTAGACCCTAGTATATCGAAATCCGGGCTACCGCCGCCTACGGAGAACGAAACGCCAACTAAGTGGGCAATATTGATTGGAGTTGATCACTACATAAGTGGTATAACGAGGCCAGGGATGAAATTTCACAACTTGAAAGGTTGTGTAGAAGATGTAAACCAGACCGAGAAATACCTACGAACAGCCTTAGGTGTAAGGGAAGCTCAGATATGGCGGCTCACCGCCACCACTCCTAGCGACATACAACAACCCGCTGCCGCCGTCAGCGGCAACCATAAGGGACCAATCGAGCCAGTAGAGACCCGGTCCCAGTGGCCTACCTATGAAAATATTATTAGCCGACTTCAAATGATTACACAAATGGCTGAACCAAATGATATCGTCTACATACACTACTCAGGACACGGGGCCCGAGTCACTACAATGTTTGAAGAATTGAAGGGCGCACGGGATTTTGATGAAGCCATTGTACCAACGGATATCTGCTCAGGGGAGCGGTATATCCGGCATGGTGAAATTTCATATCTTCTCCAGAAGATGGTCAAGAAGAAACTAGTTGTCACAGTTGTGCTAGACTGCTGCTACACCGTGTTTGGCAATCGCGGCAACATGAGGAACACATCCTTGAGGAGTATTCCACAAATAGATAACGTTAGGCTCGATAGCGATTTCTCAGTATTACCACGAGAGGAACTTGCTACCCTTTGGAACAAATTTGCTGGCGGAAAAGGACGCTTCAAATTTGAGAGTTACCCGCTACTAGAGCCTCGCGGATACACAGTTCTTGCCGCATGCCAAGCGAATGAATATGCTATGGAAGAGCAGTTTGACAATAAGACTCAAGGGTTATTAACTTATTTTTTAATCGATACCCTCAGAAACAGCCCACGACCACAAGATCTTACATACTACAGATTGTGGAGCCTTGTAGCTGCGAAAGTACGCAATCACAATAGTCAACAAACCGTGATGCTGGGTGGTGAGGCGGATCATCTATTCCTCAGTTCAGGCTGTCTTTCCTTTTCAACAGCGACCATAACAGATTTACAAGAAGCCGAAGGAAATACTATCGCCAAATTGGACGTCGGTGGTCTACAAGGCCTTTCAAAAGGCATTGCCTTGAACGCGTGGCCTATTTTATGTAGCAACACCGAATTATCTAAGCCGATGGCTCTGCTTCGGGTATCTGAGGTGGAGGAGTTTGTGTCAAATGCGGAGGTAGAATGGCATGATGATTCCAAGGGCCGATTAGAACCTGGCTGTCTAGTTAAGCCGCATCCCGTACGGGTGCAAAGGCCAGTACAGTTTATCCGATCCGAACCAGGGGAGATCAATAATCAAGGTGAAGATGCTATACAGTTTATCCGATCTGAAACAGGGGAGGATTATCACAGTACCAACTTGGTCCCTATTACAAATGATTCTACCGAGGCTTTTTTCCGAGTGCACATACGAGATGGGAATTACATAATCTTAGATGGGATGGACCAACCCTTCGACTATATGACTCCAACTATATCCATATACTCTACAGGCTCAACTACAACGCTCATGCAGCATCTCACACATATAGCAAAATATTTCAATATTTTAGACTTGGAAAACGCAGACACCGGTACGCCTTGGCTCTCCGCCAGTGTTACTAGCACGCCGGATGAATACCCATCAATGCCGCAGGTCACCACAGATCCACCAAGAAATAGAGCTTCAGCTTCCAATGAAATTTTTGACATAAATTCAGATTGCAAGCTACTGCTTCAGGTCGAGAATACCTCGAGCAAAAAATTGTATATAACGCTGATAAATCTTGATTTACATTGGAATGTTGAAAGAGTACATTTTCTGGCGAGGGTGGGATTGAAAAATTATCAGATACTTGAGCCAGGCGAAACCTTAAGCCTCCCATTACACCTGGCCATCCCAGACGACTCAGTTCAACCGGAAATTATCGATACTCTGAAGGTTTTCGCTACAACTGGGCCCACAGGCTTCCGATGGCTAGAACTTCCGCGTCTTGATGAGGGATACAGGTTCCGCAACTACCAAATAAATGAGCCGGAGCCGAAAAATGCACTTGGGGCCTTGCTAGTAGATATAACAGAGCCTAAAAAGCCTCAAGCATCAGCTTTCGTTCCTTCGGGGTGGAGCATTACCCGAGTGGCCATAAGATGTTCGAAAAAGATGTTGTAGCTGCCTTGCAATCAATAAGAAGGGAGGGAGAGGGAGGAGGTATTCAAAAGCTAGTACCAGGGCTCCTTTTAGGAATAGATCTCAGTCGAAAGTCAACGGATTGAAGCAAGTGACGTGCCTGTGCATCAGCTGGTAGAAGTAGCAGTTATCACATAAAGTTTGTAACTACCTAGGCAGCATGTATATTTTTACTACACTGAGTACTAGGTACTTTGATTCCCTATAAACTACTTAAGTAACTAAGCTATAAGCCCCTTTATACCAAGGCAATGATTACTTCAGTATCGACTAACGTATATAAACACTATAGCTGCGTCAAAGCATAATAGCACGGCGGTCACTATGACTATCACATTCGAATCCTCGAATCTGCATTTATTTACTCCAATAGTTACAATTATGCCTCATAAGTCATCTGTGATTCAAAAATGAGCAATAAATTCATGTATTATGACCCGCGCCCCAGATCGAAACGATGTTAAGCCGACCACTGACATCTCTAGCCCTTACATACCTTCGAAGGTTACACCAGCTCACCATCTAACCTTTTACTCTTTAGCATACTTCGAGTTCATAAATTTACTTGCAGTATACTTTTGAAAACAGCGTCTTCATAAGCCACGAGAAATTATACTTTTCCAGTAGTTTATTCTATGTACAACCCTCTCAGCCTCTTGCCGTTCCAAAATTACCGATTCAAAACTTGTCCCGCAACTAGCAAATATTGCTCAACAGAGGACTACCTCATCCGCCATGTGCCAATCCTAGAGTTTCCATAATAAACCATCGAAAAGGTACAAAAACTGGGTAACGTATCTTGATTATTAAGGTTCCGATCTCAGACGAGAGAATCGCCTTCTTCACCTGGTGGACTTCCATGATTTCTTCGAACCAAATCATCAAAATGAAGGCTTGAAACTATGAGCATCAAGCTACCAGGCGAGGAACGATTCATGAGGTAAAATCAATTTAAATCACCCTTTCGTTTCACAAATATCGGTTTTAATATACATCATGGGAGATTTTAATTTCGATTTTACTCAATCCGAGGACAGATGGCTGAACGTGTACGCTAGTGTGCTCGAAACCGGCACTACAATCCGCCGAGGGTTTGAAAAACGCTTATTCACAAGGCCAATTATCGCTTCGCACATTTCTCTTGGTAATTTAATATTTGCCGATAGTTCACCAAAGGAAAGAAACCTCATCCTCGGCTAGGAACTTAAAAACTCATGGAGGTACATGTGTACACCTAGCACCTCCAACTCACCATCTTCTCACAAAAAGATATCATAAAGAAGCCGGATACTTAAGGGATGGCAGAAAAGAGCTCGGATTTTATGATAGCTAAAAGCGAGGAGAATCAGTGAAAAGAATATTAACGCGGTATTGGCGGTGAACACGTGTACACGTGTTTGAACGCTCTGGTCGCGCGATTTTGTATACCTACCTGGCCGGCGTCTCTCCCGGGTCCATCGAAACTTTACCGGCATAAGATCTTTCGCATGCGACGGCATATCTATCACCTAGAGAGTCTTTTGGGGTGGGGTTGGGTATGAGACAAGCGTATTCAGTTGTCTTCAAAATTCCATCCCTATCAGATCGCTGCTAGCTAGCCTCATTTCACTTATTTCTATGTATTTACCAAATGTTTTAATGTTCATATTCCTTGTAGCACCATCTAGGCGAACCGATCATGATATCTTGGCAGCTTATTTGTTATTTCTTTGGTAGAAAGTTTGAGATGTTATCTTTCCCTTGATCAAATCTACTTAAAAGGTCAACTATAGCTCTACTAGCTATAAACTTACGCAGCAATTAAGTCGAATCTAACTCGCCCGCCATCGAATGCCGAGACCATTCCCAACCTTCAACCCAATATATGCTATCATATGATCATGTTGGGCTCAAAGTCGTTAACGAGACTTGCTACCGTACGGCAATATCAACACGCTTCGTGTTTGATGAAAATTTATGGTTCGCCGCTCCGAAAGCTACAAACTTTGCAATTGCGAGGTCGATACCTGGACTTCACCCGGACCCGAACGGCCTCGTTTTGCACCACCAGGCCCACGCAAAGCTCTTTCAGTGACAAATCATTCCAAAGAGATGGTTTTGGGATATTGAAGCCAAAACCTCATCTCCATGTCACATACGGTAGTGTGTCGAAGTCAACTCTAGCTGGAAGCCCGAATTCGAAGCAGGCAATCCGGGGAAAAAAAAGTAAGCGGAAACTTCAGACGGCACCGACTGTCGACCCGGACCACGAGAGGGAAGTGAATCCCTGGCACGACCCTGGTTTAGTACATTCAACGAATTATTCGGACACTCTAGTTTGTGTAAGAAAACCCCCGAACTCTAGCTTTGAATGCGCATACCATTGCTAACCGACATGTCATAAACCTCATATAGCTTTTTGAATTTTTGCTGTTGCAAGAAATAAGGAAGGAATTCCGCCGCTTTGAAGTCTCCAGAACCGACTTTATAAAAGCCTTATTAGACCCGGTCATTTCGTCTCATCTTGACAACCATTTTCAGAACGCTGACAACCTAGAGATCAAAAAACTTTCTGCAAACTCAATCGTCCGTTTTCTCAAGACAAAACTCGCTCCTACCGGTTATCCACTATATGCGCTCGTAACAATCAGAGAAGCTTTCGCTACCCCTCTTCATATTGAACATAACCCTGACGAAAAATGGAGCATGTTGAAGGAATCTCCCTTAGATACCTACGACCCCGAAGACGAATACGTAATGGCAGAAAGAAATGTCGTTCCGGACCCCAATGCACCAACTCTCAATTCTCTCATGCAACCCTTAGTCTTACTTCTGACAGGCTATAGTTCGATACCGAAGGATCCGAGTTCAGTAGATTTTGATATGAACACCAATCTTTTCACGTTTGTTAGAAAACGTAAGGAGGAGTATTGGCACAACCAATCTTACCCAGAGGTGTTGGCTACCGCAATGGAAAGCTATCTAAAGCGTCGAGAAGGCCTAGTGGGTGATAAATCTATTAGGGGGGGTTGGTATCCATATCCTGATTACGACCATGTGGATATTTGGTGAAGACGTAGTCTTTAAATTTGATAATTCATGTCGTAGTATAGCTATTTGCGATACTAAGTAGCAGAACGCGCTGACGTGCGCACAGTTTATCAATTGAGACAGAATTTAGTTATTGAAAATCCAATTTAATTTAGTCTTAGCCCCGATTCTGGCATCAAACTACTTCTATAAAATCCGAAATCAAAGGGTGTTAATATTGATGACACCTGGTATCAATCGAGTGTCTCATTAGGTTCGTGCGCCATCGCGCGTTGGCCCACCGATGAAGACGCTAGTTACCAACAGCGATTGTGCAGCTCCTATATATTTTCTTCTCTTAGTTAAATCCTTAAACTACCTGGGATCTTGTAAGATCGCTATTATTGACTTCCATTAGATATCAATCAACGCTGAAATTGGAGAAAAGGAAAAGGAAGTGATTAATGCATTATTAGCCCTCCTCGAGAACTAACCAAAATGCATGCAACCATATGGCATATTATATTAAATTACAGAGAAAATTTATCGCGATCTATAACACAGGCTAACAGCGAAAATATAAAGGGTAATCCTCCTGTCATAAGAGCGAAGATGCACAAAAATAACGGCGAAGTAGAAAATCCGATAGTGAATAAAACAGAAATATCCAGCAATTCACAAAACCAAAGAAAAAATTGCGGTAGTGACAATAGGAGTGTAGAGCGTAAAACAATCAGAGAAAGAAAATAGCCGAGGAGGCTATTCCAAGTCCATGCTCAGATTCTGGCCCGAAAGGGGGGTGGTATCGTCTAGGTCAGGTTTCCAATTGCGGACGTAGGTTTTCATGTAACCACGTGACATCTCTTCCGCAGCTTTTAGTGCTAGGGGGTAGCAAGTAGGTTCTATTGACAGAATCAGTGCTGTCGCATCTAGGTGGCCCACCGCGACGGCATATTCGATACCTGACATGAGGTTATATATATTGCCGCAAGGCGCATATATACCAACGCCGCTTTGAAGGACGAAAACGACTTTATCCATGTCGCCACTTTCTATGGCTGCGCTTAAAGCCGTTTCCACTCTATCTGAACCCGATATATCTGGTGGACATCCACAAATACCTCCGTTTATGTCGAATCCGTGCGCAATCAAGCTTTTTAGAGCTTGGATGCTACACTCAGCGGCGCGGGGTACGTATTTGTAGTTCCTTTCGCGAAAAGGGCAGTGGGTCAGGAACTCACCGCTTGAAAGATTGCGATGTGCGTGTTCTCGAAGATTAAGCTCTTTTTCATATTCTAAGAGAATATCAACGATTTCAACGGTGTCATAAATTATCGCGCCGTGAAGGACATGCCCATATTTTCGGTTATATTCCTCAAAATCAGGACTGTTTAGGTCAATCTTTTCAAGATTTTGTGAAATACCTGTGTTGAAAAGGGTCCGAAGAAGCTCTAAGTCAAGTGGCTCGTATACTTTACGATTTATCGCAATCCTTGAAATAGAGAGAAAGACTTTAATAAGGAAAAATGGGTTTTGCGACCGCAATGAGAGGTTGGTGGCAGCGGCCAGCTCTTCCTTTTTCAGATGAATTTCAATTTGACGTTTTTCAGTGGCGAATGGATCCTTTTCAATTGCGTCGGCAGCTTCTATGCGATAAGGCCAAAGGTCATCGACAGACTTTAAGTCATACCTACTGGATGCCTGGATAAAATCGCCATTAATAACGAACTTGGTGAGAAGATTTCTGTCCGTCGTCAAAAAGTTTTCAGGCATCAATGCACCGTATTTCAAAAGTAGCATAAAAGCTTCGGGCCTCGGTAAAAATAAGGCAGCCTCTATCGGCTTAAGAGATGTGTGATTCTGAACGCTGAAGACATCTGAGTATTTCTGAGCTAAGGTTGCTGAGGGAAATTCGATATCATTGTTGATGATATTCGGGCCGCAGCCTAGAAAAGTCTCGAAATGAGCTAGGATGTCCTTGTATTTATTCGCTCCGCACTCCATTTCGTCTTTATCCAAATATTCCCAGATAAGGTTTCGCCATAGCTTGGTTCCCTTTGGGTCTATACCAAGCCGAAGAAATCTGTTCAGAGCATGTGGGAAGAAACGGGGGTCCCGAGGCCAATGGTTTTCCTGCCTTGGGAAGGGATTCTGATAGTCATACATTTTTGTACAACCGCATGTTCGTTTTGGTTGATTCTTCATCCAAAGTGGTATCAGATCAACAGCCGTGCTGACTACCTCGAGCTCGGTGAGTGAAGGGTTCGCCCACTTCATCACCCGCAAAACATAATCCACCATTTTTGGATGTCGGCAGGCCGCTAGAACAAGTGTTTTATTTATATTGTAGGTAAAATCTTCAAGGTCTGCATCTGCTATTTGAGGGTCAGATGCACCGCAATCACGCATATCCCGTCTCCAGGCCTGGTCGCGTTCATACAAGAAACACTGTTTCTCGTGGGGTGGCATCACCTCGAAGCCCACAACTCGGGACACAAGTCGATGAAATGTAGAAATATCCACCTTTGCCCACATATTATTTTGACTCATCTCATCCATAGGCTTAAAACGTGATATATCATCTTTGTTACCCGATCTTAAGTTTGAGTTCCCTAGGAAAATTTTTGCTACGTCGCAATCGTCGCATAATATAGCCTCGATTATCAAAGCCGATCGATGTCTGGTTAATCCTAGATCTAGGAATTCTTCCAGTTTGTCCGGGTTGTCCGTGAGAAGCGGGGTATTGGAGGGTCCGAGATACTTCTCCATCTCCGATATAAAATTAGGAAACTCCCTTCGATCCCACATCTGCATAAAGAGCCGCATCTCTCCTCGGATATAATGACATAAATCAAACAGTATGTCAAGATCTCTGTGTGATTTAGGTAGAGTATTTGTTTTTTCGATATCCTCAAGAACAGCATCCAACCAGAGATATATTTGCCCCCGCTCTAGACTCTCCGCACGCCAAAACCTATAAGCTACATCGTAGCGTTCCAATTGGGTGCCATGCGTATCGCAAATAAGCTCTATCAATGCAACTTCCCGCCTGATGTAGAGAAAGGGGAGAAGTTCTTCGCATACTGCCTTGATTGAGGGAGTGTCGTTTTTTAGTAGCCTTTTGAGTGGCTCTTGAAGCTGGAATTCGTTGACCCGATCTAAAATAGTCATTATGTCTGGTTCCACCATGTATAATGAATTAGATAGTTTGTATATAATCAGGCGCAAAAAAGGAGAATGTGGAATAGACTGGTGGGCCGTGATTTTAAAATTACTGTTGGTGTGAACACCGGGGTGTTGAAATCGAAGGTCGACTTTGTCGAGAAAGTGGCTGAATTGCCAAATAGGTAGCTTGTATAGAACTTTGAGTGGGATGTATCGGTATCCCGGGGCAGTCTTGAGAGTCAATGTCAAGCCTGAGGCCTTTGGGGTACAGATTTGAATATTTCCGGGTAACTCGAAAGGCGTAATATCATCCCCAATTCCTGTACACCGCAAGCAGTCATTAGCATTAACTTAACCCGTGGCCGGTTTATAGCCAAACAAGACGTGTGGTGTCTGCCAGGATTTACGAGCCGACTGGCGTACACCGGCTTACTCCCAAAGGCCCCAATACGATCGTAGCAGCACCAGATACCGCGTATTGATCAACACGTTCAGCTGATCAGACACCATGGTACCAGAAGTATCCAACTCTCTAAAATAATCGCGTGCTGGATATACGACCCAAGGGGAAAAAAGTGTAGCCGAAGCCCTGTCCTATAAGATCCTACGAACCTTGAGATATATGATATTGCTTGGTGGCATTGAGGTTTCGTGCCAAAGATCTTTGAAGTTTCTTCCCGGAAATTGTGATTACTCCATCGATGATAACCTCTGACTCTTTACCGATTTTGGCTCGCTTGGTGACATTTCTATATATTGCCTCGCTCTGCTGTGGGCCAAGTCGCTTCTTATATCCCAGCTTGTTGATCTTATCGCGGACCTGATTTGGTCTATATTATTAAATACACAAGTGGCTGTTAGACTTCATATATAAAATGGTGTACTGGGTGCTCGTGTTGTAAATTCCAAAACTTCTCTAGTACTTCAAAGAAACCGGTCATTATAAAATAAAGGTGTACTCACGTGGCTTCTAAGTTGTAATTTTTGTTTATTTCTGCGGCGATTTCGTCCGGCTTCAATAGTAGTACCTGGTATAGTTGTCGCATTTCTTCTTTTACCTCGTCATCGTCTAGCCGAGGACACCGACGAGCGCGTTTCCTTGGTTGCGGCATAGAATAGTTTGAGAATTACTCTCCGCGATTCCTTTTTTTTTTTTTTTTGAGGCTAGATGCCGCGCCGTGCCGCAATAGCGTTGTAAATAAGACTATACGCAGCCTAAGCTAAGCCGTCCAGCTATATAATATAATGCCAGGCTTAGATACCCTCAAGTCTCCGGTAGGGGCCGCGTTGTAGTATAAGACTACCCTTAAGTATAAATAAGACCGTTCAATGAATAAATATACGTAATCTAGTTCTAGAGTCCGGAGGGGAGCGTAGTGTATGGTTTGTATGTTTTTAATGGTGATCTGCCTGGATACTATAAGGCGCTCGGGAGCTTTGGGGTTTATATGCACAACGACAAGTGCACAAAGGCCTCGTGCGGAGCGAAATGTTCAAGGCTTGTCGAAGATACCCGAGAAAATTCCCTGTTATGAATGGTCGATGCATCTACAGGGATCCCGGCGTATCGTGCATAACGAGAATTGGTTCTGACCAATGAGATATCAATGTGGCGGCAGCATACAAACCCATGCACTGGATTTTGAGGCTGGATTGCAGCCCCGAGCCCGAGTACATCACGCACAGTGCACTATGTATGTACATAGCAGCAGCAGTTCAAACTACGTCAATGACTCTTAAGTATCAATACGTATTCTTAAAGTTATTTTAGAATATTTAGACATGGACATAGCTGCCAATGCAATACTATTCGCTTAACCACACTCGAAAACCCATTTTTTGGTTGTTAGGAGGCAAAATTTGCAGAAGTGGGTTCGATTTTGTGGAGAGTAATAAAAGCTCAAGGATTTACATATTATCTTTCGCCTACAGCTGTGCTCGTCTGACATGCATCCAGCACACACATTTATTCGCACACCAGCCGGTCTCGAGGCTAACACCAGCCCGTATTCTATCCGATGCCGTATAGTTTTTCGTCATTGTCCAAACGTCTGGCCCAAACCACTAGCCTCGCTCAATATGTCCTCTAACTATCAATTGAGCTCACAGGAGCTTAAATAAGTTTCGAATACTAATGTGGTGGAATTTCGTAGTCTTGGGAGACAACTAAAAAACTGACTTGCAACTATGTCAAGGCCACGATGTCAATCTGATGATGTTATATTTTGATCAACTTGAGTATACTACTCGAAAGCCAATTTCCCCCTTAAGGCTTTCGTAGCAGTCGTCCTACGGAACGAAGAAAATATATTTTATAGATTAGATTTCACATGTATACGCAACATGCTGTATACGTATACTATAGTACTAACGTTTATAGCTAGGAATGGGTACAAACTGTATTACTATTGCATAAGGTCCTCGATAATTAAATGCTGGTCTCGAGGCTAAATTAAATGGGTGGATATTCGCCCCCATATGCATGTCACAGAGCTTAGGCTACATACCGTAGAAGTCGAGATGCATTACGTTTTACCCTAGGGGCAGTCCTAGGGGCAGTCCTCCAATAGTAATTTGATCGCGATAGAACTGTGCCACGATAGCGACGCATCGATTCCCCCAGAATAAATCCGACTGCTGGGTCGATCCCAGCTATCCATTGATATATTCACTGCGACGGAAAAACAATCATCCTATGGCCAACCCCTTCAGCTGCAGGGGCTCTGGTCGATATTTAGTACCTGGAGTACCACTTTGTAAGAGGCTGATGTGTCAAGAGACGCAAACATCCACCCAGTGTAAGCCGGTGCCGCTCATCGGAAATTGGAACAAATTTAGTAATAAGAGAATAAAGGCCGGTTATTTATTAGCTACTACAAGTTCATAGATCTAAGTATTTGCTTTAGAGAAGAGGGAGTGGGGGAGGGAGGAAGAGACATAGATGATATTAGAGCTAAAAAGGCATCAAGTCTTCCGGCCAAAACAAATCGAGGAAGTAAGGTAATCGATAGCCTTGTTACGGCAAGCAGAGGGGAAATGAAAAATGTACAGATATAGCCCACAGACCCTCCTATATTCAGGATTCGACCCCAAGTATTAAAGTGACCTTCTTTCTGTTTTCATCCAACTTTCAGTTCTACTTCCTCTTAGTAAGATAGCTTTGTGCGAACCTATTGTAAAATGTGTTAGTATCGGATCCCCCGCTTACGATAATCGAGAAATAATTCATTATAGGTATAAGAGAGAAACTGACTTTCCAACAAAGTACTCCACCAAGCTGACACCCGCCAGTATACCAGCCCCAATACCCGCCGTTGACCACGAGAACTGTCCAAGCCTGTACTTTCTCCACCCAACAACTCCCAATCCAACAACAAGAACTGTGCTGACGATTGCGCCACCAGAGTGAACTGGGTCCTTGAGCCATACTACAAGGTCTGATTCACTCTTTCCTCCCTTCTTCTTCTTCTTCGCTGCCGCTTCACGAGCAGCGCTCTCTTCTGCCTCAACAGCGGCCTCGAGTTCTATACGCTCGGCTTGAGTATAGGTCTTTACTGGTTGGTTCGGGAAGTCGGAAGAGACGACAGAGATACCAGAGTCAACATCCACTAATGAAGCGACAGAGGAATCGCTGGGAACGATTTCGGGAACTGGTGGAGCGGTACTATTCAGAGAGTGTTAGTGTCACGTGACTGGCTTAACCATCCAGGAACTCTTTCCGCTCGTAACAAGGGGAACATATGGATCTTTCACAACGGATGAATTAGGATGTGGGAACCAGGAAAACGTACGCCTATACGCCATTGAAAGTTAGCACAAAGATACTCAGAGCCACTCACGCGAGCGAACAACAGCAACGGGTGAAAATGGAGAAAAAAAACTATACCTCTTCAGGATCCTGAGGACCACCCTTTGCGGCAATTTCGGCGTATGACATGATTGAGGCTTTAGTAGAAGCTAGGTTCGAGTTTCAATATCGTTGGAAGGAGACAAAATGCGAAGAAGAGGGGTGCCTTTGTCCGTTGGAAAAACAATTCTCGTTAGTTAATAAGCTTTTCCAAAGCTGTTTTAAATGAGTAAAAGTTAACTAAAATGACGGAAGGCGACGAAATGTGCAGCGTAGTCGGCTACTTGACAAACGTATTCTTCGAGAATTGAAGATTGTTACGAGGACAGGGAGGAAGAATACTATACCTGACTATATGAAGGCCGTTGGTGCGAGTATGAACGTGAACGTGAACGTGAATGCGAATATGAAGAAGAGAAGAGAAGAGGGAAAGGAAGAGGAAAAGATGATCACGAGCTAAAATATTGGTACTTGTAGTCAAGTACTCTTTTCGAGTGGCTTCCCTGTTGCTAGTTGAATTTTCTAGCGGGCGGGTACTGACGTCACTGGCTGGAATGTCCCTGCGAACTCCCCGCCAACATGGCCAACACACAAGAGCACATTCCACAGGCAGCTGATTTTGGTGCACTTGGCTGCTGCATGCGAGATGGAGATGGGCAGCGGGATCCATTTTCGATACGAAACTAGGAAATAGCACGCGTCGAGACTAAAGCGTGAGGAACAGCGGTGGCGAACGTTGGCGTGCATCGCGCATCGAGGTAGGGTCACCTATCATTGGACCTCAAGGCTAACCTATCATATGGCCTTGGGCGATCAAGACTGATACTTGAGTCAGTGTGCATATGCCTACAGTCGGTTACACAGAACTGCGTCGAGAATTTAAAATGTCACAAAGCTTTTTAACCACCGGCAAATTCTATAGTACATTGGGAAAAGCACGGAACCTCGGCAGGGCATAGTGTACACTGGGGAATTATGGGATCCCCTCCCATATCATTAATGCTAGGGGAAAAACCACATCATAACGCCGTTAAAGGAAGGCAGGGTGGTGGGAGGAGGAAGAAGAAGAGGGGAGAGAGAGGTGGGTGGCCCTTAGGCCGACTTCTTGACCCTCTTCGGCGAGGGAGGAGCCACCCTAGTGGTGGACCCCTCCTCCTCGCCAGCCCGGCCGCGCTTGCGAGACGGCACCATGGCCGACACCTGACGCTCCGCTTTCTAAGCGGAGGCATCGGTGGACCCGTCGGTCCTCCTCTTCTTGTCATCGGAGGCACCAGCCTCCGCCCCGTCGTCACGGGACCTCTTCTTCGACCTCCTCTCCGGGGAGGCGCTGGTGGTCCGAACAACGGGGACCCCATCGGCACGAAGTCTTGGGCCGGAGTTGTCTCCGCCCCTGTGGTCCCGGCCCCGACCACGGTTATCGCGGCCTCTGCCGCCACGACCGCCACCACGCCCACCGCCACGCCCACCTCGGAACCCGTTCTTCCTATCATCGTCGCGTCGCTCCCGCCAATCCCTATTGTCACGCCCCCCTCGTCCATCCCGTCTTCCACCTCGTCCCCCGGCGGAAGCCCCACCTTCTTGTTTGAAGGCATCAAACTTCGTCGTCTTCGCGTAACTCTTGGCTTGGATCTTGCCATCCTTGATGGCCGCCATCTTCATCTCAACAAAACCTTCTTTAGTCATATATTTCAAACCCTCCGAGGCTTCGGCAATAGCCTGTTCAGCGGTTGTCTTGCCCTCCTTATCAGCGTTTGGCTAGGATCGAAGAGATGTCAGTTAAGGTTTAACAAGGTTGACTGGGTATCGCAAACCGTACCTCAACCTTGGGGTCAATAAGAACCATTTTTTGCCCGTTCCACTCGGGCTTATCCTCTAGATCCATGAACTTCTTCATGTCTTCAACAGTTTTAAACTCGACGAAAACGGAACCTTTGAAGACCTTATCGTCGTCACGACGAAGCCTGACAGCATTGATTGTGATACCGGTCTTCTCAAAAAACTTCTCGATATCGAATTGAGAGGTTTTAGTCTCAGCGCCAAACCCTTTCGCATAGACGGAGCGAGTGATGGATTTATCCACAAGCTTAGGGTCTTTCAACATAACCATCGCGTTCTTCCTTCGCATCTTGGTTTTCTCTTCGTTAAGCTCCATTAGTTCGGAGTCTTCCAACGCCTTCTTGATACTGTCGAGATTCTTAAATCGGCGCATGCGGTTGAAACCGGCGACCAAAGCGATATCAACCCATTTGTTCTCTTCACCTACAAGTCCATACAAAAACTTGTCGAATCGGAGATTGGAGTCCGCAAAATAGAACTCAACCTGAGTGGCAGCATTCCCGTTAGCTGAGCTCGAGCCCCGGCAGCGCAACCACAACACAAAGATTCTTGATATTTTTTTTGTGCGCGGTGGAGAATTACAGTTGACACAAGACGCGAACCTACCTGTTTGACGATTTCCTTGGGATCATCTGACTCGGGAAGAACTGAGGCATCAGATACAATGCCGACACGTTCCTTCTTCTCCTCGGTGCTAGCTTTCTCCTCGGCGTCCTTCTTCTCTTCAGCAGCAACGTTTTCTTCAGCAACAGCCTCGACTGGCTTCTCATCAACAACAGAAGGGGCCTGGACAGGCTCTTCCGGATTGATATCGGTCATTTCGTTTATATTATCGAAGGTCACAAGCAAGGTGGCTTGATGGTTATGATGGTTGTGATAGTGATACGACGTGCAACGGGATTACAGTCAAGTCGGGAGATTTTGATGGTTTGCAAGAAGCAGTTTTGAGGAATTGTATTGTCAAAACGGGAGGTGTTATTAGTAGAGGGGAGGGAGGAAGAGAGGCAGATAGGAGGGTTGAAGTAGACAGAATAATCGGGTTGGATGTGACTGCAGTGTGGGAGCGCAGTGCAGTGAGTTGAGCGCGGCGATGAGTCGCAAAAACTTTTTTTTTGGCTTCCTGAACAGCCATCTGAATTCCATAGCCTGACTTGCCAAGACAGATGTGGCCAATCAAAGCGCGAGTAGTTCTCTTATCGATAAGAACGAAATGCAACAAACAACGCGAAAACTGGATTGAATAGAGTCGCACAACATATGATTGGTCAGTGGCGGTGCGGCTCTTACACCCTCGGCTTTTCCACCCCGAGATCAGCTAATTAGGTACTTAGCTAAGGCTCATAGTTATAATTGCTGCTAACATCCCTTCCCGCAGTTTCACACCAGTATTTGGACCAGCTCAATAACAATATAACAGAAACCGCAAAGACATAGCGATTGCCCTCGAGCTCTTCCAGGATCAACGCGCCTGTCTCCAGTTTGCAACACAAGAACACCCATTCAGATACAAGCTTTTTGCTTCTCAAAACGTCGGTGTCATTATCTTGGTTATTTCGATATTTGAATCTTCGGATCTCGAAGCGCATGAATTTACCGCATAATTCTACGACACTGGCTCTTTTAGTCCCTGTGCCGCCAAGATTAATAATTTTGGTGCCGACGTAAAAGCATTTCAGCCACATCTTCGACAGTTAAAAAGCGTTGCGATTGACCCTTTACAACAGGCTGAAATGTAATATGAATTTAAGTATTATCTTCTAGGTCTAGGTACGAGACAATGTATCGCAAATATATTAGAATAGTACGAAGTGCTACACACATTTGTGATAGATTCGATTAATTCACGGGCTGGGCCGACGGCTTGGCCACCATTATCACCCCACCCACCCTTTCTAAGCCGGACGTTCGGACTGCTACCCGAATGTTTGTTAACATGTCTCTTCGTGAGCTTAGAACCTAGTGAGCATATTCGAACTATGGTACTATGTCCAGCCGGGATCCCGGGCTCTGTCGAAACATCCTTGTTCAGGTGTTGTTATAGCCTAAACCAATCCAAACGATTCATATTAAGCCTAAATCTTAATAAATTCACCGCACGGATGGAACGTCGCATGATTTATACCCCGGATTATATCCAGGTATTTATAAACTCATGACTTCCCAGGAAATTCGAGATTACAGAAGCTAGTTTTTTTTCCCACTCCTTCGTTCGGTTTTCAGCAGTGTAGCTAGTGGCAGTTGCTATTTGATACAGACCCGATATGCAACATCATGAACGACATTACGAATAACAAAGCTTCTGAGGAAGGGCAGGCCTTTCTTTCCAGTGATCGAGGCAGCGAGGATGCATTATGGCAGAAGCGGACCGAGAAGCGCGGGATCTCGTGGTATCTGCGGCTCTTTCTAGAAATCGCCATGGCCGCCACGATCGTTGGTCTATTAGTCTGGAACTCATATCTAGGAAGAGACACCATCAAAAGGACTCCGGTGCCACGGCGTATGTACACCCATTGAAAAATCCATCGTTTTAGAGTCCGCACATTTGTAGCCACGGTATCACTAACCATGCAGGGATAGCAAGTCCCACGCAAGCTCTACACTTTTCAAGGCAACTCAACGCTCATGCACGATAAAATGTTCTTCAACAAAACAGATACGCTACATACTCTTCACAACTGGATTCCTCTAAGCTCAGGTAAGATAGAAAGATATTGAAACAACAAAAGCAAAATTAAAAAAACTAATATAGTATTCGTAGCGAGCCGTGGGTACATAGTTGTCAAGGATGCGCACCGATACGACCTCCCGAATCCCTATACCATCGCAGTCGACCGCTATAAAGATGGGCCAGGATATATGATGACAGTCTTCCATCAGCTGCATTGCTTGTCATACCTTGTGGAACATTACCAAGAAGGCTACGATGGTGTCAAATTAACCGAGGAAGTTGCCCACCACACGGCGCATTGCTTCAATTATATCCGCCAGGGCCTCATGTGCTCGGCTGATGTTACCTTGGAGGGTAAAACAGATGCAGGCCCTGGAGAGGGATCGGAGCATGAGTGCGTAGATTACGATGCTCTGTTGGAGTGGGCCAATAATCATTCCGCAATGAAATGGCGTAACGTTCCGGATGAAGCGACGCTTTGATGTTGGCTGCTCATAATTTGCACGGGATATATATTCAAAACATTCATTATCCCAGTACATTCTGTAATATAATATAGGAAAGTTGGTGGCTATACACGTTGTACATATGGTTTTAGTATAAACCTTGCCAAGAAAAATGGAATGGCAATTTTACGGAAATTTTACGTTAGTTAAGGGTATATGTATAGCGTTGGTGCGCATCCAACGGCTTAAGCCGAAGCCGACACCCGTTTAACGCTCCGCCCGGGCCCCGACTAGTGTTGATACATAGGTTTATGAGCTCTCCGGTGGGAGTGTCCCATTGACACTCAATCAATTCCTCGCTACTCGAGCACTCATGGCTTGGACCTCACGCTCGGCTTTAACTAACTTTTCGAACTCATATCAAAGTGGACAAGCCGGGGGTGGTACCGGTTTGGGAGAGTCAAGATATCCGCGAGGTTTCTTTACCTCCATGGTTCGACCAGTGAGATATGTCCTCACGCCTCTGCCCTCACCTTGCGCCTGGTCTCGAGGCTACTTTTTATCCAACATGAATTGAGCTCGTTTCTCAGGAATCGAAGACCCCAGTCTAAATTACACGAAGAGGTGGTGCTACGTGCATCCCAGTTTCGAAGTAAGACGGGTGAGGGTCACTCCAGTTGAGGGGTCTGACGACGAGACAAGGGCTAGTTAGAAAGAGCTTTGGTGCTACACGAACAGAAAAGGCGCCTACAGCACTAGCGGATCATAAGTTCAAATCCCAATGAGGCTCAATAGAGCTCCGTGCATTTTTTGGAACTCAGAATCAAGACATATGTCAGCCAACGTTGCAACACACGACAATGAATGTGAGGGCTGTCGTACTACAAGTAGAACTTTTGAAACCATGTACTACTAGTTTCTCGTGAAGTAAGCCTAGACTTTTATTCTTTGCATGTAGGGGTTGGCATCCATTAAAATTGTGAATGGAGAGACCGTAGACCTTAGATCTATAAAACGGGCGCTCCGCGACGAAAGGATTCCATTTATTCAAACTCATTGCATTATACTAAGTTAAATATATTCCAAAGACCCAAAATTAAAAACTGCCAAATTGCTAGCTGCCGGCTACAATATCAAGAATGAAGTTTAATTTCTCCCAACTCATGGGCAGCACCCTTGCTCTCGGAGCCCTCTCTAGAGCTGCCCCATTAGATGGCTTGAATCTTGTAGCCTCCTCGAATCCAGTAAAGCAACTCGGCAAGAAAGAAGTTGGGGCATCTTCAAATCCAGCAAAACAACTTCTTAAGAGAACAGTTGGCGGAGTAAGCATAAGTCCCCACTCTTTCTCTTCTTAGCCGTATACGCGTACATTCAGGAAGAATATTGTTCGGTTCCGATTTCAAATTAATTCCGGAAAGCTGATATCAATATATCAATGGGACTAGATTTACATCACCACCGATATCAACTGGCAGGGCCAAACTGGATACAAAGTTCAACCTCTCAATACTTGTATCTCACTCACAGCGCCATGGTAACAAACACAGATCATTGATTTTGAATCAGACAAGGAGGTTTTAATGAGGCTAGTTAACAATATAACCGCGAATTTCAGGCTCTATACAATCTCCTCATTCGGACCGGACAGAGGAACTGCTTGTATTTTGTACAGGTAAATATTCTATGCAAGCTTCTACGTGCATATAGCTTTTCTGATTCACCAATCTAGTACGACGCACTGCGACTCTAACTCCGCTAGGAAGGCGATAATCTTCTACCCGGGCAGCGCGAACTTGGGGGACCAGAACTTTAACGACCAGACTGGGTCCTGGAAGTGCTACGAGGTGACTGAGGATGGACAGTGCTTTAGAGACTCTTTGCCTCCTGATCGTGACTTTAATTGTCGGAAGTGCTGTAACGGTTGTAATCGAAGCGGGTCGGACTGCTGCCCTCGGGGCACTCAATGTTAGACCAGAAAACATACCGAGATTTTGATGTGAGGGTATAACTTACATGGAGGACCTTGATAACTATACAGGTGGCCAAGTCCTTCGAGCTTTGTGATTTAATATTTCTTTCATCGTTTTGAATAATTTCTGCACCTTTTTTAATTTTGACATTACGAACCTACTGCGCTCTCACGCCAGAGCAGTCGAGTATTTTCATTGATCTCCATCTGCTTTTTGGTATCAAATAATTTTAAACATATAAATGAGGTTAATCCACAAACGAATCACAAAATATCAAAGAACTAAAGAAGAATTAGAGGAGGACCGGCAAGAGGAAGCCTTTGAGCCAGCGTCTATCTCTATTTTAAGCAAAACTTGTAAAGAATGCACATTATATTATTTAAAGAAACTTGCTTTCCTTATCTCAAACCAGACTTCGCAAAAAAAAAGTTTTTGTTTTCCCGCAGTAGCTTGTTTCGTACCTAGGTAGTAGCCAGCAGACCCACAACCACCCATAAATTTATCTAGTATTTCCGGAAAATCAATACTACAGCATAACAATACCTCCATTCATGATACCAAAATTACCCTCCGCAATTCAGGATATCGACTTTGAATGACCTCAGACATCTCTATACGTATCTACGTCAATATTGCAATCTATTCTAGGACTTCCTCACCGAGAGTATTTTTGCGTTACGCGCAAGGTGGTCTTCCTCTTCTCAAAGCTATAAAGGAATCTTCAAAATAATAGATCACTTCTCAACTGGGATTTTGTCTCCTGACATACTAATGTATCTAAGTCTGCTTGCAGTCCGATGGCCAATTTTGGGCGGTGGGTTCTAAGGATCCTGAAATCCAAGATAGCTAGCAAGGATAATGCTTACAGCCGCATGTGTACCGAGCCGCCAAAAAATTACAAATCGGACCTAGACCCTCTTTTTCTAGTCAGTAGATCGTCAGAGAGCTCGTAGATGAACCGCTTCACAATTCACAATACTCGGAGTACTCGAGTCAATAAAAGACAAAACTATCGTCAATGTGGTTGATTTCGTAAGCTTACTGAGGCGATTATCTGAGCCTTACGGCCATGACTACAACACCTTATCATTGATAGAGCCGCCAATATTCCGACTCACAGATACTATTTTCTTTTACATCAATTTCGAGGCCTCTTATTCCGGACTAGATGATTGAAAACAATCCCAATGCGAAATATATAAACTGCTCTACAGAGAAAGTTATCAAAGGAATCTAAAAAAGAACCGAAATCCAATTAATCGATCAGTCGGAAACTGAAGTTGCACTTGAATACCAAATACAAAATTTTCAGCCAACTGCCCCCATTCGTCACGCTATAGTGCTGTATCCAGGCTGCAGCTACCCCCGAGACTACAGACTCTCCAAGATTCGTCGAGGTGGGACGCCAGGCTCTCGTCAATGATGGCTGGACGATCGTTAACGGGATTGAAAAATCATACTATGCTGACGACAATAAGCTCGACAAGAGGCTCCTGGGGCTGTAAATATTGTTTGAAAGATTTCCTAGAGACATGCAGTTTGATTTTCACTCGAATATCGGCTTACTAGAAGTTTAACCGCCCCAATGAAGGTGTAAATATGCATGTGTATCGACACGGCTTGGAAAGGGGAATGTGGATACAAGGTCCACTCATTAGAGTCCTGCGTTCAATTCGGATCACCCTAGTAAGTTAACCCTGGAAAATTAAGATCAAGCATACATCGTAAAGCTATCAAACGAATGATTCTATGAACTAGGTATCATCAAATTTCCGCAATAGGACTAGACTAGCTAATCCTCCTCAAGCTATTCGAGTTATCTTTCTTACTTACCCCTTAACTCGAAGATGAAACCGTTTACTTCGATTTCTCCCTATTCCTGGTCTTCTCGGTGTTCTACTAAATTTAATACTCATCCTGTACGAGAGCTTCGCATGTATATGTAATTTAAATTTTATAGATTCTCGGGTATAAAATGCATTTCTGAGGCACGACACTTCCAGGTCTGGGTACGAGACAAGGTACGACACTAGTAACCTGTGATTATGAATTTATTTATGTGAAGATAAACATAGTAAAATTAATTGTGAGTCCCGGTTCGGATAACATAAGCTTGTCTGCATGGAAATTAAAGAAAATTTTTTGATGAATTTGAATTTTATTCGATTTTGGGGCGATCTCGTCACGTACCCGGACCTGAAAGAGGCTATCACAATTTCTATGATATTCGGTAATTTTTTCAGCCCTGAAGCCCATTTGATCATCGCATTGCAAGATTACGAGGCGCTCTTGCAGCATGATCAATTGCCTACCACGTTATCCCCCAGCAGTAGTCTCCCGATTGACCAATATTTCAGTCGAGACTAATACATAATTGGGCTGAATATAGCTAGATATCTTGGTTACATCTCACACCAACGGGTTGTGTGACGACGGATTAAACATTTTCAACATTTCTTAGTGTTTCTAGGGAAATTATAAATCATCCGTCGGATCTGCCGCACTATTTGTCATCAGTTGTTGGCGAATTTCGCCATTGTAGTGTGGTTCAGAGATAAGGCTCAAAATGGTCGGTCAAGGCACTTTTGACCAACAAGTGGAAATACTTCCCTACCAAATTCAAGCCGTTCTGCTAACAGCACAGCTTGGAAAGGCAGACTGAGCAATAATCACCAATAAGATTTCGAGGCTAACCTTCGGCTAGGGCCGGTGCAGTAAGAGTTAAGCACGAGGTTTTTCAGTACCTATGGTTACCCTAGTAACCCTGTTTCGACATCAAGAAAATTTTAAGAACAGTATTTCGGAAAGACATAAATATTAAGAAATTAAATCCAGAAAACGGGTGGTGACTTGTAATAAAACATTTCGGGCGGAGGCAACGTGTTATTGATAAGGAGCCGCAGGGCTCTCTAACTAACTCAATAATCTATACATGTATATACGCTATACTAGGAATGAGATGCAAAAAGAAAATAGAGGGCTCTAAACTGTGGCGCTGGGGCCCTATCTATGCCGTTCTAGCTGAATTGTCATTAAAATCAAATATAGCTCCATTAGTTTCGGACCCACTAAAAAGAATTGCTTCGGGATCCCAACCAGGACCCCACCCTAGCAAAGGGTTCCCAGAGGTCAAGCCATCGAGATTATCCTCGAGAGCCGGATCGCTACTGAGTCCATCCAAGTATTCGGACATATCATCGATGGATTCAAGTTCGTTAGACCCAATGTTGTAGTCTTGAAAATCGGATGGAGATGTTGCATTTTCGACGATACTCCCTTCGAGAGACGGTGAATCTGCTCCAATGGAAGCCGGACTTGTATATTGCACATATTGCTGACCGCTTCCCGATGTCTCGTATAGAGGATACACAGGTATTAACGTCGATCCGATCATATTTTCAGCGTATGGTGTACCCATATGGGCCCACTCGCTTTGGGTATGGCTTGAAGCTATCGGTGCCACAAAGAACGCAGGTCTCCCCATAATTTCAAAGCAATTACGCCCACATTGGCAGTGCCTTTTGGAAGATTGTCGTTGGTTTGAAGAATAAAGTATAGGCGTTTGGTGAGCAACCGGATTTGAAGCGCTTACTGCTTGCTGGTTGAGTATAGCGCTATTGCATTTTTTGGCATTTTGTTTCATAGACTTTTGCTTCCTTCCTATGGTCGACATCGAATATTAATAATAGTAATGTTGACATAGATCCCTGGAATCAACTTACGGAAATTCCGCTGAGCAATTCGGTTTTGCATCCTTCTTCTTTCAGTGAGATTCGTAATTTTTGTCCAATCCTCATCCGAAGCTTCGTGAATCCCACCCGTATTTTTTTCCCCGTCTGAAAAAGGAGGAGATTGGGAATTTTGCGGCGACAGGTAGCAAATCATGGCGCAAAATGGGATTTGGATACCGAATGACAGTTTAGAGAAATCACTTGAAGAAATTTTATATGCTGTCATAAAGAGGTTCTAATTCCTTGGTCGATTATTCCCATGAGGTTTTGAGGTTTTAAGGATTTAAGCCTCAGAACTATCGACACAAAAAGTTAAGTGAACCACAAATACTTAAAGCCTCAGAGGCTGCGGCCATCTTTGAAGGTAGCCAAGGAAGCCAAGCAATGTTCACAAGGATGTTCAAAGGATCCCCAATCGCAGCCTGCTAAGTACTAGTGGAGATATATCTAGGGGAGTACTCTGTACAGAATTCAGAAATTCCATACACGACAGCTTGGAATTAAGGAAGGTTTGGAAGCAGTTATTGGCATAATCGCTTCACCTTGATCATCATTTCGCAGGGATTCCCTTGGGATTGTTGTCGGCCCGATCAAATGTTCGGTAAACAGGCAGGGGTCCGATGAGAAACCCAGATCACTAATCAACACAGCCGATCGAAGGGCTGTTGCTCATGGTCCACAATCGTCACCAATCGATTGCCCGCCACGAGTCAGAAGCTGGGTAACGTGATGGGACGCAGGGCTGAATTCCAATACGAGTACCGGGGCAAATGTATCATGGGTGCCCGTCACAGGCAGAACGGATGTTTGAGAAGGTGGTGGTTGTTCAGTCATTGATAAACATTAAGAATGCATTAATGGAGGTACGGAGCACCGATATTATTAACACAAATTAAACCAAGCCAAGCGCTTACATGTAATCGTCTTTAGCGAGCATCCATGGGTAGCTCGGAGTTCATACTTTCTCGAGCTTAGTTTCTGTCACAAGGCTGAATACCCCTGGAAAAACTGGTGACAATGTCTGCACATTGAAGATGACGATTCTCGGGTGCTTGCCCGAAAGTGTATCGTTTTTGCAGAGTATGCTAGAAAGCCATAAGAAATTAGTCCCTTGTTTCAATGTTGTGCATATTGTACAGCCATCATCACGATAAAAAGAAAGCTCCTTGAACCAAGAAAGCTTCAAGCCGCACCGTTTAGCCTTGCAATAACCAATAATTCCTTAAGTATATGACGGCTGTGCGACTCTTTATCCGGCTCAGTCCACCCATTGAGCTTTAACTGATACCTACTTATGTGCTCTATAGTAGGTATGTTAAACGTCAAGTGATAACGCGGTCAACAATCACTAAGTTGAGCCTGAACCGAGTCCCGTGATATTCGCGCGTCACATTTCCACATTAATCTTGGTTCAGTTAATTGCCAGATGGATTCGAATTGTGCTACAACATGCACGAATAATACCTTGTTGGATTTTTCCGAATCTACTTTGGGAAATACGACACGAAACAACGAGTGTGGAGATCCCTTGACCGTGTTGTCGGGTTTATAACGTTTACGAGGCTACGTTAAGCTTGCATTGACTCTTTTATCCCTGAAGACATTGTCATGCTGCTTTGCTGGGACTGAAAACGAGCAAGGCCCTAGACACTTAATAGATAGCTTAGGCTCCATTATACTTATAGTTGCTCCCTTCAAAAACCTTAAATAGGTTTTCATAGAGCTTGGAACGATTCTAGATGTTTTATAGGAAACTCGAATTTTCAGAAATTTACGTACATTCTGATTACCCAAGTAGGTACGGTAACGATCTGTTTCCTCGAGTAACATTTTATAATTGTCTAAGTTACACCCAGACACAAGTTGCCAACGCGAGTATTTGGCCCCAGAAGCATATCTGTTCTTCGCGCGGGCGTAAGGCGGTGCACTTAGCGTTGAAGCGACCGCAGGTCAATGTGCCAACTTCTAGGCCAGGTTCTAATTGTTGGTTCCCGTTGCCTTTATAAGAGCACATCTGACCGTAATGGCGAACCCCACTAAGGGAGTCAGGAAACAAGCCATCGGTTCTACCAGGTGTCTCCCAAGTTTGCTGCGACTCAGTTTCGCAAGCATCAGCAATATCCCCTGTTGAAGGTGGTGTCTTTGTCCAATCCTGTCCACGCCAGTAGGTCTGGGCACAAACACCCGAATTATCACAGATACCCTCCCAGAGCAGAATCCACGACCTCCCGATATTTGGATTACTACCTCCCCCACCATTATTTCCACCCGGAGGGAAAGTGTCGGATGAACTGGGATAGGGTAGTTTGTCTGGGCATTTAGAATTCATGTAGCAGGGATCATACCCCTCATCTGCCCCATTTCTACATTCTGGGAAGATTTTGTAAACAAGGGGGTCTAGGAAACTACCCAATTCCCCGCTGCGTTTCACAACTGACAATGGGGAAAGGATACCGGGTGATGAGTTATTCGATACCTTTTCGTTGGGTATTTCGTACCCATCGCGATCGGCAGGCCGCGATTCACGACGAGCACGGCGACGTCGGACTTGTAGGGGTTTTCGGTGGGCTGTCCGCAATACATCTTGGGGATTTGGGCTCATAGTCTCATCTGGGCCCTCATTAGGCCCAAACACCCCAGGTTCAGGGTCAACATTCCGTTTGGCCCCTAAATCCCGGGTGGCTAGGTTGGGCCAAACAGGCAGATCGTTCATATTGGAAGGGATACGATAGGTAGCGGGCTCACTGGGGACAACAAGGCTTGCAAGCGGCCAGGGTCTGCAGGAAGTCGGAACCTCTTTTAGCATAGTCGTGGTACTTCCATCACCCACAAACGTCGTCTGTTCCCATGCCCAGTTAACTAAGGGAGGATATGGTGGTATAGTCCCTCCTGGCGGACCTTGAGCAGCAGCATAGGTGATCTCTCGGCTTTGTGGGGGTATGTCTTGTTTTATGCTTAGGGTTCCGGGTGATGGCCAGTCGCAAAATTGTAGCGTTGATTCTGTATTCCCAGCCCGGGTTAAGTAAGGATCGTTATACGGCTCGCTCGCATGACCTGGTGGATAGGGTCCAACAACGAGAAAATCTGACCCGAAGGGAATTCCGCAGATATTCTTCCCACGGTCCTCGAGACCCCAATTACTGTCATGCTCACCCGGAGTATCAGCATCCCAGGTTATCTTGAAGGTTAGACTGCTCCTGGGCATTACTCCGGGAGGGGCGCCAGCTGCAGTTGTATAATCCGCAGAGTCAAGGCGTGTCGTCATTACCGTTCCTGAGCGATATGATTTGAAGTAATATCGATCAACCGCAACTAAAAACTGGTCCCAATCCGAAGCATGCTGCGAGTTTTCTGGTTTTGAAGATACTCTTAGTTGTTTGTTATAATAATATCTTAATTGGTACTTTGGACTTACCCGTTTGCTCCACGAGCCGAAGTACAGGATGATCACGCGCTGGGGCTGGAAGAGTATTCACGGACCAGAATGGGTACTCCTCAACGTTACATCCTACTATTCTCCACCCACCAGTTTCTCCCAACGCAGTGCCAGCATTCTCCGGGCGAGCACCATACCAATCCTCAGTCGTTCTAGATCCGGACAGGCCCCGTGCATGCGTTATACGAGTCACAATACTAGGTTGCCCCCTAGCCTCGATTGCAGATCGGAGGTTACCGCAGATATTTGGGAAATAATCCGCAGATCCCTTACAAGTGTAGACGGCATGGTAATCCCCGGTAACTGCCCATGGAAATCCCGGTTGAGTGCTGAAATCGCAAGCCTTCCACTTGGCCCCGAATACTCTGTCCCTTTTCTGTATATTTTGAAGCTCTTCTGAACTATCCCGAGCTTTTAGTCCGAAGGGTGATGCTCCACATATATTCGATTCTGGTAGTCGGCAAGTTCTTGCATCTTCGATAGCTTCGGCAGCTTCTATAGGGCTGTCATCAAGACTTATTTGGCAACTGCTTCTCAAACCAAGAGCATCAGCTAGATTTCCGACAGTACAGTCAATGATATTTTTGACGTTATCCCATAGAGGATAGTTTCCATTAGAACAGAAGCCCAATGCGTCGGATACGTCAGGAGTACAACAAAGCCCTGAAGATTCGCAGTTGACCGGCGGGGGTGGCAGAGGAGGGTCCAAAGGAAGCGGTATTGGGATGGGTATTATAAATGGTATGGGAAACCATATGTCGTGGTCGTCATCGTCGTCATCGTCGTCGTCGTCACCAAGGTGAGCATCTGTTGGTAACGGAGTAGAAGCAGGATATGTATGCGTACCGACAGTTACCGGAGTTGTAAATTTCACACCCGAGAGCGGTACAGGAAATGGGAGTTCGGCGCCAGACGGGACAACAACCGGATTACACATAGACCCTCCTACTCCGCAGCAGGTGCCGGTAAGTCTACGCCATATATTGCAATCCTCGTGACATTCGGTTGCTGGCACCGGCGGTTGGTTTTGGGCACCAGATGCCGGCAAATTTGCGACCTCCTTTATACAAGACGGTGTCAAAGTAAATGTTGCACATGGCGCTAACGATGTGCAGGTTAAGGACACGATCGTAGCATTCTCGGGGCTACCGCTTGAACCAAGCTCAGGTTCACCATAAACAGAACTGCCCTTGGATGCAAGCTCCAGCCACGCTGTGATCGTTGAAAGAAAGCCATTTTGGTTATCTTTTTGTAAAGCGGGTACTGCTCCAGCTCCCCTAGGGCTGACTGACTCTTTAGCTCCTTTCGTGTAGATGTCGTAAACCCAAATATTCTCTGAATAGGAGGTTTCAAACAGGCTATCTTGACAATGTTCCCCGGGGAGGCATACAGGTTGGTCATAGTTATAGAACCTAATCCCTTTTTGTTAGAATCTGAACCTATTAAAAAGGTAGTAGCCATTAAGGCTGTAGAGAATTCAAGAATTGGTGGTCTGACCATGAATACATTCCGGCACCATAAATAAAAATACCCTCTGATCGAATTATACGAAGTGCCCACGAAATTGCACATTTAGCGGAACTTCCTGAGCATTTTTTGAAGGACGGATCCCCTGCGTAGACGAGGGGTAACGAGGCAAATGGTTCCGGGGCAACAGGAGCCGGTTGAAAATAAGGGCTTTCTGTCTGTATGGACCCCAAGTAGATGTTTTTCGCACCTGCGAGTTGATATTGATACAGAACAGCATGCTCACTTGAGGTACCATGAAACCAACTAGGGCCTTGTGACTCGATCAAAATGCCTCTGCCGACATATATGCTTATCTGAGTCTGGGCTGGTGTGTCGAGATCGTGGTCAGCAACCCACGCCCAGACATTTTCAAAATATCCGGCACTTTGAGGGGTTAGATGTAGCATTAATGCAGCAGCTATACAGTTGTTTTCGACACCGCTTAATTTCGGGCATTGCGCTGTTTGAAGATTCGTACCAGCAGCGCCCCCGACGCGTAGGAGAACGTCCCACATTCCTGCTGCTCCTGGGCTGGAACTCTTCAAGTTCCACTGAACTAGAATAGCCCCACCTGTTGGGCCAGAGCTTGTCGAAGTCGTAACGATGATATCCGATAGCTCTGCGGCGCCAGGCTGTCCATCTCTTGCTCCAACTTTTAAAACTGGCTGGGGACGCCGTTCGTTTGCGAAGAAACTACCTGAAGCGACGATTTGGGACCAACATTCGCCAGTAAGATGAGTACCTGCTGGAACGTTGAGCGTTCCTGTGACTTTGTAAAGCCCCATCGGCAACCACAAAACTTTCCCCGATGATGCAGCCGAAGCTAATGCCGAGTTCAATGCAGCGGTATCATCCGTTTGACCGTTACCAACAGCCCCGAAAGTCTTGACACTGACAAAAGATGAAGCCCCGAGTAACTCGTACTGCGGCCGGCTTCTTTCAAAATACTTGCCGCTCGAATCGACAAGTTCTGGGGCTCGGCGAATCTCTGGCGAAATGTTCCCATTTCCACTAGAAGGTTGCACCTGACCGAACTGGGTATATTTTGTCTTTGTGCCCCATGATTCTACAATGCCAATTCCATTCCCACCCAATATGGAGGGGCCCCCGGAAATAGTGACCACAGAAGCAACTGAATCAAGTTTGAGTTTTTCAAGGTAGATATTCGTCCGATCAGAAGTGAGAATTCCGATAGGGACCGAGGAGAAAGATGAATCCAGAACTACTATGGATCCAATAGGTTGGTCGCCTTCTCCTTCAGATGTCACATCAATACCCACCCCACATGAATTTATGTTGATGTTTTTCCAAGTCCAACCCCAGTCCCAGATCATCTTAATGGCGGTAACCTGGGAAGTGAATTGAAGATTTCTTGCTGTGAATCTAATAGACATAACGAAGATCAGTTCCAATACCAGAAGAAGATTCTATTAATTCAGAGTCAAACTCACTGCTGAGAACCACATTTCATACCAATATTTCCGCCAAAGAATGTTAGGTCGGTAAGGAAGCCGCCGCTTCCATTCTCAGTGAATATTCCAACTTGGTTATTCCCCGGCGCAGTACTCATGACGAAGTGAATGTTCTGTAGACTGGTCTCTTGAGCAACCTACGAATGGAAGTGGTCGGATTAGAGGGTATTCTACTTCGACAAAATAGTAACAAGGCCTTTTTACCTGCCAATGCATGCCCGTTGGAGGCCAACCTTGAGAATCTGGTGACATATCTCGCAAGTCGAGAACAAAATCCCGAATTGAACGATAAAAGTTGTTCTGGTTAATATACCATTGGTCGCCATTTCCTCCAGGTATATAGACATTAGTATCAATCAATGCAATTCCGACAAAGTCTTTAGAACCCTTGATGATAGGCCTGTTGTTGTAATTTCCGATGAATTGAGTATAATACAATTGAATAATCGGTGTGCTGACAAGGTACGTTCCTGAAGGAAAATAAACAATGGCACCTAGGACTGTAGTTGAGCCACAGCCAAGTCCACATCTATTGCCTGAGGATATTGCTTTGTTAATTGCTTCCGTGTCATCAGTGATTCCGTCTCCCTTTGCACCGAAATCTTTGACGTTTCGGAAAACTTGGTAGCCAGCCGGTGCATGAGGATGATGCCCATGTTCAACTTGCGTCAGCCAGAAATCATCAGGTGCTCGTGGATTAAGGATCTCCGTCTGGTTTTCGTTAGGCAAACCATCTTCTCTAGCATGGATTTTAGCGCCAACGGGCTATTTTTTCTCGCACAATCCTGTTAGTAAGAACATAGACTCCGGGTTTACACCAAAGCTGGGGTATACATTAAATTGCCGATAATTTGGGATCTAAGTGAACTGACCAGGTTCGAGTGAACTAATTGTCCAGTATTTCGACGACTCAATGATACCAGGTTTGTGAGTTTTTCATAGTTCGGTATTCTGAAAGCCCTCTCTTGGTGTAGAAAAAATATTATTATAATAGAAGTCGTGATAAATATTGCAGAGGAGATAGTTCTCCATGCTACCCAGGTAGGCTTGTTCATCCTGTGTGTAGTTCTAGTTTACTTTTTAGAACCAGGATTTTGCATGCACATAAATATATATCAAGCTCCTGGTCACTAGTTCTCTATTTATACCTTAATGCCTCACCCGATTTTGCAACTTTGACTCCAACTATGCTGATAAGTAGAAAACCTAGTATCTAGAAACAAAAGGCCCCTCGCCGGTCTGTATCAATCTCGTCGGGGAAAACTATCTAGGGAGTTGATTACAAACTATTACCGCGATCTAAATGGCCGATAACAGCTTATCATAACATTGCTTATCATAACATTGCCATCTGTCAACATGGGTGCTAAAACGCAGATTCAAGGTATATTTAAAAGGTATACTGATAGTGATATGTTGTATTCTTTGAGGTATGGTAAACGCGCGCAACTGGACTATCCTGGCAGGTCCAATTTAGAACCCGTATTCAATCAACTTCCCGGTGCCGCGGCCCGGCCAGTAGTACTATAATGATGTAACCTCGAAGACCCCCACATGTGGATAGCTGGACTAAAAGGGTTAGGGTATAAAATAGAGTATCTCTTGAAGAAATCTAATTCTGTTCATATAATTCGTCTGAAACGTTAACATTCTAGTAAGCTGACAAACCGTTCTATAAGTTTTCTCAAGATAAATCACGATATCACTGATTTATCAGCCGATTTATATGTCACGAGTCGCGATATCGTCACGATTGTGGTTCTTGAAGTGGAATGCTTGAATAATCAAATTCAATGAGCTCTTCCCCTCAGTTTACAGAATACAGTGGACATTAATCTTAAGCAATAAGTGGTCATCATGGCTATAGTAAGCTGACGCTAAACCTGTGCCATCCCTGTCGTGATTTCGAATATTTCCAACACGTCTACATGCACAGTTCGACGGATCCGATAGCCCAGCCCATAAACCGCAGTCTGAGGGCATAGTACTCGCGCATAATAAAATTTTACAGGCTAGAAAATCAATCTGGAAAATAGATCAAGAAGCCCCCAATTTTTCTTCATTAGTGTTCTAAGCTCTCTGGTATTTTCAAAGTACGTATCTTGAGAAACCTGGAGCTGACTATCGACAATTTTCAACAATTAACAATTCCATCTTTCAAAATGCCACACTCCAACGCGGCGAAAGCATTCGAAGTTATGGCTCTATTTCATGATAAAGGTCAATTGGTACTCGGCCTTGTCACTCCAGTATGCCCACCTGAAGTTTTAAAACCTATATACCTTAGTTTTAAAAGTTTGTAGAACCATGTTTAACTCGCGCCAAAGAATAGGCCACCCTCGAAGTAACAAAATATTTTGCTACAATAGATTTACAACACGTCTATCCATACATCCTGGGAGCCATAACGTTTATCGTTTTAGCCATTCCACTCGCCAGCAGAACTCTCTCGATTAAGAACCAATTGAATATATCTCTGGCCTCATTTTTAGCATTATTATTCTGCTCGTATTTGCAGGCGAGCTCCGCTATCCACGATGTCGAAGATATGACATATCTCTGGGAGATAGGAGGGAGCTTACCTGCTATAGCTGCCTGCGCATTACTTATGCTCTCTTGGATAGGCTTTTGCTTAATAGCTGTTGCAACAGATGAAACAGTACAAGGTCGATATTCTATGAAGACTCACCCCCGAGAAGATGCTGCTATTGTCGATGATATGAAAACTATCAGAATAGGATATATTGTGCCTGTGGCATGCATATCAATAGGCGGAATTTTACTTCACGCCATATGGCTATTAGGTGTTATATTCTCAATATCTTATATAAGTCTGAGACTTATTATGAATTTATGTAACCCGTTTCTAAATCTAGTAAGTCGTCAAAAGCCATTCACTATAACAATAAAACAGATTTAATACGCTAAAGCGTTATTAGCAATTATATACATATAAACTAACAACAGCCCTTAGATCCACAGTTTAAAATTATATTACGTTATATTCAACGCGATTTTCGTGCTGTTCACCGGAAGTCTCGTCGCCTCCGTCGCCCCTGCCCCCAAGAACGAATTTGGGTTCGGGGGTAACCTAAACCTGCACTACCTATCAGCCGAATCAAGAATTAGGTTGCGAAATACTATAGGAGGACCTCGAAATCTTACCTATATCGACCAGAAATATGTATCCCTGTATCTAGAGAATGGAGGATTTATATCAACGGATAATAACAATAAAGGTAGTTGAACTTCATCGACCCTTCGCCTGAATTTAGAATATATATTAACAATTCTCCAAGGCTATTTCGTACCTGTGCTACATGACCGTATAGGAGTTATGCATCCGTGGCAGATCGCCTTAGTTAAATCACACAATCATCTCAATCTAAAGAATGAAACGGATTATTGGGATGAGATTGGGCTACACCGTTCTGGCGGCGAGACGGCGAGTATTGGTGATCACGATTTAGTGTCACTCCGAGATGGCATATCAATGGCATATATCACGGTTCTTCAGGAAGAACTCCAAGAAGATATCAACAACCAGGAAGGATTAATAGATAGGGCCGAAGTACAAAAAATGCAGCGATACCCCCTTGAGTTCGTATTCCTACCCTTGCAATTGGATTAGTTGAGCTCATGAGTCTGGCTCTTTGTGGAAAAATTGCCCTCATATACATTTATCACAAGCGTTATGGCTAACTGGGTGATATAAAACGCCATATAGATTATATAGCAAGCCTCGCTTCAACTCTGTGTTCCAAATCCAGTACAGGGATCCTTTGGATATAAGAAAAGGGTTTCGATTTCAGTCCGCTTCTGGGTGCTACATTTCTAGTACCTTTTTCCATAACAAGCCACCGAGCGACAGACAGAACAATGCCACCGCACTGAAGTCCCAAAGTCAAAGAACCGGCACGACTACGACGGCACAAGAGGGAGTGAAAGCAGACCAATTCATTGACGCCGACTCTTTGTTAGAAGCAAGCAACAAGGATCGTATTGCCGAAACCCTGCAGCGGACAACTTTGATCGGCTGTACTTTTGAGCCAAAGCTCGAGATTTCAACTTTCAAAATAGTTGACGGTAATTAAAGCACACTTACTATAATATAGCTTAAATTGGGCTTGACAGCTAATACTTCAAGTAGAAGCGGCCGGGGTAGGGAGAGTCAGTAGTCATCAGGACAGTTCCTCCAGCCCCCCCTTAAAATCGAATTGGGTGATAGAGTTACTTTGTGCCCAAGTTCGAATGAGACAGTATCTTCGACTAGCGGTTTGGGCAGGCGGCCGTGGACTACAAGGAATCCAAACTCCTTTGATACTCGGAGTTGCCGCCCGGGAAAATTATTTTGGAAGCCCGGGGGGTCGTATAGTCCTAAGCCAGACTATATTATTGACACGAACGTTTATCATTGTTCTATTAGGCCTGATATCAGCGAAGATGATACGAATACAACTACAAAAGAGAAACCTTTGTCGCGCCGAAACGCCAAAGCCGCTGACTATAAAGGATAATGGTATTGATTTTGACGAAACCCCCAAACGGTTCTCCTACCTGTACTATAGAGAGCTGGTAGTCATGTGCGTCCTGACATTAGGAATCCACACCACTATCACAGGGTCAGGCTACTTTGTCGAGTGGCTATGGATGTTGGATCAGGTTTGTAGCATCGTAGGCTTGGCTGCTCTTGGTTTAATGTATATATTATGAATGAGATGAGTGTGCGCTGGGTTTGTTGCATGTTGGTTTCAAGTGTTTTCGGGTTAGCTTAGATAGTATCCGGACCCAACCCAACTTTTAAACCTCATTCGCAAAGAGAAACAAGTGGCCACCGAATAATTCACAGATAGTATCGTACTTGATTTTATTGGTCCGCTTCAACGGTAACGTTAACCTCATCGGAATCCTCCTGGGTTTTGCTCAACACATTAGGATGTTGTATTTTATCAAGGCTAACGGTTGGCTGGGCCTCCCTATCGATATTCCGCACCCTAGTCTCGACCCGAATCCCCGGCTTCAAGCCACAAAAATCGAAATTGCTATGTGTCCAATAGCAAGGACGGGAAATGAAGACGTTGACATAACCCAATAACCCCTCACCTTCGATCTTTCTGGCACGAATATCCTAGCGATTTGGAGCAGGCGCTCGCCAGGTTTTCCCGCTTCCAGCTTATCCCGCTTAGCATGAGACGACGTTCACCCTTGAATATCGGCGAAATGGTCCACAATTTCACTGCGTTCATCGTGCATAGCTAGCTGGAGCCTACCGGCTCATGGGATATGTGATTATTCCAAACGGAATGAACGGTTTCTCCCTCAATTCAACAGCTCCACATTGCGAAATAACCTGCTGTTGAAATCCCCATGCATTCGATTCTGTCGCATTTGCATATTAGGGCGGATTCGAACTCGTAGCGTCAAAAAAATTAGCCGTCAGAGGAAGGACCCACCACACCAAATTCGAACCCTTGTTGCAGGGTATCTTGTAGCTGGGACCATAACATTCCATGCAGAATGTTCTTCTTTTTCGTCCCAGCAACCATACTTGTGATTAAGTTTGGCAGAAACGTGCATTTACCTCATTTTTCCAACGTTGTGCTGCCAATACCCTTGCACCCTCCAATGTTTTGGACTGACTTGGACCTCGCTTCCGCCTAGGTGGAGCAGGTCGGAGCTAGCCAGCTACTATCGCGACGCTATCGTAACCCCCCTTGTCGGCGGGCTTGCTGACCAACGGGGTTTAGGATATTTCGTGCGGGTTGCACAATTTTGGGGTCTCATGGATGGCTTTTGCCTCTAATTATAAGCCTATAAAGTTCCCACTTCCCCGAGGGTTTGGGTCCTACTTTTCCCTTTTGGAACCAGTACCTGAGCTCTTATCGATATTGATACCCGGAGCTACATTCGTTCCCCTTTAATATCTTAACTTTTCCCTAGCTACCGCCCTTAATATTTGTTCTCGCCATCTAGTTCAGGGCCATCTTGTTGAGAGCTGAAGTATTTGGTACCGGCTAGTACCGAGCTTCATAATACGGGGCTAAAGATGTTAAGCATCTTTACACTCTCCTATTATGCAGCCGGTGGGTGGGCAGGATTCTGGATTTTGCGAGTCCTTTATCGACTTTCGCCTTTCCACCCGTTAGCTAGAGTCCCAGGTCCCAGGCTAGCAGCGGCGACACAACTTGTAGAGTTCTATTATAATGTCTTGCAAGATGGACAGTTTATGTATTCCATATGCCTCACTTCTATCATTAAAAACCCCGTACGCTAATATATCTACCGCTAAATGCAGATTCAAAACAGTGGAGTGGCACGAGAAATACGGCCCTATAGTGCGAATCGGTCCCAACGAGGTGCACGTCAACGACCCATCCTTCTATAATATCCTCTATAGCAAAGACTATCGCTTCCCCAAGTCCCAAGGCCATTACCGTTTTGCTCAACAAACGGAAGGTGGATTAGGAAACTGCAACGTTAGAACCCATAAAGCTCGTCGTGCGGTACTCGACCCTCTTTTTTCGACCCAGGCTGTGCTTAAACTTGAACCACAAATCCGCAAATTCGTCGATATGGCTATCTCTCGTGTTGGGCGCAACGTTGAAAGTTCAGAGAAAGAAGGGTTTGAAATCAACGGTGTATTCCGATGTTTGACAGTCGATGTTATATCGCAGTATGCCTACAGCGAGCCTATAGGAATGCTTGAAAATGAAAGAGAAAACGACCCATTTTTTGTTGGAATGGATAATTTGATCGGGTTGACTTGGGTATACAGTTGGACTTGGAAACTCCAAGACTTGCTTATGGCGCTACCGTTTTCGCTCGTCAGTAAAATCATGCCACCGGATGTATTAGGCGTGATTGACTTCCAGCACGTAGGTTCAATCTCCTCCCTCAATCATCCATCTTAAGGTGTGGCCAAGTCCAGTGTACGCAGCAGCCAGACTCCAAAGGTCTCATACAGGGAATGTTACACAGAATGGCCACGAGGGAGGTGTTACGCAAATTAAAACTTTGTTTGGTATTCGGGATGCTAACGGGACGGTGTTTCATATTGATAGCAAGCCGAAGACCGAGTTGTTTCATTCCTTGCGGATCCAGAAAAGGCCAAAGCAAAGTATACCCATACAACGGTCTTTGAGGTATTGCTTTCTGGCAACCAAGAGAAAGGCTATGAGGTTCCATCTCTCAAGGCCTTGAAGGAGGAAGCATGGGGTAAGTACTGCGCTCTTTCCTTTTTCAGAAACACTAGTTATTAAAAGATATTTTATAGGGTTCCTCGCGGCTGGTTCTGAAACAACAGCGGCGGCACTGTCTAATGGAATTTACGAAGCCTGCAAAGAACCCAAATTCCAAGAAAAGCTCTACGCAGAGTTAATCGCGGAGTTCCCCGATCCGGACGCTGAACCTATCACTTACAAGCGTGCTGTCCAACTACCATACCTTACCGCATTCATCAAGGAAACATTGAGAACCCCACCTGGTGTTCCTGGTCGCTTACCTAGAGTTGTTCCTAAGGAAGGTGTAACTGTCTGCGGACAGTTTATCCCTGGTGACGTATGTCCATCTATCGTCCCGACCACAATTTCTCAGTTGCACACAGCCTAACATGATCCTTTGCAAACCAGACTATAATTGGCATGTCCTCAATCCTACAGCAAACCGATCCAAATGTCTACAAGAATCCGACAAAGTTTATACCCGAAAGATGGATTCAAGATAAAATCCCAGAACAATCCTTTGTACCATTCGGAAAAGGGTCAAGAGGTTGTCAGGGTATGAACTTAGCATGGGCCGAATTATACCTCACATACGCAAACCTCTGGAGAAGATACTCCTTTAGACTCCATGAGAGTAGCACCCTGACTGATGGATGGACAGATCAGTTCATTCCGAAGAGGGAAGGAAAGCTTAAAGTAGTAGTCATCCCTCGAGAAAAATGAGTCAAGGCAGTCTGGTTTACGAGAGAGCTAGTTGTTCATATAGATCAGGCGGAATAGGTTTTATTGGATGTTTAATACTTCGGTCGTTAGTCTTGAGATTGTGTATCTTTTTGAAATTGGAGTACCTGGATGCTTTTTTGGACATTTGGACTTTACCATCTGCGAATTTAATTATTTTGGCCATCACTTCGAAGATTCTCATGAAACCTAGGGAGGGGGGGGACAGCGCCTGCCTATTAACTATGATTTCAATTTTTTATTCCTCCACGATTGCAAGAATTTTTTTAATTTGGAGAAACTGATAGCATATAATATAACCATGCTTAGGAATCTTATCAACGAGCCGGAGATCAAATAGGAGCCTAGTTACACAATTATGTCAAACTTCTAGCGTCTCTGCCTTCATCATTATAATGCATTGCGGACGTTATTATTCAGAATGTGTTTCCTAGTTGACTAGTTCTAGATTTTCTGGACAAGCATTTGATACAAGCCTACGGCTACTTATATATGATACTTTAACGGGATTTTGACTTATAGCTGTAACTAATAATTAAATATGTCCTCGACAGCTGGGTTGGCTGACTACCGTTGCACGTTGGTGCACTAGTATCACGATGCCGAACAGAACCCCAAACAAAAACCTAACTTTTGGCACCAAGTCTCAATATTCTGCTACTGTGTCCCCTTTATCCTTTAGATGAGTCAAATATCTTCCTTTCGTATTTTTTATGTTTGATGTTTTATCTTTTTTTTTTTTTTTTGAGGCCAAGATGCCGATATGTAGGCCCCATGACAGTTGGAGTCAAGTTGCTGTTAGTTATATTGCCACCGTGTTGGGCGCGTTTTGGTGGGCGCCAAAAAGTATGTCCGATCTTAACACCGTTGACATTTCCCACCGACGTTCGCCATTTAACGAAATCCCAACCGCAAACGGGTCAGAATTAACAAAACACCAGCCTTCCAACAGCGAGGGCGTATATATCCTTCCTAGATATTCGGAATCAGTCGCGATATACCAAAATTCTACCCGCGGCCCAAGTTTCACGATATCCCAGCCATTACACCTGGAAGGCTTCACCCCTGAAGCCCCGCCATCGATCTAACACTGCACCATGGTAGGCATCTCAACTCCAAGCGGCTCTGAGTAACCGACTGACGAATTTGTGGATGATGAAATAGAACGCCCTATTCAATTCTGCTCTCAAGCAGAGCCAGTCCTTAAAACGCGATATCAATGCCTTCTCCAGTTCGCAAAAGTCGGCAGCCGAACAGGGTAGGCATCACAGTCGCCGAGTTCGAGATGGCACCATGCTGACATAGTATGAATAGGACAAATATCTGCCTCTTTGGCATCCTTCAATCGAACAATAGACGACTACGATGCGATGTCTAAGAGGGAATTGATACCCGCCAAACAGGAGAAAGCGAAGGAAAGAGTTCAGAATTTTCGAATACAGTACTCCGAGTTAAAGATGGAATTTGATAAATTAAGGAGCGAAAAGGAAGAAGCTGTACGTTCGATTGGCTCCGTTTTACAGTATGGGAAAGGAGTTGGAACTGACAGTGTGGATAGGACACAGCGACGAACCGCACCGAACTCTACGGCCGCCGTGGCCACTCGTCCGCTACACCCGATAATCCGTACTCTTACTCTGCACCGACTAACCGACCACCACAAGGCTCCACAGCCTTTGGAGCACCTCTCACATCCTCAAATCTGAATCGGGAATCGCATGCCCTTCACGAGCAAAACTTCCTTGGCCGAACCAATGACGCACTGGACGAGTTCTTAGCCCGTGGACGAGCAGTCCAAGAAGAGCTGGCGCTAAATAAAATGACCTTAAAAGAAACCCAGAAACGACTATACACCGTCGCTAATACCCTCGGAATAAGCGGAGATACAATACGTATGATCGAGCGACGGGCGAAAGAGGATAAATGGATATTTTATGGCGGAGTGGTTGTCTTCTTTGTTTTCTGTTACCTCGTCTTGAAGTGGCTAAGGTAGTCATTATGGAAAAGTATCAGTATCAGTTTATAATATGTATATCTGGTGGTCGGCAGCTTGGCAGCGTTTTACGGTACTCGGCATCCTTTGGGGCATCGTGGCTGGCTCCTTGCGCATTGGACTCGTTTTTGGCGAGCAGGTCCGATGCAAGTCTGGAATGGCAAGGGGTTGACGAGGCAGCTTGCGAAATAGCTCCACAAAGCTCCATTATAAAACGTCGCCTAGGCTATTTTTTAATTCCGGCGAGCGTACGCTAGAAACTGTCCAAGAACCAGATACTCTCGACTATAAATTGCCATTACGACTGCTGCACAATCTTCCATTCCCTTTGCTCCTGTGTGTCTTCTTTCCATTGGTTGGCGGCTCTACTCTGTAGCGTTTTAGCATTTTTGGTTTCTCACATTCTGCTTTTCACAATTTGATTGTCGGGTTCACTTGTCCTCCGATATAGAATAATACGGCTTCTAATACTATCCTAATATTCCTCCCAACTATATCGGTTTCGTCCTATCCTCTAAAGCCCCCAATAAAGCTTAATCTCGACTAGGCTCCCGCACACTGCACTGAGCACTGATATATCTAAGCATGTCTACCACCATGGATGAATCGTCGTCACCAGCAGCGGAATCTCCCGCCGTCCTGCGCCAAGCCGGTAAGTCTCGGCAGGTCATAATACCACAATGTCAACGCTTGATCCTAACAGGCACTCGACAGGTCTTCTCGAAAAATTCCATATCATTCGTTCCTCAATCTCGTTCTATAACAACGTAATTGTCTCTGCAAGCTATTCTTCACCAAATCCTCTGTCTCCAGACCGTTTAATACGTGCTCTACACACCGTCTTATCTGCCCATCCAAGTCTTTCCGTTGGTATCCAACTCTCGGAAGAATCAACAGGCACGCCGTCATTCATTCGCCTCCCCTCGATCAATTTTAACAAGAGCGAGAAATTTATAATATGGGAATCTTCATCGACATCGCCGGGTCATGCAAAAGAATACAAAGATCTACTTTGTAGGCTTCATAATACTCCATTTGCCAATGAGGATCTTACTACCTTACCGCTCTGGAGAATCGGAGTGTTGAAACGTTCGTATAATACACCAACGGCTCATGATTCGGAAACGAATTCGGAAGGAAGGATTGACTATGAAATTGCGTTCAGTGTCCACCATGCTATTGCAGATGGATTATCTTGTGCTGCATTCCACTACTCTCTTGTCAATGCTTTAAATAGCGTTGACGAGACTAGTGGTTCCGAAGTCAACTGGGACATCTACACCCCACCGAAAGACCTCAAGTTACTCCCTTCAATGGATGAAGTCCTCGATTTCGGTATGGGTCTTAAAACCGCGGGCAAAGTAGCTGGATTCGTCGGAAAGTCCATATTACCATCCTTCATGCACAAAACGTTTTGGGCTGCCGGAAAGGTTCCTGAAAAATTATCCCCGACGAAAATTGACGTGTTGACATTCGAACCCTACGTACTAGAGAGTTTGATCAAAACTTTACGGGCGAAAAAGGTCAGCTTGACAGCTTTCTTGACATATGCGGTTGCGAATTCGCTGTTTAGTATCATGAAAACTTTGGAGAAAGATGAATTTGCGAAGATTAAGTATGTGAAAGTTAGTGTGCCGATGAGCTATCGAAAGAACGCTGGATGGGATAATACTGTTATGTCGGATTTTGTAGGGGCTATAAACTGGGATATTGCGAAGTTTAAGTCGTTAGAAGGGGAGGTTAGCGGGATGAAAAAGTTGACAGCGGAACTCAAGAAAGAAAGCACCGTTACCAGAGACTCTGAAGTCGGCCTAATCGCCTTAGTCGGGGATTTAGCTGGGTTCTTCAAAGGACAAGTTGGCAAAGATAGAGAGTTGACGTTTGAGGTATCAAATCTGGGAGTTTTGGATCCAGGGAAGATTGGAGATCTGAAAAAGAAGGAACAGGAGAAGGAACAAGAGAACAAACAGGAAAAGGAAGGTGGGGAAGGAAGCAAAACAGCAACAAAGGAGTCTGAGGGATGGAAGATTGAGGAGGCACTGTTCAGCCAGAGCGCCTCCGTGCCAGGGCCCGCATTCTCGGTAAACGCCGTAACTGTCAACGGGAGCATGAGAATTGTGGTGCAATGGATGGAAGGAGTATTCAAAGATGATGTTATGGAAGCCTTGGTGAAAAGTTTGAATAGCTCTCTACCAGATTTTTCTAAGTAGGGTTGAAAACAAAAGGTATATATCGCGAACATAGGAGGGAAATGAGACCAGTACGCCTGATCTGAATCTAATATTTAGAGATATCTGACTAATGTTTAATATTGAACTCCACTCATATTTGGGACAGAAATATACATGTATACAATATAATCATGAGCTGAAGTAATTGGATTTAACGCCAATAGAAGCCAAATATAACAATACAATCTTCCTACGTCCTAGATCCCAAACTAAACCCTATTGCCTTAGAACAAATTTGGTGCAATAAATCAGCAAACCCTAAGCACCCAGAGCTCCATAGGCCTAGCCTCAACTCCACCATAAACCCAATTTCGCGCACGCCCAGATCTCACAATTTAGATTCCTTATCGATATCTTTATCCGTATCCTGTGATGCCTTCCTAACAACCTGCAAGAATAATGCGAATAGATCTTCATCCCTAAGGACATTATTCTCAATCCCCGCAGAAGCTCCAGCGACGGCTCCCGCAGCAACGACCGTTCCAGTACCCCCTAAAGCTACTGCAGTGATAGCGGCAGCGCCCGCGGCCCCTCCAGCTCCAGCACTCTGACACAAAGCAAATATCGAACCAGCTTCAACGATCCCGATGGCGGACTGCCAACCCGCAGCAATGCTCCCGGCACCTACACCTGCACCGCCGAATCCAAGAACTGGAAGTATGAGTGGGGAGAGGATTGCTGTCAAAGCAATGGTCCCTCCTACTGCGATACCGCCAATAGCAATGTTCTTAGCAACTTTCAAGCCCTGCTTTATTTTGAGCTCTACAGAAGTTTAATAGTGTCAGAGTTATCCGTTGGTACCAAAGAAAGAAGGACCAGACGACTTACTTTTGTTGACTTCAGCCACATACTCCCAGCTCCAATATGATAGAATCCCTCTCCAATGAGAAAGCTCCTTCATATCGGATGGATATACGCCCTTCTCAAATAATATCTGTGCTTGGGGGCCCAAAAAACCTTGCCAGACCGTCTCCCCCTTGAGTATCTGATAAATCAGGCAGCCAACAGCAAAGAACTCTCGGCGGAAGGTTTTCTCTTTATCATTTATTCCGACAAGGCACGATTCCGGGATCCAGAAGTGAAGGTCGTATTGATCGAGTAATTTCTCCTTTTCATTAGGAGCATTCTCACCAGACACATCAATGAGCGACTCTTGCAAGGTAATATCTCCTGACTCCTGAAGCCGAAATATGAGTGGCCTTGGCTGCTCACTTGTACTATTCCATGTCGACATAATACCGATAATTTTATTAACATATTCCTGACGAGTTTGTAAGGGAATCTTGTCATATTCATTAATGAAGGTTTCCGAGCCATATTGCGTGATCCCACAGGGTAAATAGGATGGCTCCGATGGAGTCAAATTTATGTCAGCCGACTTATTTTCTTTAGTAAGGAAAAAGGCGTCCTCTGGAGGCAGAAAGGCGGAGGCTCTTCTTCCTTCTGAGTTACCAGCTAAAAGTGGAGAGTTTTCGGCCGACATGATCAGAGCTGAGAAAAGGTATGAAGGTAGAGATATAGGTTTGCTAGAATACTAGGTGGTTAGGTAGAGGGCTAGGTAAAAGTATACACAGTTCTAGATGTAGCCGAAGTACCACGAATTCAAATCGAATATGCGATGGGAAGGGGTACACTGCGTTTATAACGCAGGTCCAACAACTTCAGGCACGAATAGAACTGAGTAGCCGGGGTCGCGGGGCACCTACATCCGGAACGTTGAACGTTCGAGCCCGTAGATTGTGGCACGGAAAGCCACGCGTGTACACGATCCTTCTCGTTACAATCAAAGAGGCCAAATTTGCAAAAGCTTTGAGGCAAAAGCTTCTTCAGCTGCTTAGTCTTTCGGGGAAATTTCAAGAATTAATTTCGAACCGATGTGGTTTCAAGGTGCGTAGGGTTGAATATCTCGCAAAGGACACTCAAGTTCAGGATTTGAACTAGAATAAGCCAGAGTCAACCAGGTACGGGGTACTGATCATGAAGCAGCTTTTGATCGTTTGTTTGTTTTGGGCCGGCAGCCTGTTTGCTCGCCACGTCTGTTCCTTCATGCAATGTTCGTCGATGAGACATTTGGTGCGTATGCAGCACGCATTATTATTACCAGCAGTATATCATAAATCAGAGGCATGGGTGACCGTTTGACCCCACGGTTCTAGAGTGCCTCAAGAAAGCTTATGACCAAAGTCCACTTCGGAATTCTCAGCACCAAGCCCACTTCTACTACCCACAGCCCCGTCGGTTTTTACGTCAGCCTTCGTTCAAGGCCAAACTAAGCTAAGCCTAAAAAGGTCTCGTGGCCCAAAACGTCTCTTGCGAAATGCAACGGGCGCAACACATATCATCTACTATTTACGATCTTGAGCTAGCTCACGGAGCCGCGAGGAGGTGCGAAATTCAGAAACAAAACAATTGCTACCGCGAAACTACTACTCACTTGGCTAGCCCCGAGACTACTCACTTGGTAGAGTACGTAACACTTTGCTAAAATGAGAGCGTTCGAGAGTTACGTAGCGATTATATGCTAACGGCCTGCGTACGCGTTGGGATAGAGGTAAGTTGAACTGCGGCAACCTATTCTGATGGTCTGAATTTAGGCCTTCTCCACTCGAAGTGTACTTCGTGTTGTCTGGTACCAACGAGACCAGGCCATCTCGAGTCTCAAAGACGAATGTTGCCTCAGTTTATATACATACTCGGAGCTCGCCTCAGTCTCGACGCCAGACGCCAGCATACCGTGCACGTGCACGCTCTTCTGGGTAGTTACATTACAGTCTTACTTTATAACTTGGTACACCTCCCCTAACATAAGAAGGGTCACGGATAATCTTCACGCCCAGTTTACTTTGCTAGATAAGACAAGAGCCCAAGATCAACCTACGCTCTAAAAACTGAAGATGCTTAATCAAGGCGAGCATTGTGGCGTGGTTGGCTTGTGCCACTAGTATGATTGAAGAGAATTGTCCAGAAGCTCGGACTCTTCTCCCACCTCTACAAAGTATCACAGACAGATATTTATAGTAAAATAAGGCCAGTGATATGCATTCGCTGGCAATCAGGAATAAAAATGGCGGGGTGTCAAGGCTTGCGATACATGTACGACGACCGTTGCCAATATAGCAAAACTCCCAGGGCTAAAGATCCTGGATATGGCACTCCCAGAGCTTTGGTGGGTAGTCGACGGGGTAAGTCTGTACTTCCCGGTTTTTTGGGCCATCTGTCATTTTTCCAGCTTTTATTTTCTTTTTTAGCTGATTGCTTTAATATCCGCACGCAAGACCTCTATCTATAAGCATTCAGGCTCCGATATACGCGCCTGAAACCTAAATTTGCGCTACTTTCTATATATTAGATATAAGCTTCGCCTGTCCGGTGCGGCAAGGTTTGAATCATTAATTAAGTAGTATTTAGAATATTGTGAGCATTCAAATATACAAAAGTTACATAGAATTGTGGTGCTCATTGAATTCTGGGCGTAGCTCCCCGCATCTACCCCGCCCCACCCAGACAACTCTAAATATAAATTCTATGAAGGGCTTTAAGATTTCTCAAAAGTTTAAGGTCTAGGGCCGCATAGGGCTGCAGCTCTACCACGATACAGGTCCACCCTCTGGCATGATATAAGCTGCCCGTCGCTAAAGCGTTCAAATCAGACCAATAAATCAGGTATATATACCGGCTAATTATCTAGGTAATTTGTTTGAATAGTGGAAAAATAAGTAGTATAATAGGTAACATAAATTTTCAAACTACCCTATGTTGTGGCCAGTACTCTTTTAAATTTTGCTTTAGAGACTCAATCGATGCTCAGCCCTTTCACCGACACTGACCTTATTCATAGCAACATACTGGGTCTATAGTTGCTATCGATATCTTTTCGGTCCAACTTGTCAATACCTGTTATTATTTTCACTTTCGCGATGGCTATTAATATATTCTAATGTGGTGACTAGGGATTCACCGACCTCCTATTTTCATCTATGTGGATACTTATATTTACATCGATATATACAGCTCATATTTTAAATATATTTTGTAGCTTGTAGCTTCTGCATGCATGCCATGTGTAGAATTTAGAAACTGTACACGTGGGCTGCGCCTGGTCTCGAGGCTAATCTTGGGGGCTAATTTTGGGGCACACGAGGAGTATTATGGTATATATATTACGACTCCTCCAATTCTTTTCGACCTGACGGGCGAGCACCAGTAAATAAGTTGAAAAATACTCAGTTTAGGGTTGTATCGAGGAGCCACATATCATCACACGCTCCAAGGTGCAAAGGAGTATTTCTAAGGACTCCATGGTAGAGGTCCCTAGCCTAAGCTAAAAGTCTTGCTCATGTTGCCCATAGAAATAAGCTAGATCCAGAATCGTTATTATTCGTCAGTACTGCAGCTGGGAGTCCACCCTTATGAGGGGTGTATAAGATATCTCATATGCATGTCGCTACATGTAGTCCGGACGCCGCGTCTTGAATGCTACGTTCCTTGCCAATCGCAAATTTAAAGGTGGGCCTGCATATTCCAATTATCGTTAATTAGGTATTCACTTTTATCAGAAGCATTATTCAGGTATTCGACTATAAGATGATATGGGCAAACGTCGAGCCGGAGTCCTGCCGATTTGTATTTATTTGGTAGCGAGTAGACAGCTAAGGCTGTACTTATACATTATCCCATATATTTAGTTCGAATTCCTTTAAATTTCTCTATATCGTGCACTGTTGGTCTTTAGGCTGAAGTGTAAGAGGTTAGAAAAAAACGTTAATGGAAATCAAGAGGTCAGGTTTAATTTTTATACAAGAATCTCAAAGTTCGGCTCCGGGAAACTTAGAGACTAAATAAGTTGCGGTGGCGTCTAGAACTTCCAGCTAGCTTCCGAAAGTACCTTCTAGAGGCTGCAGTTGATAATTTATAGTGAGTATCCTGAATCTGAAAACCAAGGGCATAGAAAGTTAGACTCTTGAGGCAAAAAAATAGCTATGGGGTACCCTCTTCTACTTCTATTCTCTGCAGATACGCTTTTAGCCTTTCCTTTGCCTCTACTCCGTTCCAAAGCTCTGTTTTGCCAATTTGTGATAACACTGGCATACCAATTTGCTCAATGGCAAATGAAGCTGCCACAGTAGCATACGCTGCAGCGAGAATAATATCCCTAGTTCTAACTAAACCTATTGCTAGGCCACCAATCTAAGGTACTCCTTAATTAGCTGTCGTAGTCATTAGGATAAGTAAGGGATTATGGACCCTTACAAAACAATTTCCTCCCCCAGTTGGATCTACAACCCGCGAATTGTGTTCTTCGTCAAAGTATGCAGGTAACCATTTGCCCCCTTCGCTGTGTCTAATATAACAACCGTCTTTTCCAGCTCTAACGATGATAGGGCCATTTCTCCCTAACCCAATGCCTGAGACATACCACTTCTCGGCATTTGTCTCAATAGAAAGCCTCTTCTCTGCCTCAGACTCTGATAGCCCGTAAAACCCTCCAAGTTCTGCAGCATTTGGTGAAACAACCGATACCAGCTTTAGCACTTCGAGGCAGGAAGGAAGTTCTTCAGGTGTACAGAGATTCGGAACCGGTTCCCAGATCAGAACTGGTTCTTTCGGGGAGCTCCTTAGAGATGAAAGCGTATTGATAATATCCCGACACCGATCCGACGAGCAAATCAAATGAAAGGAAAGAGAGTTTATCAATGGGGTATTGGCAAAATCATTGGGTGTCAAACGCAGCTTTGGTGTAAGATACTCGAATGAACGGAAATCGGCGGGACCATATGAGTTCCAACCTAAAAGACAATCAGCTATAGGTCATAACTTAAGAGATAATTGCTAAATTTTGTAAGTACCTCTAGTGGTTTTTCGTTCTGGTGTCTCCCGTAAAATCAGGCTGGTGCCCCACCGCTGAAGCTCATGCTTAATGTCATCTGGAAAGTCGTTACCCACGTCTACGATCCAGCCAAGGGTTCTAGACAGTTCAGGCGGTGGAGAGAAAAGACGAGCGCCGATGATACCGAAGGTGCCAGCACCGCCAATGATATTGTCCACGACTCGTCCAGAAGCAGGGAAGTGTATCTGGTCAATAATGAACATTCCCAGCGTCACAAAGTGTATCGAAAACTCCGATGTATCTGTCATTGCGAATACTCGGGGTCCTGATAGCAGCTAAAGAAGACATAGATAGTACTAGCACCATAGTCTAGTGCAATTGGAATGGATCCGAGCTTAAAACGACGTTGAGAGTGGTCACGAGACTAAACGATTCTTTTAGGGCTATAAACATGCGACTATCTTCCACCCAACGCCGGTGAAGCGTTGGGTGAGGTTTTTTTGTGTTGTGGGCGTCGTCAATGTGTTGGTTGCCATTACCATCCGTGGCGATAGCAACAGGGCGGCACTGTTTATGTGTACACAAAGATGCGGCATAACGACAAAGACACAGCCCAGAACGCTCCAAACGGCTTTGTTAACGTTCCAACCTCCGACTTCTTTCTCATCACCATAGGTGCTCTTCATCTTCGCAGCTTCAATCCGAATTACTATATCTGGACTGCTAAGGTTCCATATTTAGCTTCATTTTGTTGAATTCGATTCTATTGTGAGTAAATGTTTCATTACAGACAAGGATGGTGTTTATATCATTTTATCGCGCATTGCATTGACCCTGGCTACTGGACCTCGCTTTAGCCCGCATATCTCTGCAAGCACTCTATCCAATCGACTCGCACCTTAATTTTACCTCCTCCACTCCTCATCGACATCATCTCCTGATCCCACCATTCCCTATTTCCTCCCTTCGGACACCAAAAATCTATCCTTAGGCCGCCAAAACTCGACGACGACAGTCGCCCCGACTTCCCACTGCTTATCACGTAGTGGTAGCAGCTGATATCAGTCATCATGGGTGAAAACCTCGGCGAGGATGAAGCGAATGCGCTTCTTACTCTCATCCGTTCCAACAGAGGTACGCGACCAACCGGACCTCGGACCAGCCTTCGATTGAAACCTTTTACTGATTCCATTCTCGGTGACCCCTTATAGACGACGCTCTCAAAGTCGACCAACTTGTTCAAGCAAAACAGAAGATCAAGCACTATGGCATCGATGCGGATGCCACCGAACCCACCTTTTCCGCCGTTCGCATCGGCATGTCCCAGGCGTCCAATATGACTCTATTCCAACACTCCCTCAGCTGCCTTGGATACTTAGTTAAACGGTGCCGGGCCAACGATGCCACCCTCCTGAAACGTTTGTCTATCGACCTCCTCCCGCTTCTCCTAGACAAAATGGGTGATGCGAAAGAGCGTATTCGGGAAATGGCACTCTCCCCGGTTGTTGATATATGGACTGTTGCACCCGTCGAGACGGAGAGGGCCATCCGTGAAAACGGCCTAACTAGCAAGAATTCTAGACTTAAGGAGTCTAGTTTGGAATGGTTGGTTAGAGTACATGCTCTGTACGGCGGGCAGCTCTCAATCAAGCCATATACTAGTCTGCTGGTGAGGTTGCTCGAGGATGCAAGTGATGGAGTAAGAGAAAAAGCGAAGCACGTGGTTGTGGATTTGTTTAAGTGAGTTTGCCTCTGGCGGGCGTGCGGTCCACGTTTCTCAACCCTAAATTCATGACATCGTCTCAATCGGACTAACCTTCCCGAACTTTAGGTCCGCCTCGGGTCCAGCAAAAGCCGATTTACAGAAGTCGATTACAGAGCACCAAGTTCGCAAAACCATTGCGACATACGTTATCGAAAACATTAGCGGCCCGGATATGAGAGGTTCTGTTAAAAATGAGAAGGATAAGGCTAAGGATGAGAAACCAGCACGGCCGGCCGCCAAAAGCACCTACCTCAGCTCTCTTGCAGGCGTTGATATGGATGAGATGAAGCCAGCATACGCCAACACTGGCCGGGAACTTGAAAACGAGCTAAATGGTATGCTAGCGGACCTCTCGGGCAAAGAGTCGGAACAAAACTGGGCTGCACGAGAGCGACACGTTACAAGAATCCGAGAACTCTTACGGGGGAATGCTCCTACCGACCATCCCGCCATATTTTCGGCTGGCATAAAGACACTGTGTGATGGACTTGTCAACGTAGTTAAATCACTCCGAACAACCGTCTCAACGAAGGGCTGCCAGTGCGTCAAAGACCTATTTCTAGTTCTGGGGCATGGAATGGACCCGACTATCGATATAATTTTGCCAACCATGATCAAATTGTGTGGCGGTACGAAGAAAATCACTGCAGAAGCCGCAAATGTCACCTGCGCTATCATATTCGCAAAGACTTCCTACCATCATAAGATTCCGAATTACTTATATGGTGCCTGCACAGACAAGAATATTCAGCCTAGATTATATGCGACATCATGGTTTAGGGCTCTGGTTGAAGCACATGCCCATGAAAAGTATATACTTGACCATGGAGACGGTATCAAAAAACTCGAAGACGGGTTGAAGAAGGTATTGGTGGATTCGAACCCGGCCGTCAGAGAAGGTGGACGTGCGGCTTTCTGGACCTACTTCGACCTTTTCCCTGATCGTGCCACCGTGTAAGTTCATACTTCTAGTATTTATCTCCTTTGAACTCTACTAAGACGAAGACAGTATTTTGGAAGCTCAAGATGCAAACACCCGCAAATTGCTTGACAAGGATAACCCGAATGGCAGCTCCGGCACCAGTGCTGGTCCAAGTTCCAATGCTGGTCCTTCGTCTCGGCCAGCAGCTGCCCGCGCTGGTGCACCTACTACAACTCGACTTTCAATCAAGGAGCAAATCGCTGCGCGCCGGAAAGAGGCCGCCGCCGCCGCACAAGCAAAACAAGCACCAAAGCTTGAGCCTGCTCACTCCCTCTCCGGACCTCTAAGCGCTGGCTCATCCTCCTCTGCACAAACTGCACCAGAAAAGTCCGGTATATCTTCCGCCCCCGTCCGCCCTAGTCGTCCTATGCGACCTAAATCGCAGCTCTCAGTTCGCGTTGACGAAGCAAAGAGGCCAGCGTCATCAAGTAGTAATGGAGATTCTGCTAATGCTATCGAAAGAACGTTGGAAAGAATGAACGGCAATCGAGCAATGAGCCCTTCCTCGTCAGCCCGGTCTGGTTTCTCACCTTCTACATCAAGCTATAAAAAATCATCAACCACCTCGCCACCGGGTTCAACAAGAGCAGCCCGAACAACAGTTCGAGCAAGCCCCCTTAGCTCTCGAAAACTAACAATCTTAGAGCAACTAGCTCATGCAGACCATAAAATACGTTTGGAAGGAATAGTCGTCCTAGGCTGTGCACTAGCTGGCAGAACACCGCCGAATTATGAGAAGAGGCCACCAGTACCCCCTAGCGATCAGCTCGCCCCGGCTCTTCAAAAACTTTTGAATGATCCCCATACCGAAGTCGTCGAAAGCGTTCTTGCGCCCGAGGTTCTTCCTGAGCTCGTTAAATTCGTTGGCTACGACCAAATAGTCCCTCGTGTGCTGCTCCTCAACGAGGTTGACGAAACTGAGCATCCACGGCCATACCCAACAAAAAGCCTTGCATCCCTGAAAGAACTCCTTACACCAGCCGAATCTGCGGAGCTTTTGTTAAAAGTTATCACGAGTATGGGATCCGGCGGTGCTATGTCACGGAAAATGCTCCCTGGCGCCATGTCTTTTACATCTGTCCAGCGGAAACGTATCCTACACGGGGCTCTCGAATGGATGAACACACTAGCTGGTGGCGATAAGGTCAAGCCTAATGATTATATTGACCAACTAGACACCTACAAGCTTTTTATTAATAGGCTGGTCCCAATGGTCCCATCTACCAAACAGCCAAACTTTGCTCCTCTAGCGAACATTCTTAAGAATATCCAAAAGAGGAACCCTACAATCTTCGACCGGATTCTTGCGACTTTTGACCCTGCTATACAACGGGATCTCAAGAAGGCTTGGGGAATGAAGGATGAAAGCGAAGGTGCTTCGAAGATTGAAGAAGAAGTTGCGCGCGTTGAAAAGGTCCTAGGGATAATACCCTCTGTCAATGAAATGCCGCCTCCACCTCGGCCTAACCGTGGTATCGATATCCCGGATGTTTCTCATAAAACCGACTTCATAACCGAGGACGAGGAATTAACTATGATCAATCCAATGAGTGCTCTCGCCAATCTTAACATCGTTCCTTCCGCTGCGCCTTCGACTATACCTACCGCCACAGACACTAGAAAATCTTCCAGCGGAAGTCTTGATATCCCAGATTTCTTATCAACAACCAAGAAGACTACTACGAATGGAACCAGTTCCGCAAGTAACAGGGACAAAGATTTGATTCAAGTCTACCAGGACCCCACACCATCAAAGTCCGGTGTTAACGTGCCAAGGTCCCCGGAACCACTTGCTAACATTACAAATAGCGTGCGTCCGAGGCTGAAAAGTATGGTTTTTCCTTCAGTTTACAGAAGACTAAAAGATAACTAACAATCTAAACTTAGACTTTGGTGCCTCCACAACAGCCGGCAAAACGCCTGAACAACAACTTCAAAGCCTCCAGAACTATCTGCGTAAATTGAAGGACGGAGATATCGATTCCCATGGCCTTCGGAGATTGTGCGCTATCGTCAGAGACAACCCAGCCAAGCGCGAGCAACAAGAGAATAAAGACGCGATCGATTTTTGGGCCGGCGGGCAAACCTTCGAGGAAATGCTCGACTCCCTTCTCGATTTCTTAGGCGAACCCTTTACTGGGGGCTCCACCAAAACCCCTGAAGCGCTTGCCGATGTGCGTACCCAAGGAATTCAACTACTCCGACTTTTGATGAATAAAGCCACGCCGTACTTCACAGGACGAGAGCACAGCGTTTTGCCAGTTGCATTCAAGCTTAGAGGGGAATACCCAACTCAAAGTCCTGTCAGCACCAATATCGATGACACAGTTGAGGATTATGTCAAGAGCGTCGCAGACTCCGGAATCGCTTTACCAACTATTACGAGTTTTTTGATGATGACGACACCGGATGCCGGTGCAGGCGCTGGAGGGATTGGCAAAAAGAAAGTAGGGTCCAACGTCCTCGCCCTGAAGACCTTGGCAGCATTTGTCAAAGAAAGTGATGAGGAGGACCTTGAAAGCCAGTGGAATGCAATCGGTGCAATTGCGAAGAGATACATGGAAGACGAGGATCCAGAGGTCAGGAGAGCTGTTGTTGAGGTTTGCGTTGGAGTGAGAAAGGGATTTGTTAAGAACGGAGATGTTGAGGAAGGAGAGGCAAGGCTATGGAAAGATTGTCTGGAAGGGTTGACTGAGGGTCAAAAGAACCTTTTGACTTACTACTTTGCACGAAATAATTGAGCAGCAAGTTTAAGGTTGCCAAGTCTGCCGGGGTGGGAGCTGTGCGGCCTTAGTTATAGGTGAGGGCGAATACGATGATACGATGCAAATGAGACGGAGTATGGTACAGGTTCTGACGTGATCCTCACCACGAAAATGGCGATGTTAGTAAAAGCTTGGTTCCTCTTCCATCCGCTTTTTTTCTATTGGACCCAGCTGTTGTTTTTTGCTTTGGTTTTCCGTTGGGTATTCTTGGGCTGTTTTTCTTCGTCTTCGTTTTCAATTCCCCGTCTTTTTGATTCTTTGTTTTTAATTGGTTGACATGATGCTTGCATAACAGCCCCTTTGCAAATGGCATGCATGGAAGAATTTCTTTTCCTCTTTTTTTTCTTTCTTGAGGGGGTTAGTAGGCAAAATTTTCTTTTTTTAGGGTTTCTGACAAAGTATGATAGTACCCATTTTTGGCTTGCTAAAGTGTTTCCTTCTTTCCTTCTTCTTTCAACTTGTTATTTTGGATAGCGAATATTACTTTTTAATTGAACGGGAACACTACAGAGTGTGCCAAACGATAAACTGTAGCCTCGTATTTACTATACACTAAAGGCGGATACCTATAGGTCAGCATATACCTTATGAAGATGTTTTCCTTACATACGAACCGGTACTTAGACACTTGCAAAGTTGTTGTCTACATATGGGCGTATGCACATGGGTATATAAATAGGTATTATCAAAAGGTAGATATGGATGATTGTAAGGTCATAGATGGATACAGTCGAGGAACCGACGACGAGACAAAGATGACTATTAGTTTGTATAGAGATTTAGGATTAAACCGTACTATCAAGATTGCAATGCCAATATCATTGGGAGAAAAGGAAAAAAAAAAAAAAAAAGCGAATTCAAAAGCAAGTAGAGTGCTTCACTATTGTACGACGAACCCAGACAGAACGCCCCCTAGGTAACATATGCACCGCGCGCTCAATCTTCACACACACGCTCCATTCTAATGTTAATGCAACCTCTCAAACCACCATCACCAAAAACAATATAAGAAAAAAAGTGGACTGTGGGTCGACATCTACACGCTATGTATCCCCGCCAAAAAAAGAAGAAGAAAAGAAGACGCAAAAAAAAAAAAAAAAAATGAAAAGTGGAAAAATGAAATCAGTTTGCCATTTCCTTCGGATCAGCTTGTACCAGTCTTCCAACCTTGTGTCCAAGTTTTGCATCCCCTTCAGGTTCCGTAGAGACTAATATCTCCCCGTGACCAGTAGATGCTGTTATTACCCTCGGAGCGTCGGGATCACCCGTGATGACTTCCTTTAGAGGTCCCTCAACAGAAGGACCTGGATCGGAACTTGCAGCTATTACCCCTTGTTTTGGCGTACTTTCTTCTTGAAGTGATTGATCAACTTGTGTTTGTGGTGGAGGAGTGGTGGTTATTGTCGGTACGCTTGAGTTTGAAGGGTGGGTTCTATGGCCTGATTGTACTGTCTGCTGGTCTTGCCCGTTTTCTAAGGGTAGTGTTTGTTGAGCGTTGACATTCATAGGTTCATGATGCGCTGTTGTACTGATCGAAGAATCGCTAGTTGTCCAGTTTGTTGTAGAAGGCGATGATATAGAATCTTCGCCTCTTGCCAAAGACCTATTCACCCCCGTAGTACTAGTCGATCCCGGTTTCGCAGCAGTAACAGAAACAGAATCACTAGGTCTCAAAGAATCCGTGTCCGTTCCTTCAGACCCATCATCATCGCCGCCTCTGTACTCCCTCTCGGCATCTTCTTTATCCTTTAACACCAAATTCTCCATACTATTTGTCAAACTCCCCGGTTTCGAAGCAGATAATAGACCACCCGCCGAAGATGAAGAAGCATCATCATCAACATTAGCAGGTCTAAGACCTAGATCTCTATTGCTCAATGGATCCATCTGTGTTGTTTCGCCACGGTTTTCCGATGCCTTATGGGTTCCTTGAACTGGTTCTCCCGGAGCGGGTTCTCCGATTGTGTGCGATTCTAGGTCTTCGACTACTTTCCAGATGATTTGGATTTTGTCGAAGATGCGGATACCCTTTTTGAGGGTGCCCTTTAGACCGTCCATTTTATCCCATTCTTGGGTGAAGACGCCGGAGTTTGTACCGGCACCACCGCCTTCGAAGTAGCAGTTCCACCAGCAGTGTGCTAGAGCGGAGACCTGATTTAAACGATTTCTTGTTAGCATGAAAATAACGGATAATTAAAAGATGAAAACGAGGGTCTTACAAAAGTCCACCCAGCAGCAGCTCTAGTCCTCTTCTCAAGGTCAATGCAAACATCGTTCGTCGGCAATACAACCCTATTTTTCGGTTTATAGATAACCATCTGACTATTCTTCTCCTCGTCCGCATCGACCAATAACTTCTCATCCTTCGTAAAGCTATGGAAATTCTTGATGGTCTTTCCCTCATCAACATACCCCAATATCGCAATCTTCACGTTCTCGCGAAGTCCCCATATATGTACCTCTGGAATCTCCACGGACCTTTCCACATATATCTTTGAATACTCGGATACCCATCGTGAGACGTAATCGACATAACGCAGTTGAGATGGAATGGACACTCCGGCGCCAAATTGAGGGCGCATACGTTTCTTCGTAAACCGTTCCAACGCATCTTCTTTCGACCACCCTTCTTCGGAGATTAAATAAGAACAAGTAACAGTTCCCGTCCTCCCTTTTCCAGCTTTACAATGGACCACTGCGACTTTTTCAGGTGATTGTTTGAGATGGTTTCTCATCGATGCCATGATGTTTGGGATTAATGCGAATGGTGGAGGATGGTGATCAGGCCAGGGGGAGTGGAATACTCGATTGTGAAAAGCGGAATCATCGTATCCTGTGCCCTCAGCGCGGAACTCCCAGACCGCCCAGTTAGAACCGTGTTCCTTTTCGAGGAATTCAACGACTTTGTGGAGAGGATTGCGGTAGTAGAGTTTTGGACCGGAGGCGGCGGGCATGGACATTGCGATGACTATATTATAATAAACCTCAAGTTAGTATAGGGTATCGAAAAACTGGTGGAGAGTATTATATGAGCTTTTAAATTTGGCGCCATAATTTAACGTACTGTTATCGGTGACGTAGACGAGGTCGAGACCGGTCTCGGGGTGTTTTATTCGAGGACCGGCGACGATTTGGCGGAGTATTTGAGCCTGTTAAGAAATAAAATCCGTTAGTATCCATAGAAAATTTCATATGGGGGGTAGTAGGTATTTCCTTACCATGATTTCAAGAATATAATTGGAAACCCAAGCGGCGATGGAATAGAGAAGCTTGAACATGAAAATAAAAGAAGTGAGTTAGTACTCAAACCCCCCGCCTTATAAGGCCTCGACCGAGGATCCAAGCCGCGGCAAGGCTACAATGCGAACGACGCAAAGGAGAAAAAAAGGCAAGACGACAATATGCGACTCCAACTAGCTATACAAAGCTATCAAGGGGCATATACTGGCGATACCTGTACACAGATAGTTTCACCAAGAGTAAAAAAAAAAAGAGCTTACGCAGACAATTCCTAGCGTTCATGCAGCTTATGAGTATGCACTTCGCCGCCGCGAAAAAGGATACGATACCCTCAGGTGATATATCCGAATGTGAAGGAATGTGGTTTGAAAGAAAGGGAAATGAAGGCGACAATGGATCCGATCTGAAACTTGAGTTTAAAGAAGTTGTCATTCAGGTAGCTCCTAAGAGGTGGAAGGTCAAAGAAAGCCACCGCCACAATCTTTGCCTGCGAGCCGAACTAGCTTTGACGTCACAACCGCGACCAGCTGCACCGCCACAATCTAGCCACAATCTAGCCATGGCATTGATTCGTCTGTCGGTGATAACGTTGATATCGCTCCGTGCAATGGATTAATCCGGTTCGATTCGATTCGAATTTAAACGTATAGTCGGACTAACAGGGAAAGACCAGGCTTCTTAGAGAAACACGAGCCGACGAATCGATGGATCATGATCATGATGACCAAATGCAATTTTGGACGGGATTTTGCGGTTGGTTCGTGCCAGTCAGCTTGCGGCATGTACACGCGCCGCCGTCGCCGCTGTATTCCGTCTCGATTCAAATTTAAACCGGTTCCATGGATTCCATTACAAATGATGTTTTTTGTTCCATCGGTTGGTTGTCAGTTGGTGCACCGTGCTTAACTACATGCATTGCATCGCTAGACGATAAACGGTTCGATTGAATCATGGGCAACTTGGCTAGCTGGTGGACCGAGTAGCGAGATGAGCTGAGGCTGACCCGAAGGATTCAAAAACAATTCAACCGAGATGCATATGAAAGTCAAGATAAGTAAAGTACCTAGGTAGGTAGTAGGTAAGTAAACACTGATTTATTGGTATAAATGTGGTGAGATTCCGAGAATACGTCGAAGCGAAGCGAAGCCTGGCCTCTGCGGGCCTATTTTCTGCCTTCTTCTTTCGATACATGTCCATGTTAATACAGACGTGGACGTGCATGGTCAGCTCCACTGAAGATAAGACAGTTGCACAAGTAAACTACCAGTTTTAATATCTTCGACTTCAACCGTTTTTGCAAGTTTAACTAGTCCTCTACCTTTTCTGCTCGAGAGTTATTATATATCGCTAACAAAACGCGCTTTAGTTCCTTCCAACCCCCAGCTGGTCGGAACTCCCAAAAATGACTATATCCTCCATCTTCCAACCACGTCCTTCAAACCCCTCCGTCGGCCTCTGGGGTCTCCCAACCTCATCCGTAAACTGGTGTGAATCAGATTACACCATAACCTTCTACATCGCCGAATTCTTCAACTCCTGCAGTTCATTATGCATGGTATCATTCGGTCTACTAGGCCAATGGTCACTTTCCTATCTTTCCAAAAACGTCAATAGCACGCCAAGACCCCGTAGACCGGACCCAGAGATCTATGATCCTTTACAAGAACATCCCAGGTTGATCGGTGTGAATAGGATATGGTTGACATGGTTTGCCTTGCAAATCGTCGGATGGGGCTCTGTGGCGTTTCATGGAAGTCTTCAGTGGTGGTCTCAGGCGTTCGATGAGGTACCAATGGTTTGGACAGCAATATTACATTTATCGACTGGTCTGGTGGGGAGATATGATCCATTTCCTTTAGCGACTTCATCCTCATCGTCATCTCAAACCGAATCCAAAGGGTGGGTTGCTAGTTATTTGGTTCCACAGCTTCGCCATAGTACCGGTATACGTAGTAATGGAGAACCATATACACCGATTATCACAGCCACCTTTTTAGCACATGCGGTAACCTGCAGTTTATTACTAACTTTATTCCGCGGACCGAGTCAATTCGTCATCTTTCACATCCTCTTCGGATCCGTGGAACTAGCTGGGTTCTTCCTAACCTACACGATCTCAAAGGAGGCTTCTGACCCTGATCATCCACGTGGTGTTGGGTATATAAAAGGATGTCATTCAGATGCAGTTTATAAATCACTGCTGCAAAGACACCAAAAAGACGTTAAAACGCTTCACAAACGGGGGCTTTGGTTCTATTGTATCGCAATCGGTATCTGGAGTACCGATCTCAATTTCTGTGAATATATCAGTCGGATTCCATTTATTTACCCCTCGCTCAATTTAGAAGGGTTTGAATGGGTTTATACGACGTTCAACCCGCAAGGACACGCATGGTGGCATTTACTCGTCAGCATTGGGTTCTACCATCTTGGCATTTTGGTTACATATGACCGTATGTTGGCAGGATACAGAACCTTTTGGGGGGGAGTGGAGAGGAAGGAACCTGGCTGTTTGGAGTTATTGAAGGAGGAGAAGGTCAAGGGAAGAATAGTGGGACGGAAAGGAGATGTTCCTGTTATTGAATGGATTTATGGATTGATCCCTGTGGTTGCAATGTGGAGGCCACATGTCTATCGGTGAAAAGATCGCGAATTCATGAAGTTCGGAATTGACTATAATGCACGGGAGCTGCCATTACAGAATATATAATATACTTTAGGTAGTTCTTGTATCGTACATACATACTTTCAGACTAAATTACCAAGTCACACGACGATTTCAATCCACCCCGCCTCAAAATTAAATTATAAAATATCCCCAGAACCAATCCACCGATAGGTGATCATAAACACTACCCCACTATCCACATCCCACTATCCACATCCTACTATCCACATCCCACCCCTTATAACCACGCTCACACGCACATATACATATAAAAAACGAAGAAGAGCCCATTCACTCAATAAGTCGGCGCACCAGCTACGCCCACAGTCAGCACCATCGGAACACGTTGTTTCACACGATAAGTCATCAACCTACTATTCCTCGCCCAATCCAACCAACTGCCCTCATAACTAGCCACATTCTCATACCCCGCCGATTTCGCAATCCTAGCCGCCGAATTACCCCTAATCCCGGCTTTACAACTAAACACCAACTCGGTATCTTCCGAAGGTTTTGAAAATCCAAATCTATCTTCGAAGGAGTCTGCGGAGAGGAACCATGCGTCCGGAGCTGTGCTGAAGGGCACGTTGATACTGTTTGGGATTATTCCCGATTTTTGGAGTTCGTGTGGTTCACGGACGTCTGTATATGTTAAAAAAAATGTTCAGTATAAGATACAATATAATAAATACTCTAGAGAGGATTTATACATACCGACAATCAATCTTTTAGGATCCGGATTATCAGAAAGCTTCTTGACCTAACGGATTACAACAGGTATCAGTAAACCAACCCACCCCAATCACAAACTTATATAAAGTACTTAAATATAAAGTAGAATAGAATAAAGCATACCTCTTCAAACGTAACAACCTTAAGAGGCTCCACCTCATCCGCCTTCTTAATATACGTCCTTACACCCATCGACTTCGCTACCACCGGTGTAACAACAGCATTCGCACGAACCGGAGGCCTATAAACCGACAATCCCCGTCGAGCCGTCATACACGTACATAACCGTACAGCAGTCGTCTGCGACGGTCTAGACGCAACAGCAACCAAGGATCGAGAAAGCGGTGAACGGATTGGAAGCATGGCTAATGCTTTATATATAAGGTTGGTGATATATGTATATGTATATGCGGTATGTTCGGATTCTTTATGGTAAGTTAATTGAGCCAATGGTCTGTTAAGGCTATACGTATACTGGCTATAGGAGGATGTGGGGTGGGTGATATATCGATAGAAAAGGCGACAAAAGAGTCTAAGAGGCAGTGGAAGAACAATAAGTTTTCTTTTTAGTTATTCGAGGATAATACCTATTACCAGAAAGGCGCAGCTAAAGCGCTCGAGAAATGGTCGACTTCTTATGTACTTTGGCTCCGAGCTTGCGAAACGAAACTTGAGGTCATCGAACGTTGAGAGCGACAACGCAGGTCAAAACGGTCGTTAATTACCAGCTGATAATTTGCTTGGCTTACATGCGCTAGGCTGGCTATGGCGGTGCAGGCTCGAACGTTCCTGTACAAAACGGAGAAATATTGTACTACAGGCCTTTGTCTTCCATGTTATTTCAGGGGTGTTTGGATAACGGTCAGTCCGGGGAAACCAATGACTGAGAGTTTTAAAATATGCACGCCAGATATGGCTTTTTTTTCTCCTCGTCGAGTCGTATGTTAGCATACTAACCAGTACTACTTACTCATAGTACGATACGTATACCTTCGAGAACGGCATAGTATGCTACGTTGTACTTACCAATTGGAAAAGAAATTATCCCGCTGGAAAAGACAAGATAGGTGAAAAAAAAAGAAACCGTTTCTTTGGACAAGTGAAAGCGCAAAAATATGTACATTACAATATACAAAAATAGTTCAAGGTACTATTTCATGGGTGGGCGCGCGAAGCAGCTAGCTGGTCGATAGTACTCTTGGTTCGTAAGAGGCGTATATACTGCTACTGTTCCATGCAGACAGAGAAAAAAATGTACAAGTTTTCAGCACAGTCTGCAGCAAACTGTCCTGAAACCACCTCTCTCCACTTCTATCCGATGATATCCTTCTTCTTAGATATTTTTTTTTTTTAGGAGACGATATCACCGACATCAATCACCGCTGGCGTAAACGGCAAACCGGGGCCCCCGTCCGTCTTGCTTGGCAAATCAGCCCCGGAAGCCGGACTATACAAGTACCACCCTTTCAAAGCACTGATAGCAGCCTTAATCTTAGCCTCCGGCAAGCTACTACCCTGACCTTCACCTAGCTTTTCTTCTCCAGAGTAAACCCCGACAATGAACACCGCATGTCTGGAGTACCGACCGGTTTCCTTTTCCAATCTTGCGATTGGCTGCTGGAACCCTTCCCTAACACACAATCTCGACAACTCTCTGGTAGGCTGCTCGAACTGGAATAATTTATCAACATCCAACTTCCTGCTCAAGACATGAGCATGCACAAATTCCTTCGTAGACGGTAATCCACCACTGTGCAAGTATACGCCAGCAACCGCAGCCCTAACAAAGCTAGCCATGGCGAGTTGAAGAGTCGTAGCATCCTGTCCGGGTCTCTGAGATTCCCTCGCAGCTTTCATCTCCGGGGTTTCAGCCGCAAGTTCTGCATTAACGGATGGGTTATTTTCGAAATTTGGTACCATTCTATTCCTTTTACGTGGGATATTGAACCCGACTCCACCCTGGACTTTATATAACGGTGTTCCTGGTGCTACTCTGTTGAATTGAAGTAATCCCGGATCAACAGTTTCACCTGGTGCGAATGCTGCTTCAACACCCCATCCCGTACCGACTGCAGCGAGCGCTCTAGGTCCGATATAACCATCCATAGCAGTCTTGAGAATTTCGTAAGGTAGACGAGGATATTGAACCATCAAGTATTCGGAGGCGTAGTAGCCCAGCAAGACGTTTCCGAGATTAGAAAGGCCGTCATTGTTGAGATGATGTTCTGATTCTGCAGTTGGGTCTATTAATGCCCTGCCGAGAGTTGTGAGAGGGTATCCATTCGGTAGACCGAGACGACCGTGGAGAGCAGCTAGTTTAGCTGATTGTGTCGGAAGGAGACTAGGGATGACGGCTAGAGATGATGTTGTAGAGAATGGTCGTGAGGTTCTCGGCTTTAATGATGATGATGAAGATCGGATAGTGGGTATCGATGAAGGACGAGAAGTGGCACTAGAAGAAATCGATGTTGATAAAGACGATGATGAGGAAGAAGATGAAGGTGAGGAGAAAGAGGAAGAAGAGGTGGTGGTGGAGAAAGAGGAAGACAGAAGGTCGTTAAGGCGGATTGGGTTGCCGCAGACGCATCGTCGAGGGACGGCGAGGGAGTCCCATGTCGACCGCGAGACTCTCCTCATCGATATATGTGAAGCTCCAACGGATGATATAACAAATGAATGAATGACTGACAAAAAGAGGATCCCGTCTTATTTGTCCCCTTCGCTGACGATTACTTTGACCTTTTCCGATAAATCATACCAATTGGGTCAGTACATATCAATTTAGGCGGGGGAGTCGGATTGAATATATCCCACCTGGATTGTACCAAGTAGATATGTGAAGCCAATTTCATCCGCCAATGTTCACTCACAATTTGACAGAAAAAGAAGAAGAAAAGGCACTCGTCAGTTCATCAGGCGACCAGCGACATACGACAGTCTCCAGCAATATTACAAAAGAAAAGATGCCGGGAACTGGTCGACGGGGTGGGGTTCTCTTTCGTATAGTCCGATGGGAGGAGGTTAACGTTCGAGGTTAGAAGTTAGAAGTTAACAATTTTGTGTCGAGTGCAGTGTCCCGCCGCAAGCAATTTTTTTTCGCTGCCAAAAATTCAACACGGCGCTTTTCCCTTTCCGTCCAAGTTCCGAATCCCTGCACACGATCAAACTGGTCTGTTAAGACTTAGACGCCTTTGAACAGGAACTGGAACACCCGCGCCATTGGCTGACAAGACCTCCGATTGGATGTGCTCTTTGCCTGTTGTTTGTCTGTAACCGATAAGTTGATGTCAACGGCTTCGAATTCAACATCAAGACAGAAGTAGTCCTCCAGTCCACCTTTCTCCAATACACACCCACACCACCCAGAAATCCCTTCTCACAATGGTACGAACCCGATAAAAACCTCCGAGACGTATATACGATTTACTCACATTCTCCGTGCGAACTCTAGGGCGGCGGCGGCAAGATCCCTTACCCAAAACACGTCTGGTCTCCGGCCGGAGGCTGGTACGGTCAACCTAAGAATTGGCGGACAAATACCATTACAATGGGTGCCCTGTTACTAGGTGTATGCACCATGGCCTTCCACTTGAGCTCGAGGATCGAGCATCGAGAACATATGCCTGAGAAAGGGAGGTTTTATCCTAGTCGTTGGGTAGGTTTTTTTGTATCCTATCCGGGCGCTGTGAGGGGTTGGGGTATATGCTGACCAAAACTTGTGAATGCAATAGTGGTCGAGAGAGATCAGAGAATATGAAGCGAATCAGAGAGCGAGAGAATCGTCGTAAATCGGGAACGTGGGGTATCAGGCAATTGGTTTGTTTGGTTGTACAGAGAGGGTATCCTGGCGATGCTATTCAACTGATCTTACGAAGAGATCAGATGGCATGTATCGTCGAGGTTATGTCCGAGCGATGACTACTAGGAAGTCATACGATATTTGTATATATTAGTACATCGACAAATGAAATTTCGTTCGGCGGCGGCGACGGCGACTACCTTATCTCGAATTAAAGAATAGTAGCTCTTCCATGTCTCCAGATCGGGACTATATCAAAGTCGAACATGAACAGTCGCTGCAGAACAATATGATGTCGTCAATTCTCGCAATGCAATGCACGTGTATCTATTGTACATGGTCGGATTATAACTCCTTAAACTCCAATGACAGTTATATATCGTCTCGAAATGAAGCAAAACCCCATCCAGTTATCCAAAGATGTCAATTCAAAATCGTCAAGGTATCGGCACCACCGGTTTATCCACCCAGATAGATACCCGCTGCTACAGTTCCCCCCTCTCAACTGCCTTATTAATAGCCTTCCACTCTTCATCTTCCCTCTTCTTACTCAAAGTAAACCTCACACTACCGTGTAAACTTCTATCAGTCAACTGCTGTCCCTTAGCCCCCCCTCTGATCTTATCGCCAGCAGTAACGACAATTTCCTCCTCGTCCCTCTCCCTTCTACCCCTCTCCCGGTCGGCCCTTCCGTTCACATTTCCATTAGAATCACTATATGGAGCTCCGTACCCATAATTCCCCGGTGTTACGGGACTAGCCGGCGGCATTCCCGCGCCAAGATTATTATTATTCGGCGATATACCCTCATTCTTGGCTTCACGATTCAGTTCAATACGAACCCTTATGAACGCATCTGCTCCGTTTCTGGGTCCTACGAACGTATGGTGTAGGTGGTCGGTATATAGATCCAATATGTCGTGACAAGTCTCCAATACCGCCGCGAAATTTGTCTTCCATTTGTCGTAGACAACCGGCACAGCCGGACCAGTCGACGGAGCGAAATTCCCAGGTGACATCGTTGCCGACGGATCGATTGGTGAATTTGTAGCCGAGGATGGCGTGGTCGTGCTTGATTGAATAACTCCTAGGCGAATCCCACGTAATCTGGCCGCGATAATTAAGGAAGCCAATGCAAGTTCTTGTGGTGTAGCCTTCAAACAGGCCAATGTCTTATGCGCGTCGATAGCAATCAACCACGCCAACGCCGTTATGGGTTTCGAAACATTATAAAACTTCGAGAATTTAATCAAAAAAGGTTGGTGGTGTCGTGTTCGGAAATCGAAGCTGCAGGCTTCGAGGATTTGTCGCTCGATACCAATTATACGCCGATGTTGTTCTTCTAATACCGGGGAGTCGGAGTTTATGGGATCATCACCGGAGTATCGGATGTTGTAAGCAACAGCTTGGATTTCTAGCGACTTTTTTAGGGTATCTTCGAATTTAGAGGCGGTAAAGAGGGACGCTAGGCCGACGTCCTAGATACTATGTTAGACTCCATCCATATTTTTTAATGGATCAGTAATTTTGATGAGGTTACTTACGGCAATATTATAGTCGATGTCGGGGTAGTATAGGCGCACTCGATGATACAATGCCATCGCCGTACACCGCGTTCGATTTGGGCTACCACCAACCTATTAGCCCTCCATCTCGACTACCGAACCAGCAAAAAGAGGGTGTATAACCGGAGAAACATACAATCCCAAGACATCCGAAACCGCCCAGACCATATTAAAAACGTGAATAGCACCTTGCTGATCGCGCGACTGTGTCAACACCCGATTCGGCTTTAGATCCGTAATCATCTGTTCGTTCAGGTACGGCCGAGAACGTTGAAGAACCCTTGGCCTAGGTTCTCCGCTTTCGTCATCGCTGGCTGGTGCCATCGTGGGGCCTCTGTAATGTTGGTGATTGGATAAATATGTGGGCTTGAGATTGAGGTGTGTGAATCTCGAGGGGGGTAGTAGTGACGGTAATAACAAGTAGAAGTGAGATTTAATGGCTGTTGATCATAATTTATATCATGAGACGTTGTGCGATAAGGAACGGCCTTAATAAGAACGTAAAGTACTCGTGGTCGTTATAGATTTCCGCGACGGACATAAAACGTGAAGATCTAGAACCGCACAGCACCCCAATAAGATAAGCACTTGTTTCACATACACTTTCAGTAAAGTGAATTGGGGGATCTCACGGACTATTTCGATATAACGGCTTATATAAGTATTTATATAGCAGTTAGATGCTATTAGAGCGAACTACTGAAGCTCCGCCTGGTAAGAAGTCGAAGAAGGGATATATCGAAAGAGACCTTACTTTGGGAGGGTTATGTCGCGCGAGAAATCGAGGCTCCTAATCCTTGCTCGATGCCAAGTTCCGCTAGTCCTAAAGTGGAGCTACAAAATACAACGGCAACACAGTGATTACCTCGAATAGGCTGTCGACATGTCCATTCGTCGTGAATTTATATTATCACTCCTAGAAACAATTAAGATGAGTACTGCTCTCTAAGCTTCTCACATGATACATATTATCTCAAAGACCGAATACTTTAGAAGAGCCCCGTGTTGCGAGTAGGGGGGTAATATTTGCATGAAAATATACAAAAGATACTATTTATAAGTACTAATACCTCTAATTCTGCCGCCAGAACTCGTGGGCTCATTTATAAATGCCATCTCCGAACCCTCGCGGGGGCTGGCTCCTTACCAAAATACTTCCTCTGATATTCTGGGAAATATGTCACATCTTTCTCCAGGTCGTCTGTCGTGCATTTAAGGCCCGAAATCTTGCTCCACTTTCGTAAAACGTTCAATACGCAAGCATCATTTTTTTTGTCATTCTTGACAATAACCTGGGCTCGCCATTCCCATGGAGTTTCCGGTCCTAGTGGGCCGCGGACCCACTTCCAGAAGAAGTGAATTATTTGGCAAGCGTCTAAATCCACCCGAAAATCCACATTCCCGTCCGGTTCTTGATGTATGTTAACGGCATCCATCCATCCAAACCCCCAAACGACAAACTCGACGCCATCTTGCCACTTTTCAAAATCGAACCACTTCTCGTTAATATAACATGCTCCCCATACCTTTCTTGGAGGCTTCCTTGAATTGAGTGTATTGATCCGATATATTGCAGCATTGCCCCCTTTTACTTCTCTCGTGCCACCGCCTTTCCAATTCTCCGGGTTTTCTTTTTTATCGTTGTCGCAACCGTCCAATACATGGAAGAAGTTATCAAGGCATTCTACATCCGTTGGATATTTATCAAACCAGATCAAGTCCAATTCAAATTCTTCGGGGCTCCCATCATAAAATAATTGTATCCAGCTCCCTCCCCCATTCTTCAATTCCAGTCCAGGCCTCCTGGCACAGACTTGATGAATACCTTGAGCAATAAGCTCCCGGTTAGCGTAGTGATATATAACTTTGAAGTTTTTGTCTGGGCTGCCGCTATCCGTATTGGCCAACTTAAGGCCATTACAGTGGTTTACCGTGGAATCCTTTGGGGCCGCCGCTGTCAACGTCACAGTGGATTTGTGAAATGTTGATGGGAATTTTATTGGGGGATTTGCCACAGCTGTTGACCATGATAGAGGGGGTTTGGCGATAGGGTGAGTTGCAGTAGATGTCCACCCAGGGGCGGTTATAATGATGTTCGTAGGCGTCGGTTGGCTGGTAGTGAATGCCCTCGTAGACCACGGGATCGAAAAATCCTTGTCCGTAGTTTTCGCAATATTCGTTGGAACTGTCATTGCCGGGTGAGTTTTCACATCGAGAGATGAAGGTATCAGAGTTGCTAATTCCACCCTCTGTCCTGATGTTAATCCCGTCAGGCTAGTCGTAATTGTGGCAGATGTACCGTTTGATAACTGGACGACGAGGATTAACACCCCACCCAGTACGATCACAGCCTCCGCCGCAAGCCAACCCAAAGGCGACCAGAGAACAACTCCCGCTTCCGAGGGGATTACGGGCTCCACGTCCACCGGAGTCGGTTCAGGTGCCGCCTCACCTTCACCTTCTTCTTCCTCTTCCTCTGCTGGTGCAGACGTTGGAAGTGAAAGAGTCTCCGTCGGAGTCTCTGAAGACACACTTGGGGTTGCCGAAGAAGTAATGCTCGGAGCAGTTGAAGAGTCAGTTGAAGAGTCAGCTTCAGACGAACTCGAACTTGTTGAAAAACTCGAACTCGAACTTGTCGAAAAACTTGAACTCGAGCTTGTCGAAAAACTTGAACTCGAGCTTGTCGAAGTAGATATTGGACAATGTGCCGGATGTATGTAGGCGAGGGTTATCTTGTCACCTGGGCCATGGCGGGGATCACTTATCAGCCCATGTGCTATGTTGTCGTCCCAAGTACCCTTTTCCCAGAAAAACTTATCCCAATCTCTAGGTCCATCCAGAGCCCATTTGCCGCACCATACCCCCCTAGCCCCGTTGTATATTACTTTGGGCACTGGTTTATCTTTATATTTTTCTGGGTTCCTCCGGTCGTACGCATAATCGTACATAGCATGAACCGCTTGTTGTATCGTCATCCCCATTCCCCCAAAATATGCAAGCACGGCTGCAACTGCGGGGGCAGCTATTTATAAATTTAGTTAGTGTCGGGTTTATACACCTAATTTATCCTAAGACTATCAATTAAGTCTCAAGGAGCTTTAAAAGGGGTTATACCGTAAGATGTCCCCTGAACCATCTCTAAAGTGTCATAATCTTCATAACGAGGGGCAATGGTATCCGCGAGCGCCCAAATCTTCATCCAGTCCGCTTGTTGATACTTGTTCCGAAAAGTCCTGGGTTTGACACCTCCCACCGCTATTATAAAATTTTCGAACTCGGCTTCTGCGCCGAGGGTCGCTGGGTAGCAGTTCAATGGATCTTCCTACATATGCATATCCCGAAGATCGCTCATGTATATTAATTAAAATCCCAACCTATTCATCAAGGTATAATCGCTATGGAGGCCTTAATACTTACCGGTTTACCATTTCCCGCACTCACCGTTACCACAACATTACCTAAGTCCTTCAATAAGAGAAAAATTGACCTGATAGCAATATCGGCCCATCGTCGCTTACGCCTTGGGTCGATTTCAAACAGACATAATGAAATGTTGATAATAACTGGATTTTTGGGATGATTTGCGAGAATATCTTTGTAAATTTTGATAAGTGCATCGAGGAAACCCAAGTTTGAGACTACACTGGCAGCACCTAGTGGTTGAACTTTTACAGCCTTAAGGTTTGTCCTTCCGGCGAAATAGCCGTGGAACCCTAAAATTTGAAAAGCGACCCCCGTCCCATGGTTATCCGGGTCCTGATTTCTCCATGGCTCTGCGTAAGGACCTGCCCTGCATGTGTCGAATAATAATATGTTACAAAACCGCCACATCTTTATATAAGGCAGTTATAGAGACTTGAATCAAACCTAGTTAAGGGATATCAAGTGGTGTTAACTTACCACATATATGGGCCGCTCCGCTCTTTCCTGTGGTATGATTGAAATCCCTATATATATGGATGTTGGAACTTGTAAGCACGCAAGCGTATACGCGTATTTGGACAGACCTTCAGTTGAATTAAATTCGGAGCCTCCATCAAACTCTTTACAATACACCATTGTACTTTAGGATAAGTGCATCAGACTTACCATACCGGCCAAATTCAGTCCACTGTCAATCACATAAACAACTGAACCTTCCCCCTGACTATGATGCCAGTAAGTTTTCAGTCCGCTCTCCCAGAACCTAGCGGGTTTCTTATAATTCCATTCATCTGGCGCAGTCCCAGCGACTTTAGGACCCCAGCCATGATCTTTCACCCACAACATCTCGCCATCGGCACCAAAGTCTTGCCCTTCCTTGGCGTTGGGGGGGCGAAGATCTTCCTCGGGTTCTTCCTCAGGATCTTCTACGGGTTCAGCCTTCCTCCTCTCTAAGTTATCATCGGCCCGGGTGCGCGTGGGCATCTCCAACCTAACCACACCCGTATGCACCGTATGACTATGGCCTTCAATTCTAGTGTTAATGTCGGTCTCTCCTCGTTCTCCGAGATCATTTCCGTCGAATCCCGATATTCTCCTCTTCCTTCGAGCTCTTGAGATGCCAACATTCCAATCAGGGCGCTTCCGCAAGATCCGCGTATTCAAATCGGGGCCGTCGATATAACTGCCCAAAATATGCTGCTTCGTTAGAGTGTGGGCCGTAACTCCTATAACAGCTTCGCCAAAATAGTGAAACTTAAAGTATTAAGGCAGAATTAGTAATGATTTCATCTTGAGAGAAAAGCTGCGCTAATACACGGGAGAAACGTCTAAAATAGGTAACAACCAACCCGGAATTCCGTACCGAAGAATATCGCAGCAAGGTATTTTTGTGGATAGATCAAGTCGAAAGATTAAGTAGAAAGGAAGAACAAAAGGTGTTAGCTACTTACTAGATGTTCATACTGAAAATATAGGATCCATGCTTCCGGCTTTGTAGCCGGGAATACTACAAATATCGTTCCAATTGCTTGATGATGGCATATATAAATATGCTTATCAGCGTTCTGATAACTTTTTCGTAGTAATGATACCTGAGACCAAAACGAGCCGGCATCCTCGTGAAGCCACATATCTTGCCATAGTATGGCTATCCAAGCTGTAGGTACCTCTCGGAAATGACCCGCATCTGGTAGAATGCAAAATGCTGCCAGGAAAAGGTTAAAGAAAAATACCAACAGAGTTTTGATGAATAATCGATTTGCCATGGTGAATTTATGGTGAAGTAAGATCTCCCCTAGTGGGCATTTCAAGCTTTGAAGCAGAAAAGGGCTGCCTATAGGGGTACCAGACCTTCCAGATATATCGATAAGCAAGATACCTAAGTAGATTATGGAAATAGAACAATCAAAGTAAAATCGATATCAAATTTGAACTCTTGTTTGGTCTCGAGACTAATAATTACAGCATTATATATGTATATACAATTGAGACCCAAATCGAATATAAGTCTAAAAAACCCCTACTTCTGACGAGAAAGAAAACAAAAATCTAATCATCGACAATTAACTACCAACCGTCTAGGCAAAACATGAACCTAAATTTAATTCCCACCGCACTTGAAATTCTAGGTCTTGTCACAGGCATGTACAAAGATCCAATTGGTATAGATCTAGATCTATCGCTACTTCGCTGTCCTGGCCAATTTGCAATGTTTGTTGGAAACTTGTATGTCGCAAGTGCATACGTGTTCGATTCCAAGCACTCTAGACATACACGATCATAATGTGTGACTAAATTTATAGAACTTATTCGATCCGGTAGATATAAATAGATAGGCTAGTATAGGGTTCCTTTCCCTTGGTACTTTTGTAAAAAAAAAAAAAGAAACCCCGAACTACAGTATATCAATAGTTTCCCGGAAGTGCTTGACGGCCACCGTGCACCTTAATCGACGAGACACCTTTCGAAGTATACTTAGGTTCGGATAACCCAAAATCTCGGTCTCAATATACCACCGATATATAGATAAAGGAATATATAGCTGGGTAGATATTTATCATGATATAACATTCCGCTTTTTGAAGATGGCCTTTGCACAATCATTCTATCAAGTTAAAACGTTAAACGGCAACTAATAGAATACGTAATACGTAATATTATGCATCGGCGGACTAATCTAAACCCCACTTACAACAACTTATTATGGTCAGTGAGCGTCTAGATAAGAGAAGAATATAAATTTATGAACCAGTTAGTTGGATATTTAGACTCAACGAGTTTAGACTAGTTGGATTTGGAGTTACAATGGTCTCATTGCATTGCATTGAGAGTTCCGTGAGTTGCAATAGATGTTCTTGAAGGCAAGTCCGGCAGCAACACAACATTTCCAACATTCCAACATTTCGATAGCAACTACACCCAGCCTCTTACACAACAGCATATGGTGGGCGGCTGGATTCCATACATGCATATATATCCTTCTCAGACCTTGAAGAAGTAGTTGTTTGGCTTGGAACTACTATAATAGTATCTAGTACACTTTTGATATCGGTGTTTATCTAGCTATATAACCCAGTTTTTAGAATCTTGTTGCAGGTTGCAATGTCTTAGTCTCAGCTCGGAACGTTACCATAACGTAACGTAATGTAATGTCTATAGCTATTTTTCAGATATAAAGATAACAGGCACATGTACATGAGCACTTAATTTACCCTAAATATCCAAATATATCCCACACGGCGTACGTAGTTTTGATGTGACATCATAATTCTAGACCCCGGTATCGATCGCCTTCGAGGCTTTCGATCGAGGCTAAGCCAACATGTAGATATATATATTTTTCGATATCTAACAAAGCCTTCCACGCTCTTGGACTCCCTAAATTAATGTTATATATATCTACGCATTACCGAGAAATTTTTGAAGTCAAATTAATGCAGATGCAGTACCTGAAATTCCATGGACCTAGCATCACTTTCTTTTTACTACCCATATCTTTGATCAAGATGTTCGCATTTACCCCCTCAGTATACATATCTTTCCTTCTTGTTGTTCTATCTGTATTTCTCCCTAATCAGTGCGAGTCAAAACAAGTACCTAGCCATCAAAGAGGGATAGAAGAATATGGGAATAACGTTCGGCTTTGGTGGTTTATTTTCAAGGTAAAATATTGGAGACAACTTTATGAAATCAGCTCCATTGTGGACGATTTATTGCCGTGCGGAATGACTCAAGACAAGGTTTCAATCGGTGGCCATAACAGTCAGTATCTGGGTATACCTTTCATCACTGTTAAAACAGATAAAAACATGGCCTGTAGCGAGGAGGAATTGAGCAAAATCTATAAAAGACATGAAAGAATTGTAAGTTTCTACATTAATGGATCTTTTGGACATTCTAGCAATCATTCCAAGGCACTAGTGGTAGTTGCTTGATAGGATGTAAAATCAATATATATACATATATAAACTCTGTCCCTAACTCCTATTATAGCTGGCTGGGTGGGGAGAGGTACCATTCGCCACCCCCCCCAACCGAATAACTGAGCATGCAGACGCCATTATAAAACCTGGCGTTGTGGATCCGGATCCAGACGAAACAGTGCCAGAAATTAAAAACAAGCCTAATTCTAAACACGCCGGAAAACTTAAATTCGGTTCAATGGCCAACCGTCTTCCGAACCAACCCAAGCCCAGCCGGCCCAAATCGAAGCCCGAAAAACCGGACTATAGGTGGGAGTTAGGTTATGACAACCCAATTATCCATGATGGGAGGGTTCGAAAGCACAAAGATGCCAGCTCAGGCTCAAATCTCAGACCGCGGGATCCAGCCCCCAAGCCCCCATCGTGCCCTACCGCTGACCATAATATCACCATAACAGTAGAGAGTTTTTATGAGAGACGAAAGATATGTCAATCACCAAACACTAGTTTAGAGGAGATTGGCGGTCGGTGCTACACCAGAAGTACAACCGGGTGCTCACAGGGTGAGGGCGTCACTATCTATCTTATCGAGACGGGGGTAGACATGGATACTATTGTAAGTTCTGCTCCCGCCTTTAAATCATCATACACAGCTATTTATCTAACTCAATACTCGGAACTAAATAGGGAAATTTTCGTCCACTAATAGAGAATATGTCAATTGGACCGGTATGGCAAACCCTTAGGCCTTCCAAATACTCGAATGTGCCGCAGAAAACCTCTGTGATCAAAAAGATATATAATCATATAGATTAATCGACAAGAACTATCTTACTGATACTCTGAACTCTATTTTCACTCTTACTGACAGGATCATGCCACTGACCTTGGAGACATAACTGCCTTCGGATACCATGGAACGGCTATGCTCAGCCTCATATCGCACAACCGGCTTGGTTACGCACCGAAAGCAGATGTTGTGTTCGTAAAGTATTACAATAAATACGGTTACTATACTACAGCACATCTATTCAATGCGTTGATATCGGTCTTCGATGAAGTAATGGACGGTGGCCTCAAACAGGTTATAGTATCATGCGCTTGGTTTTTCGATCAAGTACAGCCAGACAATCGGCTTTTTGCGGATGTATACGACCCGCCTGATCAAAAAATGAGAACAAATGACCTGATTCGATGGCTTACCGTGCAGTTAATGACGGTTTTTCGGAATCGCAAGGGTATCATTGTTGTTACTAGTACCGGGAATGAGAAACTAATAACAAAAAACAATCCCCACAACCGTAATGCAAAGGTACATAACATTGGCTTCTTTCCAAAATAATCCTAAAAAGTATATAACTAGCACCCGGCCACCACTAACATTACAAAATCACGTTTGTTCCTTTCGGAACCCCAACAGCCCGAGTACTATTTATCCCCAACAAGTGAAAGTGGACAGTTCCCCGACGTCATAGTGCCGGTCGGGGCATCGGACAGACAAGACATGAAAATGTTCGATGATATACCAGGCTCTAATGACGTTAAAATCAGGGCCTGGGCTCCTGGAGAGGGTATTCACGTCGCTGGACCCGACTTCAACGCCGATGCAGGGGTTGAGTTAGCTACAAGTGTGTCGTTTGGTAAGTCATCTATCCAATCCATGAATCAGCTAGCTGCAGGTTCCATCGCGATTTCTTCTATTATTTAGCTAATCCTCCGCACCAAAACGTTGATAGCCGTTGGCATAGTTGTAGGACTGCTTGCGTCCTATATCTCGGAAGGGGTCCCAATGACAAAAGTAATACAGCATTTATATGATTTAGCATGGCCGCGGGTTCCAGGGGGCCCAAATATCGTATGGAATGGTGTTGAGAAGGACGAATGGCCCGGGGGAATTCCACATCTTCCACCACGACGGCCATCTGGGTATTAACCTTGATAGCTGTCGTAGGCATATTAATATATATCATTATAATAAAGTTGTTTTTTTCCCCCTTCAATACCGGTATACCATCCCAGTCTGAACTACGCGGGAGCCTTTGCCAGTAATGCCATTAATTGTTCTTATCTGAATGCAAAATTGTAGTACCGTATCGATATAAGCCCTTCCTAGGATCCTTTGTCACCGTGGCCATTTATCCAACAATGAATAACAATCAATTTGCCAAATCCCGATTTAAATAGCTAATAGATATGCTACGCGGTTACAAATAGTGTCGAATTAATTTACCTAGTATATGATCAAGGCAAGAGTGCTTCGTTATCTCAGGCGATGTAATACAAGTGCAAGGCTGTAACAGACAGACTTAGATATATAGAGTTGGAAAAAAGTGTCAGACCGACTATCACTAACTACCTAAGTATGCATATTTCTAATTCTGTACTCTTAGTAGGGGCTCTTGAGTGTCTGCACCATACTTCCTCTCCCCATCATCATGATGAGGTTCAGCCAAAGTCAGTAGTCCCTCATTAAACTTTTCCCCATCGATCTCTCGTGCCTCAACCCCCTCAGGTTGCCACAAATACTTTGTGTATACCTCTTTCAATAACTCATCCGTAATATGCATCTATCAATCAGCCAATCAATTAGTAACTGTGCGCCCCATCTCTCCGAATCTAGTTCAAAACCAGAGTTATATATGTATACTCACATGTTGCCCTCCTGTCTTCAAAAACTTCAGCTTTCCCGCTGCATCCAACTGTTTCAATCCAATCCAATCCTCCTTATACAAAGTCCTATCCGTCAGCCACGTTATCTCACCATCCTCCACCACTTCAGCAAACCATACGCTCTCCTTTGGAATAATAACCTGATCCTCATCGAATTTATACAACACCAAGCCTCCTTCTAACCCGCCTAGGTTAGACTTATACTTCTCATTCTTAGTATCCCTTTCATTATTGATATCTGCCAAGAACCCCGAAGCCTCCAAATACCTGTCCATCTCATCAGGACTGGGATGTCGATAATACTGTGCAGGAACAACATGAGATTGTACCCAATCACTCCACTTATTCGCATTCAACCATCCGAATGCCGTTCGACACAACCAATCCGTAGGTTTACACTTCACAAACTCGCTGATCCCATTATGAGGGCTACCGAACGTAACCAGCGTATGTACCTTTGGTAAATTACACGCTTCGACGTATCCGCGCATGAATAATCCTCCCTGGGAGAACCCGAGAGCATGGAATCCGTAGGGTGCAAGTGGGGTTGTAAGATTTGGATTAGAGGCTAGTTGGTCGCAGACTTGGCCCATTTGGTCGTGAAGGGATCCGAAATAACTGGCCTTACGGTCACCACCGGCATCGTCGGCGAGATGGATGATGTGTGTGGCCGCGCCGGGGTATATGGAGGTGTAAAGATCAGCGACGGATTGTAAACCCGGATTGTCGAAGGTATCGCCTGGTGTTTAAGTCATGGTCAATCAATTGCGGTCTTCTCTTAATAATTTCATAATAATTCGCAATATATAGCCGGCTTAGTTACATACCTAGTCCGTGCCAGATGACCAGCGGGAGAGGCGATACAGCCCCGGCAAGCGATGCCAATGTGCCGCCGAGGAGTACATACAAAGAAGCTGTCCCGCGAACCATTGTGAGAGTTTTTGTTTATCTGTATGATACAGAAAACTATAGATTATGGATTACAATTAATTGGCGAATCCGCGAAGGGGCTGACTTGCTGTCGCGTAAGACCAGGGAATCTATCGGCACATAACCAACTCGAAACCCTTGATAGAAAAAAAAGCGACCGCAATTCTTCCGAGAAAGCTTTTATAGATCTATCCGAATCCACATATATGTCAAGTGGGGTCTTAGAAGTTCGGAGGGGAGGATTACGAATGCGCTTGCGACAGCGCCGGAAGACGTGTGGTGCTTTTGTAGGGTGCGATTGGCGAGCCACTAATTTACTTACTGTAAAACGAACGCGCCCGTCGCCCGATTCAATGGCATGCGCATGCGCATGCACTGTCAGCATAAAAAAACGTTATCGTTCCTCGTATAACTGCAAGATACATGGAGATCACCATTATAAAACTGCAATTTCGGCATGTTCCCGCAGATAATAGCCATGCATACGTATATGAGGTTCGAGACCCTGCAAAGACCCCAAGAGCAGTGAAACGACGGGCCTGGTGACGATCTCAAGGAGTCCTTAGCCCGGTTGTTAGGTCGCACCTGCAGGGATCATCGTCTACGGATTTGGGTGTGTTATACACGTGACCTTGAGATTGATGAAAAGTCACCAAACCGATTAAACTGTGGAATTTCAAGCAATTGATAGTCACCCGGAGTATATTCTATTCGGGCCTGAGAAAGCAGCGCGCGGGGAGAGGAGAAATACAGAAAATATATATAGAAAATGAAGGAAATGATATTTACACCACCAAATCTACGTATGTAATTTTATTGCTAATTTAGAAGGTACTTTAGAGTTGATTGATACCATTTCTCTGATATCTATGATTTATATACCCTCTTGCCTATCCAGCCCCTCCATCACACGAGAAAAATCTCAACCTTCAAAGGCGCTAGTGGTTTAGTGGTAAAATCCATCGTTGCCATCGATGGGCCCTGGGTTCGATTCCCAGCTAGCGCATAAGCGTTTCCATTGCCTTCGAGGTCCAAGGATCTATCTTGTGAATCTTTTTTTTTCTTTTTTACTTTTTCATCTATTCAATCATGATCTCCACTCATTTTTTTTTCTATTTTACTGCGATACATCATGAACATATATGATGGTACTCTCTAGTGTTGATAGGAGAAAGAGGTGGAAGGTTCGGGGTGGTAAGTAACCACAGTCATTCAGTATATATCCAGAACAGCAGACAGCGATATATATAAGGCTATTATACATGTAAACTAGATACCACTTTTCTCTAAAACTCCAAGCAAAGCAGAAAGAGGAACAACCCGTCAGAAACCGCAATATCAATTGAAGTGACATTCATACTAAACTAAATGGATCAATCACTGGTACGCCTTCGTCTTTTTCCCCTTTGCCGCAGCAGCAGTAGCAGCAGCATTCGTTTTCGCCTTCCTCTTCAATTGCTCTCTAATCCCAACTTTACCACTGTCAGGCTTTGATTTAGTTTCCTTTTTGTCCTTCTTTTCTTTTAGGGCTAGTGCTGGTGGTGCAATCCTCTTGTCTCCAATTTTCAATTTTTTGGCTTGTTCCGATAGGTCGACGGTTTTAGGTAGCTTGACTCCTCCATCTTCCTCTTCAGCATTGTCGCTATCATCCTTTTCAGCTGTAGCGGCTTTCTCATCAACTTTCGATTTCTTCGCACTTCCTGGCGCCTCGACTTCACCATCAGCCTTTCTCTTCTTGTTCTTCTCCTCTCCGGCAGGCTTAATTTTCCTGACAAAATACTGGTCCTCCCCATCCTCTGCGTCACTATCCCAATTCCTCTTGGTCTTCTGTCTCTCATCCCTACCCTTCTTATTCTCAGACTTCTTCTCCTTCAACTCCTTATTTCTTTCTTCCCTACCCTCCTTAGTTTTCAAGTGTGCAATACGCTTGATCTCCTCCTCGGTCAACACATCTTCATCGTCATATATACGCTCAGTTAAGTATACTGGAAGCGCAACAGTCTCTGCAGCCTTCAAATGAACAGCCCTAATACCATTCCACCCAGATTTCAAGACGTTGGTAGTCAAATGTGTCATAACGGTTGTAACATTCTGTGCAACCTCTTCTGGCGATTGAGCCCTAATTCCAACCTTGATAGTCTGAGAAGCTGAAGCAGCAAGAACGAAGTAAGTAGCTTTTATAGCCTTTTCAATTTCCTTTTGCAACTTCTCTGCGTCGGCTTGTTGTTTCGATTTTGGAGCTTCGACATCCTTGGCTGGTGGCTCAATTTTAGAAAGTTTGATGGGAATTGGGACTTTTGCCGAACGTCGGTAGATGGATTTTCCGAGCAAGGAAGGGAGGAGTGGGATTACACGATCATCAGCGAGGAAGATATCATGAGATCGCTCGAGTTGTCTGCGAGATTCGAAGGTTTTGTAGTTGGTTTTTAACTTGGAAGGAGCGATTATGGTGAGGGAGGAGGGGTGGTATGGAAGGTGTGAGACAAGGGAGCGGTAGTAGGTCGATGGATCTTTAGTGATCAAACAAACTGTAAATGTAGGAGATGGAGAAGTGAGGTAAGGGTTTGGAAGGACACTATCGAATGATATCGATATTAGTGGCGATGGTGACAACAGGATGAGGAAGTGAGGATTGTATCATACATTCGCTCCTGCTTAGTCTTCTTATCTTGAGTGAAGAATTTCTTCGCTGTAACAATCAACCACAGAGCAAGATCCGGGTCGGCGACTCCGACGGTGCCATCCTCTAGGTCGGATTCGTCGGCGTCATCGAATAAAGCGGCTTTTGGAGCAGCTGTTTTCTTTGTCGCGAGATGGGCTTTGAGGGCAGCGACGGCTTTGGCAGCCTAGAAATGAAAGGTCAATTAGCAATTGGGGTCAATAGTACCATTCAAAGAATATGGATTATTATACCTGAGCCTCGCTATATGCAGTGGATGCCGACGTTGTCATTTTATTGGTGGTCAGTTTGTGCAGACTGTTGAGGCGTCGATGTCGGGATGTGGTTGTCCTGAGAGCGAACAAAAAAATTTTTGGATGTTCTTTTTTTGCGACAGGCCTTGGCGCGAGAGCCACACGACCTCAACCCATGTTAGTCCCGTTTAGCTTAGTCATCCACCGTCCATATAGTGCTAGTACCTGCGATGTTTCAACATTCAAATCATGATCAGTGCACAATACTTCACAACAGCTATCAATATCATTATCAATATCAAAACTGATATCTCTCAAGACCCGATGAGAACCGATTTGATACTATTATTATATCACCTTGCATGTAACCACGTCGACTCCAACATGATAGAACAGTTCGGAATATCAACGCCGATGCATATGATATGTGCTTGAATTCGAATGCATCTACCAAAGCAACCTTCCAAGGATTATACTCGGAATTTAATCCCTGTGATTCGCCCGGGTCCCTTAATCCATTCACTAGTTAATCCTTCAGTTGATATGTTGCTACCAACAGGTATCTTCCAACATCTTCACGAGATCAACATTGATGCAGTAGGGTTACCTTGGGCTTTTGGCCAAGAACAAGACGGAACATGCCTCCCACTTTTACAAGGAGAACATGCATTCCACCCAAATGCATCCCTCGTTATACATACCGATGTATTATCAGATGCACAAGAGCTAAAGATTAAAAAGAGATATCACGTAACACGGAGTCCACTCCCGGGAAAAATAGACGAGAATTTGTCTTGGCCCTAGCGAAAGCAGGGTTGAGCGAACGAACAAAAACCAACGAACGACAGGTATCCTTCGCTAGACGGGATGCAGAATTCAAAGAAAAAGTCCATTTTTTATTATATGCCTGCTCGCGGCTGAGAATATTGGCATTATGCCGTGTTTCGACTTCGGATGCATCAAGCGGTCTATCAAAGAATTGAGAAATCTGCGAATGACTGTGCGCTGGGCCCACCTTGGACTTTTACAATCTTCCAACGTTTTTACAATATATAATCCCTCGATGTCGCCGGCCATGATGTTACAGGATGCCCATACAATCGACTCTCATAGGTCTTGTCCACCTTCGTTCCTATTCATTCGCTTGAAAGATCTCTACATTCGTTTTCATATTAGCCATACTTCAATTGATCATTGCAATTTTATACAGTCGATGTGAAAGCAGAAGACTTTCAATTGCATGACCAAAAATGAATAGCGGCTGGAAATTCAAGCTGGTGTCACTCGTTACGACACTGGCCTGCCAAATTGTTCCTGTCTCTGCCGGAATCAACTATCATCACCTCCAAGAGAGAGGAGTAGCACCCACTACCACTACGGCCCCTCGGACTACAACTTCACCATGCCCAACTGTATGTCTAGATTTCATGACAAACAGTTGTGGAGGACTTTGGGGAACATGTGTACCACATTGCCCTGGAAAGCCCTTTCCTAACCCGACTCCACCGCCATGTACTTCAACTCGAAGAACACTTTCCCCACCAAATACAAATTGCAATCTTATATGCGTAGACAATTTTACACCTGACAGCTGTGGCAACGCCGGGGGCACATGTTTTCCACATTGCCCCGGTCAACCTATAACTGAACCACCCCTACCGTCATGTACTTCAACTCCTGCTACAACTTCAAGTTGCCCTACCTTATGTCTGGATTTCATGACAAATAGTTGCGGAGGTCTATGGGGAACTTGTTTACAACATTGCCCTGGACAACCGTTTCCTAACCCGACTCCCCCACCATGTACCACTTCTTCACGAGCTACCGTTACTACAACATCGAAGACGACCTCCACAACTTCAAAGCCAAATTGTTCAGCCGTCGCAAGAGGCGAAACGCCATACTACTTAGATCAATTTAAACATCAAGGTCTATGGCACTTAAACTCCTCCTACCCCGTATACAGAAATGTAAAGTGCTGGGGCGCCAAAGGCGACGGTGTAACAGATGACACAGAAGCCATCATCAGAGCTTTATCCGAAGGAAAAACTTGCAAAGGCTCTAACTGCCAAAACTCCTATATTCCTCCTTCTCTGATATATTTTCCCAAGGGTGATTATATCATCAGCAAAACTCTACCTATATACCGTAATACTCAAATTCTTGGAAATCGAAGACAAAGGCCTATTATCAGAGCTAACGGGAGGAATTTCGCTGGTTCGGCAATTCTCGAGACGAAAGTGAAAGAGAACATTGGCGCTGGGGCTGGAGATTTCATAACACTCAAATCCCTTATCCTCATTGGTGGGACGGTCCCTCCTGAACGGGATTTCGCTGGAATAAGATGGAATGCCGGATATGCTAGTGGTCTCTACGAATTAGAGACCTTAATGAGTTCTGTAAAAGGCACTAAGCATCGTGGTATAGTGGTCTCAAATAGTAAGTTTTCGGTTTCTATATGCATTTTATCACAATAAGTCACCTAATCATACTTCTATCTATAACAGCCCCCCATATCTGGATGTCAGATGTCTCCACGAACTGGGGCGAGATAGGTATCGACCTATCAGTCCAATCCGGAACCCTCAGGGATGTTGCAATTCTTGAGAGTGGGAGCATCGGCATCAGAATAACTTCATCCTACTCTCTGACCCTCAAAAACCTCTTTATCTACAACACTCCAATCGGAATCGACGCCTCGAAGACAAACCCTGGCCCCCCGGTCTCCCAAGCCGTCAATTCCCTTGTCGTATTAGAAGGTGAAATCATCTCCGCCAAAGTCTTCATAAAAACCGCGAGGGGCGGAAGTTCAACATACCCCAATGGCGCAGGTTCAATAGTTATAGAACGCTTCACTGTTGCCTCCGGTATCACCGTTGTTCAGAGGGACAATGGAGTAAACATCTACAACCCTTCCCCTGTAAACACCTACCGATTCATAACTTTATGGGCCCAAGGTCGAAGATATACACCACCAACCTACGAAGTCGCAACGATGCAAAACCCAATAACGAACCCCAAATCCTCCCAACCCAGATTACGAGTCGGACAGGAAAAAGGAGTCTATTATCCCAAAAATCAACCATCCCCAGCTTATGAAGCCTTCAAACCCAACGACTTTATCAGCCTAAGGTCCCAAGGTATCAAAGGCGACGGAATCTCAGACGATACTGCTAAAATCCAACGAGCGTTCAACTTGGCAGCATCAACTAACCGTCCCATTTTCGTCGACTATGGTATCTACATCGTTACCAGGACTCTATTAATCCACCCAGGAACCCGAATCGTCGGTGAAGTCTGGCCCAAATTCCTAGCCGCGGGCTCTTACTTCAGCAACGTCAAAAACCCACATCCAGTCTTGCAAATCGGGAAACCCGGCCAAACCGGTCGTGTAGAAATCCAAGATATCCTAGTTACAGCCAAATCCGGTTCAGCAGGTGCAATATCCTTCCAATGGAACCTCAAAGGTCCCGACCTTTCTAACGACGTCGGAGGGATGTGGAGTTCTCATTCCGTCATTGGCGCACAACCCTTCAGCGGTCTCGAAGCTGCTCAATGCAGCCACGGCGCCAGACCTTTGAGTAAATGTACCGGCGGATTCATGCATCTACATATAACCCGCCACGCTTCTAATATCTACCTCGAAAACAACTATTACGCCGCAGCAGCTTACCAATCCATCCAACCGTCCCCATCCGGACCTCTAGACGTCTACGTAGGTCGCGGGGTCCTCATAGACAGCAGTCCCGGCAGTATCTGGCTGTACTCAATCGCATCTCAAAACAGCGTATTATACCAATATCAAATCCAAAACTCAGCCGATATTTTCGCTTCAAGTTTAGAATCCACAAACCCTTCTTTCCAACCAAACCCCATGGCACCGACACCGTTCGGCGTCATCAACACCACGTTATCAGATCCAAACTTCGCTACGATATGTAAATCCCACACTGGCGCCGCATACGCCAAATGCGCTAAAGCGTTCGGGTTGAGGATTATCAACTCGGATAACGTGGTAATATATTCTACGTCTTTATTAAGCGGACAAAATAACTTTGCTCCTAATTGTCCCGGTGGACACTTTAATTGTCAGTTGGCTATGGTTAGTGTTGAGAAACAGGCTAGGAGTCCTGTTAATAAGCTTGTGAGTATACATGGGTTTACGGTCAGAGGGGCGAGGTATGCGCTTTTGATGGATGGGAAGATTATTATTGATTCGCAGAAGAATGCGGGGACGTCGTTGGCGTTGCCTGTGGTTGCTTGGTTCCTTGTTGGTGGAGGGTTGCCGTCTTAGTCTTTCTTTTTCTCGTATGATGTTAATCACAGGTTAACGTTGATTACGAAGCTAGTTATGAACAGTAGCTTCGGTACTTTATGAATGAATGATTTAAGGGAATTGGTTGACTTCATGTATTGTTTAATGAAGCGTGTTGAGGTGTGGTATTTCCTTGCTAGTCGAGCAGGAAGTTTATATTTACAGGCCATCTTGAATAGGAAGTTAAATCAATATCGTTGACGTTGACTCAATTCTCATGGGAAAAAAAACATAAAATATAAATTCCAAAAGAAATTTAATTCTCAAAAAACGCCCATCCATGCATATTCTAGTGATATAAATACCCAAACCTTAATATATCATCAATATCATGATTCAAAAAAAGAAACCGCTCTTCAAAGCCCCGCCATAAGTTCATCCCAAGTAATCGGCTTCTTAACCGCATTACTAAACCCTTCTCTAAAACTACACCAAATCTTCGCCCCTTCACCAACGCCCACAACCTTCCTCTTCTTACTTCTCCCCGAATCCCCTCCATCTTCACCATCACCACCATCATCTTGGGCTATAATCCTACCAAAGAAATCTCGTTTAACACCGCTACTACCACCACCAGCATTCTTTTTCAATTCTTTTTCCTTTTCTTTTTCCTTTTGTCTTGTAGATGCTGATAATCCTATATCCACACCTGGATTTGCAGCTGCGAACCTTTCTTGACGAATTCGTTCTTGTTGGAGAACTGTGAATTTTCTTAGTTCTTGATCGAGGACCTGACGGACTGCGAATCGGGTGGTCATGGTTGGTGTGTCTTGTGTGAATGTTTTGTAATTCGATAGAGCGTCGAATGGTCTTCATAAGAGGTATCCCGCCGTTAGTAAACCGCCATAAACCTCAGATTAAAAAATTTCAGGTTATAGATAAAAAAGAAATAAGGAATATACTCACGGTTCCATCCTAAACACCCACCCGCCACCTCTCCCCATACTATCCCCCTCAACCCTCAATTTTTCAAACCCAACATTACACTCCGCCAAAACCTCCACCGCCCTTCCCACCATTTTCTTCTCAACCTCTCTTCTCACACTTGCCACACCGGGACCATCTTTTCCGCCGACTAATACGGGGTTGACTTTTGGTTGAATGATTTGGATCAGGAATGGTGCTAGTTCGTATGCCACCGTTTCCACGGGTTTAAATCCTCTGATGAGATTATAAGGAAGTATACCGATTAATTGGCTCAAGGTACTCATTGTGGCCTTTTGCGCTTCTCTCATTTCGAAATCGGCTTTTGCACCGGAGAAGGGGGGTATGATTTCTTCTTCTTCCCCTGCGTTATTATTATTGCCTCCTTTCTTCCCGAAGGCTCTTCGGCCTTTTAATGTTGTTGCAGCGGGTGTGGCGAATAACGTATGTAATCCTAACAATGGGGTGCTGAGATAAGGCGTAAGTTCATAATCTTGGCTTCCGCCGAAGACTTTGGCGTTTAATAGATCGTGCATGAATATCCATTCGTATGCTTTGTTGGGTTTTGTGAGGGTTGGGTCGTCGTGGAACGGGTGGGTTGGGTATTTTGCAAAACAGTCGGTCATGATTTTGTCGAATTCGCCGGAGGATTCGATTAGGTTTCTGAGTTTTTGGATGGTTCGGGATTTTGAGGATGTTGAAGGGAGGGTTTGTTGGGTGGTGGTGGTGGTTTTGTTTGTGGATTTTGAGACGAAGCTGGAGGAAGCAGATGGGTCTTCTTCGAGGAAGACTCGTTCTACGACTTCTCTGACGCCGTTGCCGCGGCCGCCGCTTGAGGCCCCGTCGTTGGCACCTAGTCCGCCGCCGTTTGAGAATTCTTCTTCCACCCATTTTTTGGTCATTCGGATCTTTGGTATTTCTTTTCCTTTGCCTTTTCCTATCGTGGATGTCTTTGCTGGTTCTTTGAGGTTTTCCTTTGCTGCTGCGCTCAATAGTCTTCCGCAGGCCCATTCTCCAGCGACCATAACTCCTCTAACGTCACCAGACCACTCTGCCATGAAATCTGCTGAGCTAATATTTCCATTCCCACCTTCTAACTCCACAAGTCTTCTGATAGCATCAGAGTCCCCCTCTACCCCTTCCCTCTCGAAGATTTCTTTCAGCCTCCCGAGTACCAATCCTAACGGTGGCCTTTTGGTATAAACAATCTCACACAACGGTCTCAAAGACTTCAAACTAGGGGCGTAAAGATCATTACAAACAGCAATAATCGGCCTCAAAAACCTAAATTTCTCTCCTTTCTTCCCCCCTTTCCTCTTCATAACCTGAGCATCCGGGTCTCCCGAATTCCGTTTATCTTGCTCGATTAAATCTACCAATGCTTTAATAAATCCACCCTCGCCAGCCCCGTCTCCGGTAACACCATCGATTTCGTCGATGACCACACAGATGGGTTTCCCGCGTTTGGCGTCCCCCATGTGTACCGTATTCGTCCCGACAACGTCTTTGATTCTGTTTTTTACCACACTGGCCGTTCGGTCATCTGATGCATTGATTTCGAGGGGTTCGTACCCTGCTTGTTTTGCAAGTACATGTGCCATTGTTGTCTTTCCGAGTCCAGGTGGTCCAGTAACGAGTAATATTCTCCTACTTCTCTGTTCCTCGCTCAACATTGACTTATCGTTCTTCTTCCCTGCCGCAGCTCCAAAAACAATAGAATCCCATCCTTTAAGCCATCGTAATATGTGACGATGGGTTCTTTCGTCACCCAAAAGATCTGTAAATCTCTTGGCACGGTATTTTTCCGTCCATAGTAATTTCCTATTCTTTTTATCAGAACTACTGACTGTGGACTTTGTAGTGGTGCTATTGGTTATTGCCAACGATTGGACTTTATTGGCTAATTCGCGAGCGGCAGCGTCGGCTTCGGCTTGCAGTCTTGCGGTTTCGGCTTCGGATTTTATACGTTCTTTTAGGTTGTAGATGTCTATACCGTAGAATCTTCGTTCGGAGCGTGGGAGGGGGTCGTTTCTTTCTTTTTCTGATCGGTGGGAGTTTACGAGGGAGTTCCGGTAGATTTTTAGACGGTTCGGAGGGTGTTGGAGGATGTGGATTGTTTCGCCGGTGGAGGAGACTACTTTTGTGCGGGTGTAGGCGTTTGGTTTTGGTTGTGATTGTGTAGGTTGCAGGAGGGATGTGGGTGGAGCTGTGTAGATTGAAGGAGTGGTTGGATCTGCTTCTTCCAGAGTGAAGGGAGTATCTTCCGGGTTCTGGTTTTCTTTGTCGATTGGTTTAGAAGATATGTTGGTTTGAGGAGGGAGACGTGGGGTGGTTATGTCGTCTAGGTTTTCTTCTATGTCGAAGGGATGGCTGTATGCTCTGTCGTAGATGTTTTCCTCCGCAGGTGTTTTGTAACTTTTATTATTACCATTATTATTATTATTCGCATCGTTTTGTATTATTGTAAATGGGTTATTAGCTTTTTCGTCCTCTGCTGCTTCCATGCTAAACGGATTACTCAATTGACTATCACCGTTTGATTTTGAAGCTGTAGAGTCGTCTTGCATGTTGAATGGGTTACTTTCTTCGATGTCCATAGGAGGCTCGGCCTCTTCTATAGAAAATGGATTATCTTCCATTTCTTCGATCTCTTCCCCCTGTTTAGGTGGTGGCGACGAAGCTGTTACTAATGGTGGCGACGAAGGCAGTATATGTGCTACTTGCGAGCTCGGGCAGAATGTTATATCTGTAAATTGGGAGCGGTCGATTGGTAATTCTTGAGCGTATCTCTTAGATGGCGACTCTAATACAATCCAAATTCGAAACTCCAAATTATTAGCATTAACCTTCATTAAATAACTTTTTGAAGTATATATTTCCAAAGGTGTATATGTACTTATGTATATGTACATAGAATAACATACCAGGATACTCAAAATCGCTTCTAAACCCCAAACTAACCCCCTTGGGCACAGTATGCTGAATAACCACCCCTTCCTTCCTCAACCGCTCCTGTCGCTCTCTAGCTGTATCCTCAATAGCCTCACGTGTATCTTCACTATGTTGGAAGTCTAGTTGGATATCTTCAGCTGTCTGCTGTGCTTCTAGAACGTGGAGTTCGTCGTCTTCAGGTATATCGTCTAGTTCGTCTAGCTCTGGTAGGATCTGGGGTTCGGAATCGATGTTGTAGGAGGAGAATGATAGGTCTGATGGGATGTTCATTGCTCCATTTGCAATTAAATATAATATTTTGGTTATGCTGTTCGAGCTTGAGGTATAGATTGTGGCATTGTTGGTAGCTGATGTCGATGTTGATAGCTACTTTGGGTGCTTAGCTTGGTGGTTGTAGATATTGGCAGCAGTATTTGTCCGGGATGTTTGGAGGGGGTTACTTTACGCGCATTGGCGAAAACACCAACACGAAACGGCGCGACTTCATCTTGATAACTTCAACCACATCCATTCTTCGGCTAGAAGATACATTTTAAAAATCAAAAAAAAATTAATTTATGAAATTGAAAAGAGATATTCTTAATACAACTATTCTATAATCCCTACAAGTTTCTAGTAATATTTTCCATCAATAACAATCGACAATCAACAATTGGCAAATTTAACCGCGGTGCACCCAAAAAGGGACCCTGCCAAATCTGCAACAAGGGGCATCGACTTCCAACACAAACCGTTCAAAGCTCGCCTCCTTGGAACCGGTTCGAACCGACGCCCCACTTTTTACCACTCTCCCATCTCTATTCTTACTTCACCGTTTAAACCTTTCCAATCCTCTAGAATTCCGTTTCAAAAAAAACAATAAATACCAGATGATACACTAAAAACCGTGGTCCGGCGCTAGTAAAATAGGTAGTATCCTGTCAAACTGTAACATGTTTCGAAAGTTTTGGTGGATTTTCACAGAAGGATCAGACGAATGTTTCGACAGAACCTTCTTACTATACGTTGGAATAGAACGCTTAATACAGATGGTTGAAACTGATGCCTGATGATATCAATTTGTGCTTCTTTTTTATTTTATATGTATGAGATCGCTTTTTGAGAAATATATAAGTAGAGTACTTTGCCGTTTGAGTTACAATAGCTTCTCTTTCCTCTTCAGCGCGAGTCGCCAGGACGGTTTTTGATATCTTCATTTTTGACATTCACTTCACTTCTTTGCTGTTGAGCAGCTTTTTCTTTCATTCACTATTCCTATTCACTATTCCTATTCCCATTCACTTCTACCTTCACTTCCTATTCCCTTCCTTCCTCTCCATCGATCACCTTCATCCCCAAATACCCCTCCCAAATCCATAATCCATAATCCATCCCTCCCTCAAAATGCACATCCCAACCCTCCTCACAGCTCTAACCCTCCTCCCCTCCTCCCTCTCCCTCTCCATCCCATTCATCTCCCGTCGTCAATCCCCATGTTTCATAATAGGATCCACCCCACTCCCCGCCGAAACCCTCAAAATCGCCAACGACTTAGCATCAACCGTCACCTGCGACGTCTCCGTTCGACCGTTACAGAACATCCCGGACACGATATCCGGAGGAGTTAAATTTTCCTCTATAAACTTCGAGAATAGTGATTTGTTACCTTTGGATTGTTCGTTTAACATTCCCCCTCCCCTTCTCTCTCTTTGATTCTTTAGTTCTAAATATATAGGTACCTACTTAAAAATAAACAAGTAAACCTCAAACTAACCCCAGTATAATAAATATCTACAATAGTCGCCCTAACAACCTTCTCAACCCCCTCCCCCCCATCCTCAGCTTCACTAACCCTCTTCACCAACCGTCTAAACACCTACCTATCCCAAGAAGCCGCAGTGCGCAGCATAGGCGGCTCATTATCCATCAAAGCTCCAAAATTCTTTCTAGCCTTTCAAGTAGCTAGGATTAAAACATCTAGGGGGATAGCGATTACCGATCCGGGACAGACTGTGGAGCATTTATTGGAGAAGTACGTAATAATATCCCCTTTTTATTATTTTTATTATTATTATTTTTATTATTATTATTATTTTGTTTATTTAAGTATTTAAGACTAACATCTTTTTGATATGAAAATATATAGAGTAATCAAAAACGCCGGAAGGGTTAGTCAGGTCACCAAAGATGAGATTACGAGGTTAGCAAAGGATTTATAAAATCTCTCTCTCAAAAAAGATAGATCTATATATACCTACCTACTACATCAAAAACCTAAATTGTATATATTTAACTATATCATACAAATACCCAGAACGGGGATTAGGTTAATTACTTTAATACATTAGATATTTAAAATGTATGAGCAATTAACAAGAATTTTCTACGTTGTACCATCTTGACTAAGTAAGTATCAAGATAGATATACATACTACTCATAATAAACCCCACCCCCCTTCAATAACAAAATCAACCAACCAATTAATTATACTCAAACATCGATCCAATAATCAACTCCACAAGCTTCCATCCCGCAGTAATATCTTACGAAATTAAACATGTCCAACGTCAACAAAAACAGAGTACTGGCACCTCCATCCCAATGTAACTTTAAAAAAGCCGTCTATATATCTGTCTACGTAAATATCAAAAACCAAAACTCATCAATTTCATGGCTAATTAATTTAAGCCTCCAATCAATTATAAGCTAACCAAAATAACATAAGGGCTGCTGCTGCCGGATAGATCATCTAGACAATACTGCGAGACCGGCCGAGGAAACAAAATTTCACCTTAGGGCTAAATTATAAAAGGGACAATTAAACAGCGATTGATCACGACATTAATATATCAAAATCCAGGAGCTTAAGATTGGAAAAAAAAGACCCATTATCCGCCAACCATGTTAAGATACACGCAAGTGAATGAACAAAAAGAGAGAAAAAAAAAGGGGGGGAGAAGGGAGCGAGAGTACTAATAATATAATATAATAATAAGTTAAGTATATAAAAAAAAAAGAAAACTCCCAACAATATGCAAATTCACAAGCTCTTTTTTTTGTTCCAAGCACAAAGGTAAAGTCAACGAGAGAGAGAAAAAAAAAAAGTCACACAAAACAAAAACTACAGAACAAAAAAATACTATGTATATATATCACAACCTCGCGCGCTTACATTTGCGATAGTTGTATATCAATCTGTGAATCCAAGAACTTCCTTCTGTCCCCTGTCAACTCAGTCTGCAATCTCTGCTCGACGAGTGCCCTGACCTGCTTCTTCGTTACTGTATCCAAATCAACCGCATTTAGACAATCCCTCACGACGGCCGTGATGGTGGCATCGTCTGGTCCCTGAAGACCCCTCTGGAAATCAAGCACGCTACTTGCCGGCCTCGACCCAGCATAGCCGCTAAGTGCTCTCTGGAATCCAGGACTTGGTGACGGCGAAAGCAAGTTACCCTCGCTGCGTCCGTTACCACCGTGTGTCTCTGCCCAGTAATCACCAGCCTGGCTCATCGCCCGGCTCGGACTCGCGCTTCTATTAAAATTCGAGTAAGAGCTCTGGCGAACCGAGTTTCGACCAAGGGGTGATGGGCTGTGTGGGTGTGGTGCCAAGTATGGGTTTCCTCCAAAGTGAAGGGTGCTAGCGGGCTTAACAGAAGAGTAAACGCTCTGCATGTCATCCATCTCGTATCCGTGGCCGTGACCACCAGCGTCGTCATAGTACTTTTCAACATGGGTGGCGACTCTTCGGCCAGGGAGACTATTCTGAGCGGCATAGTCATCCCATGTTTGAAGTGGGATGGAAGCAGGATCGAACTCTTCCTCTTCGACAGCAACGATCTTCTTGTCACCAGCCTCGCCAACAACGATACGGGTGGAACCCCATGAGAAATCGTCTTGCTTCCAGAAAGAGTACATTGGAAGGATGAAGGAGTAAACCGGGTAGGCTAGAATGTAGATAATCATCCATCCGATGTGCTGCCATTGACGTTTGATCAAGAAAATGAGAGCTTGAAGACCGTAGACAACAGCAATCATGATAAGCGAGATCTGGGGGAATTGACCGGTAGGATTGGCAGCCTGGTAGATAAGATAGACAATGTAGGCACAAGTAGACGGAAGCATAATGGTACCTATGGTTTACGTTAGTTTATGCCACTCTTGGACCAGAGGAGATGGGATGGGGGTAGCTTACCAGCAAGATCGATGAAGACAATGAATCTCATGGAGAACAAACAGAAACCACACATATCCTTCAGCCACATCAATTCAACCAAGTTGTGGATTGTAGAATTGATCCAACGACGTCTCTGGGAAAGCAAGACGCTCCAGGTTTCGGGGGCAGCGGTAAGAGCATATGCGTCGGGAATAAATTTGAAGCTCATATGTGGGAAATGCTTGGTCATCAAAGTAGTCAAGAAACGATCCTCACCAAGGGACAACAGATTTTTCTTGTGGAGAGTGTCAACATTGCCATCGGAGTATTCGTCAATGACCTTGCTAGAGATGATCAATGGGCGGCCCTTGTCGGCAGTTCTAAGACGGTACATGCAGAAACTATTATTTTGTTAGCAGAGAGTAACATCATTTACTGAAATTGAGCTTTGACTTACCATCCGGGAAGACAGGTGACGGATCCGAAGAGAGATTCGAAGGATTTGGCAAGATGATGGGAGATATAGTATTCGTAAACCTGGATCATAGTCCACCAACTCTGCTCTTCGTTTTCCAAAGAGGTTTCACCACAAATACCAGCAATCTTTGCGTTATTGGCACAAGCAGAAATCAAACGGTTCAACGAGTCCTCGCGGACGCAAGTATCGGCATCAACCATGAGCAAGTACTCGTAAAGTTCAGGATCCACACCGATGACATTGTTGATTTGGTGGAAGAGTTCGAGCTGAAGTGGAGACATGGGAGTGCGGTGGTGAACCTTGTTCAAGAAGTCCATGAGAAGAACCTGCGAGTCACGCTTACCACGATTGCCGGGTTTGGAGGTCTCTGATTCCTTGCCGACTTTAACGACGACGATATAAGGAACAACCCGACCTTCGTATTCATACAAACCAGAGTAAACCTTGCCATAATTGAGTTGCTTAGAACCTTCGCCAACACTCTTGAAAGGGAGAGCTGGAGGGTTAACGCTAGGATCAACGCCGAGGATGTCAAGGATGATTTGGGGTGTAGCCTGGTCGTTTCCGCCACCGATAACCATTCCGTCGCAAATGATGAACATGAGCTTACGTTTGTTTTCATAGTTCAGAGCGGTTAGGGAGTCGATGGCTTTCCGCAGGGAGTCTTCACCTTCGGTATACGCGGGAACTTGGCAGATAACGAACTTGTCTTGCATAGATGGGGACTTCTTTCCTCCAAGTTGGAGAGCAGCAAGAAACTTGATACCAATGACGGAACAGAGAACAACGGCCAAGGAGAGCAGAATGTAACCTTGGACCTTGCATCGAGCGGAGTCCCTGACGTCGAGAGTACCAATGTGGAAAGCATTGTCCAAGCAATTGCGGTAGTTGCGCTGACGGTTTGGTCCGAGGTTATCTCGGAACTGGGTAGAAATATCGCCACCGGGGTTGGATTGAACAATATCAGTGAATGATTCGTTGAAGAAATTGAAGTAACGGTCACCGATCAATTTTTGGGAGTAGAAGTAGTTTGTAAGATCGTAGATGTGGCCATCGAGAATGAACCAGTTGCGAGAGTATCTCAAACCCTCGCTGGCAACATCTTCCTTTTTATAGACAACACGTCCCTTGTAGTATTCCTTGATCTTGGGCTTGAAGCGGTCTTGGTACCAGTTCTTGTTGAAAAGGACAGAACGTCGATCAGGCTGTCTGTTTCCGATGAGATGCTCGACGGTAGGTTGCTCAATGGCGTTAGTGTTATTGAATCGGAGGTAGACAGTGTCATCATCCACCACCCCTGGACAGGCAACGGTAAGAGGCATTTGGAAGTAGGCAGTAAGGTCCATTCCGGCGACCGCTTTCATTGTCGCGCCGAGGACAGGGGTGTCAGTATCGCTATGGTCGATACGCCAAAATTTCGTGATATCGTAAGCCGTTCCGTTGATCGCAACCCAAAAGTCGTTTTCATCTGTATGGTATCCAACTTCTTTAACACTGAATGTGTTTTTCGATTCCGGACAGACGACATCAGCGAGACCAACAATGTAGAAGACGAGAGCACCGTTTGCAACCAAGATCCAGAAGAAAAGAACAACTTTTTCTCTCCAGGCAAATCGGACGTCTGGTCTTCGCATACGGCCGACATATCGGAGTAAGATAGAGGGAATCCAGAAAGTCATAGCCCAGACGAAAGCAACCCAGACACGGCGACCAATGGTTCGTGGTGCCTTTTGAATCTTGACCTTTTTGGCGATTTCTTCGTCCTTGAGAGTCTCTGGATTGTATCCAGAATCGATCTCCTTTTCACCTTTATCGGCGACACCAAGAGCGCGAGGAGGAGCCATGGACATGGGTCTATTAATGAGGCCGGTTGCGGGATTGTCACCACTTTGCGAGGCAACACTGTTGAGCAAGTTGTCACGGCTCTCGCCTTGTGCCATGAGGCCGTTAGATCCCATGGGTGGGAAGAAACCGCTATTGTTGCGAGAAAGGGCGTTAAAAGATCCTGGGGTTTCAGCGTACCCAGGGCCCATCGTACCCATTCCCATCCCGGGTCTAATGTCAAGCATCGACTCCACTTGCCACCAGGCGGATTCGCTCATCCAAACCCTCTCCTTACCGACAACGGCTTCCCCGTTGCTCCACCCTTTCTCAATAACCCAGGTCTCAACACCATCACGGCCAGAGAGGCAGCCGAGCATGTTGTATCTCTGGTAGATTTCGTCAAAATCAAAGTCGGCTGTGAAGTCAAGACGCTTGTTCCTGCGGTTGGACCACTCTACCAATCTCCAAGCTCTGATTTGTCGGGAGACGGTAGCTGCAGACCAGCCGGCTTGGGTGGAAAGGGACATGGCACGGGAATCTGGAGCAGATGTTCCATCGCTTGGGCTTAGAGAAAGGTGGAACCAGGTTCGGCTGGTGGAAAGAACGGACATAACGTCCAACTTTTCAAACTTGATGCCGTTTTCTTCGGGGAGAAGGACTTGTTTCAAGAAGCCCTCGGATTCGACTTCCCGTCCGATCTTCTCCATCAAGCCCTCCTTTCTGTCTTTTTCGTAGTCCTTCTCGCGTTGCTTAGAGGAGTCTCCTTCGAAATCAAGGATAGCCTGCTTCATCTCACGGAGAACCGCGCTGTTGGCAGGAGTAACTTCGAGCCCATCATCTTTCATTTCGGCATTGATTCCCATTTCGTCATCAAAAACAATTCTCATTGATAGGGCCTTGGCTTGAGCTTCGTTGGGGATCTCGACGAGAGAGATAGCAACAGTGTCTCCATTGCTGCTGTCACCGGATTCCTTTTTGGCGTTGAATTGAGCTTCCATGGCAGCGTTGGCCTTGGTGATGATCCAATTGACGAGGTTCTCATAAGCGGTACCGATGAATCTTTCACGGTCTTCAGCACCCATATCGACGAAGACCTGAGGATCGATGCCCAAGAGACCGGCAACATCCTCGCAGACTTCCTCTACTTCATCATCTGGTGTCAAAACGCTAATAGTGTTTCCTAGCTTGAGGATACCGGCAAGAACCGAGAGAACACCTCTGAGCAGACTACCCTTGATACCAATGTCCCTAAGACCTTGTCGGAAGTCCTCAGCACCGGCAGCGTCGTCGGCAGTTGGATGCCATGCTGGTGGGAAATAAGTGCCGGATCGTCGAAGGAGGGCATATTTGTCGGGTGATTGGAGGGAGAGGTATTCACGTTCTTGGGGAGAAGAGGCAGATGAAAGTAGATAGTAGAAAACGTCGAAACCACGATAGCCAACCTGAGCTGGAATGTGTGTAAGACCTCTGGCTGTATCAATGCCTTCAGGGGTAAGGGCAATAGAACACGAGACTGGCTCTCCGTCGAGGGAAATGTGATGAGTAACAACGAGACCATTATGGAGTGGAGTCTGGGGAGCCAACGGGGAGAGAGCAGTAAGGAATGGACGGATAGTGTTCAAAGTAGAAGCTAGAATTGTCGGAGGACGAGGGAAGCTATCTAGGAGAGGAGTAAGAGCAGGAGTTGTCGATGCCGGTGTGAGAGAACTATTTTTTTTTTGTGGAGAGTTAGTCAAATCAAGATTATTCATCGATTGAAGGTTATAAAAGCAAGTAGTAGGTTGGTTGGTGTACTCACGCAAGAACGACACACTGATCCTCAGCACGTCGACGAGCGTGTTCCCATACTCGCGAAGTGAGAGAAGTATCGATGGTATCCGCACCGGAAGCACCAACGTTGGTACCCATGGTACCATTTGAACCACTAGAGGCAAGAGCACTAGTCACGACAAGACTAGTGCTGGCATCCAGCTGGAAGGACGAGCCAGCCCCGAATGCATTGTGAAGAGAGGCAATCAAAGAAGAAGTATTGATGTTGCCTGATGCCTGTTGATTGGAGGGCATTGCCCCCGAGGCAGTAGAATAGACAGAATGGCGGTGGCCGTGAGCCATCTCGTCGACTAAGATGTCGGACATTGTCACGTTAGTGTCTTTGTTCCTTTAATTCAATTTGAAATGAATTGATTGCTACACAAAGGGGGTTGAGGAATATTTGGTTTGGTCGGGTCGGGCCACTACCACCATCAAAGGGGGGGGAGGTTGGCCGTTGACACGATGGGAATGATGAACAACGTGATCGAAGGCATGATGATAATAATAATACTAATATATTCACGGTGGATACACCAGAGGTGAGCGAGCGAGTGAGTGAGTACATACCTGTTTGCAAGTCTAGCACAAACGGCTAGAATTCACGAGAGTCGCGGTCTGTTTGTCTGAGATGCTATCCGTCTAAAAAAAAGGTATACGATACCTTTGATGAATTAAAGGAACATACGGGCCCAACCGAATGGACTGGGAGGTCGTCAAGGAGCCGCAACTCGAAGGAGGTCGTTGAGTTGAGTTGAGAAAGGGATGAAACCGAAGAAGCTATGAAGAACAAAAACACTTTTTCTTTCTCTTCTCGTCTCTTTCTTCTCAAATCGTGATATAAATTATTAGTAGTAGTGGTAGTAGTAATATGTAGCAGTAGTAATAACAGTAGTGATTGTGTATATATTTTTTGTCGTTTTCGTGAGCTGGAATTAGATGGTTTATTTGCTTGGGAAGCAAAGAATAAGAAGCGGAAGAACACCCAAAGGGGGTCTTGTTATTATTATCGAGGCGTAGTGGTAGTGGTTAGTGGTTGTTTGTGTGTATCAGAGTGGTAATGGTAAATGGTCTAAGCATCAAAGCAAGGCGGTTGCCATGCGTCGGTCGGTTGGTCGGTCGGTTTAGCTGAAGACAGACAGACACCCCCAAAAATAGCCGACAGGAGCAGAAGAGCTGAAGGCGGATGTCGACGCTGAAGAACGAGCGGAAATAGAACTAAAATAAAATAGAATAAAATAAACAACCTCGAACCGGATTAACGAATGGGAGGTTCTTGACGTAACGACCGTCTACAAAAGGGTCAAAGAACGAACGAGTGTGAAGAATAGCACAACCAAAAAAAAAAAAAAGGCTTGGGGGATGGAAGAAAGATGAAGTGAAGAGAAATGAAGTGAGGTGAGGGTGGAGTGAAGAAGTTCAGGTCACAGAAAAGGGAGAGAGAGAGAGAAGGCCACCCCGTTCGGCCAGGATGCATGAATCGGGGCTAAGAATTAGAATGGGTTGCAATTGGTTTGTCCGGGCAAGCAAGGCAAAGGCACATACATACTACATGTGCAGACAGAGCAGGGAAGGTGACCGAGAAGAGAAGAAAAAAAAAAAAAAAAAAAAAAAAAGGAGACACGCTAAAACGGGCTAACCAAACGGTGTACATGCTACATGCTAAAAGTACCTACATACTTCTTACTAGTACATACAAACATCATCTATAGGACGGATATGCCTGGGATTTCGTTAGTCGAAAAGATGGGCTTCGCTTTTGGGACACTAGGAATCGAGAACGGCTCAACTTGATACCTCCTTACATACGGTACAAGCATACTACACAATATACTTCATAACACACACATAGCATAGCATATGTAGCATACTCTGCACTTTGAGCACATATGTAAGTAAGTATCATATACGATGCGATATTATAAATTGGAGGAAGGAAGAATAGTCCAAGCCCTGCGAGGAACGGACCATTCGAGAAATGCCAGACAAATTTCTTCTCGCTTGTAATTCAATTCAATTCAATTCAATTCAATTCAAAACCCCCCTTGCTCAGCTTACAGCCTGGAATAATCATACTCGACATTTCCTTCCGGCTAGCAGGACCCTTCCACGGATTTTGCATATGCAGATGATATGATATGATGGACTGGAATTCCGTCATATAATGATATACTTGTGTAAATAGGTATACCGTTACCAGACCATACCATATACATACCATACCAGGAGAGGTCATAGTACATTATTATAGTATTAAATATTATTATTATTATTATTATCATCATCATGCCATGCCGTACCGTGCCATGTCGACATTGGTGTCTCATTGTCTCATTGCATTTTTAGTGGGACAAAAACAACGCGTTGATCGTCCCGATAGACGCTCTTTTGTCGACACTCAAACAAACCTCACTTCTGCTCTCACTCTCTCTCACTCTCACTCTCTTTCTCCCTCTCTTTCTCCTCTCGAAACTTAACTCAATTCGAGACTTCGAAACCCAAAAACACTAATTCCTTTTTTTTCTCTTTCGTGTGTGTACCCGAGAATAAAGTACCTGTACCTGGAACAAGGTCCGGTACCTGAGGCGTCCACAGGCCAATGAGGCGCCACCAATTTGTACCCGGAACTAGTCCGGTGTGTTCCTGCGAAGGGGACACTAACCTTAAAGAAGCGAACCCCTGAAAACTGCCATTTGCTGCCAGTTGCTGCCAATTGCCCTTTGCAGGTGGGGCGCTGCCGATTTGTTCATTTTTTCTGGCCCGCTATTTTTGGACGATCCCACCCTGAACACCCCTGACCCCGGCCGGGAAGGACGCTACCCAGCGGACAATTTGATTGAAAAGTCTTGTTTTTTTATTTTTATTTTTTTTTATTACAGATCTTTTCTCAGCCCGGTTTTAATTAGGAAGATGCCATTAGTATCATTACAAACATAGTACGGAGTAGTAGTAGTAGAATATACTATGTATGCCAGGTGGTGAGGCTAACGGTACCGGGTATGTTGTAATAGACAACGGGTAATGGGTTACATCGAGTACATGGCACCTGTCGATAAACTATTCAAAATGGAGAGACCGATTGGGCGGGGAGGGGGGTTGTTTCTTTATTTATAACACTTGGGTTACCTCCGACCATCAAACATCAACCACATGCTCTCCCGGACAAGCTTCCCTTTTCCTCGCAAGATGTAAACAAATTAGGAGTGAAATCAAAAAAAAAAATAGCCTGTGCGGCTGGTGGGAAAGTCTGAGTGAGAGGGTGTGTGTGTGAGAATGAGTGAGAGTGGATGAGAAGAGAAGAGGGAAGGGGAAGGGGAAGAGAGAGAGGCAAAGGAAAAGGCTTGTCTTGCATCGTATTGACGATACTACATACATATCATACGAACAGGAACAGGATTCTCTCATTCAATAAACACCACACCAACTACCAGACTCGTCAAATGTTCCGAGGCAGGGGGGGGTGGTTGAAAAATAGATTTGACAAGCTATGGATGCAAAAGTTAGGGGCGACCAGAAAAAAAATATTTTTTGTTCTGTATGGAGGCCCAGGGGCGTGCCGGGACGGGCTGGATCGATCGAGCTGCCGAATGTTTACGGATCAATCACAAATCTCCCATTAACATTATATTGCTATCTGCTTACGGTGCAGACCGTTGAAGCATCCCATATCATATCGTATCGTATCATATGAGTTTGAAGCTTTGGTATATACCATATGTACTATGTAAGATATCGTCTAGCATATACACCGTTGGAACATTGCATCGGTGATAGAACGTACTTAGGTATCTACTACTTCAAGTATATACCTCCTGGCTTGCTTCTATGCCAGTGTAATGAAGTGAATTACTCCTCCTCCTCCCCTGGACATACGTACATGACATCCCATCCCATCCCGTCCTTTCGGTTGTGCTATTCTGTTGGCAATTGACCTGGTCGATTCCAAACACCACCACGCTACTATACTATACCACATACGTTACGCTCCTTTTTTTTTTTTTTTTTTTTCGTGTCCCGGTCCTTCCTATCCCATAGCTCATCCCCATTCCACACACACAGGCACACAAAGTGCACAGCTTGAACCCAGTCCGGTAACTTGTCTATACTTACTACTTTTACTTTTACTGTTCGTTCGTTCGTTCCACAATTAATTCCGTCACTCATCCCATTAGTCTTGAGCACGGGAATTATTTCTCTTCTTCAATTATTCTTCTTCGTTTCTACCGACATCTGTTGACCTTCAACTTTGACATCTTTCCCTTCGTTCTTTCGTTTCCATTCGTTAACCTTTTCATCTATCTATCTATCTATCTCTCTCTCTCGCTTTGTCTCCCCTTCGGTATAGACGCGTTTAATGTTAATGATTAGCTGAAGATCTCACCACTCTCTCTGACAGAGAACCACCACTTCTTCCCCCCCCCCTTCCCCTTCTACCTCACCTTCCTTTAGGCCAGCATACCCACGAGCATTCCGACGATTTCCATAGAGGCCAAAATCTTTCTCTCTCTTCTTTTTTTTTTTTCTTCCTCGAAGCATTAGCATATAGTTATAGCGAACAAAAAACATTCGTTCGGAAGGGGTAGGATTTCTTTTCGCCTTTTTGTGCTCAACCCCTGAAGTCGTTGTTGGTTGTAGGCGACGGACCATAACTTCCCCAAATTTTCAGACCTTCAACACCGGAATCATCATCATCATTAGTAGACGACGACCTTTCGAGCCTCTTCTCTCCGAATAACGCGAGCCATTCAATATGGCCGCCCAGGGCAATCAGCCTCAGGCTTCATTGCCGTCGTTGCCTGCCCATGTCCAATCCGACACCCATCTCACGGCCCACCTTGCTTCTCGTTTCCATCTGTCTCTACCAACTGCCTCTATCTCCTCCCATGCCATCATCAGCTTGAATACGTATACCAGTGCCACCGTAGCCGGTGTCGAATGTGAAAAGCTCGCCGAACGTCTTTACAACAGATTGGCACACCGGGCAGAGAATCAGGCCGTCTTGTTTCTGTATGTCCTTTTTCTATTTTTAGATACAACTCCTAATTATATCCTCTAAAGATACTTGAACTAACAAGAAATAATCGTACAGTGGAGAATCTGGTTCCGGAAAGACTACACTCCGATCTCATCTTTTAGCCTCATTGCTCAGCTTCTCTTCAACTCCTTTGTCGAACAAGATTTCTTTTGCCGCGTTTTTGTTCGATACTTTGACAACAACCAAGTCATCTACCACCCCAACTGCATCCAAAGCCGGTCTCTTCCTCGAGCTTCAATACGATAATACCTCTTCGACACTCATTGGTGGAAAGTTGCTGGATCATAGACTTGAAAGGTCCAGAATCTCACATGTCCCGACTGGTGAACGTAACTTTCACGTTCTGTACTACCTCCTTTCTGGAACTTCCCAAGCTGAAAAGGAGCATTTGGGGCTCAATGTTGTTGGAGGTGCCACTCACGGCCCCGGGAACCGAGGTTCCGTCAACATTGGAAAAAGATGGAGATATCTCGGTCATCCAAGCCAGTTGAAAGTCGGAATCAATGATTCTGATGGCTTCGATCACTTCAAGACCGCTCTTCGTAAATTAGAATTCCCGAGGGGCGAGATTGCTGAGATTTGTCAAATTTTGGCCACAATTTTGCACATTGGCCAACTTGAGTTCTTGACCTCCCACACTTCGAGAGGTGCTGGTGATGACAGTGGTCCTCAAGATGCAGGCGAGGATACCATTGTTGTCAAGAACAAGGACTCCCTCAATATCGTTGCTGCTTTCCTTGGTGTATCAAGCGATGCACTCGAAACAAGCTTTGGATATAAAACTAAGACTATCCAAAAGGAGCGAGTCACTGTTATGCTTGACGCTAAGGGCGCCAGAGCTAACGCTGATGATCTCGCTCGTACCCTTTATTCCCTTTTGGTTGCCTGGATCGTCGAATCTGCCAACGAGAGACTATGTGCTGTTGAAGACACTGTCGCGAATACTATTTCCGTCGTTGACTTCCCCGGTTTCGCTCAGGCTACCGCTCCTAACGGAGCGTCGCACCTGGACCAGTTGCTTAATAATGCAGCTACGGAAGCTCTCTATGGATTCACTCTTCAACATTTCTTCGAGAGGAGCGCAGAATTGCTCGAATCCGAGGAAGTCAGTGTTCCCGCAACTAGCTACTTCGACAACGGAGATGCCGTCAAGGCGTTGCTCAAGCAAGGCAACGGTCTTCTCGCTATCCTCGATGATCAAACTAGACGCGGACGCAGCGATGCCCAGTTTTTCGAGAGCATGAAGAAGAGATTCGAGGGCAAGAATCCTGCCGTCGAGCCTGTCCCTATCAGCAACGCCACCCTCCCAATTGCTGCTACTTCTACCTCCTTCCGCGGTGCTTTCACAATCAGGCACTTTGCCGGTGAAGTTGAGTATCCAGTTTATGGCTTGCTCGAGGACAACGGTGAAGTCATTAGCGGTGATATCATGCAGTTGATCCAAACTACCACCAGTAACTTCGTCGCGGAGCTCTTTTCATCCAAGGCTCTCAATACCCAACACCACCCACAGGAGAAGTCCGCAATCATGCAAGCTCAGCTCTCCTCGAAGCCTTTGAGACAGCCCAGCGTAGTCCGTAAGAAGGGCACACGGCCTGTTCTCAAGGGTAAGGAGTCACCGCCACCGGCGGAGGAGCTCGAGATTGAAACGACATCTAAACATGGCCAACAAGGTGCTGCCGGTCAGTTTTTGGCTGGTCTAGACACAATCACCAAGGCGCTTAACAATCTCAACACCAACCCGTATTTCGTGTTCTGCTTGAAACCAAACGACAGGAGGATAGCAAACCAATTTGACTCGAAGTGTGTCAGAACACAGGTGCGAGTTTTGGGTATCGCGGAAATTACTCAGAGAATCAAGAACGCAGACTTCTCAATCTTTATGCCGTTCGGAGAGTTCCTCGGTTTGACATCGACCGACAATTCCATTGTCGGAAGCGAAAGGGAGAAGGCAGAGGCTGTGCTCGATGAGAAGAGGTGGCCGGCGAATGAAGCAAGATGCGGTTCAACCGGTGTCTTCCTCAGCGAAGCCTGCTGGGCTGAAGTTGCCGATGTTGGATCTGGCACATTTATGCATGCCGGCGTGGCTGGCGACCGCAAACTGAGTACCCCTGGTGATGAAGGGAGCCCGTTCGGCGACTCCAAATCGCACCTCATCGAAGGAGGCATTGGTTCCCATATTTATGGCAAAGGAGGTTACCTCGGAGTCAATAGGGACGCCGACGGTCGATCGGATGCCGGCGCTTCCGCCTTTAATCAGGGCGATATGTTCAGGCACTTCGACACCCGTGAACAAATGGCTGAAAAGGGTGCAGCAGCCCGTGAGGAGGAGATTGACGAAGTTGTCGTATCTGGTTCTCGAAAGAGATGGCTCTTCCTGGTTTACATGCTTACGTTCTGGCTTCCCGACTTCTTCCTCAGCTGGCTCGGCCGCATGAAGCGCAAGGACATCCGTGTCGCATGGCGTGAAAAGTTGGCTATCAACATTCTTATCTGGCTCAGCTGTGGTTTCGTCATCTTCTTCATCGTCTGGTTTCCCAACTTGATCTGTCCTAAGCAAAACGTCTTCACACTTGATGAGTTGAAAGCCTACAGCTTTGATAAGACGAAAAAGTCTAGTAACGTCCTGACCGCGATTCGTGGTGAGGTTTTCGACCTTTCATCCTTCTCTAATACTCATTACCCCTCAATCGTTCCACAAGACGATGTTCTCGCATACGGTGGTCGAGACGCTTCCGCTCTATTCCCCGTCCAAGTTTCAGCTCTGTGCAGAGGACGTGATGGCAAAGGTGTCAATCCCTATATCGCGATCAACTATGTCAACCCCAACTCTACTAGCTTCGAACGTAACTCCGTCTACCATGACTTCCGCAGCTCTTATACCGCTGATCAACGTCCCGATTGGTACTACGAACTTTTGATCCGGATGAGGGCGAATTACAAGAGGGGCTATGTTGGCTGGTCACCCCAAACTGTTAAGGACATGGGCAAAGCGCAGAAGCAAATTGCCATCATCGGAAAGGATGTCTTTGATCTTACCGGATACCTGTCAGGTGGTCGCCCTTACCTTGCTTATCCTCCAGACGTTGATCCACCAGCAACTGGAGATGTGGACCTTGACATCCTTGATTCCAACGTTGTCGCTCTTTTCCAAAACGGTGCCGGTCAAGATGTCACCAAGTACTGGGATGCCCTCAAGCTTGACCCTGCTTCCCGAGTCTCGCAGAGATCCTGTCTGAGATACCTTTACTTCATCGGTAGAGTGGATTCCCGTAACTCCACCGTGTGTCAGTTTGCAAATAACATCATTCTTGCGATTACCATCGCCTTGGTCTCCGTCATTGGTTTCAAATTCTTGGCTGCCCTCCAGTTCACCAGAACCAATATTCCTGAAGCCCTGGATAAGTTCGTTATTTGCCAAGTTCCCGCATATACGGAAGATGAGGACTCACTTCGTCGTGCTATTGATTCGTTGGCCCGTATGAAGTACGATGATAAGAGGAAATTGCTTGTTATTGTCTGTGATGGTATGATTATTGGTCAAGGTAACGATAGGCCTACACCGAGAATTGTGCTCGATATTCTAGGATGGACTGGACAAGAACCCGAGGCTCTTAGCTTCGAGAGTTTGGGTGAAGGTCTCAAGCAGCACAACATGGGCAAGATTTATGCAGGTCTTTATGACACGCTCGGTCACATCGTTCCATTCATGGTTGTCGTAAAGGTCGGAAAGCCATCTGAAGTTTCTAAGTGAGTATATATTCCTAGTATCTTAACCAAAAAAAAACATCTACTAACCAATACTAGGCCTGGTAATCGTGGAAAGCGAGACTCTCAGATGATCATTATGCGCTTCTTGAATCGTGTGCACTATAATTTGCCAATGAGCCCTCTTGAACTCGAGATGTACCATCAGATCAGAAACATTATCGGTGTTAATCCCACTTTTTACGAATACCTACTGGGTATTGACGCTGGTGAGTTTGCTCTTTTCATGCTGTATGGTTTCGAACTCAAGCAACTAACAAGGTGACAGATACTGAGGTCGCACCGGACTCTTGCACTCGTTTTGTTTCCACATTCATCAACGATACAAAGGTCATCGCTGTCTGCGGTGAAACCGGTCTTACCAACGCGAAGGCTACATTTATTACTATGATGCAGGTCTACGAGTAAGTTTTTCTGATATGTATAATTCTTTGGAAGGATATGCGCCCTAATCGGAATTTAATCTAGATACTTCATTTCCCATAATCTGTCCAAGGCATTCGAAAGTTTGTTCGGCAGTGTTACTTGTCTTCCAGGTTGTTTCTCCATGTACCGCATCCGAACAGCAGAAACCGGAAAACCTCTATTCGTCAGCAAGGAAATTGTGGAAACATACGCAAACATTCGTGTCGACACTCTGCATCTCAAGAATTTGTTGCATCTTGGTGAAGATCGTTACCTCACAACCCTGCTTCTCAAGTTCCACCCAAGATTCAAGACCAAGTTCATTATGAGCGCCCACGCATGGACTATTGCACCAGACAGCTGGAAGGTTTTCTTGTCTCAGCGTCGTCGTTGGATTAACTCTACTGTCCACAATCTTGTCGAACTTATCCCCTTGTCCCAGCTTTGCGGTTTCTGCTGCTTCAGTATGAGATTTGTGGTGTTCATCGATTTGCTCTCCACTATCATCGGTCCTGCCACTGTTGGTTACTTGGTTTTCTTGATTTATACCGCCGCAACAGCAACAGATATCAACAAGTACGTCATGGCTTTCATTCTATTAGCCGCGGTTTATGGTCTTCAGGCTATCATCTTCATCTTGAGGAGGAAATGGGAAATGGTAAGTTCTACGCTCTCGCCTAGATGTGCATTACGCACGAAATCACTGCAAATAGTATCAGGTAGCTAACTTTCTATCTACAGATCGGTTGGATGGTTGTTTACATCTTGGCTATCCCCATCTTCAGTTTTGCACTCCCATTGTACTCCTTCTGGCACATGGACGACTTCTCGTGGGGTAACACTCGTGTGGTCACCGGTGATCATGGTAAGCAGGTCGTCATCTCCGACGAAGGTAAATTCGACCCGGCTATGATTCCCCGCAAGAAGTGGGACGAATACCAGGCCGAGCTATGGGAATCCCACACTTCGCAAGGCGACGCACGATCCGAATACTCTGGTATTTCGTACGGTACCAAGCCTGCTGGAAGTGAATACGGTGGTGTACCACCAAGTCATTATGAAGTCCCATTACCCAGGTATACGAGCAATGGAAGCAGGTTCAGCCTTGCACCCAGTGAGATGCTTGGTGGACAGGGGATGAGGGAGACAAGAGAAGGGGTTGAGTTGATTAGTATGGAGTTGCCGAGTGACGACGCCATACTAGCGGAGATCAGGGATATTCTTAAGACGGCGGATTTGATGACGGTGACGAAGAAGAGTATCAAGGTTGAGTTGGAGAGAAGGTTTGGATTGAGCTTGGATGCGAAGAAGGCGTATATCAATTCTGGTATGTTATACACTCACTACCCTTTTTTTTTTTTCCATAGGGCAAACAGGTTTACTAACTAATTGTTTTTTTCTCTCTAATAGCTACGGAAGCTATCCTTTCTGGAAATCTGTAAATGTCTTGTTTTTTTGGTCTTAAAAAAACAGAAGGATTAATGACCGGAGCAGTATATATGCATGCAGTAATGTGGAGGAAATTGGGATGAAACATTCAAAATAACAAAAAGCGGTAGTTGCGAATTTGGATTCATAGTTTAGGGTTTTCGTTTTTCTTTTTAGATATCATTTTTTAATCTTTACCAGACACCTAAAAGAAGTTTTTTTTTTCTTGTTTATTTTATTTTTATTTATTTTTTCTTTTCAAATTCCTTCGATGGATATTGAGAAGAGAGGGTGAGAGTGAGCGGAGGACGAGAGAAAAGGATGGGGCATCCTTTTTTGCATTTTTTGGTAGTGAAAGCGGTTGGAAATTCCTTCTTTTTTTTTTCAGTTAACTTGCATTGCGGTTTCTCTTTTTTTTCCCTTTCCACTCACTCGAGGGGAGGGGGGAGAATGTAATTAATGTCCATTATATGCATTATAAGGCCTCCTTCTGATCTGATACTTTTTTGGATAAACCCTTTTTTTTTTTCTCTTTCCCTTTAAATTTCCGGTATACATAGATTTGAGTTAGTTATATACATATGATATACACATATACACATATTTTATAGTAAAGACTTTGAAGTATGGATTATGATGAAGCTTTTTTTTGATTCTTTACGATCATTTGATGGTTTTAGGCTTCGGATGCGTTGATTAATTATAGACTTGGGGTTTGGGGTTTGGGGGTTTGGATGAGAGTTATGTATGTAAGGCCGTAGATATTGTTTGGAGGGCCTTTTTGTTATTTGGACTTTTGGCTTCGGATTTGGCTTTTTGCCGCTGGAGTGTGTGCGTGCATGCATGCATGGTATTGTTTGTTCTTCGTGCGATTGTGGGGTTTCGCGCTTTGGAGTTTGGTGGGGGGGGGGGGGTTGACGTTTGAGAATTATATTAATGGGTGGATGGATGTTAATGATAGTCTATTTTAGAAAAGATACTTGGATCTTTTGAGGAACCTGAAATAGCTAGTAGTATACGCGGTTGGTATCTCAACGACGGTGATGATCCAAAAAATATATATATAAAGAAAAAAATAAAGTATTGAGACAAAGTTAAATGTTCAAAAAAATGAAAAAGCAAAAGAGGGGAGAAGGGAAACAGAGGGACTCTGGATCCCCATCTCGAGGCTATTAGATTGCCCTCTGTATAGTTAGTTACTTAAGTAGTTAATATTAGCTGCATGAATTTGAATCGATGGATCTACATACTTAGTAGTTATGCATATATGAAAAAGTTGGGCCTGTGTGTACCTACCAGCCTTGCTGTGCCGTTTAGCTTAATGCCCTTGTTTACATGCTCGCTTAGAAGGAGAGGATTGTTGTATTTTTGGGAACGATGCATGTCGAATCGTGTGTTCGGGGTTTTGGTAGACGAGATGGGGGGGGTAATGGTTAATGCCTTTGATTGAATTGAATTCTCTTGAAGTAAATTCGAGTGATTTATCATATCATAGAAGAAAGAATAAATATAGTTTTAGATGTGGTTATTACCGATAGATCTTCGTCATATCAAACTAGATACGTAATGGAAAGTCGATATTGAAATGTTAGCTTTTGAATCTCTTTTTTTTGGCTGTTTTGTTGGGTATTAGAGAACAAAGAGCTTGTAAGGTCTCTAGCGTGTGAATTGCAGGGGGTTAATTTGTTTGATTAATCTTAGTTTTCAAGGGTTATCGGATTGGGTCATGCAGGTTTGGGTCAGAGCTTAGGTACTTACTTAAGTACTTGGGTAGCACAAGCTCGCAAGGCGTTGCAAGGCGCTCGTGGAACGTGAAATAGTGGGTCGGTAGCTAAGCTAAGGAAAACTATTGTCATTGGATTTGAGATCTTGGGAGATAGATAGAATCCTAAGATGCAATCGATGAAATTTTTATCAATTATTAATGCTAATATCCGGAGATTCGGGGATTTTAATGCAGGTAGAGGTTTGGTGGGTGATAGGATTCTATGCGGGATCCCATATACTTAAGTACATGTATGCATATGGAACATATATATATGCAAATACGTAATGGCAATGGAAGTTATATATTTCGGGGTAACTTTGAAAGCTTGGATAAGGGATTATACGGCTTCTATGACGTTAGGTAGGGCGCAGATATATATCAGTCCGGTTGGGCTGAATCTCGGATTTTGGAGAAAGGCAGTGAGATGAATGCGCCGGTTGGTCCGACTTTGAATAGAGACTTTTTAGTTCCGGTGGGTGCTTGGACGGGTAGATGCCTACATGCAGGTATGGAAATATTCCAGGTGGAATTATGTCATTAGCCTTGAGACCATGCGCAGAACGGAGGAAATCGAGCTTGAAGGTTCGAACGGCAAAGCAGTGGTGGGGCCTTAATTAAGGCCTTAAGAATTTAAGGGTGCCTGGAATTTCGTACGAGAGCAAGGCTTGATTAGTAGTGTAGTTTTTCATCCATTCAAAAATCGGATTCGAATATTCTCGAATTCTAGCTCTCCTTTTTCGTGTCCCTTAGACTCTCGATCCTTCAACTCCAGTGGGTTTAATTTGTCGACAGTTTATAAGTTCTAGCCATAGACGAAGTACTATAGACTAACGGGTCCTCCGTCGACGCTATCTTCGCCGCGCTATATTATGCAAATATCTACTACCTACTGCTAGAGTTACAGAGATGGTGTACTTAAATCCATAAGGATTGAAAGATTAGACCGACCCGGTATTCCCGTACCGACGGATTCTATGCTTTGGAAACTTTTCTTATTCCATCGGGACTTATAACTCCGAAACTTCGAAGCTGATCGTGAGAGCGATACTAAGGCGTTGAGTGTAAACTAGAGTCTATGATATCATACCGGTCCGATCCATGCATCGATGTTGGTAATGAAAGTTTGATTATGTAGTACAGCTCCAGAGGCGGGCATACGTATGCACATATAGCTAGGCGCATTTGGTCTCCTTCCTAGGCGCTAGGCGTCGTGGGTGAAGTTAACGCGGCCAGGCGCATTGCAGCATTCTTGATACTGCTTGGCAACGTTGTGCTGCAGATTTTGGATTTTATTCAACGTTTGTGCAAGGGTGGCCGGTGGACTGGGAGATAGTGATAGTTGGGTTACCAGCTTAAGATCCTGCATCATTAATGCATTGTCAGATTTTTGTCTGCTCTAGACATCGGACGAAGATCGATTTGGTATGTACTATCCGCTCGTACTGTTAAGGGTTGTATGCATATATCTACTGCAGGTACGAGATACAGCTATTGTTTTTGACAGGGGATATTTTACACATAATATGCCAACAGACAGTAACAATATCAAATGCAGATATATCCCTGCAATGATAATAGTCGGTATCGCTAATACCGGAATCTAGACATGACTTCAAGGCACAAATTGCTATCAACCGACCAATTGACTGGTTGTGTCTACTAGCGTTGTTTTACCGCATATGCATGCAGTTGCATTGATGCGTCTGTGTATACCCGTGGTTTTGGGCCCACCTTACCACACCCATTCGCTCGCCCTGGAAGTGTAGATCCAGGCCTGCAGGCGCGCCGGCGCGCCGCCTCACGCTAGCGCTCTAACCTACATGGAATGCTACCCCGGACTAACACGCACGATCATGTGAAGGTACTACGATTGCCTGATGCCGAGCTGGGTTTCCTCATGGATCAACCCGAGTATCCAGAATGCATTACCAAAGTTGGCCAATAGGTTGTCCCGAATCTCGCGGATAGTAGCAGCCTACCCCCCTACTAGCATCTCTGGGCGCATACGCCCATCAGGCGCAAATATTATCTCTTCCTTTGCATATTGGTTTCAAGGCACCCCTGCAGCGCCGCTCGAGATCCCTCTCTTCGGTTGAAGAGAATGTTTCGAAATAGGATAGGCGGTGATGACGGGGTCGTGGGAGACTGGAGTTGATTTTGTGAAGTGAGAGGTTTGTTGGTGTCGTTGACTTTGCGAGATCTTTGGAACGATGGGGTTAACTTTTGCTAGCAATGATATGTTTATAAATTGAGGGGGTCTGACCCCTCCTGAGGCTTGAAAGTCTATCCTCCACATCAGAATTAGCACAGACACTTAGAGACTTACTCCAAGAATTCAATCGATTCATCGTAACAGGTTCACAACTTAAACAAATGTTAGACTTCTTCTCCTTTCCTAGCTTGCTGATCGATCTACTAACTTCAGATATAGTTTTCTTTTAAGATTTACCTCATACCTTTATAACAACCTCAATTTTCTACCCAAATCATGTGTCTATATCGGTCCAATTTCTACACAGCATGTTGCTGTTACGTTCTCCTCAACTTACGGTCCCCAGCACATCGATGCCAGGGTCCCCGTGACAGTCGCGGTGTTTGCCCGGTGCAAAACCATCACCCCCTCGAGGTCACAAATGTAGAGAGACTTTGTGGACGATGCGATAGGATTAGGATCGAAAAAGGAAAAATCTGGAAGCTTACGAATGAGACACTTCCGGCTGCTGAAGCTGCTGGACAGAAGGCAAACTATGTTAAGTTCATGGGGGATCTGGCGGAAGCCCACGAGAAGCTATCGAAAGCGATTGCTAGTGGGCCGTATAATTGAGTCTACTTGCATGGAAGTACTATGCTTTTATCATTGTAGGATGCCCCGTATAGCTGCATGAAATGGTCCCTAAATTTGCAAACTGGTGTGTAGTACTAACCGTTTTGACGTTTAGACAGTCAACATGGCTCGATGGGCCTTTTGAACAGCCCTCGCGCCGAGTGGCGTGGCGTGGGGAATATCCTTCCTGCTTTTACAGCGATAGACAGTGGAGGTCGGGCTCAAAGCCGATATTCTTTGGGGTCAATTGAGGAATTCGAATGGAGTATGCATATGAAGAGTTCAAATATGGGAGAGCCTTAGTCTCGTTCCCACCTATCATTTGGAGATCGAATAATTTCCTGTAGGACTATAAAGTCGAGGCAAGAAACTTATTCTACATCCCGTATTATGGGGTCTTGAAGGCCGCAATCGGGAGGTTTGGGGTGGAGGTTCAAATTGCAGGTTCAGGAGCTTCAATATCAACTGGGTCAAGAAGAGCCGCCGAGACAAAACTGGGTCTACATGGATATCATATCATTTTGTGTTATTTGTGTCTACATTAAAGCTTGTATTGCGAGAATTGGAGGAATTGAGGAAGAATAAATAAATTTAGTTATTTAACATTCACGTATACGGACTGATCGATCTGTTGATTCCTGTTGACATCTTCGGCGTAACGCATGAGTAAAATGTCTACTGTTGAGCAATGTGTTGTTGTTGTTGGAGTTTTTATCGTGTCATTCCTGCTATTTCGCGAGATGATTCCGAGTACCGATTCAGGTTCTATGTGGTCTCGTTGGTACCAGACAACACGAAGTACAGTTCTATGTACGTATATGCGTGGAGTATTGGTTAACCGGTAGCTCTAGTTTAACTCTTATAAATTGCTTATCCATAAACTTCATCTTTTACAAAATATCCTTCTTGTATGGAATATACAAACCATTACTTTCGCACTCTGTCGATTGGAGGGATGATCAACACATGGAAGAGAAGAATACAACAATGCCCAGTTCATAGCTATGGTAAGTACATACAGTTTCGAATACCGATATCACAATCACGAGCTTTCTCACGGGTAGATCTTCTTCCGACGATAAAACGCTGATATTGAGACCACAAGGGAGGAGCGCCATTGTAACCCTGAAATGCACGCAGCCGTCATGCAATTAAGCTTGAAGTTTCCGCGACATCATTCAGCCTCAACGCTTTTCGTCTGCAGCTTTCATACATACCTGGTTACACACTTGCATGCGTAAAATAAAAAAGTATTATAAACCAATATTGCAATTATCGCGCCTGGCCCTTTTGGGTACAGCGAACAGGTCGGTTGACTTGATTGAATTTCCTAATCGAGAAGTGTCAAAGGATCTCGTGGTCAGGAACTCGGATCTACGGTCCAATGGTGAGGGTTGTAGACGCAAGGCCCTGCAGGTTTGCAGCACGTTGCTTGGGTGGATTACTAGAATAGGTAATACGCTAGAACGACAACTTGCAAATTCGATGCACCTCGTATTTTTGGCTGCCCCTTGGTTATCGATCTATTCCGCGCTTGCATGAAGAGAGAAAAAGTGTATGGATGTTTTTTTTCGTAGATCGTTATCTGGGCCAATTAGATTTATAAAGGGAGTTCGCCTAGACGGGTAGAGGCATTAGAGACATGGTATACGACGAGGCGCCTTGCTTCGCATGCACTGTAAGAATGTACATGGAGCCAGCTGCAGCGTAAACCTGGTTATCTAGCTATCTGACTTTAAAGACGTGATATCACAGTGGGACCCAGCGGGGCTCTTGCGCGATCGGCTACATGAAAAATATGGGCACGCGGAGCTTTGGTATTTCCATTTTGGGAATTTGGCTCGATTGGATCCATGGAACCAGTACTTGGACTTCGCGGGAGCTCGAGGACTGCATGATGTGAGACCATAGACGATTTCGGCTGCCTCGCTGTTAAAATTTGAGTACGGTAGATACTATAGTTTCGATAGAGTACAAATTAGTGTATGTTAACTGGTTGACTATTGCTCTATTTGAGGTAGTCTTGTGGATATATCTTAGTCTTGGATATATCTATAAATCAAAGATGATTTCCACGATGTATCCGACTCCTCAATCAAGCATCGAGCATTTCAGATCAGTCTGATATCTATCTCTTCAGAAAGCGAATATCCAGAAACTTCATGTTTCTTTTTGAACCCCTATCTATCTTAAACTTTATTACATTTTTCATACTCGATCCTCGTCTTTGTACTGAGGATTCAGCTAAAAGATTCGTATAGACCCAGTCTAAAGCTACTATAAGGTATATTCGCTCTGAAATAGAATTTTCAGAATCTAGCATAGTAGAAGTACCCTGATAATGAGACTAATACATAGTCTTCTGCAGAATCCATTGCCTATTATGTGTCACTGGCGTACCCGTCAGCATACCGTCTGCGGTTGCAGAGTCCGCAAGGACTCAAGGACACCAGGGAACAGATGTGGAACTCCAAGGGAGCCTGGTAACTCATGGTGCCCTAATTTCAACCTGCCATTTAACTTGGACATCGAAATGGAGGATACCGAGTGTCAATGGCATCGGGATATCGCTGTATTGCGAAGACACATCGCCACGGAAAATGCAGCAATTCCACGATATACAAACCTTCCAACGACTCTCGAAGCGGCCCAGGCTAGGCTTGTGGAGTGGAATAGGAGGCTTAGTGCTAAACTGGCGGAGCCTATCCCCTGGTCTGATGGTGCTCGATAAATATATATACGATCGTTTGAGCTTAAGATGTTGGTATGTAATAGTGGTTTATGCGATGTCTAAAGTTTCTTCAAAAATTTGTCGTAATTTTGAAACTAACAAGTGATCGAATAGAGATAGATACAGCGGCACTGATCCCATAGATTGCATGCATATCGGTTACAACTTTTACGACAACATCTAGCCTCGAGACCAGGCGCAGCCGTACAATTTGACTGTTCTATATCTACGAGATTACTTTCTTAGGTTTTCTAAGGGCCGGAACAACTTGCAAAAATGGAGCAAACGAAATGGCGACTTGAAGTTAGAGCTAAAGGGTTTCCGGAATTCCGCAATTGTCTTGTTTATTGGTTTGTTATCTTATCCTTTAAACCTCATGTAGCCAGAAATGAAAATTGCTAGCCGCGCAACGGCTAGCTACCCTTGACGCAGTACTTTTTTTTTTGAAAACCTCGAACAAATGTAGTGAACTCGATTTTAACTTTCGTATTGATTAAATGAGGATTCTAAGCTGGTGCAGAGTATATACAGAGCCGCATAGACCAAGGACCCGATGTTCAGCTAGTACCTGACCATAAACGGAAATCCCATCGGCCTAGATCATTTTATTTCCGCGAACGGCTGAACTCAAAGCTGAAAATCCTTTTTGCAATTTTGGTGTGGGGGTTGCAATGTTGTATGTTGGAGGCGTTACACAAGAAAATGCTTTCTGCCAACATGCAACATGTCAAAAGTGGACCTGACTTTGGGGACTTTTGTATCCAAAAATTTAAAATATATCAACTTGAAACTGGGATACTGCTGATATATTTGGCTAGCTAGCTTGTGCTAGATTGATTTCTCGTCGACGGAACCTCCCAGATGTGATTCTAACATTTCAAAAGCTTGGAAAGGGAATTTGCCCGCCTTATGCAGGAACTCGTACCGCAAGGAGGCGCACCCAGGACATTAGCGACCAGCCCAAATTGGACCTGCTAATTTCCACGTTCCTGGGCGCCATTTTGGTCGAGACAGGTCCCTTTTATCTGCATGCTGGTGCAGAAACCACCGAGGCTTGGCCAGTTAACGTTGATGCGTCGATGTCATTGTGGACCCCGGGCTTCTATTTTTCCGCTTCAGCCTCCAAGACCGCCGCTCCTTTCCACCTTCTCCTAGGGTTTTCTCCCTTGATCCTGCAATCCGTCGTATTCTTTTCTCACCGTAGTCACTCTTTACATTTTCTTTGAATGGTTCGATCTTGTATGTTTTCTTCGCACGGTTATATTTTATTTCATTGTGGATAGCTGTAGACCCGTTCCCCTTCGCAAAGTCGTCGAATTTCCAATCCCGATCTCTCCGACATCCCTGAAATTAGATATATTGATTGGGCCGCCAACGAAAAGAAATCACCAGCCATGCATATATCTCCATTCTCGATCCTCTTATCTCTTCCCCACCTCTTAACTCTCGTCTCTGCCGCCGCAAACCCCATAGGCCCGAATCCAAATTCCAAACGCGGTCTTGTCTACGTCCCCAGCAAAGACCACCCAGAGGACGATAATATCTGGATACAATCCGGGTCTCCGCTAACATGGTACTACAACTATGAAAGCAAACCCTCGCCGCGTCTTGAAGGTGGGCCCACAAAACTCCAGTTCGTACCCATGTTATGGGGCGATTACGACAACACTTTTGTTCAAGATGTGAAGGGCCTTGTGGATCAAGGGTATGATATCGAGTATGTGTTGGGTTTCAACGAGCCGGATATTTCTGCGAATGAGGGAACTGGAGGCAGTGGTATCGCCCCGGAGGCTGCGGCCGCGAGGTGGAAGGAGTCGATAGAACCTTTGGCGGAAATGGGTATCAAACTCGGTGCGCCATCTGTAACTGGGGCACCGAGTGGATTGGAATGGTTGAAAGCGTGCGTTCTAGATCAATTTTTATATTCAAAGTATCCGAGGAGGCGAGGCTAATTAATATATCGATATAGGTTCTTTGCTGCCTGCGAAAGCTGTACTTTCGACTTCGTCCCGCTCCACTGGTACGGAAACTTCGATGGTGTAGCTAGTCATTTGGGAACATACTCCGCAGCCTTTCCGAACATGACATTCTGGCTCACCGAATTCGCACTCGCCCATGAAGATGTCGCACCCTCGCAAGAGTTCTTCAACTTAACAATGGAATACTTCGACAGACTGGATAATGTTGGACGGTATTCGTGGTTCGGATCATTCCGAAGTGACGTTAGCAATGTCGGACCAAATTCGGCGTTGCTTAATCAAGATGGCGGATTGACATATATTGGTGCCTGGTATCTGAACAAAAATGAAAATGAAGCCGCGTCGATAACTGGAAAAGGGAGCAGTGATGCCTCTGTATTGGGTGTGAGCGCCATCAAGTCTTTTGGTGTAACCGTCTTTGTCGCGGTGCTTGTTTCTTGGATTTTGTGAGGATTGGTGCCACATGCCATGGTCCGGTTGATATGGGTAGTTATGGTTTTTTTGTATAATATCTTGGTCTATGATATTTTGGCGTTCGATTGGGTTATAAATGATACGTTATCTGCTTTGGAATCCTGTAGATGGGAGTTTGAGTCGATATGGTCCTGCCAGTACATAGAACCTTGAGTGTGGATAGAGGCTCCATTTGTAATTATAATGCGGTGGAAAACATACAAGCTCCTTGATAGTCCTTTATAAACAAAAATCCAATTCAATACCGAAACTGTCATAAAGATTACTGAACATTATTGTCTTGATTGATTGTTTTGCTGACATCAGATTACCTGTGATATCGTTAGCGCCGACCGCGCGTAACCGAATACGTATAAAAGTTAGGGAGGTAGATATGTGAGCGAGATTGAAAAAAACCCAAGACTCCATTGCTTCACCGAGTACATGATTCTATCGAACGAAGGACTGGAGACTTCATAATCATGAACCTAGCTGACCAAAAACGCCATCCTAAAATAAACCAAAAAGAAAAGAGTGTCATGTCGTTAGACCCAAATCGTTGAATTGATAAGCTGCCCCAACCAAACGCCAAAAAGAACCATCCCAAAACTCCAGAACCCAATTAAACTCCAGAATCAATTGAAAACATTTGCATGTAACAAAATCGAACGCTTCTTTGATCAATATCCCTGTTCATCCCCGTATGTTGTTGATTGGCCACCACCGCCGAGTCCAGCAGCAAAGACCAAGTACCAAGTTCTAGACGCACCATCATCGAGCCAACTAGCCTGGAAACCCTGACCAGCGAAGAAATTAAATGCCGCATTAGGTGCAAATATTGCGGCGTTGGCCCACAATACTCCCTTCCAACCACTGTTCATAGTCTCAGTTCGGCCATCAAAAAATCTTTGCCATTCTTCGTAGCAGAATGTCTTGGATCTGATGTATGGGGATATGGGAGTCAGGGGCAACATATGAATGCTATAGTTGTCTTGTTAGCTTCTACCTAAAAATCTGAAATATTTCCTGGCTTGGCTTACCCTTGAATGTACTCGATTTGGTTTCCGAAATATGTAGTGTGATCGACTTTGTTTTCGAAGAGCTATTGCAACGTTTAGTAAAGTTGTTTTAAGAGGGACTATCTTGAATTGAGATACTCACAATACCAGTGACTTTGTTCTGAATAAAGTTGGCTGGTTGGTGTCTATTATCGCTAGACAACAAGAAGTAGCTGTTGAAACTTCTTTTTAAGATGGCTAGTTGAAGATTGGCTCTAGCTTCCATGTTCTTATCCCCGATGACATTTCCCCACAGCTTCATGGCGTAGGAGAAATTATAATCTTCAGAAGTTGACTCTTCATCCTTCCCATCAGCACGGGCGTACAGTCCTGTTGCCCAGCTATGTCCGTTAAAGAAATCAAAAGATCTCGAGACGGGGAAGTATTTGTCTTTTGGTGTTGGGTTAGCAACGTCTCGAACCAAGGTATTGACATAGGCGCTGTTCTGAGCGAGCCATGGGCTGGACCCTGTATGAGTCCTTTCAACGTGAACTAGGACGGCAGCGGCATAGATGAAATATCCCTAATCGAAATTAGAATAACCAGGCCCAGACGGATAGTTCAGAGACTTACATAGTGAAAATGATGGTCATTGTACCAGGCGTTTCCGAAATCCTCATCAGGGTTCCTTGTAACCCACCAAGATGACGATGGAAGTCCTCCCCATTTAGCTAGAAAGAGAATGATTAGTGAGTATTCATACCCCTCGCACAATCAAATGGCTATAGACTCACAGTCATAGACAAGAGGGAATTTCTGTTTGTTCGTAGCAAATCGGTTTATGGCAGTCCTGAGGTTAAGAAGGCCCCGTTCCACGAGAGCTTTATCCTTCAGCACATCACTGGCCACAAGTAAGATTTGCGCATATTTGGCAAGAGCCTATGATAACTCAGTTAGAAATTTTCTCGAATTATGGTGGTGAGTACTCCTGAATTCATGACATACCTTTCCAGAGAAGTATTGACTTGGCAGGTTTGAGCCATTAATAACATCGAATCCAATCTCTGAAACAGTTGCGGCCCTGATTACAGCCAACTGCCTCGCATTCCATTTTCTAAATGATCCCGGAAGCCAGCCAACACTAACCGGCATGTTCGGTTCCAAAAGTGTCCACGAATTGCTGGCAATTGCGGTCATGAGCCCTTTTGTGGTAGATTTGAGCTGAAGACCTGCTTGGAGCTTTGATCTTGTTACGCCATCGAACGAACTTACTTGATGCGGGAAAGCATACATGAAGGCCGCGTTAGAAACACTCCCGCCCTGTTTAACGAAAGTGAAGGTATAGGTTCCAACAGCGGCAGATACGCTAGCAGAAACGACAGCATCGGTGACGACAGTCCCTGCACAATTGTCAAGTACCTTTTCGAGCGCGGTATTGGGCAACTTGGCAATCTGTACAGCGCCGGAGTATGTTCCAGATGCAACGATAGTGCTTGAATTGACTAGACGAAGCTGAAGCTCTCGGGAACCTGCATTGGCAGTTGCGTATATTCTCCATTCTTTCCCATCCATCAATGTGACACGCCATTTTTGGCGCGGCGTCCCACCTCCAGTAATCGTCCCTACGTAAGAGAGATTGCGGATGAGGACGCCTGAATTAATCTTGGGAGTGATCTCCCGATATCGGCCTGTGACGAAGCCCATGCCTTGAACTAGAGGCACCGTGAGACGTCGGGTTGCAGGCCATCGAGATCGATCAACCCAAATTTGGACCAAAGCAGACTGGGGTTTAAGAGCTTCCACAGTAACTGTGCTTGTCATTGGGCTGAGTTCAAGAGCCGAGAATGTGAGAGAGTTTACGCCAACCGGGTTAAAATAGTACTGGACGGGGTTGGCGTTGGGATCTGGCCCAGTAACCTTTGATCAAGTCAGTATATACTATCCTAGATCCTTTGCCAAGAATAATGATGAACTTACTATTTGGGGTGCATCGATATGGCTGATAGAGAGTCCCCACATAGCTGGATCTTTATTTATCCATACTTGATAACTGTGAAATATCATTAGTATTAGTAACAACCAAACGCAGAGGAAAGTTTTCTAGACATACGGTTGGGTGAAAACTCCAAGGTTCCCATTACCCAAGATCAGGTTTGCCCAGAATTTATTGGTTCCAACTGGTACACCATCCATATTGATCACACCGAGGCGATCCACTGGGTGGTCATTCTTCCTCTCAAACATAGCGGGTGGTGCATTGGTGGAGATTGGTTGATCCATGATATCATCTGCTGCAGGTGTTATATAATGTGTGCCCAGGGCGTGGGCTGCAGCGTAGGCAATTCCAGAATCATTTCTGTTATTATATCCGGCAGTCCCAAAGTTAGGGAAGTCATCCCCTAAGGGAAACTGCTTACCATCTGCCGGCGAGGACAGAATTACAGGGGCTGGATTTTCGATCTGAAGAGAAGGTTCGGTATCGTTTTTAGTCATCTTGTGGGATTTTGTTTTGTGATGTGGTTTTTTGGAGAGGTGTTTTGTTCTATGAGCTGATGCAAGAGGAGTGACTCGAGATTGCGTGGCAGATGGGATTCCGTTGTACAGTGCTCTTGTTGCTGGCGCCGTTAGGTTGTGGTGAGCTTTTCTTGCATGTATTAGTAGATGTGCATTATGGTTATTATGTGGCATTGCAGTAACGGAGGACATCAAAAAGAATTGAAGAAATATAATTGTAGCTATTGAGAAGCATCGCGAGAGGCGGTAATGAGAAAAGCATGATAAAGAATATAAGGTATATTGCAATAGAGTTTTGATAGGGGATATAGTATATGGAGGGTTTGGGAACGGTGTATTTTCTAGCGACCCGGCCGCTCTAATGGAATATAGAGAAAACATGATTGCTTCAAAAGACTTTATCGTTTTTTGGAAACGATTGTGTCGATCTGACAATGTGCTGGCCCAGTGTTTGACTTATAAGTTCAAGCCGTCTGAGCTATGAAGCTATTCGGCACGGGAATAGCAGACGCAGCCAACCTCCTAGATATTGAACTCGCCTTAAGCGTCATCAAAAATCTTTGAATAGGCTTATAGCGCTTGCTTTCGGTATATCTTAACTAAGCTTATCGAAGAGGCTGAGGAGGGTTGGATATCTGTGCCGCCTGATCCAGACCAATGTGGCTACCAGGTGATGATGAACTTCATTCTTGGAGTGGGGCCTTGAGGTAGGCAGCTGAAAACCACAAGCCATCGTTTTGAAACACCCGTTTGAACAGTTTCCAGAACAAAGCAAGTTCGCGATGGAATTCCAAAGTGTTCGCGCGCCATCTCCCGATATGTGCATATTCGGTATGTGATAGCGTACGATTAGCATTCCTTGCGATGTCAAAGAGCCTCACAAGGCTCGTTAGGGCAACGAAGAACATGAGATACTTCGGGGATATGAGGTTGATAAAGCCCTGTAAGTCTATATTGTGGGGCATTTATCGGGAATGAAGGCATTTCACCCTGCCTCCAGATAAATGGAGATAGATTGAGCCTGCTTGTCCCGCGTGGTTGGGGCCTTTTGCGTTGCTTGTGTGTTATTCCATTTTGGGGGGGGCTACGCAAGACACTTACTATTTTAGGCCGCCGACCGCGCGACACTTATTTTTGGCTTCGGATCCTAAGTTCCGGCGCAGGAAAATGGTTGAAGAAGGGTAATTGTAGGTCGAGGATTTCAAAAATCAATCAAAGAGATCGTAGGATAGAAGGAGGGTGCTTGATGGTAGATTGTTCGGAGGATCGATTACCTTTATCCGAAGGGAAGGAATGTTGACTTCGACTGGTTTAAATATCCTGCCCAGGTGCCCAGCGAGCTCGAGTATGTGCAAGTGCAAGCAATGGCAGGTGGGAGAGCTTTCTTTCGATTCAGGCACAGCGCAATGCAGTGAGGACCTAATGGATGAATTATTAGGGGAGTAGTAGTCTCCCTGAGGTTTTCTCGCAAACAAAATTTAAAATCGGGTACGCAATGCCCTTGTTGGGGTAACACAACAGCATTGAGCCTGGCAACCACAGGAATATAATCTTCGGCGTATGACAAAATCAGGGACGAGCTTGGCCCGCTGATTTCGATGCATGACGTCTGAGATTCGGAATGGTAGAGATCTTAAATCCCAGGCCTTGCCCAAAATAACGTCAGCCCTCAATCGAACATTGACATTGGGGATATCATTGGACACATCTGGATATCCTGATACATTCGGTAAGGATCAGGTCTACGCAGGCGGGGATTCGAGTATGATACACGACCAATTTTGGGCATAGTAATAATATATATGGGAGGCTGCTTGAATTAATCGTGGGTATTTCCAGTAGTTTAGCCATATTAATACCATTATCTGGGTACCCTTGGCAGGCATTGGTATGGGCACGAGTCAACCTAGGTACTTGACATAAACGTCTCCTGTACAGCTGTGCAATGAAACTAGACTACCTTCACCCTATATCCATAAAGCATGTATGCGGTTCAGCCTCGGGTTACTTAAAGCTCAGCAAACACTACATGTAGTGTTCTGAGCAATTAAACTTTCGCCTACAGTAATGCCTGATCATTCTCCAAGGGTAGCTCTGGCTCCAAGACTATTCCAAGGGCACAAATAATGCTTCCAAATTTATAAACTAATAAACTAAAATTGTATTAAGAATTGAATTCTGGGTTTGCGCTATAGATTAGCATAGGCTGCAGCCCAAACAATGCAATTATAGTGATGTACGGCAAGAATGGTACTTGCGTGCATCTACCGCCGAAGAATCGAATCAAGATCGTCGTATATGAAATAATTAATCAATTGCTTGGTCCTAGACTAGACAAGGTGATTTGCTCGTCTCTTTTCGTACATCGTCTTGGGGCAAAACGGTGGCGCCGTGACCAGCTACTAAACTATCTCAGATTTTTATATCTAATGTCAGCATACGTGGTCATTTTTGAATTTTAATATTAGTATTTTGAGATGGTGGGTTGTAGGAGAAGCTATAATCTCGATGTTGCGACAAGGCGATCGGATCGGATCACCTCCGATATCTCGCCTGTCAAGGGATATACTCCTTGACGTCGAAATAGGCCGAAACCGCACCTGATACTGGCAATGCTTCCCATTTTTTCTAGAGGTTTATAAGGGTGTGGGTCAAAAGCTCAAGATCAGTATGTCGTGTGTTTTATATTAAAATTTCCGATAGAATTTAACATCTGACTTCGATAACTTTACGGAGCTTCCCTTTTCGTGTCTTCCCCGAATCCTGCATTTTGTAGCATGTAGCTGCGATTGACGACGCGAACTAATACCTGTTACCTAAGATTCGGCTCGTGGGAAGTTCCTGCTCTGGGAGCGGCTGATCAACCTCAACGGTTGCAACGTTGACGAACCATGGAACAAGGTTTGTTACACAGAGCTGCCCCGCATTCATTATAGCACTAAACGTACTATAGCGAATTATGATCACCAGGCCAATCGACTGTCTTGGCTTTTGGACGTGACTACCTTCAAATCGAAGGCTTGAAAGCTTATATATAGTATTAATTGAGGATTTCTAAGTTTAAAAATTCTGCGATCTAGCTACATCTAGCATTCTTCCTTTGAGAAAAATTGGTTGGCTTAAGACGCTAGGCGCTCGAGAGGGGCAAAGATAATAATTATCAAAAAATCCGATTGGTTACATAGATGGTTACGGTATATACCGTAACTTATTTCACTTTAAATTTGTTATAACACATGCATATGAGTGGTGATGCTCAAGATAGGAACACTATGCTAAAAGTTTTATATGACGCTAATTAAGCACAAGATAGGAACACTCAAATATAAAATCAGATGAGTCCAACATAAGACTTGATGATGGATCGGGTGAATGGTTCATCCTGAAAACAGTCGCGAGGCTGGATATAGGGAAGCTCAAGATTTAGAGTCAGCGGCAGCTTGCACTTCCGGTTCACTCTTCTTTTCTTTTTCAGAAACCCCATTTGTGAGTTTTTCGCTGGTACCGTTCACCATTTTGCTCTTGTCTTCCGTTTTAACCTCTTTCTCCTTCTCCTCCTTCTCCTTCTTCTCTTTCTCCTCCTTTTCCTTTTTCTCCTTTTCCTCTTTCTCCTCCTCTTCCTTCTCCTTCCTTTCTTCCTTGATTCTATCACGCTTCTTCTTCTGAAGCTCCTTAATCTTCTTCTCAGTAGCTCTCTGAAGCCTCTCCTTAGCTTTCTTCTCAGACTCTTGTAGAAGATCAAGTTCACTGAGTTTCGATTTGAGCCAATCATCCAAACAGTCTAAAGCGTCCTCAGGGTCGGATTTGTGACTCAAAAGATATCCTTGAACCTCCGCTGGCGTGAATTTATCAGAAGGAACGCGTAAGCCGAATTCCACGGCCAATTTCTCGATTTTCTCGTTGTGTTTCTGTTTGCGTTCCTCTTTCGTCATCTTCTCTGCACCGCGAATAAAGTCCTGTAAATCTCCATCATCCGAATAAACAGCCTTGAAAAGTCCTTCTAGGATTTCAATATCCGCATTTCCAAACTTGATCTCCATATCAACACGCCCAGGTCGGATTAGAGCTTTATCCAAAAGTTCTCGGTAATTTGTTGTCATGATCAAAATTCTACCTTCGTGGCTGGAAATACCATCGATAGCGTTTAGCAACCCGGATAAACTGACTGTGCTTCCTGATTTCAAAGCCGCGAGTTTTTTCTTCTCTTCGCGCTTCCTGATTTCGTCTTCTTCTTCGTCCTCATCGTCCTCATCATTCTTGCTGGCCATAGCAGTATAAAGTCCAACCCCACTCATGGACTGTCGATCAATACCAGCGCTGTCGATATCCTCCAGCAAGATAATACATTTTTTGGGTAGAGTGGCGAATAATCCCAAAAGGACATCGTCTGCCATAGTGCTAGATGCAAGAGACAGGCAATAAATCGGAAGGCTAAGCTCGCTAGCTAAAGCTAAGGTGAGGGATGTCTTTCCAGCTCCAGGTAAACCGTAAAATAGATAGCCCCTTCTATACGGAAGGCCGTGCTTGTGGTACCATCTCTTTGCTGTAGGCTTAAGATACTCCTTCATATCCTTCAACAGTTTTTCTTTATCAGATTCTGCCATAATAACTGAGTCAAGTGTTCGAGAGGGCTTCGGATGGCCCAAAGACCAGGTAGGCGGATAAGTTGCTACAGTAGTGTGAATCAATGTGCTGGATCTTTGCTCCATGAGATACTCAGTTCTTGCCTCCTCAAGAATAGTACGAAGCGTAAGTGGTGAACGGCCAAAAGTGAACAAAGTTAGGTCGACATCGGGCTCTTCAAAACCGTAATAGTCATCCTTGAGCTTTCTTTGCATAAGCACAAGTCTCTTCTTGTAGAAGAAATGATAGAAACCTGGGGCGGCGGTATATTTAAGTTTGGGACCAAGGTCATCATCCTGAGAGAAAAAACAATCAGATACGTTCAAGCAAAAATTTGGATTTCAAGTCATTTTTCACTTACTATAAGGTCGATACCGTCACTTTCGGTATCATCGACAGGATCTTGACCATACCATCTAGCATGTTGACGATAATTAGGATTCATCTGGTTTTTTCGGCATGTAACACCGAAAAGCCGCGAATCTGTAGAGATTTTATGATTATAAAGCCACCGCATAACATAAACGTATGCTTCGTCTGTGGACCGGATCGTAGCAGACGATACCAAATTGTCCGAACTATGATTTCGTCAGCCAGGATTCGGGCACCGCTACTACTTCACGAAACTATATAGTACTATCAAGATTTGACTTACAAGAACTTTGAAATCTGCGTAATTCCTTCCCACGCATTACTTAGAAAACCGAAAACCGATGCAATTATAGTAAGCGTCACACCGATTTTAACTATAGAGACGATTAATTTCAAAGCCATTTATTTTGAGGCCATTGAATTCGAATCCCGGGAAACATACCTAACACAGACGGATCGATTCCGGCGGAGGCCATCATACTGCCAATAAACATCCCCCCTGGAAAACCACTATCAGGGTCACCTGTGGCAGAAGCCGCCAGGCCTGGGAGAACCGCTGAGATGGCCTCCATCGTTCGAAAGTTGATCGTAGCCTCCGTCACACTAATTCAAGATAACGATAAGGGTTTCCCCGCCAATAATGTGTTGCTGCGTTGTTGCTCGTCGCCTTCACAATTAACGTTATCACCGTCTATCAATATATGAAGTATCTAGGATTCCCTTCTGAACAGTGCAGTGAACGAAGTTGAAGATTTAGAAAAACGAAAAAATAGATGTATAGGGGTATCTCAGGGGAATGAAACAAAGACGAGTAGAAAGAACAGGTTGAAGCGACAACTCTATATATATGGGAAGTGTATGTACTGGAACTCTTGCGATTGGTGAACAATAATAAAACACGGCAGCTCGGTTAGGTCGATGGGTTCGCAATCATTGAACAATCGGATCTGACGTTCCATCGCCACCATTTATAGAACTTTTGTGTCCCTTCCGTTCGCCGTTTGTCGTCATTAAAGAGTTTAGTTCTTACATGTATCCAGTTGGCTCAAGGAGCTCATAGTTTTGCGAAGGGTCAGAATTACTAGCCTAACCAAGGATCTGGTAGCAATGCCTGATGGCGCCCCTCAAGATCTTGAGGCATGCTTAAGACCCTGTTCTACTATAATTTCGTTTGGATATTGGCTTGAATCTGGTAATTCGTTGGCGAGAACATCCCCGGGACTTTCGACATGGTCATGCATCATTCCATACATAGCTGAACAACATGCAGGCATATTGCATTGCAGAAAACCTTTTTTTGGCTCGTCGTCAGTAGGATCTTACCATCCGACATGGGTCAATCCGAACTGCGGGGCTCCCGAAAAATGTAAGTTCTGACAAAGAATCGACAATATTCGCAGTCCCAGTCTGGCCGATTAATCAATTCGTAAGTACAAGACATCTTAACACCCGCCCTGTCGGGTTTTAATCCCAGCCTCGATCGCAAAACCATATACTTATTCATGGATTCATTATTATTGGTTGGGCTAGGATTCTAGGCATTTTTGAACAAGCTTTAGTTAGGTGACTCATGAATAATACCTGTGTATTTATGCGTCTGGTAGCCGAGTCTGTGCGAACGGGTTGAAAAGATATGGTTGGCTGTGCTGGCCTAGCGCGAATTAACGGGCCGCTAACCATGCTTGTTCGGGCCAGAGTCAGCTGTACTTATGATATTGGTTTTGAGTCACTGGCACAAAAAGACTCGTCCTATCGATAAGTAATTATGCGGATGTATGTAGATGTAGGCTAAGTGCGTATTTCGTCAGCCTTGTGGACGCCAGCCCTGGACGACGGCAGGATCTCCGAGATGTCACGCGAGGTTGAGCTCCTTTCAAAGACTGACGTAGACTTGATAATATCGGTCTCGAAGGTGGTTGTGGAAGGGGTTCGGCAAATATTACGGCTGCAGCTAGACACGGGTAAGCTACGCAATTCTGTGGGTCAGACACTTGATCATTGACGCGAAAGCTGCATGATATCGATCGCGAATACCATAGTCTTTTATTGAAGGATTACGGTCTTACTCGAGTCGAGTAGGTCTTGTTGAATTTGGTAGTTTAATATGATATCAATACTTCTAGCTATTATCATAATATACTCTCGGAGCCAGAAGGCTCGGCAGATCAACATCAGCAGGGTAGTGATACTACAAGCGCAGTCTAGTCTTATAGGGACTATGATATACATAGTATCTATAATTATAGGAGGCTCGGATAACTTAGTCAAATATCAATAAAATCCATACAAACGGTATTTGATCATGAAGGCTATTGGAAGACGAAGATGGCCTGACCTTGTACCCGGGCTCCACATGCCCGCACCTGCATAAATTACTGTATAACGTATGTATTTACTAGTCTAGTTTTTAATAGTGTTTATAATGGCCTTCCCAACTGCACCGCCTATTTCCCCACCGAGCTCAGTCCCTAATGCGGTTCCAATCAAAGCTACACCGATCCCTACAGGGCCTCCAATAACGGCTGCTCCAGCACGTGCGACAAGATGCAGACCCGCGAGTGTCCCTCCAATACCCCCCAGGGCAGTCCCAACTGCTGTTAAAGCCGTTTCGAGAACCTTTTCCCAGTGACTTGATAACCAGTTCCAAAAGCTTGCGTTCATAGTGGAAAGCGTTTGCCAGGTAGTATCAATTGCATTCATCAAATAGACGACTCCCTTATCCATTAGCACCTGTTTGATCTTGAGCCAGTTGTTGATTATTCCATGAACGAAAGCAGTGAGAGCTGCGATCCCCTTTTCTGTGTTTGTTGGAAAGAATGGCGCAACTGTCTTTAGGATCTGGGATTGAGTAGTAAGCGTCTCGATATTGGCTAGAATGTTATTTAGACTGCCACTCATGGCGGCCTTGGTCGGATCGCTTAATGGTTTCCCCGCAAGCTCCCGTTCCAGGTCTTCTAGTGTCATTATAGGCGGGTCTGGCGCCATAATCTCGACAGCGGTGCATTTTTGTGGTGGTGGTAACGTGTTAGTGCTGGAGGAGGAACCTATCGTAGAAGGTGTCAGCCTATATAAACTGATTTTGATATGTACACATATGGCTAACTACTAAGTACGGATACACGTTTGAATTTTAAACAAATCCTTTATTCACTTACCACTGCTTTCCGCAATATCACCGTATTGCCAATAGACATCCATATTGAGAACTACTAAGGCTACGGAGTGAACTTCTAGAATCCCTCAAAACCGGTAGAGCAGACAAAAAAAAAAGAAAGAGGGAGAGAGAGAAGAAGTATCAAGACCCGCCTGAACTAGGGAGGTGGGCTTCAAATACTGGGTTTTCTCCCCGACCATTCGAATATATAGTACTTTAAATTATAAAAGTGGAATTCTGCGGCATTTATGGGGGGTTAAGCCTGGCATATAAATGAGCTGAAGCAACCCGCTCTGCATACGATAACTTGATAGTGCTTGGTAGTGCTTGAATTGCAGGTGTGGGGCAGCACGGGATTTCTTTATGTGTAACAGCTCGGGATTGTAGATACCTTTGCGCCAGTATCTGCAAGTATAGGCTGTTTCTGGGTATAATGATATCCCTATAACTTCCAAGACATCCAATGAAATGCCCTAATGAAGGCACCCCCCCAACTCCGGTTGTTAGATGCCGGGCCATATCTTTTGTTGCATTGCATTTCTTTGGCTTGTTCCACCAAAAGGTGCAGACCGAGCATACTGATAAGGTAAAGAAGTACCCGGGTACTTAATTATTATATTGGGATTGTGGAATGCTAACATGCTAGCACGTGCTGTGCACTATAGTATTTGCACCTCTTCGTCGGATACTTCGTAAAAGTTTGTATATGATTACTCACGGCTACGGCCGGGTCGAAGATTGTATATATATCTGAACGGCCCGTGTGTTGTCTGAGCATAGCGTCGATACTGAAGCTCGAAGGCTAGTGCACTGGAAGCGAATTTGAATAAACAGGTCGTTCAATAATTAAGGCATTTGCTCTTTGTTAGTGGACTGGGGTGCTGCCATAGTTGAACACCTGCCTGGGAAGTCAGCCAAAGATTTAAATACCTACTAGTCCAGACTTGAAGCTTTCCTTATCTGTTGGTTGGCAAATTGCGGGGTCAGGATTTGCATATTCACAAACTAGCGTTGGCCACATCACTGCAGAATCAAAAGCTATTAGTGGAGGGTTCTAAACTAAACCTGGTGACTTGACACCTCGATCGCAAACATTCCACGTCGAACCGGTACATATTAGTTCTAAACCGATTTACACAGAGTCGCCCGCGTCCATCAACCACCTCTTTCATTCCCGCAAGACCAGTTTAGTCTATCGTCACTGATTTGCAATACTTGTGGTCCCTGATCCGGGTTTTCCCATCGCGGAAGTTGATATGTGCTGAACGCGAGAGCCAACACTGCCACAAGCGCCCAACTAACGACCTAGTCATGGCCGATACATATTACTATGACCTGCTGGGTATACCCCAAACTGCATCTGATATCGAAGTGAAGAAGGCATATCGAAGGCAGGCCTTTATTAGCCACCCAGACAAAAATCCTGGAAATTCGGAGGCACATAAAAAGTTCCTGGAGGTACAGGCCCCATTCGATTCTGGTAGTTTTTCTTTACTAGTTCAAGTCTACAGGGTTGCCTACCCGCTTCGCGAATCGAACAGCGGTCTGGTCCCACGACTCGAAGACTTCGGGTAACTTCCCTTGAATTGTGTTGCTGACAAAAAATTACAACACCCCGATATTGCCAGGACACCAGATCTCTGAGGCGTATAGAATACTGAGTGATAGTCAGTTACGGGCACATTATGACCAATCTGGGCGAGAAGGGGTAGATGAAGATGGGTCAGGTAAGGAAAAGTCCTATTGTTATGAGTAGTAGATGAATTAATGTATATTTTAGTGGATGCCTCTGAAATGTTTGGCCGGATGTTTTCTGGAGAGTCTTTTCAAGACTGGTATGTATGGCGACTGTTATAGTCTACCTATATTATTTCGTTTAATTTTGTTATTATGACTATAAAGAAGATTTACGGAAATAACATTTTTAATTTTGCTGCTGGATATTTAGGGTTGGAGATAATACGATTCTCACAGATATCATCCGGCTTGCTGAACTACACCTTGGTGGTAGCAGCGCAGAAGGTGGATTCACAATGGTGGATTCTTCACGCCTTATAGATGATGGCGGTAAGATATACTAATTTGGACTCAATCTACAGCTATTGCATAGGTGGCTTATAATATTACGAGTGCTAGATTCGGAGCTATCATACGGACCATTCGACGGCGACCAATACCGGCGAGACATCAAACAAAGAAATGAAGAAATTAGAGATTTCAAAATTTTTGAATTACAAGAAGAGATGGCTAAGAAGCGCGAACAACGGATTAGCTTTGTGGCAGAAAAGCTCGCCGATAAGCTCGATGTATTCGCCAAAGAGAGCAAAAAAAGCGAAAGGAAATTTCGAATCGCAATGGAGGTACGGGAATGGCAAGTCAAATCGGACCAAAACATTATTTTGCAAAAATTAACCCGCTATCCTTGACGTATCGTAACATCTAGAGAGAAGCAGAACACCTGAAACTCGAGTCTTTCGGAGTTCATATACTCAATACGATTGGTGACGTCTATAAAGCAAAAGCAACAGAGCACGGGTGGTATCGCGCCTTTGGGGTTCTGAGCACTGCATATTATTATCCACAGGAGAAATATGCGTCGGCTAAGGATACTGCGAAAACAGTTTGGAATCTACTCGATGCCCAAAAGGCTATAAGAGAGGCAAGACTAGATGATCTAGATTTGGCAGACGCGGAGAGAATCAAAGCGGAGAGGGGCCCAGAGGAACAACAATTCATAGAAACAATAGCCGCTGGAAAGATGTTAATGGCGTGCTGGGGTTTGGTCAGGAAGGACTTAATAGGGATTATCAAGTAAGCTTGTCTTATAATATACAATGTCACCCTAATATTATCTAGACTAACCTTGGGGTAGGGAGGCTTGCAATATAGTTCTTTACGACGAGAGAATTCCCTATGGTATTCTAGAGAGAAGGGCAAGAGCGGCAATGATCATTGGGGAAATATTTTCTAACGTGCGTATCACCAGACCTCCCTGTCCCTATACATGTGGTGTATCGATTATCAATAGCTAAAATTTGATGCATAGGCCCACCGGGATGCCAACGACCATGTCACGGAAGGCCTATTTGAGAAGATCGTGTCTGATTCTTATGAGCTAGCGAAACAGCGAGACGAAAAAGTCAGGGACTCGGATGTGGAATCGAATGGCGCTCCGGAGTCGAGATCGAGCTCCGCAATGGCGTTCTAGCGTACCCAAGATTCTTTATCAAGTTACATAGTTGTAAATCACACCGGTGGATCCATGTAAATGGCATTCTTGAGGCAGGTAGTACCTTCCCCCACTCTGTCGTGGGCTGAAAATTGTGTATAGATCCATAAATCCGTTCACAAGACATCACAAAAACCGAGCTGAGCTAAAGATAATATGAATTCCAATTATTTAATTTCAAATAACAAGCCGATTCCTCCTATATAAAATCATTCCAATGAACCCCAAATTGCAGATAAAGGCTGAAAATCAAAGTGAACTAGATTTAATGAAAGAAACGGGAAGAATCTTGATGCGAAAGGTAAGTGAAGGTTTTTGATTTAAAAGGAATTGCGGGCTGTGGGGTTTACGAATTATGAAAGAAGAAGAAAAGACTGTAGTGCGGTGAAACCGAGTGACTTGATGACGTATACCGTCTATGTATGTATCTGAATGTACTTTCTTCTGCTGCTTTTGTCTATCCTAGAATTGTTAGTCTTCGAACTCGGAATCCGGAGTCCCTCATATATTTATAGACTCCTTTATGAAAGCCAGATGATATATGCACAGTATCATGGTATATTCGGGGGGAGTCCTAATCAAACAAACATTCTCCCAAAGCGCCTTCGCCTCTCCTACCAACTTGTTTTGGCCCAAAACGTTCCGGGCCATCCCATCCAATACCATCCCAGGTCTCTTCCTCCTCATCTGCAATGCCCCTTCTATAGATATCATCAAGGATGTTATCCTTTAGACTTTCTCGAGCCTCCTTAGTATGCTCATCATGGGCTGAACAACACAATTTAGTTCCCTTGAAGAAAACATTGACTATTCTGGTCAGGTCCTTCCAGACAGCCTGGGCTCTTGGCCTTAGAGCAGCCTCGGAAACATACATGGCCGAGATTAAGGGGAGTAGGTGGTTCCCAATCAATTCGCTATGTTTGTTCCAGTTGACATTATCAGCCGCCCCTTGGAAGGCTGGATACATTAGCTTCAGCTCGTCGAGCCACCAGGTAGGGGGTGGAGGGCCTGAAGCCGAACTCAAAGACGATATTTTACTGATTCCGTAAGACATCTTTGACTTGGTAGGCTTTGGTTGTTCCGCCGGCTCGACAACCTTAGGCGGCTCTTTGCTGGATTTCGAAAACATTCCACCGAAAATACTGGCGGGTCTGCTTGAAGGATCTCTTGGGCTTCCAGTCTTCGAAGTCTTGTCAGTCGGTTCTTCCCGCTTGACTCCCGACTTTGGCCCTTGCTGGCCATTTGAGGCTGAGTGGGCAGTTCCCGGGCGCGGGATGTTGATTTCAACCATTTCAGAAGCCACAGAGGACGCTGATGTTTCAGAGACAGAGGTATTGGGCACAGGGTAGAAGGTCGAGTTCCAGCTACCATTGCCTTCTCGAGCCTTCATCTCTTTAGTCCATTCGAGTCTCTCTTTTCTCTGGCGACTCAATGCATCCTTTGTAAACCCAAGAAGCACTAATAGCAGCTCAGCAAACACTTCTCCCAAACATTTGATATCATGGAGTCTGGATGCCTCAGCACTCGATAAATCTGGTATAGCCGTTTTAGACCTTGAGGAAGGTCGGCTTTCTGAATTTGGAGCCGGCTCCGGGACTCCATAGCCGAAGCTCTTGTTGCCTTTTAAACCAGGCCGTTTTTTAGTTAACTCGATGACCTGCGGGTTGACGTGTGACTGGTACCATCCCTCAAGGAAAAGCTGGACGCCCTTCCCGTTCTTAATTAGATAGATTCTCTTCGTCGAGATATCTCCATGTGAGATCTTAAGAGAATGGAAAAAATGAACAGTCGCAGCCAGGCACGTCATCCATTCTAGCACCCGCGCCCTCTTCTCTTCCTTAGGCAAAACAACCCACCAGTCAGGGCGGCAAATTAGAAATTGAGATAGGGTAAAAATGTGATGGGCGGGGTCTTCTGGATTCGCATCTGCCATAATTTCTGGGGAAAGGAGCATGTAACTTTTTTCTTTATGGGAATAAGTGTACGCCGGGAGCGAAAAATGTGGCTTTAACGGCCCATCTTGAGCTCCTTCCTCGTGGCGTAGCATGCTGCGAGCAAGCAGTCGCAAAACTTCTACCCTTCGGAAATTTCTTCCTCCCGGAATAAGGTGGCTTGAAGCATCGATTTGCAATCTAGCGTGTGTTTGGCCAGAAAGTGGGGCTTCATTGGTGGAAATTTTGGCAAGATCGACCCGGTCAACATGGTGATGAATAGAATTTGACACGACGCTAACTGGCGATGGTACCTCATGGCCGTTGGACTGTTGATGGTCAAATACGACATGTGCTCCTAGCGAGGGCTGCGAAAACCACGTTTCGCGGTCCAATTGTTCCAATCTTAAAACCAAACTCTTGGGGAAATTTGGGACATGTTCCAGACGTTTATAATTGCACCGCAGATATTGGTCGGTCATAAGATGCCGCGCAACGGGAATTACGATATAGCCGAGATTAGGACTGAGAATGATAAATTTTATAAGCTTTGGATTTCCTGGACTGATAATTAACCTCTAACGATCGAGATTTGGGATGCTACTCTACCTTTCTTCGTACACCAACGACAACAAGTAAACGGTGTATGATAGATGTTGTCGAACATATTGGGCAACAGTTACTTCTTGATCAGGCAGTAATGGTTCCGCCAAACGCCCCGCTTCTGTTGAATTCCCGAAGAGTTCAAGCAATTGCTTTGCGAATGTGTCGTCATCCAGTCTCGTGTAGGAACGAGGCGATCTAACAAAGGGTAGCGAACGTTGGGCGTCGGTCGCCATTGTCAGTGGCTGATGCCTATTAGGGCTGAACTTTTATTGGCGAGAACCGTCACAGTCGTCGTTCACGCCCTACGCGTTGCGCTTTAATTGTTCAACAAGGCTATGCCCTCTGACAATTCTCGACACTTGTCAAGGCGGAGAATCGTAATACAACTGTGAAGTTCCGGTGCCCGGCTTAAGATCCTGGGAATTGATATGATGTTCTGTGATGCAGTGAGGGAGAAGAAAGGCCCGCGACACCTGGATCTGGATAGAGGATAAGGGTTATGTTTTATAGCGAGTCGGAAAAAGAAGTCCTGTCGGCTCTTAATAGCCTTTTTAATAAGAACTATGAGCTGGGGGGGCTAATAAGGACCAAATCGCTAAAAACACTCCAGCTCATTACCAGGGTTGGAGCTGAGGCGCAGGAGAAAGCCGGGATACCCGGATATCGAACGGGAAGCCAGCACAAGTACAAGAGGTCTTGTCGGTTTCAAAGCAAGATAGAACATAGGTACACCTGATTGATTGAAGTCAGGTACCTCACACAAATACCCTTCGGTATTTGAATCTTCGTGCCCGCATTGGTGGCAGACCACCAATGTAGCATCCCTGGCAACCGTGGTGGGCAAGGTAAAATCTTGGCTTGCATAATTGACCTGCAAGGAGGAAACGAAGACACGCAAGGCTATCGGGAGGCAGAAACTACAAGGGTTGACGAGGGCGAGAGCTAGAGAGAGCGAAGGCTTAACATTACATGTGGTTAACTTTGGAACGTCACCATCATATCAACGTGCAACAGCTGCGCCCAACCAAGAGTACTCGTAACATACCTACTTATTCGTTTCCCGATACCTGCAATCAACTATCACCCTGGTTTGTGTGTCACCGCATTGGCGGCATCGGTGAATCGAGATATCTTGAAATGTTCTTTTTGTTGGGTTGCAACATCTAATCCCGGTTCGTCGTGCGGAACCAGTTCGCATTGGGTTTGTCAACGATCATGTCACTAATTGCTGATTGTACGGTTTCCTCTCCTTGCACAATCAGACTCACCACATGTTTATTTAGGAACATGGCTTTGGTACAGTATCGTTATCCAATCGTTAACTAAGACCTGCACGGGCCGATTTCTCTTATGATCATTAATTAAAATGGCTGACGGTTTCACTCAATATTTCCCGCCCTCGAGATCACACATACAACTCGCTAGTCACAGCCATATTTACTTACTTGCTTACGGCCATACACGCACACCAGGCTTCCAAGTTCTTTCGGTTAACAGTGCTGGCAGATCTGTTACTGTCTAGCCTCGCCAATATATCGACATGTCCGTTTCTATTTTACCCTTATGTTTCTTAAGGGCCAGATTCCAGCCGTACCTGTGCGTCAAGCTCTAACCGAAGCAGCTGGAGAGTCCACCGCAGTACGCACTGTTGCCATGGCCAGCCAGGTGGCGTTCTTCCGCATACATGAATGATCCTTTCACAACATCCAGCTCTCAAACCCTCTCAGAGATCACATTGATTGCAATTTTACCCACTTACCCTTGGTGTATCGCACTCGGATTTCAGTTTTGCCATCCGCATCGGAAAATTCCATGCACTGCCAGCGAACTCATGCATTGGGGGCGATTCATGTAACCCATGTATGTTGAGGCTCCGCAGCCTTGCAGCGCATCGCGCTTCGTGCTAGGCTGGGAGCTGACAAGATCCAGTCCGCTGGTGGACTAGAAGCTTTTTGGCACTATTTATCAACAAATGTAATGTTAACTTCACCGGGCCCACGGACCCAATCATAAACTCAATCTAAATACCTCAGATCAGTACATTGGGATCCAGCTGCAAACTCTATGCATATATGATTGTTCCACACTAATCTTACCGGCAGTGCGGCGAGCAGACCGTCACTGCATTTGCATCGATATCCCCTGCCAGTCACAGTCCGCCAGCCGATAAGACCTTTGGGATTGAGCGCGTGGGGGTAAGCATCGCTATCAGGCAACCTAAAATGCTCTCTCCGTTCTCGACTGATCGATCCAGTTACGGGAATTCGAATTCGTGCATGTTGGAACCTCTCACGCCAAGGCTCCTCTGTGCGATCTGTGATGTTGACATTGATAAGGCTTAAGGTGTGTTGCAAATTGGCATTTCTGGCTCACAAAATTGTTATGAATCTCATGTAGGAGCTCAATGAATGCAATAACGGCCGCCATGTACGCCCCTACTTTCCATAGCATATGGTGCTTATATTATTCTAGAGATACAGAACCTCTACGACTTCTTCACACTTCCTTATCAAACATTTTCTAAGTCAAACATATTCAATCCATCCCGCACAAAGGCCGCAGCCCGCTGACCAGGATCTTAAGACATTTTTGGTCCAATTGTGCAACATCGTTTTGACACAAAGCTTCGCAATTTAGGGTCGGTTTGGTGTATTGTTCCGGCAACCGGCATATGTTCAAAAGTTATCGCACTCCATTCTTCGCAGTTTCATCATTGCATAGATTTCACCATTATAACTAGCATCACGGTAGGTTCCGAAAGTGGGTCCGAAGTGGGTAACGGAACGGACTATCAGCTACATGCATGTATGTACACTAATCATAGCCAGATCGAAGAAACCCAACGGTAAGTAGGTCCGGTCTCGTCCCAGAAGTTAATTCATAATATCATAAATCTCTCTATTTTATGATAGTTTTGGCAGTTAAACGTATCCCAACCGTTTCTGTTTAGCCGGCACACTTTTTTTTAGTCATGATAATTCATTTGTCGGATCTAACAATAGCTAGATCTGTTGGCCTTTTAGATTAATATTGTCTATACACTCTTGGCTATCGTACAATTAAAGATATTTAAACCCTCCTCTTTATAGAACCCAGGTATATGTACATCCACGTATACGGGATCCTAGGCATATCCCGAAACGTGCGAACACCTCATCAAACGAAGATCAGACTTAAAATTCTTAAATCCTCTGGATGACGAATCGGGCACTGGCCTGATACTGTGGTGGGATGGAACGGGTCGAAGCCAATGGCTTGATTTCAGGCTGGACGAAGGAAAAGACGCTGGCAGCATCAGTTGTCTTGAGGGACCATCCAGCAGCTCGGTCAACACTTTCAATGCTAAATAGAGAAAATTACCTGTTAGCTCTTTTATTCCTTTGTACAAACTATTTATGGAAAACTTACATGAATTGATCCCGGCCTTGCCAATGGACGGAAGTGATCCTCCAGCGAGTCTCAACACCGGCTTGGGCCTGGAGTTGGGCGAAAAGTTGTCCCTTGATGTTCACAACTGGAGCACCGCCGTTCTCAATGGTATAGGTTCCATCGGAGTTGCGGGTGATTTTCCACTAAATGAGATATGAGCAGTTAGTGAATGCTATATATAAACCTCAAGGATGGTCGGTTATGTATAACTTACTGGAGAGCGTGTGACGGGCTTTGGCAAAACGAGGACTGGCTTTGGGAGGAGGGATCGGTCCTCAGATGGGGACCTAGAGAGATAGAATTGAGCACCAGTAGGATCTCTAACGGTGGCGATCGAGTAGTTTCCACTCTGGAGGACGACAGCTGGGGTAGAAGCGTTGGTCTGTGGAACGGCAGGCATTTTGTTTGAATAGATGGCTTAAGTTCTATAACGAAAAGTATAAAGCGTAATGTAAAAGATGGGATTAAAAGAGCTTATGAGGATTATATTAGTTATCGAGTTTTACGAAATGCTGTGAACTGATGGAGAGTAACCAATGTAGCGGAAGATGATGGCTATTTTATATTAAATCCGTTATCATTCCTGAGGACTGGGAAGCTTGAAACCCGATATCACGACATTTTCAGAACACGACGCATCGAGCAGCTGCGAAGGGAAGGTCAAGAAGAAAAGAAGGCTGTTCTCAAAAAAAATGGTAGTTCTCCGACTCCGAAAAGTAGTTTCCTATGCGCTTTCAGCATCCTCAATAGTACAAATTTCCGAACATCGCTGTGCCATAGCCTCGATAGATGAGGGACCCCGGACTCAAATTTTGCTCCCTACCCGAATATAACCACCTTAATCAGGAGCCCGATGATTGACCCTGCATAGAATATATCGATATAGAAGGACCGACCCCTGGCCAAGCGAGAAAAGTCTGGAATGTAAACCTGGCAAAGAGTTCTCAAGACCCTTGACATTTGCCGTGTGTGTAACGTTGCAGCCAATGTGTGGGAATAATGTTATGCATGTATTGGTCGTTACGCTTTCGGTACGGCGCGGTTCTGGCGTTCGAAATTTCTAAAATTTCTAACGTAGGTCAAATCTAGAGTAGCCTTATCTAGCCGGGCATTGGGAGCTGGGGAATACTAACGCAGTAGCTCCTGAAATATCTGCGTGCAATACCCGGGTTCGACGTCAATCAGGAGTCTCGGCATCTGCTCGGCTGAGAACTAGGCCAGACAACTCACATCTCGGTTTGTGAGCTCTCTTAAAATCACGGTCTCAATTCCTGGTTACAAAATTTTTCTTTGATGAGAGAAAAAACTTTTCCTGCATGGGGTGATTTATTTTGAGCATGATACCAGACCATGAGATATGGTTGCAGCTTCGCTGCAGCTGGCTCCCAAATGGACTATGACGTACCAGCTGGCCAACACTCTGCAGAATATTAGTATTCTAGGGAGCTTCTCAAACTCGCCTTGACCTACCGAAGCATACATGTCACCCAAACCAGGGGTAGGCAAAATAACAAACAGCCTCGAGCTGGAACTAAATGTCTTATTTGGCTGCTATTACAAGCCCCATTGTTATTTTTGAGATTCAAGTTCGAAACCACCTGCGCTTCGGAAGGGAATTCCCAAAGTAGCCAAAAACGGTATCAGGCTGGATTGGGAATCCAACAATGTTGATCGTCGCAAATGCAACAGAACCGATAGGTTATGTGTTGACAGTGACGAATAGTCCAAGACAAATTTGCAAAGATCTGAAGACAGAATATAAAAGTTATAACCCGATGCCAACCAGGCCACCATTTCTAGGTGAAAATGATGCCAGCCTTTCGGGGACTAGAAGAAATCGCATTAAATTAGCTATAGAAGAGTCCCGAAAACCAGATAGTTCAATTCCATAGAGCTATTAGTACGTCCCACGACCAACTAAAGTTGATTCATGCACATTGCTAATAAAGCTACTAACACAAATGGCGACTTCCCTAGTGATTGTCAACAAGTCCACGACATCCTGACTTAGGAATAAGCCATTTCAACATGAAGATCCAAACATTTAACTAAAACTACTAAGGTAGCTACAAACTTATAGCTTTCTGCAACAATTTGTGTAAGATTCAACACGATCACGATTTCCCTCCCGTCGGGTATGCTGGTACAACATTTCCATGTATTTTGAACCCATTATAAACGACGTGTGCAACCAGTGCTACCTTAAGAGACCCCGTGGCGGTATGGACGTGAAGAAGAAGAAGAAGTACATTTTGTAACGGTACTTGTCCAAGTACTAGTAACGGTTTTGGTAACTGGATAACCCTGCAAGGTAGCAGTAGTAGTATAGGTAATAGCTGGCGCTGTCTGAGTTACTGTAGAAGTTTTTGTCGCAGCAGGCGCCGCCTGAGTGTATGTAGTCTTATAGGTCGAATATGAAGTGGAGGTGATAGTTGTGGCCGGTCCAGCAACCACAGAAGTTCGTGTCTGCCAAGCCGCCAATTAGTCTATTGGCATCATAACAGGTAGGACTTGAATCAGAAAAAAAGATAGTATCTTACAGCAAACACGGTAGCAGTCGTAGAGGATGTGAGTGTCACAAAATTCGTGGTGGTAGTAAATATAGAGCTTGTCAGAGTGGTTGGTGAGCAAGTCGCGGTTAATGTTGTGGTAGAAAGTCTCGTTGTGCTAATAGTGAATGTTGATACAGAAGTCGCAGTAGATGTCGCTGTTAATGTAGTAGTCACTTGAGGACCGATGCTACAGCTGAAGAGGAGACAGACTAGTGGGCCAACTAAACCGTTTACATCTCCACTTGTCGCGCCGCCTTGTATAACCCGAACTATATTCGTTCCAAGGAGTCGATCGAGCAGTGCAGCTAGGGTCACAAAAATCAATGATTAGTAAAATTAAATTTCCTAGCGATAAGACATCTAAAATTTCGAAGTTTGGGACTCACCCACTTGGCTCGGGGTATCAGGGCCTCCCTGAACCGGCCCACCACTTGGATTGACTACACAGTTGAACAATGCGCAGACTTCGGGTCCTAGGATGCCTCTTCCGCCATCTAAAGTGGTACCAGGCATAATTTGGCCCGCTAGATCCGTACCTAGTGCGGGATCAAGGACATTTCGTGCTAATATAAACAGTTTGGTTAGGGAAAGCCATTCGAAGCTGGGAGTTAGGCTTCCATAGTGTTATCCTAACCTAAGCCTAAGAAGAAGTCATATAGAGGAGGACTGGATGCGCCGCCGCCGCCACCACCACCAAGTATAGGATCAAGAATAGGCCCTAAAATACCGCCCAGAAGTTGAGGGCTGGCAGCAGGGTTTGCGATCGGGTTCCCCGTCCCGACCCCCAACAAACCGGCTAGGAGGAATATGAAAAATGGGACCAGAAGGCCGATATCATGACTGAATGGCTTCATGATTCCAAGGAAATAAAATTTAGCGGAAGAGATAAAAATGTATAGGCTGATAGCGTTTGAGGGACGGGGATATTTTATCGACCCTCGAAAGTTCTGTTTTTCTGAGGCTGGTAGCCAAGTTCTCTACCACTGCAGTGCACCTCAGTTGGGAATATGTCCCTATTTTATAGTCCCATGATGGTTAGATATGAGGAAATTTGTAAAATCGATAACCAGAAGCTATCGAGGACATACTGATATGCTTTTCCGAATGCCTCGGCATGATAATCCGTAGCTGTAGAGTTGGAAATACATCGAATTTGTGATAGAAGCGCTTTGTCGCTCTATATTGCCAGTAAACCCGAGATTTTAGAGCAATTCGTGTCACTCGACCACGCCACTAGCTCCAAAAGACGTATCACAAATGCCAGGAGGCGTGAAAATGGGGGAATGTGAATAAATACGGTTACCACACAATGGGCTAATCGACCGGGGTTGAAACAGGGAAATTTGGTAGTATTTTAAGGCTACTGAGTTATCTGTCGGCTATACAGTCAGAAGCTAGGTTAGGTTCGAAGATCTTCCAAATCAGAACGGCCGGGTATACGCCAAATGGAGGAACTCCAGAAGGTTAACATAGGCCCGAGCTGAGAGAGAGTAGAATGACTATGAATATTCGAAAGACATCTATACTAGGCTCCAGGAAGCGGTTAGCGGTATATATCGATATCTTGAACTCTCGATCGTGTGCGCGTAGAAGGGCTGAAAGGAGGGAGTAGAATTAAGCTTTTGCCCCTCGAGAATGACGTTAATCAAGCGGCCAAGTTTAGTTGATATATATTGATCTACTATATCAAAAGTAAATTTGAATATAAAGTTCAACATTATTCTCTAAGCCACGAGGCTTGAGGATGGCGTGGTAACTACTACTCACGTCCTGACTTGGGTACACAGAATCTGTCCGCCGGATTTATTGTAAATATCTAGAGAAATTATCATCGATACATGCAATTGGCATGGTTGCCTACCTTCTTCCCCCATAATCCTCAGCTCTAATACAATCTTGTGCCCTATTGATTTTGAAATCGGCCGAGAACAAGGTTTTTGAGATAATATTGAGCATCGACTCCATGGTAAGGGCGGGATTTACTACTGAGACTATGCAGCTCCTCAGACTTCATTATAATTGCAGAAGGGCACAAAAATAGATTGCAATAGCTTGTCGATTTAATTTACTCTTAGGTAGCTAGAAGCTTCCAACTGATCATCATTTAATTATCATGGTGCCCAAGGCCTTCGATTCATTATTTGATGCACATTTGACCCTAGCATAAGCATATATTATTTGAAAGCGTGACATTCAAAACATGATTATGCTTTTTAATAATGTCAACCCATAAGAGCCTAGATCGAAATTAAATTAAGTAAAATGCAAAGCGGAGCGGATACCAAAAGATTTCACAAGATAGGTGTAACTATTTTTCAGCTACAGGATTCGTGACGAAAAGAAATTGTAGCTAAGTTTTCAGAGCCATAGCGCCTGTTGATTCGGTCTTCGTAACGTATTTCGAAGGGGTAGCTCGGGTTTGGTTCAGCAAATCACAAGGCATATGTGCACTCCTATCTGTCAGATCTGTGCAAAAGTCATTTCCACGAGATGCAGCGACCCCGCTCGTTCACTTCCGCAGGATTTGTAAAGGCGGCTCAGTCATAAAATAGCCGAAGATGAAAATGAATTACTGAATAATCCTACAATTCAATCAAGTTCTAGGCTTGAGCCCGAGGTTTAAAATTTGAGCCTATATAGCATCAGAATTATTGCATATATCGATATAGCTATTCTGCACAGACAATTCTTGCTATCCGTGCCGCAACAAGATAGTGAGATTCAAGGTTGATTTGATCAGCAGTACGAAATACAGACGCGAGAGCTGGATGAAGTGATTTAAGATAGGTCGAACGGCTTCGAAGTATTGCGTAAAAAAAATCTTAGATCCTGACGAAGATTTTACTAATGTAAAGCTAGGACCTCTTTCGTGGCTTCCGAAGTTGAATTTGATAATAATATGCCTTATAAACACTTTTGCATTATTCATTGGGATTAGTTTCGATAAGTGATCATGAAATTTGCAAAGTTGACGTCAAAATCACGATCCACCCCGGGGTTCGGGTACCTCGAGGTACTTCTAAAGACCTATTCATCTCATGAATCACTTATGAATAATAAATTCTGTAGAATCATCATATCAGTCTGATGATTTTCATGCGTGTCGGATATTCGGACCAAAATCTCCGTTAACCACTTAGATTTCAAGATTACAGAGCATCTCCAAAAGCACGATGCTGGATTTGGAAGATCACGATGCATCAAGAACATGAAATGACAACAAGGGAGCTAGTGGCTAAAGAGTCAAGCCCAACGGTTGATCCTCCACTTAGAGTTCTGGTCAAGCTATCCAAGAAGTGCTTGAATTTAGCAAAGATAGTTGACCCGATATGACGACAAAACCAATCATCCAAACGGCTGAACAAGCTGACAGCTCCATGGATCCATGGATCCAAACTTGCTCACGATCATGATCATACATCCACGGGGAGCCCTAAAATTCAGCACCCGATAATTTATGCACCAAGAATCTCAGCCGTGGAGTCGTCTAAACGGAATCTGAAAATGTGTCTGATATGTTGGTTTTTTTGGGGCCCTATTTTCAAGCTCGGATACAATGTTGGATCCGCCTTGTGGAACAGCTATGCAGAGATGGACCAACGCATTCGGCGTTGCTGGTGAGCTCGAGCTCAGACTTGACTAGAGAGTGATCACAGGCAATGCTAAAATCTTGAAGCAGTCTAAGATCCATTGATCGCATATATCGGTATGTTCGCTGTTCGCATAAAATCGACGAGGCGAAGCCAGATCCAGCCTCGATAAACATGTATATCTCGACATGAGCTAATCCGTGTATTATGCGACGACTGAAAATATGTTGGATTCGCTTAAGCTCCAGTGATTGGGATTTATCGTGACGGCGTCGACGGAAGCGTCAATGCGCTCACATAAAAACTGAATGCAAGGGACAAACAGTGCATATGTACAGGGCCTCGTTCAAATGTATACATATTTGCGAAGGATATAACTTGATGCTAGAATTGGCGCCCTGTTTCAACTTCTAGGCACCGGGAACACGGATGCTTACAACCCTGGATAACCGGCAACACTGAATTTCCAAGAAAAGTTTCGAAATTCCACTATAGGTCTGGAAACCCATAAATCATAAAGGTGGCTGTCGCAGTTAAGTAAAGACTCTCAAAAAGAGGCCGGCGGTATAGCCCTATGCATGCGCAATGTAATGCGAGCCCAAAAATGCAAGTTTCGCCGAACGAGTAAACCTGATGTCAGCTAAGAAAGCTACGCTAGTATTAGGCCATGGCCAGTTGACTTGATATGGAATTTCAGGTTACGAATCTTACAATGAGAGACGTATTTGAGGCTTATTAAAATGTCAAAAGAATAGAATAAATAAAAAAATAAAGCAAACAAGTATCATTGAGGATTCCAGAGCCCCCGGGCCCCGGAATTGTCAGCAGTAGTGTTTAGGGTGGAGACATGAATAGCTAATATTACGACCGAACTTAAATCAGTAGTAACGGTTAATATGCCCACTTGACAATGGCATCAGACGATTTTCAGTCCTAGTATCCTTTCCAAAATGCAATTCTTTAATATAACTCTGTCCTGTAGCTTTGACAGATGTTGGATAGTTACGTATTCTATTTGTGTAACGCGCCCAATAAATATATCGCATTGTTGAATAGTAAAACAAGGTTAACTAAGCTTCAAATCGGATCCGCGAGATGGCCGAGCTACGCCATCCGTATGTTTATACATACATGCAGTATTACTGATCAAATCGATTGGGTAGCGACCTCTGAGGGAGAGGATTTAGATATTTACAGACCGTATAATGCGATTACCACACGCCTAGGCCTGGCGTACACCAGTCAATCGTCGTCATCGTACAGTCATTCTCCTATCGGAATTCCGCTTTGATCTCGAATGACAACTTTGATTCCGACTCTGCGAAATTACCCTCGCCTACTCACACGAGTGGTCATCTGAATGTGGGCCCGCTAGCTTTGACGCAGAGATGTACATATAGAGATCCTTGAGCCGTTGTAATTCTCTCGGGACGTTGAGAATATGTGTCCCGTTGGTCTGGCCGGACATTAGTATTCGAGTAAAATGCAGTGGTGCACCGGTGTTGGCCTTACAGGATTCGATCGGTCGTTGGAGGATCCAACCCTCACAATCATCTAGCTAGACTAAGCAGGGGAGGGAAAATTTTTAGAACCATTTTATGCGGGTGATGAATCGATTGGCCGATTGGTGAATCTAGTAAACTCGCAGGGGAATTTTATCGTTTGTTCCAAAATATTTCGGGAATCGGTTCGTGACTTTCGATTCAGCTCTGCAAGGATAACTCGCGATTCGCACATGAACGGTCATTCCGATCTGGCTGATTGGGAATCGTGGAGCGGCCGGAGAATGCAGGCGCAATCAAGAAGCGACATTATCGCAGTTAGCGCAGACGTCGGTTTTGCGATCCTAACCTTGGGAGTTATAGGGTCTAGACCATCCAAACTAACGCCTGCCCAAGAACCATAGCTAGCAGTCTGTAAATCAATGCGGCTCAATACATCATATCTAAATGTCCTTGGCGCAGGCCCCACCCAGATCTACCAAAAAAGCTTCGGCAAATTGCCCAATAGAAGCGCGAGTTAAACCAAGAGCTTGTAATCTGACAGTCTCAACGTGGGGAGCTTTACTTGATATAGTTTAGCCCAATGCAGCTGACGTCTGTGCGCGCACCGCCACGACGGATCTGTTTCTTGCTACCCTGACAAACCGACACCTTTCATAGAACCATACAGCATCGCATAATTTGCTGAAGCTTCTCGCCAGACGATGACATGAGGACTGCTGCTGTATCCGCTTTATCTTTTGACAGTGCTGACTGGGTATAACTCTGGATGTCGGGTCCTTAAAGCCAGATTTACGATTTGTGTTTCCCCATTCAATGATGTGGTTTGCATTGCATTGGGTTTGACAGACCTGTTTCGAAACAGCCAGGCCATAACAAAGCCTTCAATGATTACCTTGCATTTCCAAGGGAAACGCTTTGAATTTCTCGGCGAATCCTGACAATAAACCGGTAGATCTTCTGGCGGTTTTGCTTTTCATGACACACGCGACCAATCTTGGAGGAAACGAGCTAGAACGCCATTGTCGGAGATTACCTTCACGCTTTATGCTCTGGCCTGGAGTCGCAGGTTGTTGTTCGTAGCTTCCCCTGCCCGGCCCCATGCAACACTGCGCAAAAAACCGTTTGATTCCAGGCGAATTGCTGGGTGTGTAGCTCGGGTTGATGTATGACGGGTTCTGTAAGACCAGTAGCAACTGATTACAAGATTTAGCTCCGGCCTATAATTAAGTGGAGTGGATGCAATGACAAACCCTAGTTTGATACCATATTCGTCAGTTAGTGCTGACATGCGAAACTACGCAACGGGCAACATCACCATTCCTGCCGGGTGCATACTATTTTCAGCAGCTAGCTATTCTTCCCTATTCGTAAAACTGCTACGTTTCGATCAAGAGGGAAATCTTGGTTCGGCTCAAAACTTATGCTATTTGTGTTTGACAATTGACTTGTCGAGGGATGCTTGGTGGGTCATTGTTTGCATCAATCGTCACATAGTAAGCGACGGACGTCTTAGCTGGTTGATCGTAGCAATTCAGTTTTCGATGGCTTCAAGGTGGGTCCCATCAGCTTTCTCCATCGGGAAAAAAAGTAATAACACCTCTCTTTTCAGAAAGGCCTTGATCTTTTCAGTCGAAAAAAAAAAAAAGGAACGAGCCATGTGCATATACACGGACACACTCGAACTGGCGGGCTGCAGGAACCACCAGGGAACGTTCCACCCCGGTGCATATATCCGGTCGACCCGACAGTGCAGTGAGGTCCACAAGCTGGAATGCGGCCCTCTTCCAGAGCCCCATAGCTCAGCTGACGAAACCAATCAAAATCGCACCAATGACTGTTTCCCCGAGTTTCCAAACAGACCAACTACTTTGAAGATGCCTTACAGCCTAGATGCAATTTTGATTTCGCCCCCCTTACGCAGTACCCGCGGTTGCACATACCCCCTCTTGCCCCCTCTGCCCCTTCGGGCTTGCCCGGGGCTCTGGGGACTTGCATAGAAGTAATACAGATATTGCGAAATGCGTTAGTCTGATCACCAGACTCTTCAAGAAGAAAGTTCCCCAGCATCCACTCGGCCTGATTTCAAACATCTTCACAATCTCACGGGTCCCTCTCCGTGACTCACGCCGACTCAAGCCCGTCATCTTGATTCTGCAGAGGTACCCGAAGGTACATCTGGGATTCTATTGGGACTTTACTCTACCCCAGGATGCTAATCTACCTGTATGTCGGCCGTGATGCTAACCTTTCTAGCAATTTGCTGATAGCGCTTTGCATGACAAAGGCATCCGCTGGGACTCTACTTCGCCCCAGCAAGTAACATAAATTGTAGACATCATGCTTCGAGGAAAATAGCTTCGGACTCTCCTGATTATAAAGATGGTCATGACACCACCACGGCAGACACATGCATCAACATTATACATCAATCAGCCTACAGCATAGCATACAAGCCTCAATCAAATTAATATCATTCGCCGCACACCTTCGGCTCTAGGCCCACCCAGTCGCCATACATAATTCAGATCGAGATCTTTCGGATATATAAAACATCTACGGTGTCCACCCAGGTTAGTTATTCCTGTTTAACAAGCATCGAAATTTCATTTATGATACCCCCTTCACGATTCATTGAACTTTGCAATATTACGACATTTCCTGCCTTACGATTCACATATACCCCCCAATACATAAAAACTATACCCATCCTTTATAGATTACATAACTGTTTCCCATATTCAACGATAGCCCTATAAACAAATATTACAAATTATTTCTAACAATGTCTTACGATGATAGCTCTCGAGAAGGGAGAGAAAAGTCTCGGCGATCTTCAATACAGTTCGTGCATTATAACGTTCCTGACGTTAGTCGCGCACAGACACCCGCTATTCCACCAATAGGTAAACTAGGTTGGGGACCAGTCGATTCAAAGATAAAATATTCCAACATGAGACGAACTTCTTACGGCAGCCAGCACGCTTTCCAAAATACGACGCAAGAGTCGTATGGATACGAAGGACGATACGAAGGAGAATACGAAGAAGGATACGACGATGGATACAATCGTAGACGAAACCGTGAATATCAGCGCAGTGACTTGGATGCACTCGCTGAAATTGAGCCTTATACGACTTTGATGGATTACTTGACTGCTCGAAACCCTCCAATTCTGGGACCCATGGAAAGTGCCAATCTGCGACGACGAAATGCAAAATCGCCAGACTATGCATTTATTTGGTGGGATGTCAGAAACACTCGCCAGTGGAACACGTTCAACCTTCAAAACATTCTCGCTACTCCAGATCTTGACCGTCTCTTGCGGATGCCTATCCCTCAAGCTGAGCTTTCAGAGCCTTTCATTGACGATGAAATTTTACATCAAGGTGACAGGATTGCATTTCTGACAATCGTGAGGGACTACTTCTGCGCCAAAGTTACTACTGCCCTTTCTCAGTCAATTGGTACACGCAGCCATCAATCCCTCTCTATGGTTCTGGGGTCGGAGCTTGGGTCAAGCGCCGATATTGCTGGTGTTTACCAATCACCATCTAGACCAAATGGCCAAATCAGAGTAGCAGGATTCGTCAAATCTTGCAGAGAATGGAATACGATGATGCAGGCAGGCGGTGATGAAAAACGACGAGAATTCCTTCAAGTTTTATCCCAATTGCAGCGTTACATGCGTGAACATAATACAAGATATGGTTATGTTCTTACCGAACAAGAGCTTGTCTGCGTTCGACTTGCTACCGACGCTGAAAATCGACCAATATTTGGATGTTTGGATATCGCAAACCCAATCCAATGGAACCAACATGGCACAAACCGGCTCACTATCTGTCTTTCTCTCTGGTTCTTACATTTTCTAGCGAAGAGAGATCCTTTACCGGATTGGGCTGGCTGGGAAATCCCTGTTCCCTCTGCAGAAGAATGTTCGCGAAGATATTGTATGGCGAAGGATCCGTGGGTTCCTGATCCTAAGTACGACGAAGTCGAACTCGCAAGAGTGAAACGAGGTTGGGGTGAAGCGGAAGAGCCATATGCATATGGTGAGACTTTCCGCTAAGCGATTCGATTTGAAACATCATCGACATTCGATGAATATTCCGGACTTCCAACGCTTCGACGACCCAATGGCTTCGCTTATTATTCGAGGCCAATCCCTTCTAGTGTCAATTGACACATCATTTTCGTAAAGTTCATCTTCTTTTCTTTATTTTGAAGTTATTATTTGCATTGTCTGGATTTTTTTTTCTCTTTTCAAGATTCACCGTATGAATCATACCTTATAGGCACGTCCTAGGTTCTTTTTGGTCTGTTTGTGTCATTTTCAGTCTCGGCAGCATTGGCTGTCAGTTGATCTCTTGTTTTTTTTATCTTTCCAACTTTCGTTATTCGGAACTTTCTGCATGTTTGTTCAGCATTCTATTTTGGTGGTACAGACGAGCATATAGACTGGGCTGTTCCTCGGGCCTATCCTTTGGTTTCCTATTTGCATGCATACAACAGACCGATTTTGGGGACACCTCTTAAAATCATCTGGTTTTCTCTAGCAATTTTAGCGGCATTGCGTATACTAACAGGGCTCAGATTTTGATGCATAGAAGAAGGATAGCATGTCATGAGTTCATTTCATTAAAGGGTTGGGGTTATGCGTGTGGGATTTGTTTTCTTTCACTTCGAGCTCAGGGTGTCGCCGGGTTTGCTGCACCGTTTTTGATTTTCAGTTTTGACCTTGTATTAGCATGTACTTGGATAGTTACTTATGCACCCAATCATATACAATTTTATACCGTCTTGCGGCTCAGTCCCCACATTTTGGCGAAGTTTCCCGCGAAATGCCGTCTTAAGTTTGAGCGGTATTTGATAATCTACTGGACTGGATCCTTCGCGCTTTTCTAGGATTGTGGTAAAATGTTGAGCATCTCGTGTTGTTCAGCCAAACCAGGATGCCAATTAAGGACGACACCACTTTTGCGTATCTGCCGGGGTCGTCGACAGGGGTCTGTCGGCATTTGGTTGGCTGGCGAGGCTCTCTTCAATATCTGGGTCATGAATTGATAGTATTGTGACCAATTGAATCTGCATTCTTCAAGATATCCTGCCTAGGAATCGCAAAATCGTCGTCAGTCATCCGATTCATATCTTGGCGAGCACAGTTCGACAGTTAACAGTCGGGTTCCATGAGAGTTTCCCCGTCTCATCTCGCTCAATATTTCCTATGATGTCGGCCTGCAGGCATCAAACGCAAGTCCTGACATAGTACTCCGCGTCATGTCCCTTGACCATGAATTACAAGGCCGCCACTGGATCATGCGTCCTCAAGTTCGCTCTATACCGAAAGCTAGTGGCCATTTGGTCTAGAAAGCTGCAAAGATCCACAGAAATTAGTCTTCAAGAGCGAAAAATCTTCATCTTCCAGCTGAAAGGATTGCTAAAATAACCAGAAGCTATGAAAATTTTGAAGCACTGGTATCACTAATTCAGTTGCCTGCAAGACGCATAACTATAAGCGAATATGCGGTACTCGAGTAATGTTTGCGACCCTCATTGAATCTTCAATTTTCAGATGTTTCGCCCAAATTTGAAATTGTTACACAGCTGCTTCATGAATTCATGACCCCTGACCCCGGTATTGGGGCCCGGCGGGAAACAACACGCTTTCCTACTGGCTAGTATTAATGGAAGAGCCGGTGCAAGGCGTACTCAAGGTCCAGCATGGATCCTTCCCCAAGCTTCTCCCGGTGCGGGTCCCCTTTCCACACGCTCTTACCCTGCATGTGGAACAATACTTGCTGTGCAGTCACATATTATTTTTACACTTGAGGTGGTCACCTATCCGGGATTGAGGCTTCTAGTAGCTGAAAGAACCTGCACATCGCCCTACCATACATCGTCTCCGAATTTTCGGTAACCTCGGAACATTTTTAACCCTGCAAATTTTCTTGTGAAGATTTTCTTTCAGCCTAGATCGGCCTGCCATGAAACATGCGTCTACATATACGATACGGGCAGCGCGTTAGCTTAATCGAAACTTGGAGAAAATTCATTAGGTTTCGCAAATTCGCAGCGAACGTTCTATATGTGGACCTCAGGCACTTCACTAGCAAAATTACATATCTCAGGGTACGGCCTAGGGTACTGAAGGCATTGGAGCTACAAAATTGACTGTTGGAGTCATATAGAACGACTGGATATTGATAGGCTCCCAGGTCGGCTTCAATGAATGGCATTACCCATCAATGTTCCCCTTTCCGGCAAAGCCGTGGAGACTACGTCAGAACACTAGCTAAACCTCTGGGCTTGGTGCGAGACAAAGACAACGTGACCCGGGAACGAAGCGGAACCCTGGCTCATTCTCGGATTTTGCGGGTGGGCCTGGAAATCGGCCCAACCATTTCGCCAGACATCGGAACTCGAACTACGGATGCATAGATTTCATCATCAGACCGTACTGATCAATCATTGATACATAAAAATTCTTCATCGCGGTGCCGGCCGAGTGAAAATCGGACATAACAGTTCCGGCTATCTCGATCCCGTGATCTCAATATACGAGAATCGCCCGGAAGGCGCATTACGACATTGATAGAACATTCCGCAGCTTATGAAACTCTCGTGACGATCGTTTCACGTGAGAAATTTTTCAAGTTACGCCTTTCAGGCCTGGAAGCAAGGGAGGAAAAAAAAAAACTAACTTGCAAAGCGCATGAGGGCATGATCCAGATTTAATAAAATTCGATATCTCTCCAGCAGAATCTGACGTGAGGTCAAGAGTTCACCGCCCAAGTCGGCTAGTCTAAAAATGCAAACATGGGCTCTGCCCGGTTATAATACCCAGAAGCTATGACTCCCCGGGAACCGGGGCAAGGGAGGACTTCGAGACTAAGCAACTTTGGGCAATCAACCCTTTTTCCTATCTTGCAACGCTTCGAGTGTGTTGGGAATGAGGCTGAAAGCCATAATTTCGGAACCGGGCGATCTTATAAGATGGGTGGACTATAGCCCCACAAAAGAGGCAAATGTCTTTGCGAGATGTAAGCAGCTTACAATGTGGCTCTTATTAAGGCTTTCTATGCTACGGTTGCTGGTATTACTAAAGAAGGCCGAGCCCGGCGGAGGCATCCGGATATACCCATGGAGCATTAATTGCGGCAGATACGAAGTTAGCTTTAGCCACTGTATACATGTACACAAACCGGTTTAAGTCCGTAGGATCTCTAGGGCTGGGCCGAAATGATTTGAGATATCGAAAATAGGCGATTAGGATCATGAATGTTCCCTCACACGAGTTAATTCATGCCCTACTGTTGTCACACTTCGATATATTATCAACAGTTCGAAGTACCATACCAACCCTGTCAACTCGGATGAAGGGCTCGGGGCTAGTATTACTAAACTTCCTGTACACCCTCATACTCAATTGCTTGAGGTTATATAATCCCACCGTTTTGAATTCCCGTCTCGAGTTGACGTTTTTGGATGGCAAATGATTATATCTAAGGAATTAGGCAACGTTCATTACTTATGCAAAGGTATGAATTCCCTTGATTTGTCCGGAGCCCCGATTACAGTTAATTTTCTGTGGCTCATTCAATAATGCGGCGTACTACATGTGCGTTATCATGCAACCGCGGCCCCAAAAACTCAATAGCAGCAGTACTGTTTTAGAATACTATGGTCTGGTGATCGCGGATATGTATTTGTCGAAGCATAAACTGCTGCGGCCACTTCTTGACTGGTCAAAATTTAATTCAGAAAGTCTTTAAAATAGTTAAACTATCGAGGTAGCTTTCGAAGTTTCTTTGGAGATCTACAAGCCACGAATAAAATAATATTTTTGCCTTCGATATTTAGGCCCCCACGGAGCTTAGACCTAGTCTCGTAGGTTAGACCATTTATAACCGCCCTCACAAAACAAGATGTTATCATGTTTCCTGCAACGACGGGGGCTTTAGCTCCAGAATGTCTTTCATCAACGTGGGTCTACCGGTCCCTGGAGTAGTAAACATTATTGATAGACAGGACCCGGGACAACTTTACGCAACAAAATCTTACAAACCGGTACCTTGAGGTACTTAAAGACCTAGACATGGATATACTTCTATGATCGATACCGAACCTTTGGGACAGATGTGGCAAGCGCGGCAAAATCTAAAACAATAACGGTGGGTGTGTGCCATATGGTAACATAAACATCGATCAGGGGTTGGGTGAAATACCCTGTATACGGCTGTATTTCTCCCGATTGGTTTATGTTATTTAATCTATAGCCAAGGGTCGATCTTGAAGACATTTTGCCCCCTTGTAGTTACGTGTTCCCAAATCCAGCCGATCTCGAGCCGTCGTAAACCAGTATCGTATATTCAAACTCCATATGCACAGACAAGGCAGTTCACGCCTGTCAAAATCTGTCATTTTTTGGTATCCTGGATTCTGTTTTAATGCGAGGCCCGGGCCCGTCAGATTACGAGTTTGCCCCTGTACTATAGTCTTTATCTTTTTCTCAATATATATAATAGCGCATGCAATATACATACATCGGGCCTTAAGTAATCTCATGATCGTCACACACACATGTCGAATTCATGTTTTCTGTTGTAAAACAAACAATGAAGATATCCTTATATCCAATCGCTACCAATTGAGATATTACTTGTTTAGAAAATTCAAATACTATGCCTGTAGGATCCAGTAGGCAACTGGTGCCGAGGCAGAATCCCTAGGGTTTCCGGTGTAACCTCAATCAGCATACCCATGATGATAACTTGCGTCGTATACATATCTACATGCATGTAGTTGCACAAACTGGACGTAATCCCGCCTCCTAGGCGCACTCACGGTCCTCCAAGCCTAACTCGCGTGACCTACCTCTGTCTATATTATCCAGAACAACCTCCTTCCTAAATTGATGAACCTGGCTATGCCAATTGTCTAAGCATTAAAACGCAAGGTCCCTGATTATTACAGTTGATATCATGATATGATATCCCGATGAAAATCCACAATGCTGCCCTGGGGCTGCCACGGCATGTTGCCGTTGTACGCTGTATAGATCAGAATCAATATTGGATAGGCCAGCCAATAATTAAAATACTGACCTAGTCGAGTTTCAAGATACTGATCACAGAATTGACCAATAATAAATCCATTTAATATACAGCCGTCAGTTCTTTCTTACACGCTACCCCGCAAAAAGTTCTTTTTCGAAATTTCCTAATTTGAAATTAATCCAAGTAAATTGACAACGTAGCGAGCCCCCCACGGCCACTGTCCGTTTCCAACCGCCCAGCCTACAATATTGATTACTCAACTACCCTTACCCGACGCTGCCCTTCCAAATCAGCGGCTCTTTGATCTTGTGCCCTTAAGCTTTAACGCCGAACCGAAACCGGTCCTTATTTTCAAGTCCGACTGTTTTCGGGTATGGTTATGTTATGATATTGAATACACGTATGTCGAATTCGCGAATACATTCTATTTCTGTCGAAATAATTCTTGAGATTGATCAATATAAAATACGTTCAGCCAAACCATCATGAGTGTGCAAATTATAAACTGAATTAGATGCCATTAATTTGCGAAACTTAATAAATTTAGAGTAATACTATATAGCTATAGCTATAGCACGTGTCCAAAAAGTTCCATTGTTATTAGTAAACTTAGATATCCTACTCGTGTAAACTTGAAGTTATAGGCACGAATTAACACCAGTTAGCCAGCCTACACCCTCAAGATGCACTAGATGCATATACACCTGCAGACCCTCGATTAAGGTAGCATTTAGCCGCCCTTGAGCATGATTAAAGAGAACCCCCCACTCTCGAGCTGCTAAGAGCTTGCAGTGGACGTATGAGCCTTGAACGAGGTTTGCTTTGATGAATTATGAAGCTTATCTCATCATCTCGTATTGTTCGGGTAAAAAATGCCTAACGAGGTTGAGCCCATGACCCCATGGAATATTCCATCCTCCCCTCCTCAGCTTCCTCAGTTATACCTGGGGCCGGTCGTTAATGGTTCCACGAGCCTCGACTCACCGACTCGCGAGGGATATCGATCCCTGTCTCAAGCTCTCCTCTCGCCGAAGAAGCCCTAATACGACTGTATATGTAATCTTCATCACACAAAACCCCCAAGCCTTATGTAACACCGGGAAACAAAGAAATAACTACCGCCGGTGAGACAACCTGCCAAAAACCCACGGTCCAGTCCACTAGTACACAGAATGCAATGCTGTCTTGGTTTTCCCGCGGCCCGCGTATACGTACCTGCATTGGTTCCTTTTCCGATCGTTTGTCATTATTTATCCCCCCTTCCCCTTGTCCCGTCGCCAGACTCCTCAACTGTGCCTTCCCCCGGCCCCCCTTACCACCCTCCAACCTCCACGCTACCCAATTAAATCTCGTATTACGGCAGCAAGGAGCCTTATTGGGCTATCCTTTCCCTCGTGTCTCGTAGCTATTTTTTCTCCTTCGTATTTTAAGAGCTGACCAATTGACCAATCAAAATATTCTAACGATGATTGATCTTACCCTCCTATTCTTTGCTTAGATATAATACCCGACGCATGCAGGGCTGGGTATACGAGAGTTGCACGACAGACTGACAGCAACTTCAGATAAAACATACATGCATAGCCGAGATCGAGTGGTATTTCTCTTTTTAGTCTCGAGACTAGGTACGAAGGGGAGGGGGGTTGTCTCTCCCTCTCTTAATTGGCATGTCAAAATGCATATTTTCCAAACATGTGTACCGCATATGTAGATGGCCGATTTCTTCAGTATAGCTAGCGCTAACTATGGAACCTAACTTTGAGTAAATAAACCTCGATTCGCAATTAAATTGAAACAGTCTGCTACCTGACTGTAACCGCGCCCGCGCGAACCGTTTTGAACATGATAGCGCGTCAATGCATGTTACTGGCGCCTATAGTCATGTGATTATATGCTCCAGTAATATCAGTATAGTCATATCATAATATACCCTCCCAGCTAAAATATACCTATATATGAACCGTGAAGTAAAAGAACGGCTGTAGTAGTTGAACTAAACTAGGGGCTTTTTATGATCCCAACCCTGCTGTTAAATAGTAATTTTATATATAAGCTTTTGAAGAAACGTTAGGGTATATATGTGGTAGAAAAATAGGATGGGACACCACTATAAGGCCTTCGTCGACCTGTAGTATAGGACTTCTACTTCACAAAAGTCGTACAAAAACGATGTAGCATCAATTCTAGCCTTAAAGGTGAGATTAAAAAGTATAAGGGAGCCCCTTCATTCATTTGGTCATCCTTCTTTTAATAGTATGATGAGTCTCGGAGCCAGACGCTCATCCACTGATCAAAGTAATATGCGTAATCCGCCCTTAGGAATATCATAAGCCCCAGTTAAGAACCTCCCAGAAAAACCCTTGCTCCTAAAAACGCCAATAACGGTATCTAAACTTCATCAAAAAGTAAAAGTCCACTGCGGAATCTATCCAAAGCGAGTGGCGGCTAAGCCCTCCGAACACGTTTATTCCTCTCAGACCCCATTCCATCACTATGACGTCCCCCCTTCCTCTTCGTAGCCCCCCGTCTCTCCTTTTCAAACCGCTTCTCCCTCTCAAACTTCTTATCATTATTAAACCCTCTCTCCCTATTCTCAAACATATTCTCCTTCTGAACAACAAACGGACAATCCCTTTCAAACACCAACCCATCATCACGTTCAGCTCCAAGACAATATCTCATCAAAGCCGGCGGATTAGGAGGAAGCTGCGAAGCAGTTATTTCCATAACCACATCCAACCCTTTCCCACTATCAAGCCCATCGAGTAAAGAAGTTATAGCCCGAAAACTGGGTGATCTGAGACGATCTGTAGGTACGTTCTCGATATTGACGGCGATATGGTTCATACCGTTTACTTGTGGACCTTGGGAGTATGGATCTTTCTTTGGATCCGTGTTCTTCCGTACGACGTGGTAGGTCGCGTCGGTGCTAAAACTGACTAGTAGGCTTCCATCGTTTCTTTCAGTCCATTTGAAAGATCCTGGGACGAGGGCTTTAGTGTTGATGATTATACCCACGTCGCCGGAGGTATCGTAGAAGGAACGGTCTTCTGGACGACCCTTGACTCTCATGTATAACATCATGATGGTGGAGTTCCCTTCTTCGCGTTCGATACGGAGACCGTTATTATTATTGTTTGGTCTCTGTTCGCTCCCTGGCCTTTGAGCGAATAGCTCGTCGAGAATATGGCTCCAGCCTTGTTGGAATTTATTGACGGTGCTTAGACGGAGTCGAAGGTAGTCGACGATGTGGTGTTTATACTGGTTTTTGCCTGTCTCCGAGATGGAGACGGCACAGAAGCGAGGTCGTTCGTCGGGGTAGTGAGGAGGGAGAGGGGGGGGTGGAAGGATCTCCTTATGCAACTGTGGCTCAGGAGACCTGGGTACCTCCTCCCTCTCCTCATCCTTAACTAGTTCGCCGCGTATAGACGGCGACCGAGAGAGAGAGCGGCGAGAAATGTGGGAAGAGCGGTGGTGAATGGGGGTCCGGCATGAAGAAGGGGCACTCTCGTAGCCCCTGCCACGGGATGGCTCTCGTGGTGGCGCGACAGGACTCACAGATCTGTCATCGGAAAACCGACGACGATCTGGAGTGCACTGTTGCACACGACCTCGAGAGCCATCCATCATCGTATTTTCGGATGGCGTGGGAGATGCAAACCCGGGGGTCTGACATCTCGTGTCGTATAAGGGAGTGGCCGAAGGATCGAATTCGGCCGCTGTGGTTGGTGAGGAGAGTCGTTGCTTCTCTCCGGGCTATATTATCCCAAAGACTCTTGTTAGCTAACAAAGACCCTTCATAGCAAACAGAATTACCAAGTACAAGTTCATCATCTTAAAGAGGGAACAGTATACATACCGAGACGGTGTCAACGGCGTAGACTGTCAACTTGACACCACTGTCCCTCTTAAGTAACCCCAAGAGGTACCTAACAGCGACATCATTGTCAATGACAACCTGAACACCGTCCGTGTCGCAGGCCTGCATAGAACGCAGCTGCCTGCCAGGGAGCTTCGAAAAGCTCAACCTGGAGGTAACCGCTTCTACCAGGCCTTCGAACGACACGTTGCCCATCATCGAGACGACTTTGTATGCGGATGGGGCCGCAAGTTGTTTGGTCGCACCATCCAGGACAATGCAGCGAACGAGCAGTAAAAACTGCTCGCCGGGCACGCCTGGATGGGCACCACTGGTAGATGCAGGCTGCTGAAGCAGCTGCAGCATAGCTGCCAACTCCGAAGCTTGGAGTGGCAAAGTTTGGGCGGACCCAATATGAAGAGGAGCTGCTCTGCCCAATAGCTGGGCAAGAGCAAGTATGGCATCCATTATGCCAAAAGCGAACCAAAGAGATGGGAGAAATTGTGATTATGGGTGGTTCTGCTGGGTTCTTAAGAGGACTAAGAACTGTGGAGGTGGGAGGAGGAAGAACTGTGAGGTTGAGAAGAAGAGGAAAGAGGAAAGAGGGGGAGAAAAGCAGTTGCTGATGATTAGGACTTGTTTAAATAACCGCATCTTTCAGTCTCTAGGGAATCTTTTATTACATACTTCCTATCCAAGGAGCTGACATCAATAGCGTGCAGTTGTAGCACACACTCCAGAGTGCCGAGCAAGATTTGGGCTCTACCCGGCAAGCTATCTACCATAACCCCAATCACCATGAAGGCTCAGAGGTTTCACCCTGTCTAGCCATTGTTGCTAGGCAAAACTGTGACCAACTAATTGATATCAACAAAAATTATAGGAATGGGTGGTGGTGGGTACGAGGCAAGCTGAACTCGCATAACTATGAGTTTTTGACTTCATTTACTATAAAAAAGAAACCGACGGTGCTAGAACGACCCCAGGCGAATGTTCAACTAAATAACGACACCTAAATCATCGAGCGAACGACCCTACTTGGATGACTGTAACCGATGGGGCAGTACCTAGATAGCCTCAATGAAAAAGACCTCCATCGAATGGCTTGAAATGTAGGAATATCTTAGTCTCGTTCCCAGACGCCGGCTGGCCACAGGTGTGGAATATCCTAGTTTCGTAGTGAGAATATTCCATTTAGATGATCTGATATATAATCCGAACAAACACAATGGATACACACAATTGTAGATAACACACCGAATGATCACAATGGATAGTAAAATAGCAAATAATATAACAAACAATTCTCACAATGCCTAACACCAGCTCGAGCACGACGAATACAGCAAACAATCCCTATATATAATCCCAAGATCTAATCCACCGTAAAAATACCACATACCCATGCGTTGCTTGACGTTGCATTTTCCCATAATTCGCTTATTCCGGCAACGATCGTTGTCCCATACCCCCCATGCAAACGGCATGGCCATAATTTAACCATAACCCCCCTCCGCATACTAAGAGCCCATTGACACTTCGGGAGGCGACATCAAAGAAATAAAGACTTTGCATTAATATGCCTTGGTATGAATGTTAAACCTAACTCCAATACCTCACATCCATAATAAGAAACAAAGAGAGATACTCTTCATCAGCATAAGCATCAACATTACTATCTATCTCAAGACTTCAGAGCAAGCATCACAAACCCCCATACACTTAACAACGATAGCAATTATATATATTCATATAGTATACCCACAAACCTAACTACTAAGAACCATAACTTTCACGCCTCAAATCCACATATATACGCCAACTACTAATCCGAACGATCGATTGCTCAATTAATTCAAACACTTTCAAGCATTGCTGCCACAAAAAGAAACTACATCAAAGAATTTCTACCCGCTGCCCCCTCCCATTTCTACCACCTTCTCTCTCTCTCTCCTCTCACTTTCTTTCTCTCATGTATGTGTATCTTCCCCCCTTAAAAGGTTAACCCCTTTCAAAATACCTCCCCTCTGAATTACCCCCCCAAAAAAAAATGAAAAGAAAAACAATATAATATACCCCCAGTAATTTCCTCCCCACCGCAATCAAAAATTAAGAATGAGTGAAGAGGTTCGATTTAGAAAGCGACACAAAAAAAACGCACAGACACCGAAAATAGATTCCTCCAAGAGAAACCACTTCAACAAAAAAAAAGAAATCAAACGATCCCTCGTCGACCAACCGATATAACCACAAGCGCTTGAACTAGAAGCAAAAACACAGGAAGTCTACTTTTATGTCTTTCAAACGAAAATGCCATCTAGGCAACCACGGTCTTTTCTTCCGTGGCCGTCGTTGTTGACTCCGGTTTCGATTCTTCTTCGGCTTCAGTAGTTGAACTTGTTGGAACAACTGCATCAACTACCTTCTGCGCAATATCTTTAACTGTTTCAACAGGATCACTTGAAGAACCCTTCTCCTCAGTCTCGGCAGAGACCTCTTCCTTCTTCTCTTCATTCTTCTCTTCATTCTTCTCTTCACTCTTCTCTTCAGTTTCCTCAGCTTTCACAGCCTCTAAGACTTTATCATCGATTGGTCTCGCAATCTTACTTGGCTCGTCATCAAATTTTGTCTCGTCAAAGCTGACTTCGTAATCATCTCCGATGGAGTAAACAGTGATAATCGAACTGAATGTAAGTTTGGGGACATGTGCGGTCGCGGGAGCTTCAGTACCAGCTACAGGGGTAGCTCCAGCGGCAGCGCTAGGTTTTCTCTTTGCCGGACCTCGAGCCCTGGTCTTTCGGACATCTTCAAGTGGTTCACGCTCCTTAGGTTCCGGCTCCGCCGGTTCTTCCTTCTTCGGTGCAACAGGACCCTTTGATAATCTGCTGTTGAGATCGCTCATGAAATTGGCACGCAGAGCAGCAATTCCACCGCCAACACGACCTGGAATAACCGGCTTGGGCTTTGGTGGTGGTGGTGCGCGAGAATCTTCGGAAGGGCTCGAGCTATCGGCACTTGTGGGTTCGCCGATCTTCCTGATTGGCCTTGGTGGAACCTTCGGGCGTTCTGGAACGGCTGGTGCCGCCTTCGATCCCTCGAGGGAAGTTTCGTCTGTAGGGACTCGCTTTGTTGGTCGCGTTGGAACGACTGGTGGGCTAACCGGTGTTTCTTTTGGAGCCTCGGTCTCAACACTCTTCTCGGTGATCTTGTTCTTAGCAGGATCATAGTAGTCTGGATCGGGCTTTTGTTCTTCCTCTTCAACTTCATATGTAGCATGAGAGCTCTCCGGCGCGTCTTCCCAGACATCCTTGCTGGGGAAACGTTGGCTGCTAGCTTGCTTATCAAGCTTTGGTCGGGATGGGGCACGAGGTGGAGCTGTACCCTCTGGGAACAATGGGACATGCTCTTTGATGGGACTTGGTGGTTCGTCATCGAGATCCTCGGTTGGAATCAAGGAAGGTGAAGTCCTAGACCTGTTAGAGGAAGGCGGACGGCGAACTTCTTGGGCCGAAAGCCTTGGGGAAATAGCCGGTGGGTTCCAAACAGGATACTTCCCAGCCTCATCAGAAGCCAGAATTGGGGTTCCCTCAGCACGCTCATCTTGGAACTCTTCCCATGGTGTATGTCTGCCGGAGGTAGGAACTCCCAAGCTAGTGCTAGAAGCATTGGTTAGGCCGCTCTTGCCGTAGATTCCATGGCTATCATTTCCAGAGTCGTCGAGATTTGGAAGTTGGTGGGTGTTATCATTCTCACCCTCGAGAGCAGAGACGGCGGTCGCAAGAGGTGATTTGCTTGGGAGTTTATGACCAGCAGTGATAACACCTCCGGGAGTACCCTGAGGAGTGGCATCCCTCGAAGCAATTTCGTCACTGACTATGTATCCGATCTCTTCGTCTGGAACGCCCTCCAAGCCAGGGGTGGTAGCAACACCAGCTCCGCTAGCAGTCATGACACTCTTGGTCAGGTCGTCGTGGCTCAAAGAATAGCTACCATTCTGACGGTAAACTTTGCCGGCAGGGTAGGCACCGAAATCGCCAACAATCATCGGACCATCTGATGGAGGAAGACTTGGAGCATGTTGGCTACGGCGCTTGGCTCGGCTAGCGGATCGGCTATCAGCAGCCGGAGATGGGGCTTGGACGTCGCCAGCAAAGTCCAGCATAGGCACACGTTGCCCGATCTCGGGAATATCATCATGTTGAGTAGCTTTGGGGATCTCTGCAGCAGGTCTGACAGCCATTGGTTGGTGCAAATCGAGATCTGGATGGATCTTTCGTTTTGTGTCTGGAGACGAGGGTCTTTCCGAAGTTGCTTCTGACTCGGGCAATGGAGACTTTGAGCGATCTCTAACTGGTCGAGCTGGGACTACTGGTAAACTTGCACCAGAGCTTTCGGTAGGTGATGTAGCGGAAGCCCTCGTAGGACGAGGGGGAATAACAGGTAACGAAGACATGATGGGATATTATATCGTGTGACTACAACCTTATCTCTTTCAATACAAGGGGATTTTCTGATTGGCTTTGGAAGAGAGTATGTCTGTAAGTAGGTAGGTAAGATAGGTAGGGTAGGATTTGGATATCGAGGATTTTCGAGATAGTGAATGGGATTATGATGGAGGGTGGTGGTGGTGGTGGTGGTTGGATGTGGTGCAGGCTGAATTCTGGCTGAATTCTCTTTCTTATCGTGCGAGTATTGCGAACGTTTTTCACTAGAGGCCTATCACGACATTAGCATTAGAAATTGCTCGCAGATAGCCAATATTGCCAGTCAATTCGAAGCGAAGAGCCGCATCGGAGGAGCCCCTGGAAATGGAAAGGGATGCAGGCTGGGATGCAATGAGAAGGTCCAGGCAGAGTAATCCGCCGATACGATATCAATGGATCCCAAAATCAAAGACCAAATGCGGACAGAAGAGAATGTGTTGGGGTGTTGGAGATAAGCAGCAATGACGATAGAGTACATGTGCAGGCTACCATGGCAGCAGGAAATCGACAGGCCGACAAGCTGACAGGCAGACGAGCAGGCACAGGCGGTGCAGCGGTTGAATTGGGAAAAACAGGAAGAGATACGTATACAAGCTAGCAGAGGTTACTCACACTTGAGCAGCTGAACCGGGGAGAGCTCAGGAATAGTTATGAATGGGTGGAGATAGGTATGGATGTAGATAGATAGGAATGATCGGGAGTTTTTTCTTTCTTAGGTTTTTGTTTTTTTTTCTCTTTCCCGGTGGTGGCAGAGCAGAGATAAAGACTAACAGCAAAAAGGAGAGGAAAGATACGGTAAGGTTGTGTAAATTTGGTTTTAAATTGCTTTGACGATGATAAAAGTACACTTGGAGCTCGAAGAAGATGGGGTGCAAGGGATCGGTCCCGTTATCAGGATGATTCAGCACTAGTATGCGTACATACTAGTCTAAAGCCAGCTGATCGAGCGAGGGAGATAGGTAGAATGGAAAGCAGGAAGGGAGGGAAACAAGATATCATATGAATATGATACCGGGAATATAAATAAGAATATCCAATGGAGGTGTGGGGATGTGAATGATGGTGATAGAACAGACCTGATCCTTCGCCGTCGACGTCGACTACCACTAGACTCCTTCCCCTTTGAACGAGGGGGAAAAAAAATAAAAAATAAAAAAAAATAATTCAATCCAATGAAAAGGAAACAAGATTGCAGAGCTACTGAAGTGGTATAGTGTAATGTAAGATGGTAAAATAAACGTATCGTATAGAATATACGTATACAAAGTCTCCAAGCTGGCAAGCTCGAGCTCCGGAGGAAGGAGAGACAGCTAGCTGCTTATATACGTACGTATACGCTTAAGTATGTGTATGTATATCCAGCAAAGCTCGAACCGGATACGTAGCTCCACGATTCGATTCGATGTTTCTGTAGGTATGGTATGTATGTAGGTGCCCGGCGCAATCCAAGTAGCTTCTAGCTTCTACCTAGCTCGTAGCTTACGATGGTAGACGGATTGCTGGTACTCCGTACCTTATATGCAAAACCCACTTTCGAGCAGTCAGCAGGAAAGAGAAACGTTTCGATTGGGCCAGCTGCAATTGGGTAGCTATTTTGGAAGCTCTACCCTGGAACCTGGCACCTCGCATTCCAAGCGGGCAGCAGGGGTGCTTTCTGGCCGAAGATCTAGAATGAGGGATAAACGGGATAGCGCCGGCGTTGGTTTGGCTTGGTTGATTTGGTCTGGTTTTGGTTTTGATGGGAGGGGCACGAGAAAATTTGTTCAACTGGCCACGGCTGCAGTTTGGTTCTCCACATTTGCCTGTTTGTGTCTCTGACGATATGAAAATAGAAGAAACCGATGAAGAGAAAAAATTTTCACATCGCGAAAGAAAGAAAAAAGAAAAAGAAATAAAGGAGAAAGAATTTTCGTGAGGCCAAAGCGGTCCTGTCTGGACAGACACGATATCCAAGTCAAAGAAAGTGGGGGGGAATTAATTTTCAAGGAAAAGTAAATTGCATTTTGATGTTGAGATACTCCAACACGAAACGCCGGGTATCGCGCAATTAACACTCGCACACTCACACAAACTCACCTCGTACTGTGTACAAACGCTGTTCAACGTCAGGAACAAGTCCACGGGTGGAAACAAGAGAGAGGTGGTCCCGGCGGTTAAAGGACGCAAAGAATATATAGAAATCGATGAGTAAATTTAAATGGTGAAATCCCCGTTGGAAAAGACGTTAAATCACGAACGTTGAATTCATTCGCGCAATCGGATACCTCTTCGACAGAAACGGCCGGGACAAAACCTGCTCTATTTAAAGCTTCTCCAAAAGAAACCTCGATGGTGAATTCGATTCATGCTTTGCCCCATTTCTGCTTCTCGGGATCTTGTAGACTTACTTACTACATACTTTACTTGTACCGTATTCTCTCAATGTATTCTAACCAAAACTGTAATCGTAGTTACAAAGCTAGGGAGCTACAAGGTTTTGAAATCTCTTTCGCAGAGAGCACCTTTTGACGTATTTCCCATGCATTCGATAGCTTCAAACGAGAATGAGATCACGAGCTTGTCGGCGAAATTAACCTGCCCGCTTGATCAATCACAGCTTCATTTCAAGAATTTGCCCCATCCCGAATGCAGTCAAAACCCTCTCGCTCTCCTGCGAAGTCAATGTTGTATACTATAACGGCTGTTGATACTAAAGTTCTAATATGCAAATATCGATTCCATCACACATCGATATCCACCGGCACCATCTGCAAATTGCAAGCTTGCAAGGTATGGTCGTCATCCAATGATATCAGCTGCGAAGTAAATCTCTTCAGGTAGCACCGTAATATCATGCAGCTAGCCATATTTTACCCCAGAAAAACGGCACTGGATTTTACCCACGCATATCCTCGTCCGGATTCCCCAAGAATGCAGCATTTGTCCATGTGCCCTCCATATTGCGTCAGTGTGTTTTAGGACCTGAGCGAAATAATAATAATACTTACTAGTAATCGAAAAGTAAAGTCAGAATCAGAAAAAAAAAAGTACTGCTGCAGTCTTAAAAAGTCAAATTCCCGTCCAAGTCTCTCCCCTTTGAAGCTCTGGGTAAACGAGAAAAAGCATCGTGAAGAGAGCTCATTCAGCTGCCTAATACGGTAAACAAGCCGGCAACAGGCCGACTACCCTCCAGGAAAGAAGACGACGCCGCATCGACGTCTTTCCAACGGGTCGCCGTGCGTTGCAACGCGGGCATCATCACCATCATATCAGATTAGAATCATGACAGTTAACAGCTTTAATTTCTTTAACTAATGACATCTCGTAATACAATCCATACTAAGTACTTATGTACTTATGTATGAGGCTTCCTTAATTTATAAGAACAAGTTTATAAGGGAGGAATACAACTGAGCGAATCACGCCCATACTTACCGTTATGCATACGGATACATGTAAGTCAAGTATACTTGAGTAAGTACATTTAGAGCTGTAATGCTGTGCCTCGATCACCGGGCACAGCTGTCCGTTTGACTTAGGTAATAGCGGCATCTCTAGCTGCATCCGGTGCACCCACTTGGAGATGAACATCGTCCTAGCTGCTCTAAGAATGCTGCCATGATCATGAGATGAGGGTGACATCTGCATCAGAGACAAAAAAGCGATGGGGATCCACGGCTTCAGATACCGGTAATTACTTAATAGAAACTGATACCAGCATATCGATACCAGACTACCCCTCATCCTAACTAAGTAAGTACTTACTTAGTAGTCGGTTAGTGATCGCGATGCGGAATTGGGCTTTTGTGGTGTCCTGATCTATCTATCTACACTCCAAAATGAGATATCGATATGATAGAGCCTCGTGTGAATTGGCCAATTGCCATCAATGGTACCTTGGTCTTTTCATATACGCAATATAGGTATTTACATTTCATGTAATATGGTGTCACTCGGTAGAGCTGTAGCGTGTGTAGGTGTGTGTGTACAGTTGCATTGTCGAAAGCCGTGCCGATAGACACCGGGTCATCCGCCTCTGCCGGAGCGGAACAGCCTTTTGCCTGAAGCTTGTCATACAACACAAACCGCAACCGCAACCTCACCCCCAACATGTCGTCGCGTCCAGCTTCATTCCATTCCATTACATCATACCATCGCCTTCATCGCGTAGACACACCTCCCAGATCCGAAAATGACATCAACGAATATTCAATCCCTTCTCAGGTTCCTTACTGGTCCTGCAAAACTCCCTCTTCGTGATGCCATGAGTAAAGCAAAGCCTCTGTTGGCGGATGGTCTTTCAAGGTTAACTCTGTCCTTTACACGCGGACTCACCTGATCTATCACGAAAAAGTTCCAACAAGACTGATATCAGACCTTATTCATATATAGTCCAGATGAAATTGCCAAAGCTCCACTGGACAAATTGAAAGGGATATTTGCAGATGAAAAGACTGCTAAACAAGTCCATTCTGCGGCCAAACGGACGTCTAAATCTTCGTCTTCAAAGAAACGCTCGTCGTCATCTACTCAGGAAGAGGCATCATCACCATCTTCACAAAATGCCACAGGGAACACATCCATGATATCACCCTCAAAACGTCGTAGAACAAACCAAACACCATCTATAGATACTTCAGACCCTCAATCATGGGAAACGGGTCTTGACCTTCCACCTCCACTCCGTGACGAGAATCTAATCTCCATCACCACAATAACTACCAACCGTGCCCCTCTCCTCCTCGCATTCACAATTGTATCACTAACCTACACACACCCCTGGTTGCCCGCCAGTTCACGGTTCTCGCTAGCACAAGGTCTTCTAGACCTCACTGCATCCTCAAAAGCCAAGAGCATAGGAATCACCCGACCAGATGATGCCAAAAACGACACTGTGGAAGAAGGATATAAAAAACTCAAGGTTCTTTCAAAGGAAATCCCTATCCTTCGTCGATGGGATACACCAAGCACCTCTACGACGTCGTCGTTTCAAACAGAAACTAGCCTTCAAAAGCAGGAGGTATCACATAAGCCCGACAAGCCACCTTCAGATGACGTAAAATCAACTAGCATAGACCTTGGACCCTCTGCAAGTGCGGCTGGTGATGTGTCTCCTTCTCACCCCTCTTCCTCCTCTCCATCAGTCCCTCCTGTATCTAGAGCTGCAGGCACAGCTGCCGGCAGCTCCACATCAACTCTATACCCCAACGAGCCAATCTACTGGTCCCTCTCTCCAAGCCTCCTCTCCCAGCCGCCCACGGCTAGTAAACTAAACCCCTCAGCCTTACCCATCCATCTTCCGCATGCAGCACACTCGTATCTGACCCGTTCCTTCTCCCAAGACAAGCTTCCTTTACTCCTGGGAGCTCTCCACCTCCTCTACGAAAGCTGGGTCAACGCCCTGGACGCTGTCGACCTAGACCGTAAAAGCTGGAGTTGGTATTGTAGTATCCGTCCAACGGTTGAAGACGGTCCGGAAGGGTGGGGAGGGAAGGGGCTCGTAAAACTCAAAGATATACTAAGTCTGAGGCATAAAGGCGGGGTAAATTTAAGATAAATTAAAAATAAATAAAATTTTGTTATACAGACGAGAGATTTAAAGAGAGTGGAGCTATAATATCCCCGATACTCGGTAAATGTTGATGTCTTTTTTAAATTCTTTCCCTTTCTTTTAATATAATTATCGTGCGGGGAGGCTCGTATACAATATATTGAATGGCTGATCTGATGAGACGGTGGAGTCGAAGCACATGAACCACGAATCAGCCCGTGCTTTTTTTCATTTTTTTCATCCGTGAATAGTAATCTACCACGAGACGAAAACTGTTTTCCGATTTAAATTTCTGTTGGGAAGAATAAGAAACAAAAAGGATAGTAATTGTCGCAAAGATGTCTCTATACCGACGCTCATGCCTCGTGGGACTGTCAGAAACGTCAAAACGGTAGCCTATACTTCATGACTCGTCTACAATACACACAAAAAAAACCCCCCATTACGAGCTACTTACTTACCTATAGCCTACTCGACCGAGAGAGAGAGACTTCGAAACAACCTCAGCTTCACCAAAAGCCTAAATACCTCATATGATCATATAAACGTTTCCGAAAACAAAAAATACATATTACACCCGATCGACTCATCTGTCGACACGTAGACATCGGTAGTTTCAATATATACTATAAGGTATATTAATTAAAAGTAATAATCAATTGTTAAAAAGTAGCTTTAGGATAATAACAATCGGTTATAGCATTTCAAATACCTATTGACCTATCATCATCTGAACATTTTAACCCCCCTCCCCCCTTTCTTGTATCAAATATAATATAGTTCTACCACCCCTCCTTCTTTGGCGATTTTCAGCCCCGATAACCCGTTAAAATCCCTGGTTTCCATCGACATCTAACATGTTAAGTTAACCGGGAAAACAAGCCCTCGCTGGACCGAAAAAAAAAAAAAAAAAAAAAAAAAAGACCATGGTTGATAATACCCTCGGTCGTATACTATAGACCCCTCATTTCTTTCCTTTCTTCTTCGAGCTTTTTCGCTTGCGATGTATACATGTATCGACGTATCGGACTTTCCAAACCATATATACGTCGGCCGTCGGGTTCGGCTTGGTCTAAGCTTATCCTGCCTGTGCATGTCACGAGTTATGCAAGTGCTCCGTAACCACGGAGTTTCACACCATTCTTTTTTGTCAAAACTCACGGACCTCTCTGTATAATCGGGCCGGAATCATAAACTCCTCTTTTTTCCCCCTCAAACC